TTGATCATCGGCTTTGGATTTATGTCTTCTTTAGACGATCCGCAGTTTTGATTTTTTGGTTTGCCTTTTCCGCTTTTTGGAGAGTTTCGGTCTCCGTGTGGGCGATTTGATCATCGACTTTGGATTTGATGTCTTCTTTGGACGATCCGCGACTTTGATCTTTGGTTTGGTTTTTCCGCCTTTTGGAGAGCTTTTTGGTCTCCGTGTGGGCGATTTGATCATCTGCTTTGAATTTGGTGTCTTCTTTGGATGATCCGCGGCTTTGATCTTTGGTTTGCCTTTTCCGCCTTTTGGAAAGCTTCGGTCTCCGTGTGGGCGATTTGATCATCGGCTTTGGATTTGATGTTTTCTTTAGACGATCCACAGCTTTGATCTTTGGTTTGCCTTTTCCGCCTTTTGGAGAGCTTCGGTTTCCGTGCGGGCGATTTGATCGTTGGCTTTAGATTTGATGTCTTCTTTGTACGATATGCGGCTTTGATTTTTGGTTTGGTTTTGCCGCTTTTGGAGGGCTTTGGTCTCCGTGCGAGTGATTTGATCCTAAACTTTGAATTTGATGTCCTCTTTAAACGATCTGCAGCTTTGATCTTTGAGAAGGTGGAGTTGGTGCTGCATAACGCTTTTGGTGGCATGTCCCTTTGACTTTTGGATCGAAGAGGACCGAGTAGATGCTTTGGTGAAGAATGCGATGAACACCTCGAAACTTTAGGATGAACTTTGGATGTTCTTCCTTGGCTTTGGTGGACTCTTCAATGGCTTTTAGAGCTTTGATCGTTGAAGATGTGGATTTGGTGCTCCATAACACTTTTGGCGACGTGTCTTTGACTTTTGGATCGAAGAGGGCCTAGTTGATGCTTTGTTGAAGAACGCGATGAATATCTTGAAGCTTTGACAGGAACTTTGGAGACATTCCCTTGGCTTTGACGAATTCCTCAACGGCTTTGAGAACTTTGATCCTTCCTCCGGCTTGGACATACGACGAAGAACGTTAACTTCATCGATTCGTCAACCAATATTGGATCATTTGTCTAAATTAGTGACTTTCGACGAAGAATGCTTCGAATGACACAAAGAACAATACAGAGAGAGTCTAGAGACTTACCCTTTGCTTGAATCGTCAATGAAACTTCGGTGTCTCAAATGAACTGGCCATGGCTCCTATTTATAGGGGATTGGTGGCTTCGGCTTCCTTTTTTAATGGTGTCACGTGGGCCGTTTTGATTGGCCAATAGGAAGATTTTATAATATTTCCTTTTTCCATCAGATGCTCTTTTCCATTCTTGACGGATTTGATTGTGCACCTTCTTTTCTCGCCAAGATCTTTATATCATTGTCCTTTTTCGGAAGATATTAATTTATATACTTCCTTTATTGACAAGATTAATTTATTTTGCTGCCAAATTTATTATGACTCTATTTATGCACGTAATATTTGTACGATATCTTCCATTTTAAGCAGATTTTTGCATTAATTGTTGATATTTATTGTATAAAAATTAACATATGTGCATAATTAAATATCATATATTTATTTTATTGAAATTTTATTTTCTTCCAAAATACATGATATTTAATTAATTTTAGACATATTTTTAGTGTCTACGGTAAGTACTCAATAGTAAATATATTTAAAATAAACTATAATTTTGATTTAATATAAACACATATATTTGTGATATAGTATTTTGAATCAAAATATACCGATGATTTGATTGTTTTTAAGTAAAAACAATAATATATAAGTGGATACTTTTCCCAAACACAATCCATAAAAACCCTAATTTATCTCATGATGCATATAAATGAAGGAATGTATGCATACACGTATATTCTGAGTGCAAAGAAGTAAAGTCTAATGAATTGATCGATATGGATGTCGCTTTAATGAGCACTTACTTTTTAATTCTTTATAAATATGGAAGGAATAATAATAGTATGTTTGTATTTGAGTAAACCCAAAAAGCAAAAACCCGTGTACCAGACGTGGGAAGTGATTGGATAAACAGAAACAACTATCAAAATCAAACTCGTCTGTGTTTGTTTTCATTTCCTTATTTGCTAAGGAAATATATATTGAAGTTTTGAGTGGTGGCAAATGGCAGTGGCAGTGGCAGTGACAACTTTTGACCCCCAACAAACACATTACATTCATAGGTTAAAGAAACAAAAAGTGATCATGCATGCATGCATGCATCCTTTATATCAGCATTTTCTTTGGTGGGATGGCAACAAACTTGGTGCTGCTTCTGAAGCTGTTTGTTTGTTTTCTTGGCACTACTTGTGTCACTATTTTTCTCTATTTACAACTGACTCTTCTATTATTTTGAATTTGATTAATTAGTTATGTATTTTACTTAACTAATGAATATAAGATGGTTTTGTAATATATATTATATTTTTAGAAAATGGAAAAAGAATAATATTGGCCATTACATTGCAGATTTTGGGCCAATCCAAATGAAAAGCCCAATAAGTTTTAAATGATCGGCCTATTAATTCAAAGCATGGCCCAAGTGAAAAGCCCATATTCTACCTTGGTTTCTTATACGGGAGTAACTGCCCTCTGATTTTAATTTGTCGTTGTGTACGTGTGATTCCGATGTCGCTAACATCCGGGTAAAGCTGTTGCGAGTTTTTCATCAATGGCAGTCGTCTTTTCGTGTATCCAGTGTTGCATTTCGAAGCCATCAACGACCTGTAGTTATGGCTACCAGAAGCGCCAGTCGGAATGTTGCATATTTTCCTCGTGCCGTAATTAATTCTGTCCGCGGTTTGAACCTCTGTGCTCGTCGGAGAAATCAATCTCATTTGCCCCAGAGATCAACAGGTGATAAACCATTTGTTCCTTCCCGCTATCGATTATTTTAATATCTTTTTGAATTCGTGTTCGGATCAGAGCTGTTGGCTTTTCATGATTTGAAAATTGGATATGCCTATGAAGTGTTTGTTTAAAAGGTTGTAGACACCTTTTGCTTGATGTGATTTTTGACCAAAGAAGTTCCTTCTTCTGATCCTGAGCAGAAAGACAAATTTTCTTCATTGAAGAAATTTCCGATGTCAATGGCATTGGCTATTAGTCTTGTGGCAGGCTTTGGGGCTATGGGAGGTCAATGCGGCTGTCGCCATTGCTCCTGTATTGCCTGATGTATTAGTTTTGATATCAGGGTCACAAATTAAGGATCCAGGGGTACTGTTGAGAAATGCGTATCCAATTAAAAATTAAGGCTATAAGGGAGGTACAGAAACCACTTGAGGATATACCAGAAAGTCTAAGGATTGCAAGTGTCCGAGCCCTTGATTCGGTGGAAAGAGTGATGTACCGTACTCTTTGTAATGGATTCTGTAAGGCGTTAATGGTTGTTTATGTTTTTGCCTTTCCTGAGCCTGTGTAGAATGCTAGGCATGCATCAAGGTCCCTCAAGCAAGGCCCAACCTTGATTGTGGAAGGCTTGGCTGAGTCAAAGGTCCATGATGGTGTTGAATTGCTTAATAAATTGGAATTGGGATTGGGACTGGATGAGCTTCAAAGCATTGTGGAGAAATTTCAATAAGTAGATTCTTAGGAAATCTCAGTAGATATTCGGAAAAAATATGCCCGTTTGGAGATTAGAGATGGTTTCTGCAAAGCAAGCTGAATGCAATGCACTCTTATCCATCCAAGACTCTTCTTGGGTATGAAAGATGATTGAGCTTCTACCCTGGAGAGATTTCTAATGCACTACAATTAGGATTTCAAATGAAAATAGAATTAACAGAAAAGGTTTGATTGTGTGGTTTCATCTTCATTTTCACTAGTCAAGAATCCTATAGTTATCTTGTAACATTCACAGGGACTACAATCCTGTCCCTTTGTCCTAAACTCCTCCTAGCTTAGAAGTTAAGAGCGGGAAAAAGATCTTGAAAGTTTATTGTTCTGAAGTCATTCAAATCTCATTTAGACCCTATGATTGCAGCTGAGATCATCGTGAGCAATTGGGTTTCTGCAGCATCGAAGAGGATATGGTTGACACCTTTCCATATGAAGTTCCTGAAGAACACACACAAAAAAAAGATGCCATTGCTAAATGGGAGAGCAACTGTTGGCATGAAGGTGAAAATCAAGGACAATCCCATCCTGACGAATGTGTGTTTTGCATTCTTTTAGATGGCTAAAATGCTCCTATAACTACTGGAAATTTTTTTGGATCTGGCACAAAGGCGTTTATAAGATGCCATGGAGATCCAAAGAGGCAAGTAGGCTTTAAGAAACTTTCTTTTGTGCTTGTTTTGTAACTATGATAAAGGGATAGCTTGATGATGCTTATGATTTGTAAGAAGTGTTTATTTTCCAGTGGATGGGTATGTAGTCTAAAAAGGAGACCCTGAAGGTCCAGTCGAGGACTTTATTGATCCTAGTACTGAAAAAACATGCACTACTCCTCTGAGATAATGCTGATCAGATCTTAGGTGCCCTTCTATGGGCAGATCCTTGAAGTATGTCCCTAATTGCTAGCAAGATTAGAAGGGCAGATCCTTGACGTATGTCTCTAATCGCTAGCAAGATTGGGACTTGCTTAGAACTTTGCCTATACAGGGCTCAGATGAGGTTACCATTCAACGCATTTGGAACCATGGCCATGGCTAGAGATGTAAGTATGAAAAGAGCTGATGTAGTGCGTACATATGAGACGGAATTGAAGAACAGTTCTGCTTCCAGCCAGATATTTTGGCTATTGAAAGAAAGTAAACTAACTCCAAGCTATGGTAAAACATGAGACTGCCGATATATGTTACAGAAAATAAAGATTTATTGGTCGTAGCAGGATTAGATAATCTTGTTAACCCAATCTACAAGATTGCTGGTTGAATTCCCAGATTCTAGCAATTGGTTTAGGTCTTCATAGTCTCTTATTGTATTCTGAAATAATTAGACCATATGGCATTATGCTCTCTCATTGTGGTTCCACACAGCGAGAGCATGTTTAAGAAAAAGATATGTAGATGCTCATCACAAGAACAAAAAATTAAATGTAATAAGACTCTGATACATTGACATACCACCCGAATTCCAAGCTTTTCATACAGCAAACAAAACTGCAACAGTGCATGATGTAACGTCATGCATCTTCTATGCAATGTATCCAACATATAAAAAGGACTAAAAATAACTCACAAAGATGCTCTCCAACACGAAATCATTTCACATGTTAACTATTCTTTTGGTAAATATGCTTAGGAATGCCAGAGACTTCCATTGGTTTGAATAATGTTTATGTGAAACAACAAAATATAGCAAGCATTGGATGCAGTAGAACGATTTAAGCTCGGCGCTTTTTCTTCTCAGGTGTTGCATGAACTTGTGCAGTGGTGCCGTAAGTCTTCCACTGAAAATTTTCAAAAGCCTCGGAAACTACACCAACCTGAACAGAATATAGAAAAACCTATGATTTATACTTGAAAACATGCAAGCAATAGTAATTTTACATATCCAAAAGCAGATATTTTCGAGAGACCAATTCAGGCTTTTTGGAGTACACTCGCACAATCATGTCTTGGTAGGATGATGGAAGCAAATGGCTGATGCGATTATCTGGAATTGAGAATGTTTCCTCACTCTCATAATCCTGAGACCCAGAAGCATCGAATGGCCACATAAATCAGATAAATCTAAGAGGGTGGTGGCAACTTGCAAGTTCTAACCCTGAAATTGGGATAGAGTTCATACCTTAAAAAACTTGATGCTGGATGGAGGAACACATGCCAATAACAGGAGAGTGTAAGTAGAGAGATAAAATATATAACAAACTTAGTGCATATGCAATAAGGGGTGAGAAGTTTCAATCATCATGGATCAATAGTTCAACACACCTGTCAAGAGGGTTACTGTCCCCGCGTGTTAAATCAATCCGGACATTGCTAACCACCACATCTTCTTCTCTAAGTGCAGTTCCTCCATTTCTCTACATAATTTGCAGCTACTATATAACCATAGCCAAACACAAACTTCACAAGGATCGTAGCCTAAAACAAACATTATTTTCTAAAATTTGGATGAATACCTGGGAACAAACAATATCTTGTGCAGTAACTTTCCTAAAATTCTCCAGTTTCTCCTTTGGAACAGCATATTCATTACAAAACTGCAAAAACAAATATGAAGGTGAGCATGGGGAGTAAAGAGTATAGGCAGTCCAGGTATCATAATCATCAAGGACCTGATTCATATAACCTGATACAAATCTCTCCTGCGAATGCGAAGTATCAAGTCCCTAGATTCCTTTAGTTCCTGATCTGGGGCTGTCTCAATGGTCTTGAGAATGGTGTCATCTAACTGCATCAATTAAGAAAAAATAACTAAAACATTTTCAACAAAGAATGTTTTAAATGGAAAATCTACAACCAACCTTCCAATACTGCGAAGGATCCTGTATGTGAGATGATATCTGTAGGTAACTGTTGGCACTCACCAAGGCATCTACAACCATTAGCTCTATAGCCTGAAATTTAAACGATTAATTACTGACAGAAAAACAGATGTATATGAAAGAAACACAGCCCAAAAGATCAAGCACATTATATAACTTTGCAGTTCGCACTGCTTTAAATGCATATTTAGTAACAGCAGAACTACGAGGTATACTGGTCCAAACCTTTACTTTTGCATGAGTATAAACAGTTCTGTACAAATCAGCTCTTGTGGCAAACAACTTTTGGATATTCAGATCTGCAATTTATATATAGTATGAAGAAAATTGCACAGGTAAGTAAATGAAAGCTCAGCCGTGCAGTGTGGACGCTTACAAGATTTGGCTGGATAGCATATATCATCTCCTATTACTCTCATGCATTCCATCAATCTGAGAGTGAGAGTTACAGAGAAGGAGTTAATGGAATCTGATTAAAATTGAAAATTATCACTCAAGTTGCTGGTAAGCTGAGTGTCTCAGAATTTGATCACAACGAAAATCTTAATAATAACTCTTTATACTGAAAGTTGCATCCTAAACCACATGCTCGGCAATCGCGGGCAATGTAGTCAAACCTGCATCACAGATATATAGAAACCTAAATGATATTTAACAAAAAAACTATAAAAATTAGTGTGCTGAGGAATATGGTTCAAGATATCTAAGCAGCATACTTGTCAACATCAATGCCATTTCGACCATTTGCCACAATATCATATAGAAAATGCTTTTCCCTTGTGCTCTAGAAATCACATAAAGTCACAGTTTCAATACACTGGCCAAACAAAAATAAAAAACTGGAACATTAACCAAAAAAGAGTCATCAGTACTTTACTTTATTTGTAGCATATTTGGAACTTGCAAGGATCATTTCCTGCCAACAAATCACAAATACAAAGAATGATTAGTGCTAGATTTGAGAAATTAATTTTTGGCTGCATAATCCAATGAATTTCTAATTACAACTCCCCGAGCTAAGATCCCTTGAAATAATTGGATACCTAAAGTTTCTGAAAAGTAGTTTGGCGGTGCCAACTCACCTTGACTCTTTTCATGGTATCAGAATCAATATCTATGTGATGCTCATCTACAATATAATCCACCAACTCAACAGACATTTGTTCATGAGACCTGCAACCATTTCTACCATAGCTCAACAAGCATCTCAAAGTCATAACAAGAAAAGGACACTTACTGGAAAGTATGAAACACAATATCCAAAAAAGTTGTTGGGTTATACAATGTTGACATTCAAGAGCCTAAAGTTTGGCTCAGCTAAAAATTAAATAAGAAGAGACAAACTTACCATGCACAAGTAGGATGTGTTCATGCATGTTGTGAGAAGAATTAGGAGCAGGATTCAGTGCAAATACCAAAATAATAGAACTCAAAATAGCACAGGAATGTATTCGAGCTCAATAAAATGCTACTTATCAAACAAAATCAAATGTAAACTTGGATTCATTAATGGGAAAACTATTATCGTCTAAGAACACAATCAGTTCAAAAAATTTACCAGTCAATTCCCTTCTCAACCTCGGGGAGAAACTCACGTTCAAATAAATGACTAAAAGGCCCATGGCCTATGTCATGCAAAAGCCCTGTCCAATATTGCAGAGTGATTGTCAACTTCATCGAAAGTGTAGACAGGTGCTTAATTAATTACAAGTTTATCCTACATAACCTGCAAGTTTCACAGTTTGCATATCAAAGTGATCAATACCAAGTCCGTGTCCCTGTCAATTATCAAAGGCAAAGTGTTCACAAAAGCAAGACCTAGAACTAGAACTTCACTTTATACTACTGAATGGACATTTTCATAAAATTTCTTACTTGTTTCATTTTAAGTCTATGGACGGCTTCACCTGCAAGCCAATAAACTCCTAGAGAATGTTCAAATCTAGAATGTACTGCACCTGGATAAACCATGTGCGCCATTCCTGAAAATATACAAATGAAATAATAATAATAATTCAATGCAATCAAATATGTAGGTGATGTTCCACAGGCAAGACCTCAAAAGGTTTAATGAAAATTTAAAATGCTGTCATCTATTACCAAGAACTGAAACCTATGTATATCAGATGCAAGTACAACGAATCAAATATAACTTATAAGGTGTATCTTTCAATTCCAATTAGATTAAGTAGCTTTAACAGAATAAAGATAAATATTATGGCACTTACTTATTAGAGCTATTAAAATCAAGGATATAAGTATTTAACTTATTAACAAACATCTATATTGGATTAAGTTTACCTGCAAAAGGGTCAACCGAAAAACCAAACCTTAACACGGAATTTTCTCAGATAAGCAACCACAAGTTGTAGAGCATAAAATTAACCTTATATTCTTCATGTCATTCATTAAAACAATCAGATTAATATCTCAGGATTAGGTAAGATGAATGAATTTCTATCTAATTAGTGAAAGCATTATGATTAAGAAATGTGTTTACTTACCAAGCTGCTTAAGATCTCGGAGCCTATCAAAACAACAAAGTTAGTATTAGTAACCCAATCATCACATCTACATTGAAACAGATGCAGAAAACTTCATAAATCAAATTAAAGAATTTAAAATGGCCTGATTGAACAAGGCAGAGAATATAATTTACCTCTGAAACTGTTCAGTGTCAATGAATTTCAAAAACAGCTGCAAGTAATAAATAACTGTTTAATTGAACTATCCCTGTCAGCAAACACACTAGTAACGCGGCATTCAAAACAACTTGTAACATTTCATAAAAAGTTCAGATTTTTAAGACTCTGCAAACAACAAATCTCACAGCAGACAACAAATCTCACAACGTTCATTAAGAAGCAATTCAGAAGATTGTGCAACAAGAACCTAAAGGAAAAACAAATAACTTTAAAAAAAAAAATGTATATCAGAACACAAAATGCTATTGAGAAGTTAATCTAGAAATCCGAAGGGTTAAAATTACATAAACCAACTTGTGGAAAGCATAAACTAAGTTGGGAAACAATTAAATTAATCACTTCTTTTATAGTAAATGCAATCCCGCGAATTGTTTCATATGAAACAAATATTAACGACCAAGAGCCACAAATCAGCAAAAAAAAATATGGTGAGCAGGCAAACAGTTGCTACGCACATGCGCGCGCAAAAAAAAAATTCAGGAGCATATGGAAACGTTACCGGATCAAGATAAATATTTCCATGAACATTGTCGTGAATGTGTTTAGTGAACCCCATATCTTGAGAGGACGCGTAGCTGTGATTCGCTGAAAATGCAAAATCACCATCACAAGACGCTCCCATCCCGCCGCTCCTACTTCTGCTACCCGAGAGCCAGAGCTACTACATAAAAACAAAAGGAATCAACAATAACTCAATTCTCCATATTCCAAAGGTGTTCGGAGCATATTCATGGAAATTGAACGCTGCGAAAAGCGAAGACACAGATTAATAATGCGGATTGCTTACAGTTTTTTTCGGCTGCGTGGGAGAGAGAGTGCAGAAGTGAAGGCCGGGTTTTACTGTTACTGTCGACTGACGCGTATTCTGAAATGAATGAAGGAATAAATCGCGGAGTTTGTCAAGCAGTGCCGATTGTTGCCTTTCCAGTGCCTTCCGTTTCTTTGTATTTTTCTCACTTTCCTTCGTTAATAAAATAGCAGCTTCGGGTACATCCGGTTGGTAATTTATTGCACAGTAAGTACAAATGAGGGGTAAAATGGACTTATAGCATATGTCCACTTCATAATTTCTTCCACTTGCCCTAAAGTCCATTTTCTTGACTTGTAACCTGTGGAGGAGGTTTGGCACAAATTCTAAAAGCTACCGGGAAGTGAAATTACTACCAACTCCTTTGGCATCACTGATGAAGTGTAAACGTGTTTGTTTGGAGATTGGATTTTAAACACACTATTTATCATATTTTTTTTCGAAATATCAAATCAAACATCTATTCTTTATTTTTATATTATAATAAAAATTAATTTTACATTCAAAATTTTATATCAATATCTATTTATAACACATCTTACGACTATTTAAATTTAAAATTTTTACTATTCAAATCCCAATTTAAAATTCAAATTCCCAAACACATGCACTCTTATTAGTCCGATAAAAAAAGTGTAACTTATTAGGGTTATATAGGGACACGAGGGTTTATGGTTATACGCAGTCTTATTAACCTTGCCATTTTTTATGTGCCCATATGTTTTGTGGGAGTGTGGATGATTTTATTTATTTATTATTCTATGAATTATAAATTATTAATAATTTTTTATTTATATTATATTAAAATTTTATTTTAATTTAATTTTAAATTGTTATCAGGCACTAATTTCTTTTTGAGCCCAAGACCAGTAGCCCAAATTAATCCTAAATTGATCCAACCTTCGATGAGGGGAGAGAAGAAGAGAGGGAGGGCGGAGTCGGCGAGCTTGAGCGAACGGGGAGAGGAAGAGGGAGAGGGAGACGCCTGTGGAGGTTGGTCTCCGGCGGGAGGGAGGGAGAGAAACCGAGAGAGAGGGGCAGGCCAAGCGCGAGAAAGCGCCCGCAGATGAGTTGCGTGCGTGGGAGACCATGTGTTGGTGAGCGAGCGCAGTTGTCTGGTGGGTTCCGATGGATTTGTTTTGCTGCGGCGCGGAGAGCATCGATTTGTGTTGGTGGTGACGTGCTTAGGTGGGTGATGGAGTCCATGGACTCCGGCAAGTGATAGAGATGCAGCTGGGCAACAGTGCGTGTAGGGTTTTATTCCAGCAGTCCTGTGATTGGTAGGGTTTTTTTGTTTTTTAATTGGTAGGGTTTGTTTTCTGTTTGTTTGGTTTATGGTTAGATTTGACTGACTATCAGTCCAAAACCACCGTTAAATCAAATTATATATGTGCTTTGAATTTGGCAGTGGAAAAATTTAGGTTGTGGCACTGGGTCGGTGACTGGAGCGGGTTTTAATTTTCATCAGAATTGTTTTTGTGCACATGAACGCGAAGCTATTATTGAGCCTACTCCAGGAGATAGCCTGTGTTTGTGAAGACAACAATTGCTATCATGGTTGGTGAAATCATTATGTCATTACAGAGTTTCTTTCAGAAGCTAGTTCATCTTATCACTCTTATTTTTCAGTGTTTCTACGTTTCTACCCCTTCATGAAACTATTCAGCGTGACATGTGTTGGTTGCAAGTTGCAACCTGTTGTTACCTAACCTTAGTATTCCTTACTGTAGAGTGTTACTCGGGAGTTGTCTGAGACAAGCAAAGAAACAGTAGTTGTTCATTTCCATAAGATTTTGTAGCTTAAAGTTCTTTTTCATAAAATTGTCATTGTGGATAGACCCTAGATATTGAGATTATAACATTCTTGTGCTAATCGGTTAATGGCGAATTATATGATCGTACAGAAATAAAGGGAGAGAGACTCACGTGTTCATAACAGGAGTGATTTTCGTCAAGTAATTACTCATTTGTTAAGTAACAGATCAGTGTGTCTGAAAATTGTTTGATTTAATACTAGTAATATCTGACTGTAGATTTTATCTTTATCTAGCCTTTTCTAACTCTGCTACTTATTCTTTCAGTATGAGGAATACTTGTGAAGAGTTTGTTGATATGTTGGATGGAATGTTCTCTTTTGGCATTGCTCCACTCTACATGAGCTCTGGGATCTCAACAGTATGTAATTTCTTTCCAATTGATTTCGGGAGCTGCATGTGAATTTAGTAAGAGGTTCAAATTTGTTGCTAAACTCAGCATGTGGCTGCCCCAATCTGGAACTATTTAAAATTTTCTCATCTGTGGCCAGCTGCCATGAGGGAATTGCTTGTTCTGCTATTATTCATTTCATGTGTAAGCATTGCATTTTCTGCAGGTTTTACTGGTTTTCTTCAGAAAGGAAACCTTTAAGTGATGATTGTGAGCGTTTCACAGCTTTTCTTTGTGGAAATGTTTACAAGAGCTAAAAAGGTATGTCTTACGACCTTGCAGTTATGCTAGGAAATCAATCCTAATTTCTAAATGATACAATATAAAGAAGTCACAAATATAGGGGAATCTAATCTAGTAACGATAAATAAATAAGAATTAGTGCGAAATGATTTTGATTAAAGATATCCAAAATGAAAATGATTAATAATCTAAATATAAAAATTTTCAAATCAAGATATCCAAACAACATAAAATCACAGTTTCAATGTATGTGAAATCAGACAAGAGTACAATTGCAATGATAACAGAACAGAACAAAAACAATTTATTCACAAATAACAGTGGACTTTATTTGTAGCATGTTGTCAGCTTGGAAGAATCATTTCCTGCCCACAAATCAGAAATCACAAATTCGAAGAAATTATTAGTGTTAGATAAGAAAACATTGGCTGCATAATCTAATAGTTTTGTAATTATAATTCCAAACTCAATACTCAGTTTGTGTCCCTGTGAATTATCAAAGCAAAATGCTCACAAAAGCAAGCCAGCCCCGGAACATCAGTTCTTGCTATTCGTGTGGTTGGATGAAGGTTGACGGTGCCATGTGCTGTCTGCCAGCCACCATCAGCCCAAATGCATTGTAAGATCAGGCTGCATGTTGATATAATAGTCTTTGAACCAGAGATTTCTCTTACATTCCAAGATTTGGAAACTAATAGTGACATTGCAGCTTTGGAAAACTTCAAGATGCGAAGAAGTGGATTGCAATAGCTGCAAGATATGTGGTTCTTTAAATAACCTCCTCAGTTTTTCTTTTGGGCCACTAGTAGTGAGAAGTTGGAACCCTGCACTTATTATGGCAAGAAACTTATCCATGTCTAGTAGAAAAGGGGTGTCGTCTAATCGAAAGATCCTTTTTTACTAAGCCAACCCAAGTCCTTTTTCTCTGCATTCTTTTGATCTCTTTCTTAAATGTAATCTCTTAAACCTAAAAGATCTACTTTTCAGTGCAACTGGGGATGCCAGCCATTCATTTGCTGATCTTTCAGGAGTGTGTATGGGTAATGGGTGTCCTTGCGTTGTCTCAGTTCAGAATATATTAATGTTGGTATATGTGATAGATGCGTTAGGTGAGTTTTCTGAAAGGAGGAAGTGTATTAATGGCCAGGTTTAGTATATCATCGTAACAGATGGACTTTGATTGACCATCAGATTGTTTCTTCTCTCTGAGTTAGTTTTCTTAATATCAGGGCATTTGACACGGGCAAATTTATATGGAGCCTAGTATTTAACACGTTCCGTTTTATGCCCATACTTTGTGGAGACAACTTTGTTGAGCACAGGTAGAAAGAGGGAGTTTCATCTCATGGTGAAATTATTATTCCTTTTTCTTTTGATCTTACTTTTAAGTTAGTACATAGATGATATGAATTATTACCTATGGATAATATGAATTTTAACATGTAAAAATTGAATTTACTCATTTATAATTCGCCATGTATTAGTCCATAGCTGTATAAAAAGTTTCATTCAAGCCTGGGAGGAAGCCAGCACTAACACGTGGATGTGTCGGAGTATGGGAAGACGGTAAGTGCATCTGTCGGCCGTTCTGTGATAATATTTGGGCCTGAGTGTCTACGCCGATATACCAATGGGACCTGTCCCAGGACGGAAACGACACTGGGCCTGATGAGTCTTAAACAAAGCACGTGGATTTATCAGGTATATAGGAGACAGCATATGTTCCTGTCGGCTTTTGGGTGACAACAGTTGGGCCCGCAGTTATATTACATTGGCCATATGAAAATACAAGAAAATAAAATTAGGCTGTCTGGACCAGCTCGGAAACTATATTATGCCTGTCGGCCCATGAAAACATCACGTGCTCATATCTAAATCTGGGCAGACAGCATGTGATTCTGTCGGCTCCTGGGTGACAATAATTTGGCCAATCAAATGGGCCTACATTGAAAATGGAATTGGACGCTCTGGGCTGGTTTGGAAACTACAATGGGCCATTTGGGCCCTGATGAAAGCACGTGTGTATGTTGGAATCTGGGCTAACAGGATGAAATCTTGTCGGCTCTTGGGGGACAAGAATTGGGCCCGTCCAGTGGGCCTGTAATGATATCGTAAGAACATGAATGAAAACAGAATGGGCCCGTCCAGTGGGCCTGCAATGATATCGTAACAATGAAAACAGAATTGGGCCCTATGGGCCAGTTTAGAAACTATTTTGGGCCACTATGTAACTATATTGGGCCACTTGGGCCTTGATAACAGCACGTGCCTATGTTGGAATCTGGGTAGACTGCATGTGATCTTGTCGGCTCTTAGGTGACAACAACTTGGCCTGTCCAATGGGCTTACACGGATTATATTGGGCCATATTATCAAAAACAAAATCTTACTGGGCCAGCTCCAAAAGTCTATTGGGCCATTTTAGGGCGTTGACCCTGCACGTGCGTATGCTGGGATTTCGATGTACAGCAGGTTATCGTGTCGGCTTTTGGGGTACAAAATTGGGCTACCTTGATATTACATATAGGCAAAATTGTTGAACACAACGGGCCTTAACAACTGCACGTTATCCTGTCGGAAGTTTGGCCGACATAAATTTTGGTATGGTGAAATTATATTGGGCTGTTTGGCCTAAGTTACACACAATAGTTCCCAATAGGATAACTACACATTTGCCTGTGTTAGCGAGAAATTTTGGGTTTATGAAATGTACATGTGCTTTGTTATTATAATGGGCCGGGTAGCCATATGGCCTTGGCATAAACATGGGCCCGAGTGGCTTCGCCAGTGCAGGTGGGTGGATTGGACACCGGGCAAACTGCTCGAGCATCGTCGGCCCTAGGGTTAGCATTGAGACTGTCAAATGTCCGTACGAGAGCACGTGACCTTGTAGGGTATTTGGCGACCTCAGTTGGGCGCATTTGTTATGGACTACAACATGCGCTAGATGGGAAAAATCGAACCATACCCATGCATTACCTAGGCAGACTATGACAGTTATCAGTTGATATGATGGCATGCTAAGGTATCACACCTGAAAATTACCCGAGCACCTTTTTACCAGAAAATTTGCAGATAAATCATAAAATACCCGAGGCATGGAAAAGAAGAACATCTCACGAGGTATTCCATCCTGCCAAAGGGACAAATTAGAAATAGGAATAGGCATTGAAAAGCACAAAACAAAGGCTTATGAAAGTTTCTGCCATGAAGAACATGCTCTAGTCTTTGCGCATTGGAGCTACAAATGATAAAAAGATTGAACCGTCCGTCCACCATGCTCCAAAGACAGTTTCCTTGGTTCAAACTACAACCAAGCACGTCAATTATTCAGAACCCCCTCAATTATGAGATCCCATTCAGCAATAGCCAATACTCCTGAATCCAATAATCTTGACTAGAAAGCACAACATCCATTGTTATCATAGCACGCCTCAAAGATAAGAAAAAACTAAATTACCATCAAGCATTTAATTAGAAATATACCTGGCAGGCAGGCTTTAGCTGGCATCATTTACAGAATATCACACTGACCACTTCCAGCCTTAATTGGCACATTTTGATCTGTCTGAGCTCTAGCGAGGTAGCCAATGCGATTACCTTATCACAAGACATCAAGTAAATACAACAAGACCAGTTGCAATATTGACAATATAGAATTTAAAAACCAACAAAAAAACACAGATTATAAGCCACAACATCAACAAGATCTTGCACTACCGACGAAAGTGGCCAAATAACCACAGCAATCTTTTTTCACAATCAATTGCAGCACCTTATAGCTTTATCAGTTCAAAGTTTCACCTCCCAAAAAAATACTTATAACAATAGATTTAATGCAGGAGACATATAACTTTAGAAATCAGAAACAATGGAAAAGAGACCAATTACCACGACTTGCCACAGTCCATTGCCATAACCAAGAAGAAATCTTTTCCTTGTAGAATACGGTTTATAATATAGGCTTGCATTAATAATATATAAAATCAAATAAATTCTTTTGAAAAGTAGTATGTAAAGCAAATACATAAAATATTTGGTTTAAAATTTTGAAAGTATAATATATCTAAGGATTAGAAAAAAAAAATATGTAAAGAAATCCCCTCTCTCAGGATTTAGGGCATGTAATAAACTAATAATTATAACAAAGAAAAAAATTATAATAATAATAAGTGAAATATATTTTTTTAATCAAATAGCAACAGGCTAGTTATTTTATTAAAATCAGTTCTAATATATTTAAAGTAATCTCTGAACCCGCAAACCATGGTGTCTCACATTTTTTAAAAATGCAATAAAATATCAAGAAAAAACTGAATTTATACCATTAAATGTCTCCATAAAACTAATCATTTGCATAATTAGCATCACATAATTATTCAGTTAATAAAATCATTATGTTTTGTAATCCAAAAATGATATTAAGTATAATAAAGGATACTCGACAAGGGAAAAAAAATACCAGGGCATACTGTCGTCTAAGAAATAGGAACGTACCATGTGGAGAATTTTCTTTCTGCAACATTTCAGCAAGTTGTGCTGCATCTGCATTCGATGTGACACCTCAAAATTCAAACACCAAACATGGAAATTGAGGAAACTGAAGCCTATAACAATTCAGCCTAGAATGATACCAAGGGCGCAAAAGGGATGCCCCCATCAATAAGCACAGCATTGACTTATCCAGTAGTTCTAATTTAATATTTTGTTCACCCCAGCAAGTCATAACCACCTCCAAAACGATGCTATTCGCAGAGCATAGTAATAAAAAGCTGAGTGAAAACTCATCTAGACTCCCGTGAACTACCAGAAAGACAACATAACCAGAGCATGCAAATGTATGTTAGTTTGAAAGTAGGTGTGCGGCTACTGGATTTGCTGTAGTTGTTTGGAGTTTGGAGAAAGCTGGGTCATCAGTAGCAGCCTTGCTAATGAGTGGTAGCTGTAAAATCTCAAATAATCCATGAGTAGCCAATCGGTGTAGCTAAACAGCTTATGTTTTTCATTAATGAAATGTGGAGAAAGGAAACAAGCCATTTGGAAATGAATGATTCAAATGCATAGCGACATGTGGCACCTAAAACACAAACTGTAAACAGAGAAGCGCCTACAAAAGATCTGTAAGACTGCCCAGCCTGATTCAGATATAGCAACAGACAATTACACACCTTCAATGAGATAAACAGCCTTGCAATGATTTAATGGAAGAAGTAGAGAACAAGGCCATACACTACTAACAATGTAATCATTTTGATTTTAATTTTATTATTATGTAAATTGAATTATCCTGATGGTCAGATCTTCCTCAGCATCTCAGTATTTCAGAATTTCACAAGGTCCTGCTATAGTGGCGTTGCAAAACCTGATAAAAGAATAAAAAAAGGAAATACATTCCATCATCCAAACTTCAAACATGGCATGATAATTATGCTATAAATTCTATAACAAGGCTTCCTATGGCATTTATCAAGTACAGAACATGAGAAAACCAATACAACCGATAATAGGATTCATAGCTAATGCATTTATTATAAATATCGGCAACAGATACCATAAACCGTTGAAGGCTGCGTTTGAATCTGAAAAGGCTCATATTCGATTAATTTCAGATTATACGAATACAACTTCAAACTTCGACCAATATACTATACACATTAATCAAGTATGGACCGAAAACATTCTACTGCTACGATTTAAAAATCGCACATAAAAATGAAAATCCATTGAGAAGGACAAATGATAGCGAACGAAACCAAATCAGAGAAAACTACACCAACAATTTACCTACCTTCAGATAGATAACCCCAGCGTCTGACCTTGGAAGCGAGCATTGACCGTAGCAATGCCGATGCAGTAACTGAATGCAGGGGCATCAACGATTCTCCGCACCCTAGCTCCACTGGTAGCCTAAGCATTCAAATATCCAAGGCAGCATTATTACTAACATAAAAAGTAAATCTCAAACAAATTAATCGGAAACCATTTTCCGACGAACCTGGATGAGACGAAAAGGCGGTGGCGAGGCGAGAGGCGGAAGACGGGAGTTGCTATCCCATTCAGCTTCGATGGTCTGACAGCAATGGAATACGACGACTGGCCGCTACGCATCAAGGCTTTCGCCGAACTAGAAGATCGTTGAAAGAGATTCCTTGCACATTTTGACGCCATTTCTGGCAGCTGTCGTTCAAAACCTATGCGCTCTTAAACCCTAGATGGATATAAAAAATCTCATCCCCACTCTATTGGGCCTTAATGGGCTTCCTACTTTCATATAAATCAACCGCCCCTGAACTGTTAACCGACCCCTGAACTGTTAAAATATGCCGTTTAAACACAATATGCTGTTTAAAATATCGTGGAATTTATGGACAATGTAAACACAATGCGTAAGTCACAAGATCATAACCTCGATAAGCAATGCCTGCAACATTCCATTCCCCGGTAGTTACCTCATGGTGTCCAGGAACAAAGTTTCGAACAAGTATTAGTACCCTCATAAGCTCGTCTTGAGCAAACTGAAATAACATTGCTCCCGGTGACCTCTGCCACTGTAAGCCCAGCAGCTGCTGCTGCCTTGAGATCGACATATGATCAGAGCCAATGCCAGCAGTGAGCAGCAGCTGCGCATTCTTGATCCTCTCTGCTGTTGCATACGCCGGGTGGAAAGGAGTGGTTATCAGCACGTGAAGATCGGGTATGTGCTTCTCAAGCTCTGCGAATCAACAATGAACCAGCAAACACAAATATTTAATCCTTTATGAAACTGGAAAGAAGGAACCTGAAAAGGGCTTAGATATTATTAACCAATTCTAAATATTCCTACCACAATGGGTCCTTCTTTGTCATCGGTTACTATGTACTGGTGACCCTGGGATTCCAACCATCCACGTGTGCCAAAAGCGCACTCAACACATCCAAGGAAATTGGGATTCATTGAGGCATGTACTCATTTGCCTTGTAGAAAATGCCAACAATCTTCTTGCTACCAGGTGTAGCCTATGCATTCACAAGAACATTAAAAAAAAAAAACATTTGCAATTCTGTAGCTCGCAATAGATGCTATATAGCTCAAGAGAATGATGATGATATATCCAGACAGCAATAAGTTAGGATCTGTGTGGATGCATCCACTAAGCTACACAAGAGAGGCAATATTTGTTTCTTATATTTTACTAATGCTCTATCTGTAGATGTAAGATTTGGTTGCAAGCCTTTCTACTGGTTTTAGGAACAATATACAGAACACTGTCAGTTTAAGTAATGTAAAGAAATTAAATGTCATGGAAAATCATTAAAGTAATTTAACCTTGAACAGCTCTATCAGTCAATTAGATGTGTACAACCATGCTAGCACTTTCAAGATGATATCTTCCTCCGGACCTAATATCCAACTCATGTAAGCACAATTTCATCTCATCTGGGTGATTATAACATATGTAATAATATAATTTAACTACCCAACACAACGTAAAATGTGCCAAATAAATAACTGCAAATATCAAAGACTTAAGAGAATCTTAACAACTATGCTCCCGTATGTCCCTCTTTCTCTTATGTCTCCTACTTGTATCGAATATAATTTGGATTATATTTGCAGTTTCATCAAAACTTGTTGACTTCAAATTTGTTTTACATTGCGACATCATAAATTCATACTCACGACCTTGTATGAACGATACTTTAAAGTACATACTGCAAAATCATATACTCTTACTTAACAAGAGTATCGTCGTCTTCAATTATGAAAAGAGAAGAAAAACAGGTTCAATTCCAATTCCAGGGCCACGATAATAATGATTCATTGTATCTTCACAAATACTGTGATTGAATAGTTATTTTCAAAGATCCGAACCAGACCACCTCTAGAACTATATCACCACGGCAGCACGTTGTGACAATACGACACAAAAATGACATCGTATTACTAAAGGAAGAATTTTCACCACTAGCAAACCTATTCCGGCGTGATTTAAACGACTAATGAAATTGAAAATCCAAAAAGGAATATACGCGATTGAAGGAGCGATCCGATCACTAACGGACAGAATAAAAACGAGAAATCTGAAGGAAATGAAACAATCAAGACAGAGAAATCATCAAATTTTCTTGAGCGAAAGAAGTTCATACGTGTAGGCCCCTGGCTAGAGCCGAATAAGGAGCTGCGTTCCGTAAAGCAGTATAAGCACGGACCGCCGGTGCAGCAGCACGCTTCGTCGCCATCTTTCAGCTATCGAAATCTGCGGCAAGCAGATCACAAATTAATAATCTCATCAAAAAAACAATTACTACTGTAGGAAGCACATGAGGCCTGTATGCTCCGCAATCGCTCCCGTCGGAAGGGAAAGTCTAAGAAGTAATGCCTGTGCAACACAGCGCTCTGCTGCATTCTACCGAGAACTAAAAATGAGCGAAATGTGGAAGTTCGAGTTCAGTAAAACGTCGTGGTCGGTTGAATTGTTTTTCTACTTTATCCCACCGACCTGAGTTTGTGGGGGATTTGTTTGGATTTTTACTATTCTAATTTATTTTTTTTAAAAAAAATATCAAATCAAACACCTATTTTTTATTTTTTATATTATATTAAAAATTAATTTTACATTCAAAACATCGATCAACACCTATTTATATCATATCATACAACCATTCAGAAATCCCAATTCAAAATCCAAATCTCGCATAAACACACCCAATTGATTTTCTTTTCTGTATAAACTGAGTTTGATTTTAATTTTTTTAATAATTTTTATAAAGATAAATTATTTTTTTATAAAATTTATTTAGATTATTAATAAAATTTTTAAGTAAAAATACTAAATTTAAAATAGGATTTAGATTAAAAAATTATATTTAAATAATATTTAATTTAATATCTTATAAAAATATATACTAACATTTAAATAGTAAAATAGAAAGTAATCAGAAGCCGAGAAGTTCACGTGCTATGCACGGCCAATAAGTACTGGCCAATAAGTACTAGTATATATATTAGATCGTAATAAATTTTTTAAGGTGCGTCTCCCGCCCAGCATCAATTAGATTTGGAGCCATAATCTATCCATTAAAAATTTCAAAGTCCAGTATCACTTTCAGAGAAGCAACGAGCCGCCGCGGACGTCGTAATCACCGGCGGCAAGTGAATCGAAGAATGTGAGAGCCTCCGTAATGCAGGGAAAAGAGTCGGAAGCTATTTTTATGGAGCAATAGCATTTCGCGTGCTTCTTCGTCGCCTTCTTCTGCCTCTTTGTGAGTGATGTTGTCGAGCGCGTGAATATATATACACATACATACATATAATGTTTGGTGGAAATGCAGGTCGCAGATGAAAAACACGTCGATTTTCGTCTCGTTGCATCCAAGGTACTGTTTTTCCTTGGTGGTTAAATACTTTGATCAGAGGCAGTTTAAATCCTGATCACGCAGAATTGAAGGTGTCTTTTTTTCCCCCTGATAATTAGTTATTAACCGCAGTTTTCCGTTATAGTAGTGTAATTATACATACCTAATTGCATACATACACACAGGCATATATATATATATATATAGACATATTCCGTAGGTCCATTTTCCCAAGCTGAAAAATCTCAAGAGTGTATTGGAATTGGAATTATGGAGACAGGCCAAAACAAACTGCAAGTCTCTGTTTCAGATTTCCATTCACAAAATGATACGATTTCCGACTCATCGTTGCCTCGCTCCATTAATAAGAGTGGGGAATTCATCTCCGTCTCGCCGCTGGCGATTTCCCCAGGAAAGTCACCGGCGCGGCGGTCATCTGACTCTGATCTCATCACTATAATTCCCAGCAGCGTTCCTGCAGAGGAACACGAAAAGCTTCCGTCGCCGGGAAAAATACTTCCCCTGGTCGTGGTGAAACAGGATGCATGTATCGAGCCTGCGGAGGATATTGAGAAACTGGCAGTAGCGGAGGAACCTAAAGCGGTGGTGGCTAAGACTGATACAGACGGAGAAGTGGTGAAGTGTAGTGGTGGCGAATACGGACGGCAGAGCTTTATTCCGCGGCTTTCCATGTTGCAGCGAACTGAAAATGACAAGATGGTGAAGAAAGCTGCATTGGGGTTCAGGATTTTTGGGTTCTTGTTTTGCTTGGTCTCGTTTTCTGTGATGACAACTAACATCAATCAAGGCTGGGCTCTTGATTCATTTTATCGCTACAAAGAATTCCGGTTAGGAATGCAGTCTCTCTAAAAGCCATGATCCTCAGTTTTGTGTATAATGGTTTTAATTCTAAAACTGGGATTCTGCAGGTACTGTATGTCGGTCAGTGCCATAGGAATTCTTTACTCAGCAGCTCAGGCCGTAGATTTGTCCTACAATTTGGCCACCGGAAAGCACATTGTGCATTGCCATCAACAATTCCGGCATTACTTTGATTTTGCAGCTGATCAGGCAAGTTAAAACACTAATATTATCTCTATATGTGTGTATTGCTTACTCTTCTGTGGATAATGTTAAAGGTATGCACCGCATATATACTGTATCCGAAGAATATGTTTTCGGATGTGTCTTTTCTTTGTAGTTGATGAAAAGTTAAATAGATTAATTGAATGAATGCTTTCATTCTAAGGCTGAAACGATGTTAACAGGGTAGTTCTCCTATTCTATTCACATAAAACCATGCCTAAAAAGATCACTCTATAGTATTAGCAGCCTCATTTCCTTGAGAGTTCCATGGAACAAGGTTTTTTATAGTGTTACCAGGGACCAGGGACCAGGGACCATCACTTTGTATAACTACTTTCTTGCCCTGCTCTTTTCCCCCCACTTGTTGGCTCACTTTGCCAGTTTCTGCTTAAATTTCAATTCGAAGAGTAAACAATAAATTACTGGCACTGGTGCTTTAAAGAAAAGTATCTGTTTTATGTGATTGTGAGCTGAGGGTGAATTTTGTACCATGATAAAGGAGAGGCAGAGAATCTATTCACTGCCCACACATATAGCCTTCAATGCCTACTACAGTCCAATTTCGTTCCCACATAAAAGGTCTCACATTCATTCTGTGCTTAGTGTGAGTAGTTTTAACTTTTCTTTCACCCTTTATTCGTTGTTACAAATCACTGGCTACTTGCTTTGCCTTGTTGGCAGAAACTAGACCTAATTTTCTTCCTCACTGTTGTTGATATCTTCTTGTATATTACCTAACTCTGAAATCCCAGATTAACATTTGGTGTACATTTAACACAACTGAACATTTCAGTCAGCACACATGGCATAAGATCCATGCATTACATTTAAAACTATGGATCAAATGGCCGGGTGATGGGATGATTAGTTAGCAAAAGTTAATGCTTGCATCTTCTTGTTAGTTTTACTTCATCCCTATAGCTTAGATTGACTGAGAGTCACCCTATCAGGTTCACTAGATTAACTATGGCTGTCTGGTTTTGGTTGCAGATGATTTCTTATCTTCTGATATCAGCCTCTTCGTCGGCTGCAATTAGGGTAGACGATTGGCAGTCCAACTGGGGAAAGGACAAGTTTCCGGCTGTGGCTACTGCTTCCATATCAGGGTCTTTCTTAGGATTTCTTGCCCTGGCCATTAGTTCTCTGATCTCTGGCTACATGCTCTGCACATCCACATCCAAATCGTCGTAGTCATCACATCCATATGATGACACATTTCTCCCCCACATCTCCAGTTGCATGATGGCCTGCTAAAGTCTGGAATTTGTGTTCATTTTAGGGGATGAAAAGTGAGCTGTGGACTGAATGTTTTAACAAGTTCAGACATATATTCAACAGACATTGTGTCTAAGCAACTTTTTAATATGGGTTCAGTGTTATACTCCACAATTTCTAACAAATTTCAGTAAAACTAAATAACATTTTGTGAATTACATGAATGTTTAATTGTTTCAAAATAAAAGGTGCCTCCTATTACTTTTACATGCCAGTCATTTCACTAATTTCAAACCTACATCAAAATTTCAACTTATTTTGAACAAAATGGTCAAATATGTATATTTATGGAAATTTCTAATAATTTCAAACCTACATCAATTTTTTTTTCTATTTTAAAAAAAAAATGATAAATTAAATATTCATTGAAATCTTTAACAATTTCAAACTTTCATTCAATCTATTTTGAACAAAATGATCAAATCTATATTCAGTAAAATCTTTAGCAAGAAAGATTTTACTGAATATATTAAATATATCAATTTATTTTAAACAAGATCAAATATATATTCATTTAAATTTAATTTCAAATTTACATAAAATTTTCAATCTATTTTGAACAAAATGGTATTATCTGCAGAATATTCATTGAACATAAATTTTTGCCTTTTTACAATGGCATGAAACAACCAGGATGCCAAATACAGGCAAAATAAGCCTTCATGACAAATCCATTCAAAAGTTTAATCACAGAAACTTCATGTGCTTAAATGCATATATGCCTGTGTGTAGCCTGCAGTAATGGCTCACACCATTGGTGCAAACTCACTCTACATCAGTGATAATTCAAAGAAATCAGTGAGCAGGAGAAGATCCTAACAATTAGAATGAAAGAAAATTAGGAGGGAAGCAGAAAAGCAATGAAATCTGCTCACCTGAGTTCCAGATATCCAAGGCCTCTGCTTTGTCTGCATTGCCTTCCATCACTCCATCACCATTCTTATTTCCTGCTCCACATCAACACCATCACAGATAAAACATTCTCAACCACACCTACATATATATCCTCAAATCAGACAACTATTATCAATTCAACCAGGGGAAACAAAATTAATTCAAAGCTTTGCATACAAATATATATATATATATTCATTATGGGCCTGCTTTACTTAATAGGATTGCTAGTTCGATTCTACATTGAAATGGTTAAATAAAACTCTTGATTCAAGCCTCCATGGAGATAATAAACATTCAAGCTCTTCACTAAGAGAAGGAAATGTTGCACAAGGCATCAAATAACAGGAGTCTACAAAAAGGTTGATTCAATACTACAAGATAGTCAGTGTTTCATCAAGCTTTGATAACTTTCAAAACAGTGAATATACTCATCAATAATCATAGCAACCAAGTTCAAATTAATACAGGCCCACATGAAGTCGCCCAGATCGTTTATCCCACTGGCTATCGGCTCATGCCCAATAGGCCATATGCTCTCCCAGGCCCGTCCACACATGTTTGCGGGCCAGGTCCAGTAAGCTCACAGTCAGATAGATCGGGCCCATCCAGCCCAACTTGCTGTTGGCCCGTGGTTGCTTAACCGCTCGGAATCGACGATAAAAATTAAGCCGATGTTACATCAAGCTTTGGTGAGCTTTCAAAAACGTTGAATAATCTCATCATAGCAGCCTAGTTCAGATGATCAACACTACGCGTCGGTGCGTTCTAACTGGCACGTAGCATAAATTCATGTAAAAGCAACTGATCCAGGCCGTATGAACCTCGAGATGCATTAAATTTACAACGACTACAAGCAGGGGCGAACTCAACAATGGATAATTGCAAAATTTATTTAATCAAGTTCCCTAATCGTAAAATGTGAATATGAGCATATGACCAATAACCAAAAAACAAACACACGCATACGAGAACTCAAAGTTCATAAGAAATTAGAACGGAATCCGAAACATCAGAGCGGCAACATAACGAAATCTTGCCCGAGTCAGGCGCGGGTGCACAAAGATAAAACGAAACCGAGTCCTGCAAAGGAGGACAGACTACAACCTCGCGATGGTGGGAGTGCTGGCCTACGTTGCCTCCATCGATGAGAATCGGCGAAGTAGAACAGTGACCTAGGGCTCTTATGGCGAAATATATATATATATATATAGGAATGAGATGAATTAGGGGCAGACTTTTAAGTTTGTTTTGAAACGACTTATAAGGCCAAAAATTAATGTAATTTTTTAAAACAATTTTTATTAAAAATATTAAATTCCAAAACCTCCCAAACATAATATATAATTTTTTTTTTTTTTTGAGATTTCATGGATATAATACATGACAAGATCCAGAATAATAACACAAGCTCAATTATTATATAAAATAAATTACATTGGAGTTGCATTGTTCCAATCTTCACCAAAGCGCTTCTGACCATATATATAATTACAAGCTAGCGTAACTAATACATGCAATGTAAAGCCATTGGGAACATTGTAATAAAAATGCATTTTACATGAAGGGTAGGGTGGGGTGGGTGGCATTGGCATGCATAAAGCTGATCAGATCATATCATGTTTATGTTTTTTTATTTTTTATTGTGCACTACCATTATAGATCTGGAATAGAGAATGTATATGTTAATGTGGTGGTCTCCAAATATTGAGTAATTCGATCACCAGGTGGCGGTGGCAGTGGCACTATAACTATATTTGTCTAAGCACCAGCAGTAATAATCTGATCTTGACAAGTCGAGCATCTTTTCTGGACTCATTCTCTCGAGCTCACTTTGTCGCCACGACGCAAAGTTGTTTCGATTCTGCGGATCCGAAGCTATCGGGTGGTCTTCAACCTTGTGAGATTGTGATCTCATTCTCAGATAAAGCCTCATTGTGGCAACACCATCTTCATAAGGATCTTGTATGCCACTTTGAATGTCATAACTGTGTATTGATCAAATCAACTCATTAACTACTACTAATTAAATTACTACTGTGTAATTAAATTATTTACCCAAGGTATGCTTTTGTTAAGTATTTCAATGAGTTGCTGAGCTTGCTTGTTTTCATCAATGGAGGATATTTTGCTGTATCCCTGTAGAGATGGAAAAACACTAATTAACCATATATCATCCATTCAATCATGATTTATTAATTAAATTGGAACAACTACCTACCTGATCAAAATCATTGGATACTCCATTTCCAAGCATTTCAAATCTTGATCTAATCCATGGCCAACAAGGATTCGAGCTTTTCCACCTCTCGACCGGATCTGCCATATCGGCTCTCCATTGCATAAGTACTCTTGAATCTTTCTCTGGACTTGCCTTATTGGCATTGCATCCTTCAAGAATTCCGGTCGTATGCCTGTCGATTCATACCTTAAAAAAACAACATCGAATTAATGACTTCATCGACATAATATGTTCTAGTAGAAGGTCAATCATTAATGAATTAATTACCTGTAATTTGTGACTGGAAGTTGTGGCTTGACATATGTCTGAAAGATTATCCTCTCATGGTCATCAATAAGGCATACTCTTCCACAGAGATCCAAGGATCCATCGCTTCCACCGCCTACCATTTTGCAGGCAAGCGACACCACTTTTTCACGGCTATTATCGATCCTCAGCTCATCTTGAATGCCGAGGTTTGCCATTCGGTAGAGCAGCCCCTAATTCAGACAAGAAATAATTATTTATCAAGAACGCAAATCCTCTCTAGTATCAAAAAAAAGAAAAGAAAAGAGAGAGAGAGGTCGCCGTTGCAGATGTCTTTACATTGTTTCCACGTGAAAACTGACATTTCTCTCGATGAACCTGAAGAGCGTAGCGAGTGCTGAGAATAGTTAAACAAAGATCGCATCCTCGTTCCTTGAATATTCTCTCGCATTCGGCTTTCGGCAGAGGACCTGAGATTATGGATATGCTGTTAGAAGGAGGCGGAGATATATTGAAGATTGATTATTGATGGATTACCTATGAGATGCTCCCTGAGAGATTCAAATGACCTGCAGTGCTTTTGACAAATTCCACAAGTAGGTTCGTGATTTGAATGATAGGATAGCCTCATATGTTCAACCAGATGCTCCATTTTGTTGAACTGTCTATAGCATGCACTGCATTTATTCCTGAACAAAATGTACAACGGTTCATTCATTAATTCTCATGAGTAGTAGTAAATAAATGATAGAAAAATACTTATGACAAAATGCATGTGTGTGATACCCACCTGCTGCTGCTGTCCATGATATATACGAGGCTCTGTAGATATACTTGAAGTGAATTGATGAGGGAAGATATGAAAGTTGAAAGAAAGGTAGTATTTATATTTGATGCTGGGTTGGTCTGTTTGCTTCTTTCTTTCTGTTTGAAAGGATTCCTCCAGTAGGATGGAGGTGGAGGTAACTCCTTACGTGAAATTAAATTTCAATTTCATATGTTATTAATAATAATATATCGTGTCATCATCATCTTCGCTTTCTTTTTTCTTCTTCTTCATCTTCATCTTCATCTTTTATTTTTTTCTCCTCTTCTTCTATATAAAATGTAATGTAATAACTTGTTCTAGCACCCCCCAGACAAGAAACATTCGTGGCAATCCGAATTCTTTGGGCCCCACAAGAATATTGCCTTACTACCATACCCATATACGGGCAATACCAACACCCATTATCTTCATTTTTACTTATAAATTATACTAGTTAGTAATAATAATCATCAATTACAGGAATCTGGAAGTTGCTGTTTTGGTGCTTTGGTTCTACATTAAAACATGTTTCCGATCCCTTTTAGTACTAACTACTGTTCAGGCACTTATGCATATTAATAAATATATCAATACTTGATGGCAGCGTGCTTCGAATTTTAGTGCCATTGGCTGTTCAAAATATGGACATCATGATATAATAAGATATGATGATTCGGACAAGACAAGGTTCATTGTAATCTTTAACTTATTTGTATTGCAAAACAAGTGGCTTTACTTACACTTACACTTGAGAGCAGCTGGTTCTGATTTTAGCACATACGAATTCGACCCATCTTTTGACTGATCTCAAGGTATGGCCACTGCCCCTTCATTCATTCGTTAGAAAGAATATAAGGTTGTGTTTGATAGTTTATGTAAAATTATTTTATAATATATATGTAAAAAAATAAAACATTAAATAAAAATGAAAACCATCATACATACACACCTCAGGATTCTGGTCCAATCCCAATTTATAAATATCAAACCAAATTAACCACTGTATGCATCATCATAAAAACATTAAAGCTGGAACTCTTTGTTTGTATTATGAATTATGATCAAGCTAAGATTCTCAAAAAAATGGCTGCAGTTTTCTATTGAGGAGATGGTTTATTTATTTATTGAAGTGATGATTATGATTATAATTACTGTTATTATTACCTCAAGTGCAGTAGAAAAACAGTAGGAATAAAAAAGTAGGACTATATGTAGTGGCAGAAGTGTAAAAGCAAGTTCGTTCCATAGCATCGACACGTGTATACGTATGGAAACCTAGGGAGGGAATAGGGAATGCTACTGAATGAATATTTATTTATTTATTGGCTAGTGTGAAAAAAGTGACTTTATTAATAATTGATTTGCATTGAATCATCTGAATATACTGCGATAACACATAAAGCATCTTTACACTAAAGCATCTTTTAATTTGTTCCTCTCCCTAATAAAGTTTCAAACAAGACAAGGAACAACAAGAAAGCATATGGTTCTTCAAACCTCAATTGGTCAAAAGGACTTCGACATGCACGTGTGCCTCGACAACTACATCCTCAAAATCTTACTACACACTACACCTAAATTTAATTAAATATACTATACTATACAATACAATACAATACAGCACTATGATTGTTTCTTTGCATGCATTTCTCCTTTAATTCATGTTTTATAATTTGGGAAATTAGAACAAGTAATTTAGCTACATGGATGGATGTAGAGAGTGAAGAAATAGCCAGCGGTGTAAAAAACACTGGTCATGGTCGTGGATATGATGGCGACATGCCCAATTGGGAATTAATTGTGGTCAAAGTTTTGACCGTACTGCTGCTTTTTCTTGCACCATTACCATATCCACTTTTCATTATTTTCACCTACGCACCACATATCAAGTCAAAGAAAAGTTACCACTTTGTGAATGGACAAGATGCTCTCGAGAAAACGATGTCAACTTCATTTGATTTATGCTACTTTTAATTTAACATTCAATATCTTAAGATACAAAGTATTATCTCAAATTTAGTCTTGTCAATATGAAAATTATTAGATTCGATCAAAAATTTATTTAAAATACACTCAGAAAAATAGCAATGGTGATTTTTACATCATAAAAACACTATTATTTAATCTCTTTTTTATGTATCCGCTACATATGCAGACTATCCACATCTACATAAAATATAATTATTAAATTGCTTCAAATTCATATCATTAATCTCGATTTGTGTATAATTTTCATTGTTCCATAATATTATTTTATCATTTGCCTATAAAACTTTGATAGCAATTTTATTTGTCTTTTAGGTTAGATCTTTGAAGTACAATAATATTAATTGGCTCAAATACAGATGTAAATAAATAAATAAAAGTCATACTTTCAATAGAAAATGAATGCATATGACAACCATGCAAATTAATATGATCTATTGCCTAAGAACAATATTATTCTAGATTTGTAATACTGAAGAGAATAAATTTTCAATATGAATCACACAAAAAAAAGTTGATTTATTTGTATTTAATATGTTGTATTACTTGCTTGTAATAGTGAAGTTTTTAAAAGAATTTCATTGCAAAACTGAACTTTCCATCGTCCCTTCAATAGCTTAATCACTAGTTTTTCTTACACAGTTATACAAGTTGATCAAATTAGACGAATGGCTTAGAAAAAGCTGGGAATCTTAAGAAATAAAATAAAAACAAGCGCGATTTTAACAACTGGGCGATGGCTATCTAATTATAGCATGATTCTAAGTGAGAGAAAAGACGAACTACCAAAAATAACAACATACAATACTCAATACAAGTGGAAGTAGCAGTCCATATGCATGTTACCTTCTTACCAACGCAGGACTAAATAATAATAATAATAATAATAATAATAATAATGAATGATATATATATATATATATATACACCACCAAGACAAGACATGCCTAGACATGAGTACACGTACGTGTGTACTAAGTCTGAATACACCACCGCCTTTTACTATGTTCGGCAAAGACTCTTTAAATCTGGAAGTCTCAGTCTCATGGTCAACAAATCTGGCAACTTTAATTAATTTCACCCCTTATAAATATAAATAAATTAAATAAATAACTCGTACACTACTGTTTGTTGATTTAATATGTAATTCAATCTGGGCTTTGCTTATATGTACTAATTGGGTCTAAAGTTGTGAGACGACCCATTAACTACAGATCGGCCCAATTTTAATTTGGGCTTACCAGATTATGGTTATATTATATGGGCCCAATTTTGTCTAAAGGAGAACATAACACAACAGCGTCATCTAAGGAGTAGATCGGCGTCCTGCGCGCCTTCAATCCCATGTACATAGTCGACTACTTCCGGAGAAATGGCAAGGATGGATGGGTGTCGCTAGGCGGCATCGTGCTCTGCATCACCGGAACCGAAGCCATGTTTGCTGATTTTGGACAATTCAATGTTCTTGCTGTCCAAGTAAGTTTAAGATTAATAAGATTATACGACGTCGAATGAATTCTTACATTACATGAATGATAAGTTTCTCCGGGATCGTATTCCCTTCTCTACTCGCAGCATACATTGGACAAGCCGCGTATCTTACCAAGTTCCCCGAGCATGTTAAAGATACCTTGTACGATGCCATCCCCGGTGAGCGCCTAATTTGGTCATATAATGTTGATGTTTGCTCTTGTTTACTCACCAGCTAGCTATATATTCATTCGTAGCTGTAGCATCCATCTTCATCTTAATCTTCCAGTATTTTAGTTATAATGTGTTATTTCTTGGTGGGTAGATTGGGATCGAATGCCAGCTGAGTGCAGAGGAACGGGCTCAGAAAATCCAGCAAACCAGGAATTGAGATGATGATTTGCAGGTAGGTATGTATGTATGTATGTATTTCCTCTACCAGTGCATTGCAACCATAATGTAATGTTTTCAAATACACGTCCTCCCATGAATAATTGTATAAGCTTAAAGATTGCTGCATATCTCATGAATTTATGTGTTTTTTTAGGTGCCAAAACCAGCCACGAAGGTTGACGTTTCCAAGGCAAAAAAAGCCGCCCAAGAGACCAAGCCAGCCGATAAATCTGAGGCGCACTCAAAATAAATATTATAGTTGCTACCTATATCTGCTCTAATTTCCGAATGCGAATAATTGATTAATATTGACGTTGATTTCATTCCGTATGCAGAAAAAGAATCCGGAAGGAGCTACCCATCAGAAAATGTGAAAAGAGGAGTCTGCATAGGTGATCATCGTGGAAGTGCTGCCTGGAAAAGATCCCAGTGACGCTAGATCCACTGCCTGATGAGTCCTAAGGTACCATATTTGATTGCTGTATAAATATTTGTTTAACCTCACGTTACTTGCTTCACTGCAAATAGCATTCTATGTGTAAGTAAGTGCTCAAGCAGAGTATAGTCATAAAGCCAAGTGTGCACACACATTATCATCGTAAAATTGTTGGGCTCTGCCTCTGAAACATTAATCTGGCGCAGCAAGTAGATATGATTCTAGGGTTATACACAAATATATATATATATATATGTGTGTGTGTTGATTATTGTGAAAAGAGGAGTCTGCATCAGTAGAATGGCCTGTGTCTCTGTCCCTACATGAGCTTCCAGTGCAATATTGAGGCCACATCTTTTACCTATCAAAGCCAACCAAAAATACAAAAAAAAGGGCCCCAATGAATACCACAGCACGAAAGCACTGCAAATCTTAGTATCTTATTTGAAAAGCTTCTAGTCTCATTGTACAGGAAAACGTGAGCCATAGAGAGTCACCACCATTGATCCTCCTTACATTTATTAATACCATTCTTGTTTTTTCTTCTTCTCATATTAAGGTAAAATTACAACACAAGGAAAAGGGGGTGGGGGGGATTGATCAATTAGTGAGAACACCGAATGCATGGTTTTAGGTTCATACAGAGAGAGACGGCGAAAGGCCAAACTCCAGCCCCCACAGCTCAAAACTCCCCTTCACAAAATCATAATAACCGCCCTTGAGCGACAGGGTCTTGTTCACCAGCCCTTCTCTAATAAACGGATACGACAACAGATTTCCCAGGGACACATTCACTGCCTCCTGTTGACGCCAATTCCTCGACATTTTTAGTACTTCGTAGTTGACAAAACATTGTTCAATCATAGTGTGCATAGACGTATTGCCTAACCTTTTCACATTGTGCGCACTGATCTCCGAAAGGGCTGTCTTTGGCATCAGCCAAGACTTTGCTCTTGGCAGGCAAGCAAATTTTAACCCAGTCCTCAATGAAATCACTGCAGCATAAGAATGTTAATTTTCTCACCTATCTACTTTCAAAAGCTTAAATAAGGTATTTTATACGTACGTGGAAGAACTTCCATCGTAGGGGAAGGACATGAGACCCTTAATTCCTCCACATGCACTGTGCCCAATTACCACAATTTCAGACACCTGTAAAACATACATTATACATATGCATTAAACTCCTTATGACCATGAGCCTCACCAATCAATTTTCGATTCTTAGCTTGTTTAATTACCTTCAAGAAAAGAACACCATACTCGAGAGCAGATCCAACGCCGGTGTATTTGGTCTGTTACAGCAAGTGACATTAATTTGGAGTTACACACATATGGTATGGATGAAAGCAAATGGACTTTGTAGAGGTGATAAAGATGAAGATGAGGAGCACCTTGTCATAGGGAGGGACCATGTTGGCAATGTTGCGGACCACAAAGGCTTCCCCTGGCTGCAAATCCAGCACGTGCGACGGACACACCCTCGAGTCTGAACATGCGAACACCATATACTGCATACACACATAATTTAAATACATTCATGTACATACACACGACTAAGTAGCACTTGCATGCACAAATAGATGTAATTATAATTATATATATATATATTATTGTTGTGTGGAAGAAAGGTTATGTACCTTGGGGCTCTGACCTTTCGCAAGTTCCCCGTACAAGGCTGGATTTTGCCTAAATCATAATATGTGTGTGTGTGTTTGTATTCACACATATATGTGCAGCCAATAATGTGTCAGAATTCATTTGAATAGTTAGATAGCTCTTCTAAAAAATTTAATATGCATCTAATTAATTCTAGTAGGATGGGGTTGGAGTTGTTTGATTAGATTCATTACTCGTATTTCTCTCTTTTGAATTTGATGAAGCCTTGTTTCAGCCTCTCTACCGACTCCGATGCGATGGCAGCACTGCCATCTGTTGTCTTCAGCTCTGCCGTAATTTGATCAATCTTCGCGGCAGCCACAGGCCCCAGGTCTCCTTTCTCGCTGCATTATATACGTATATCCCAATTGAGTTATATACAGGATATGAGGCCAAGAGGCACTTGAATATAGGTATGCGATATGTATGCTTACATCAGAAGTTTCTGAAGTGCAGCAATGGCTTCCTCGTAGGAGTCTTTCCCCATGTCTTCTTTCTGCACTCAGTTCACATGTTGCATGCATTACGATATGATTCGTACAACTCAGAAAATTAAGAATATGAAACTAGTTAGAATTCAGTGTATGCCTCGCTGTGTGTGCTCTACATGGATGACGCCCCTTTGGGGAAAATTAATTCAAGTTCTCTCTCTCTCTCTCTCTCTCTCTCTCTCTCTCTATATATATATATATATATATATGCTGAGAGGAGCCAAATAATGTGACATTTGGACAGCTAATTAATGGCATGCATGCAGATTTATGATCACCTGTGCTAACGGAGAAATTCATGTGAACATGTCACCAAACAAAATAATTAATAATAATGATGGGCAAGTGTGGCCTAGCAAGGACAACTAAACAAGGTCATCCACGTCTCCCAACAACCTCTGCCACGTGTCATCAAACTGTGGAGGACTGAATCAATTGGACGAGTAATAGATTAGTCAGTTAGTGTGCTTAATGCTTCCATTCACGTGGTTACTTAGTTATAAATCTTATCATCAAACAACTCTTGCAGTTCGTCATTCTCAAATTCAAGTCAGCATGCATGTAAATCAATGTACATTATATATAGAGAGACAAGTGTATGTGCGTACCAGGAGTGGGTGAATAACGGGAGCGGGAGCGGCGAAGACAGGCTGATTTCTGATGAGGGATGGTGGTGGGGTGGCGGCTGCAGAGGAGGAGGGGGAGCCAAGCCTGGCGGTGAAAATGGGGCGGGATGATAGGCGGGAGTGGACGAGGTGAGAGGCGAGGCAGCCAGTAATGGTCGACATTGCGCGACGGCCCCTATGCAGGAGTGTATTATATATTGAGAACAAGGTAAGGTGCAGGCAGTTGTCCCAATCTTGTAGCAGCACTATGAAGTAAGAAGCATGGAGTGCTGAGGATGGGATGGATACCCATTGGGATAATGAAAGCGAGAGCTGGACAAACCACAGCTATTGCCGCCATGCACTTGCAGATCAGATCAGGTTTGTGTGTTGCCCGTTCAATTTTCGACATGGACCTTTAAAATATACATATACATCAAACAAAATGAAAACCCATGTAAGAAAATCAATTAAGGTGAATCAAGAATATATATATATATATATATATTGTGTATGTTACATAATCTCTCTTAGCCATTACCGTCCTGTAACTCCTGTTCAGAATTTTTATATTATTCTCTAGCTAATTCTCCACGGATCCCTGTAAAGAAATGATTTTGTTCAATTAATAGCTGGTGAAATTTAATTTACCGATCAAAATCTATAAAATGATTAATTCACATGAAACAGGGTAGCATATGTATGTATGTATGTATGTATGTATGTGTAAATGGTAATGTAGACCTAGATATATATGGGAGTGACACGTATGAGTTTGTGAAGATAATAATGGAAGGATGTGACAAATGGCATACATGGTGAGAATATGTGACTTACTGACCTCGTAGATGATGTGATTAAAAGATAAGGCCCTATCATAAGAACTTGGCTCCCAATGCTCCTCTCCACATCCTACGTTATCTCTTGCATCCAACGTATACATACATACTACTTTCCTCTGTCAATCCATATTAGATATTATTATATTACATCGACTCTGCGACTGCGACAAATATGTCATGTCCATCCGTATTGCAGCCTCACAGATTTCACGAAAACTCTGGGAATATAATCAATGGTGTCTAAGAATCACTTGAATTGATGCGGCAGCAAGTAGCATGTATATGTTCATTGAAAACAAAAAAGTTTTATACATACTAACCAAAGGACTTCAAGACTGCCTGGCCCATTGCGGAAGATGATCCTATAACATGCAGAAGCAGACGACATTAGAAAATTCGTACAGGAACAGAAAACATTAAGATGATTGATTCATCTTGCTATCTGTTGCAGTGCAGGGCATGGATCCACAAAATTCAGTCATACAGAGATTCTCACTAAAAAAGGAGATATACATGTATATATGTATAATAATAAGATTATAAGCTGAAAATAAGTGCCAATACAACAGAATACAATACAGGTTGTGGAATAGGCTGCAGACTGACCTGTGTTTATTTCAAGGCACCGAGGAGAGGAGTTAACAAATTATGTGCACATAGTGAGGACATCCTCTCCACATTACACACAAAATTACAAAGATATCCTCTCTACATATGTTAGTAGTGCCAACAAATGTCAACACATAATGGCACATACTTTTAAGGAAATTAAATAAAAGAAAAATACTAGCCATCTGTGAAATATGTATATATATTATAAATCAAACCAAAAACAAAGAAGCCTATTATGGTGCTTTAGCAGGACATGGCGAATCAACGCTTCTTTAGCGAAGAAGAGAATTACATAATAATGTGCATTAATATTTCACATGAAGACAAGACAGTGACCATTATATTTTATGAAATACATATTCCACAGAGCAATATTCTAATTTATATTTCGGAAATGATATGATATGATATGATATGTACGTGGGGCATCGTGCTTCCTCACCACCATGATATCCACATATGTCCCAACTGATCGTCTGCCTGCATGTTATTTCTTTCTAGAGTACAGCCGGGGAAGAACTGAGATCCCTGAGATAACTAGAGCTGCAGACTGAAGACTGCAGAGCCTTGGATGACTGCCAGATGCTACAATTACAACAGAAGAGTGAAGAAGCCATTACTTAGGGGCCAGCCTTATCGGACAGACAGAGAATGCAACACAACGAGCTGCTTTTGCCAACATAAAGCGCTCATTTTCAGTCAATGGCCTCTCAATGACCTTCACAATGTTTGCATCCTAATACATATCAGAGTTCAAGTAGATAAGTACCATTAGCATTGATAACAAAATAACATGGTGTAATTCATAGTATATAACTTCTATTCTTCAAGGATTTAAAGTTTCATACCTTTTTCTGTGGTTGGATTGAAGGCTTCACACTGGCGACATCGCCAACTACAATGACATTATTGATATTTCCCCTGTCATCGCTTTCTGTCGGCGAAGCAGTGGAATGCCTCCAGTCCCCGTTAATAATATACTTATAGTAATACCTGCCGTCAATAAGTTATGACCTTAAGTGTTGATCCAGCGATGTTAAATCCAAAGTAAGTTGAGCAATACAGTTTCCAAATACCAACAGTGCAAAGGATAAAGCGTATTTGAACTAGTGAAGGTTAGTTCCAAAAATAGTCTTGAAGAAATGTTTTGAAAGAAAGTTATATGTATTCACTTGTAAGTTATAGAAGTAGGAATGGACAACTCACTTTTTCTATTAAAGAAAACAACAGATATAGGCATAATTCAGGCAGTAAAACATATTTGGTCCGGCTAAAAATTCAATAAAGGGGAGTAGCAAGCCTTTTACCAAATATTGAATCAATTCACAAACTTCCTAATTCCAGTATGAAATTTACAATCCCTGAGAGAAAGATCCTGCCAGTAAACTTACTTCCCCTGTGGAAGTCTAACTTCAGCTTCAAATCTTGGTCCACCTTGATGAACAGCCTTGATTGGCTCTTTCCAGTTCCCTGTAAAATCTCCCACCAGATATACATCTTCCCCCTGAAATCAGAAGAAAATTCAAAAGAGACAAGTATAAGATAATTTCTTTGCATGGATTGCCTTATAATTTAATCATCTCTTGGCTGTCAAAAGAGCTCCATTCTTCATAAATCAGTACCAATCTTCTCACCTCATGTCCATTCCACACAAAGGTCACAGCATGGGTTGGAGGTCCTTCATGTCTGCCACTTTCAACCATGGCTATGAGATCCCAGGTTGCCCAAGCAATTGCTGGTCTGCATTTATCATTTTATTAATGTCACAACTATAATGTCAGGTATATCTACTGCAGGTTGACACAAGCTCACAAAGTTTTTTCCTAATATCCCCACCAGTTATATGAAATTTTGAGGAAGCATAATACCTATCTGGTTTGCATGAATGCAACCCAGTTATGAAATTGTATGCTGCATGAAGGGATGTATCTGTCATCCAGTGAAGGTACGCAATCACACAAGAAGGCGACCGATCAAATCCAGTGGTGCAAGTGATATAAACTCGGTGATTCTTTTTCAGTAAACGCAACAGAAGACCCACACAGAAAGGCAGTTTCTTCCTCATGTCAAATGAATCTGCATCCCTGAAGTTAAAATAAGGTGAGTATGATATAGCAGAATCAATTTTAACACATATCCTATAACTAATAATCATTGATCATCAATTTACTTGCTTGTGGACACTGCTACATACGATTGGCTTTGGAATTGAATTTGTACAGAAAACAAAGAATGTAACAAACATTGCCTGCTTTTAATTACTCATAAGGCAAAAGTAATAATACCTTATTGGATAAGTAATCATCAGGATATTAAATTTTTGGCAAGATTCGTTAATTGAATTTGAATCAATTCCCCAGTTTGCCCCTTCAACTGTACTCTGGAAATTCAGCACAGCAGTAACACCCTGGTACAGACATTCCAAACAGCTTATGGTCAGAATTTGAGCAAGAACCAATCACACTGCAGGAATAATACCCCAGAACACATATAACATGCTAAAAAAAGGTTGCATTTTCGAATATTCTTCATTATCAATGACCTTCAGTTGAAAGAATAAAAAAAAAAAAAAAAGGAAAGAAAATAAAATTATTGACACTTTTCTAATAGAAATCATAAAAATGAAAGCAACAACACAATCACAATTCATTTCTTGGGATGTCCATATATTAAAAATAAAAAATAAAAAATACATTAAACAGAATTTTATGCCTGAACAGCCTGACAAAATCCTTCTGCGGTTTCAATGCAGGCAATGGTGGGGCATCTCAGAATTCTAAACTCCAATGGTAACACTCAATTTGTATCAAAGGTAAACAAAATAAAATGGTAAAAGCAGGCAGTAACCTATGAGATAAAGGAATCATAACCCTACCACAGTAGTAGCTAAAGTCTCTACATCTTCTTCTGTCTGAATGCATGACCCAACATGAATCTGCTCTGTAATCTATCAGAATAAGGTAAGCCATCAGTAGAACGAAGTAAAAGTTCAATGACATTATAAATGTCAGAAGGTAAATGTATTAAATTTTGAAATGCAATAAACAAGTAGCATGCATAATGAGATCTAGTACCAGCAAGTGAAAGTTTAAAAGACCTTATAACTGAGAAAACATCTTATTTTCTTATTCTTATGAAGTTAATTAGGCACCGATAAGCAGGGGAGTAACATGTTGGATCGGTAGCAAATTCAGTTTCCAGCTTATGACAACTACATCCAAGAACAAAAAACACTGGTAAATATTATGTTCCGAATTATTGGAGAGGTCTATAAATCCTAATCAAAATAAGGATGCATGTCACAAAGTAGATTAGTACATTCCAATCTTGATGCTGGATTCATCCAAAAAAAAAAGATCTCCTGGGTTCACTTACAGTTTCATAAATTGTAAGAAACATAGAGCATAAATGCATAATACTTAGACAATATATAATAAATACAACCATCATGTTAGCACACCTTACTATAGCGCATACCAAGAGAATGATTATAATACAGCTCCCCCCTAGAACGCTCCAGTGCCTTCACATACTCATCCAGTGGGAAGCTCCCATGAGCCCATTCAGCTTCTTCGAGTACCTTCTCTGTGAAAATGGATATGAGAGGACTGAATGGGAGAGCAGTTGTGGTCTTACTGATAGTTTGTTGGCCACTATGATTATTTAAACTCTTCCACCCTTGGGCAGCCAAAAACTTTGGGCAGAAGACCACAAACCCACAATTTCCATTACTCTCACCAGATGCACGCAAATTTGATGGTAGCATACTTTTGTTCCAAGCCGCAACAGGAACACGGCCACGATTGAACAAGATATCAAGATCATTCATATGATAGAACTGATGAATGGGGAAAGGAGAGAAGGGCCTCTCGAGGACAAGGCTGCAAGAGCCAGAATTCTCTTCAATAAGACTCCTGCATATTTCGCCAAATAGAATGAATAAATTGCCACATTAATATGTCACTCCGATAAAATCTTTGCAACTTTTTTGCCTTGTAACAGGGATGAGGATTCATACTCTGCATCTCCAAAGTCCTTGATCTCAACAAGCTTCCCATCAGATGATTGACTTGCCTTCTTCAAGGTATCCCCAACCATTATTATTCTGGATCTATCAGCATTACCCTACATTGTCACTTTTTAAAAGATGAATGTAGAGTAAACAGACATTCAAACTGCTTAATAGTAGTATCAACACAACACTAATATATACCGTAATTCACATTTTATTCACCCTAAACATTCACATTTTATACATTTTTAATACTTGAAATAATATTGAGCTCTTAAGTTCATAAACACAGCGGAAAAAATAGTCGAGTCTACACAAGCATTATGCATTAATCAATCACAATAGAATATTTTACAGCGGTTGAAAGCGTGATGAAATGCAAATCGTTTTGAGAGGAAACGTACCCCTTTCTGAAGCGCATGCACGAAAACTTTCCCGTCAAGCGAAAGTGCGAAACGGATGCCAAGAGGTTTATCCAGCGTCACCATGTACTCGTTCAAGTTCATCTTATATTCAGTGGAGGACATGGCAAAAACCCTGGATTTCCTTCGATTCAACCGCAGCTTCTTCACTCTCGTGCCAGCAATGTTCCAATCGAAGAATCCACCAACCGAGGCAGATTGAATCACAACATTACTCTCCCGCAACTTCCTCCCAACCGGACCGAATCCAGCGGCGAAGGTCCACTGGTCGAGGCCTCTGCAATCCGAAAACTGCAGAGAACACATCCCGATGGTGCTAAAAAGCAGCGAAAATTCGATCCACTTCCGGCAAGCCTCCGGAATCAAAGAGCGGGGAGATTAACGAAAAGCAGCGGCGAAAGAAGGTGCTGGAATGATAAGCACATAATTGTGTAGTGTGATCGAAAAGAATCGAAGGAACGGAAAGTGCAGAGACGGTGACGATGGGATGGATGGGATGTAATGCGATAAATGAGGAAGAGACGCCACAGACACACCAGAGCGGGGAAACTCCACGTCCACGTGACCACGTGACAAAGCGGCAGATCTTTTCTTTATTTTCGTATGCTGTATTTGGATGTATTTATATATTTTTATTTAAATGCCATTTTGATTAGCGCCACCATAAATATCTATCTCTTTGTATAAAAATTAAATTATTATTATATTATATTAACTAAATGGGCTCAAATGTTGGTCTGCAACCTGACCCATCTTCATAGAAATGGGCTAGTGCGACCCAAAAAATCCATTAGAGTGATTTTTTTTTTTTGGTGATTTGAATTTTAAATTAGAATTTGAATAATAAAAAATTTTAAATTATAATAATTGTATAAACGTCATATAAATATATTAATATAATATTTTGAAATATAAAATTAATTTTTAATATAGTATAAAATATAAAAAATAAATATTTGATTTAATTTTTTTTTTTTAGACAAAACTGTTCATATCTCCTGTGGTTTGCAAACTCGGCACCATTTCTCTGTACTTTAAAAAACTGTGCGGTTCTCTCATATGTTTTCAGAAACGTTGCACACTCTCTCCATTGATCAATTTAAAATTTTATATGTAATGGACCCGTTATAACTCACCTAACTCTTCTCCCTCACTTATCTACTACTCTCCCCACCATCTCTCTCCCACCATCACCCCTAAATTGTCGTTCCTCCATTTACGAGAAAAGAAACTCCAGGTCAGATTTTTTGGGTTATCTTCTACCTCGATGTTTTTGATTTTTTTTCACGGGTTAGGGTTTTTCTGCATTTTGCCTTTGTTGTCACGGACTATGGCAATTTCGAGTTGAAAAGTTCTTCGATTCGTCATAAAGGTGGACTTGGAGTTTCAACTTGTACATTTGTTATATTTTTATTCATGTTCGATGGTGATCCCCAGAATTAAGAGAAAAATGAAGTCAAGAAATGAGACAAAACAAAAACATCAAATTTTCAATGAAAACCCATACCTGGAGATTTGAAATCTGTGGCTAAGGGACATCGAGGAGGAGATTCGGGACCTGGGTTTGCTTCACTGGTGGGAGATCGATGGAGAGGGAATGTTACGACTTAACGAGAGCCATAAGGGTAAATTAGGTAATTTTGGTACTTTAAGAGAAGCAATCATAATAATACTAGTTTAATCCGCGCGTACATACCAACCTACGTTGCACAACATTTCTGAGGAGAACCACGTCAGTTTTTAAAGCACAGGGAATGACTCCGAGTTTTCAAACCACATGGGATATAAGCAATTTTGACTTTTTTTAAGAAAACTTCGTGTTTTAGAAAAAAAAAAAAAAAATTAATAAACAATAGAAATTCAAATAAATTTGCCAAACCAACACACTCTAAATTTTAACTATCCAACCCCCTCAAACACTTTTCATATATGTAAAATGGAAATAATTTTAACTATTCCGTCGGACCTGATTTACGGGGTATTAGGTTTGATCGAAGTTTATCTATTGCGCACTTTTAGGGATTTTGAGATAATATCGTATCGAGATGGAGCGTTAATATTGTCTCACATTGAAATATATATATATTGAGAACTCTCTTAAATATAAGATTGGAGATTGAAAGTAACTCCTTTATCAGCGATCGTTTTTAGGACGGAGCCCAGATTCCTTGCTTAACCGGGTTGAATGAAAAATTGAGCACGATGTTGATTGTGTATTTGTAAACAAAAAGCCAATACAAATAAAATAATGAAGGTAGTTAGTTATAAGAGTGCTAATATTATAAAGGAAATCCCTACCTGTTTTCTTTATACTAATGCTTTTGGACTTTAACCAAACACAAATTAAACAAATACCTGGAATAATGAATAAATGAAGAATCCTTTCGAACATCGTCAATAAATGGCGACATCCAACCTGCTTTTGCAATAATTGAAATGTATATTGCAAGATGAAATTGCAGATAGATATAGATATAGATAGATGGCTCAACCCATTTTGAGACTGCGTAAGTCAATTAATTCACTCCTCTAGACAGTAAATATTACATACCACAAAAGATGAAGCGTCGGTATCAGCTACATGCTCTTTAACAGAAATACTCAACCAACAATGGCCACTCGCTGTGCACAGTTGAGGGAATGTACGCCTCTTGCCTTGCCTCTGTTTGATAAAGGTGTTGCCAAATGTTTACCCTTGATGCTCACATATTCGACATATTATATGCTGACAAACAACACAGAGAGAAAAATAGTATTACATGAATTGTATCTGTAAATATACTTGTGAATTTTGCAAATTCCAGTTGTTGCTGATAATTTAATTATGGATAATAATAATAGCACAGAATAATTTACAATTTATTGGTGGTTTTTCATGATCGGAACGATAAAGTTACAAACCATCATCACCAATGTGATCGATCAAATGAGTCCTGCTTTCGATCCAGACCGTTGATATTCACGAAAATCCCAAGGATGTCCTGCTTGTAAGGGAGATACGATTTCCTCTTATCTCCTTCCTTCATCGCCCTGTTACGTAGGTACAGAGCTTCGTGCGCTGATGGCGAGCCGCCGGAAGCGGAGGAGCTGACGGTTTTTGCCTTCGCCTTTTTTGGAGCTTCAGATGATGAGATTTCTTCAGTTTTCTTCGGAGTTACGAAGACGAAGTTTCCCTTCCCCTCACTATTGCTCCGCCGGAGCAAATCGCGAAACTTCCACCGCTTCGAACCAGATCCGGTGGACATGCTCTTGTCACATCTGCTCGGACTCGGAGAGGGCTGATCGGCTGGTTTCGGCCGCCAAACGCAGTACGTACCTGCAGGAATGTTCTCCAATTCGTCGGCTTCGGACGACGAGCACGACGGAGGATTATTAAGCTCGCGATCCTCTTCGAGCAATAGTTTGCTCAATGGAACCGCAACAACACTCGCTTCCAGCTCCTTGCTTTCGCAGCTTTGGCTGAATTCTCCATCGCGATTTAACAACAGATTGCGATTGAACACGGGGAAAATTTGGCCGTCGCCTAACAAATTCTCCTCCGCAATATCCTGACGCACTAGAGCGAACTCAAAATCTTCATCGCCGTTATTCCTCGAGCTCTCCGCCGCCACCTTTACGGCGATCTCCGCTATCCGGTCCGATGAATAGCTGCTAAAGCTAGGGCATGCGTACGCATCATCTCCTCCTTCACTGCTTCCCATGGAGAGATCGCAACCGCCTGATCTTTCTTTCTCCAAATGGACCTATACATATAATTTTGGACTTTGGTATGTGTGTTCTTAGGAGAAAACACAGAAATGAGAGGTTGGGGGCAGACGAGTATATACATATATATATATATATATATACACGTCGGACTATGAATAAATGATAATACAATAAATAATAAGTTTGCTCATTCAATTCATTTTTGTAGCACCATTTTTTTTTATAAATATTAAAATATAATATATACCTATTAACAACATAATATATATTTTTTATATTTACTACAAAAATATACTCATTTAAAATTACAAATACATCCAATAATTATGGCTAGTTAAAATATTAGTAAATAACTAATTAAAATATATATGCTGTGATTAGGTACTTCCATTTTCTCAACTAAATCACAAATCCACGAGATAATTTGAGAACAATATTTTAGAATTTGTATTTATTTTGTAAAATAGTTTAAAAATATATTTGTTATATTAAATATATAAAATTATATAATAATATAAAAATAATGAATATATATGTAATATTCTATGTATATATATATATTTTAAAAAATGTGTGTTAAATTTTTATAAAAGAACACTTAATAGTTAGAGGTTTGAGAATGAATTAAATTATTAATATAATAAATAAAAACCTAGTGAAATTCGGAATAGCAAACTTTGTCGTCACTAGTAATAAATTGATGAATATAATTGACGGCCCCTAACATCCGTTAAAAGCGTTGGCAAAGCAGTCGGTATACACGTGGTTTTAGAACGGCGTCGTTCTATTGTGTCATGTGACTCATGGCCATACTGATGACCTCATAGTTAATTTTGTCTTATTATTAGTGCAAACTATCAAATTTAGAACTCAAATAGAATATGGATTTTAAAAGCCCACATACTAAAGAATTAATTAATTCATTACATACTTCACGAGGTTGGTAATTATTTATTAAAATCCTAGTGAAAAATTCATGGTTCTGTCTTGGTTGGATGCATTGTTTGAAGAAGACGTAACTGCAGGAAAACCGCATTAGTGTCGAGAGTGTTGAACATTCACATTTAATTCGATTAGTTATGTCATGGTCAGCTGTCAATAATTTGATCAGATTTATAACAAGGGATTTTTTATTTCGTGTTTCATGTCATAGATACTTCTAATAACTAATAAAGATATTCAATTGTCGCATCCACGATTGCACAACATTTGAATTTCAGATTTTTTGTTTTTTAAAAAATAATGATATTTTAGGATGAGTGTAATTAGTAGATAATTAAAAATGTATTAGTAAAAATAATTATTCTATAATATAAATAATTATAAATTAAGATTAAGATAACTAATTAGTTTAATTAAAATTAATAAAAAATAAATTTGAAAGTTTAAAATGAGATTAAAATGTGTAATTATTTTCCCAAAAATAAAAGTGACATGGAACGTGGGACGAACAGAAACGACAATATGGACATGGAGTATTATTTTTTGAGAGGAAATAAATAGATGGAGTATAAAATGTAACAGTGATACTTTAGCTACTAGAATCAAGAAAAGTAGATTTGCCATCATCTGGCTTAATCTTTGGGAGACACGAACTACACATATTTATTATAATCCATAACTGAGATTAAAATATACCACCAAACTAACATAATTAAATTTCTTTTAATTTTTAATATTTAGAAGGAGTCCAGAGAATAGAATTTAGCAAATATCGAAGTCAACAACCCGAAAATAAAAAATAAAAATACTATCTACATCTTAAAAATATGTTTATACGTTTGAAAACATATTTTAATGTGGATATATAATAATTATTACTATTTGTCATATTTTATAATAAAAACTATAAAATAAACAAAACCTAAATATATTCTTATGACAGGAAGAATAAAAAATAAATAAATATAACTTTATTTTATTTATTTTAGCAAATCCTTAGGAAGATTGCACTGCATTTCAATGATTCCCTTTGATTTGATCTTCCACATCCAAAGGTCAACTTTAGGAAATGAAACCACAAATGCATTATGTATATAGCAAATTGATAATTTAATACTCCCAAAATAAACTTAGGATACGCACTATTCAATCACCTAATTATTTCATTAGTGGTGTCAACTCGTGTTTCGAGTCGAGTTGTGTTTGAGTCGGGTTGAACAACGGTTGTAACACAAAAATTGTTAATTCGAATTCAACATTTGATTCAAAATTCTAAATCCGAATACGACACGAATTCTTCAGGTCGAGTTCAAGTTGGCCTGACTTAGTTTCAAATCGTCCGAAACTCGATGAACCAAAACCCAAAATTTTTTTACAAAAATTAAATTAACCTTAAAAAATAATTTTTATTTTTATTTTAATATTATTTTATAATACAAATATTATAAATTAACATAATAATAATAATAAATAATTTCAGGTCAACCCGACACGAAACCCGAAACTCTGTCTAATTTTTATATTGAGTAATCATATCAATCTAAAAACCGACCTGAATACAAAACAATCTTTTTTGTTTTGGGTTCGGATCAATCCAATTTTTTGCAAGTTTGAAATATTCAAATCCAAACCTAAAAAATTTTGAATGAATTTGATTTCTCCGATTGACACTCCTGTATTTAATGTAAATGGCCTTTTTCACAGACTTGAAATCAGGTTTGGTTAAACAAATTATGAAGTCCACAATTGATCTTTATAATGTAGGGGTTAGGAGTGAGTGGTCCATAATTGAATTAAGTACACCCATTTGCAGATAAACGTTGTTTTCCATAAGACCTAAAAAATAAGTAAGCACGAGGAAATGAAGTCCACACTTCACCTTTTCTCTTCCAGATTTTTATTATTTCAATAATAATAATAAAGTAAATAAATAAAGCTGTCATTGATGTAGCCTCTGTGCTAAGTGTAGTCTATTATGGTTGGTGCAGCAGCAAAGTCATGAACAGAAATCCCATGATTTCCCATCTGCAAAAACAACATTGCACATTTGCACTACATACATCTTTACAGCAAATATGTCTCCATTGCTTACATACAGACATGCATACAAACAAACAGAGACACAGACAGACTTTACTTATTCACTCTACTGTTTACTCAGCAACGTATCTTCTTCCCTCAATTTACCTGCCTTGAGAGACAGCTCTCCAGAAGATTCCACGGCCGATGCTTCGAGCCGCCGCCGCTGAATCGTGTCGTGTATCATGGGACTGAACTCGGTCTGAACGGTGCGATATAAAAAGTACGGTAATAGAGTGGATACGACAATAAGAAGGGTGGCCAGCCAGTAGAACGGACTCGGCGCGCAGGCTTCTACGAGCACCTGGAACGCTGTTGTCGATATACGTGGCGAAATGGCGCCATAAATAATTAGAAATATGTACCAGAAGGCGATGCTGCCCCAGATGAAGAAGTGCTGGATCCAAGTGAAGTAGTTGATGGACAGAGCCATTTGGCAGTTCACTGTCCAGACAATGCTCGTGTACATCATCACCCCGAGTACTTCGTAGTCGAGGACTTGGCCGTCTCTACGGAACGCCTGGTGGAGGACGGAGTTCGTCGTGAAGAAGAAGATGATCATGGAGCAGAGAACCCCGTTCAGCATCCACCCCAGAATGCGCGGCCAGTTGAAGAGAACATCTTGCACGCCTTCTTGGTATAGTCGGGGATACTGGAGAGCGTCGGGGATGTAGTTATTTAGCTAAGATCGATGGAAGAGAAGGTATATGGGTGTAAGTAAGTTAGGGATTCTGTTTACCTTCAGACAGAGTCGCGCCGAGACATCCTGGTCGAACACGCCGAGGGCGATCACGGGAAGTGAAGTGAAGAACACGTTGTAGAATGCCAGGTACCACTCGTTGTACGCAGGTTGTCCGGAGAAGGAAGCGCGAGCTTCGAACCAAAACAGGGTGAATCCGAAGGTAATGTTCTTGTAAAAGAAATAGCAGATCTGCAGACATCATGCGATTCAAACAACACAATCAATCAACAGATAAGAACTTATCGACAGAAATATGAAGCAATGAATGCAAACAAACCATCATAGAAATTCTCCGATAGCACCAGTGGCCGTGAACCAATAAAAGACGTTCCAGAAACCGGAACTGCGCTATAGAAAAATCACTCGACATGGCAGCCTAAATCAAAATCCGCGAATCAGACACAGCCAAAACTGTGAGAACACAAAAATATGGACTCCGAAGTAAGGCGAGACTACCTGCATTCCTTCAACGCCGCTGATGCCGATCCCAATATCAGCTTCTTGAAGCATGCCGACATCGTTGGCTCCATCGCCGATCGCCAGCGTAGTCTTTCCCGTGCCCATTTTAACCAATCTTGTAACCTGAATATCTTCAACCGTGCCATCTCATTATATATGCTTCTACTGATTCAATATGTTCATAATTCCTAAACAAAGGCAAAATCCAACAAGCATAATCGTAAAGACGTACGAGTGCTTTCTGTTTAGGCGTGGACCGACAGCAAATAACCGCGGAACAATTAACTGCAAGATCCAGCAAAGAGTTCTCTAGAGTTTTGCTCAAAGCAAACGACAACGACTTCCCATCTATTATCAAAGCGAATGCAACAGAGGTTCCTTCAGATGAGCTTATTTGCAATCTCCCTTCTCTAATTTGCTTAGAAATGCTCGCACTCGAAGCCTAATACAGTCAGACCCGTTAAAACATCCAAATTTAAAGACAACAGCATTGGCTAGGTATGGATTGATTGTTCATTCGTACCTTTGCAATGGCCTCCTTGTCTCCTTCTTTCTCCAGCTCACTAATCTCTGAAGACTCTAAAGTTATCACAATTTGCTTCATGTCTTCTCTCAATAAGCTACAAGCATACCTACCGAACAAGTAGTCATGTAATGAACGGACAGTACCATGGAATTACATATAACTGCAGCCATGAAAGCAGGACAAGATCGCCTTACCCGATGTTTATTGCAGTTTCCATTTTATCACCCGTTATAACCCAAATTTTTATTCCAGAACTTCCAAGTTTTTCAATGCATTCAGGGACCTGACAGAGCACAGACAGTAAACGATCAAGAATTGATGTGTTGTATTAAATTGACATGAAACTTCAACCAATACTGACCCCTTTTTGTAGTTTGTCTTCGACAGCCGTTGCACCAAGCAGAATTAAGTCGCGCTCAATCTTATCAGCAGCTGCCTCGACTAGCGCATCTCTATCGGCAGTTACTGTTGTCCGAGCGTTCAGAAACTCTCCTTCCCAAGTTTCGAGCTCGTCTTCAGTGAGTTCACGATATGCAACCACAAGAGTTCGCAAACCTGCTTCGGCGTATCTTTTGATTTGATCTTTCGTTATAGCTGCAACATCTGATGTGTCCTTTGCTAGCCTTTCGAACATAAAACTGCACAAAAATACAGATTGTACACTCAGCTCAATTAAGAATAAAACGTTTCCTACAACATCAAAATCCTCAAAGAGAGCTAATGTACCTGTCCGCACCCTTACAAAGGAGCAGCAATTGATCCTCAGCATTCTTAACAATCACAGACATTCTTTTCCGGGCACTACTAAACTCCAACACATGAAGAAGTCTATATGGTCTGAAGAACAAAACACAACATTCACATACAGTTAACGTGTTCTCCTAGACAATACATTAAAAAAATATTGAAATAGTTTGCACCTGTCGATTTTTCTACCGCTCTTATGATCCCATTCATGCAAAGAAATGTTAGATTGTGTCCTTTCAAAGAATTCAAACCCGAGCTCCCGTGCAGCAATGACAAAGGCAGCTTCATCCGGCGACTCAGCTTCATATGTTATTTCACCCGTTTCTTGATCCACCTCAGGAATTGCCGTGTGGCAAAGCGCCAACACTCTAAAAAATTTCTGAATCATATCCGCATTATGTTCGTTCACCCAATTACCATTCATGAGACGGGTATCATTGAAGTTGAAACCTTTTATTGACTTCCTTGAGGCATCGCCATTATCATAAGATGCAGCCTCCGAGTCAAGGATTGCATCTCCTTTCCTCTTTGCAAGTGCTTTCTCCACTTCGGTCATTCCATGACCATATGCAACTCCACGAATCGAGCATTTCACAAAATCCATCGAGTTGCACGTCAGGGTGCCAGTTTTATCCGAAAGAATTGTGTCAACCTGACCAAGCTCCTCATTAAGGTTAGAAGTCCTTGCGTGCGCAGGCCTGTCCATCTCCTCGTAATACATATCAATGTCTTGATTGATGAATACACTCTGTAAGACCTTCACCATCTCGATGGACACATAAAGGGATATTGGTATCAAATAGCCGTACAGCATAAGCGCAGTTACGAAATGAAAGAACGCGGCCAGCAGAGGTCTTCGCGGGTCGTAAAACACAGTTGTATGATCCGGCCGGAGATACCACCTCCGTAGTCCCTCTTGTAAATCATTCTCAGTAATGACTCCAAAAAAGAAAGACCCCACAATCGATACAGAGATCAACATACTAAAAAGAACGTATATTATCTTATCCAACTTTCTCTCAATCTTACTTCTCTTTGAAGGAGGATCTGTCGTGTTCTCCATAACCTTAGTATCATGTCCGGTGAAGACAACCACACCATACACGTAATCTGTATTACGTAGCTTAGAATCCCTTAACAAAAACTGCTCCAGAGAAAGGGGATACGACATGCCATCATAGTACAAGGTTCCCACAAATGAGTATAGATCCTCGTTCGGATCCTCGCACTTGATAACAGCCTGAAATTGCTCAAACGAGCTATCCTCGTTTAAGGAGGAAGTAATATCCAAAGCATGCTTCACCTTTAGATTAGTTTCTCCATCCAAATTCGTAGTTTCTACATAACAAATTCCATCCTCGTAGCTAGAAGAAAGAAGCATAAGATCTGCAGGGAAATATTCATCCTTGTAAACTTTTACCAGGTCGCCGACTCTTAGTCCCTTCCATCTCGTCTCATAAAAGTGATGATCTCTGCCGAAAACTTTAACCTTCCTATTGTTTGCTTCTATATCCTGAAAGTTACACACTGAGTCAGAATTTGATTGCAAGTACATTACAATGAGTATTTTCTATTAAAGGCAGAAAGAGCTAACCTGTTTCCTACGCCTCCAATCTTCGACCCCTTCCTTGGCCATGGTGGCGCCGATCACCACGATCAAAGGTGCAAGAATGCTGGCAGCAGTGAAGGGAGCCAGCGGGCTAAAGGACACGCAAGCTACTACTAGGAAATACAGATTGGCAACCCTCCTAAACTGCTCGAACAAAGACTTGGGAATGAAATTGAAGGCATTGTACTTGGTAGTCGAAACGTAATTACTTCGATACCTAAGCGCAAGCTGCTCGTGGCTGTCGGGATCATTACAATATACAATCCTAGAAAAACCCTTCTGCCCAATTTGACTGTGTTCATCTCTGTAAGAAGACTTGAAACAAGAAAACGAATACAGCCTACTAAATCGAATATGTCTTCTCCTAGGGCCCGTCATTTTCCCCAACAAATGCAGGAATGATCGAGCGAGCTAGAATTTTACGGTTACAAATCAAACAACAATCAACAGAAAAAGAGGGTCAATAGCAATAGTAATGGCACGGCAGATCAATAAATTAATCTTACAATTCCAACGCCCTAAGTTACAACTCCTCCATTAATGAGCCATGACAAATATTTGCGGATTCCGAGAGAAGTAAAGTATCAGAAGAAGTGAAAAGAAAAAGGGAAAAACAAAGAAGCTCCCATTCTCGATCCAGAAGGTAAATAAACTAGAAATACATACAACTAAGTTGAGCTGTGAAGGAAACCTCCCAGAGCGCAAAACTCCCAACTTTCGCACCAGAAATTCTTTACTTTGGTAGCAAGTTGCACTGATTTCTTCCTTCAGACATTGGCGTACAAACACGAGTCCATACATACACACACACACACGCTTCGGCGTGATGGAGAAAGGGAGCAGACAGATTGTGTAAACTTCCTGAATGTAAAAGAAAGGGGGGAAATGTGGGTGGTGGTTTGGTGCAGCTAATTTGGGGACTTTGAGAGAGAGCTTTAGTCAAGAAGCAGAGTGACTTGAGATAGGGAAAATCAGAGTGAAGGAAGGATTGGGGAAGGAACAGCAGAGATATCTATGGCTAATTAATGCCGTCAATATCAGTAGAAATTTGCACAAACACATGGGCTGCTGACGCAGTAAGTGTTTGCAGTCTAATCCCACCTCGTATCCACACTTAAGCTTTTCCGAATCAAGAGCATCTTTTTTATCCACTCTTGATCCTCACTACTGTAGCAGCCTTAAACCCTTTTAAGGAATTAACAATGGGCACGTAAAAATCTTCTACACGCTCTCTCTCACAGTCTTGCACGTATATGTTCATTTGGGGTAAGTAAACAACAATAATAACCATATTTTGGGAGGGTAAGTAGATGGCGTCGTGGCGCAATCTGGATCGTTGGCGGGTGCCGATTGAACTTCCGCCAATGAGGTGACGGCAGACTCTCCGAGTTGACTGACTCGTTTCGTCTTTGTGGGGCAGTACGACGTCGTAGCGGGGTTGTACAGACAGACCAATTACGACAAGGATATCGTGTAATAATTGGAGTAGGTCTTGGGTCACAAGTTACGATTGTGGCAGACACTGAAGGGCCATGGCTGTTGGGCCGTTCGATTAAATAGTTTTTTTAGTTTAGTACTGGGCCACGTGCTTGGTGGGCCCGGTATGTTATTGTCACTGGGCCCCACTGTCTCACAATATATTGCATGGCCATACTAAATCATTTTTATCACGCATCCTTTATTTAATTCAGATCATTTGGGTCGGAAGTATTGGGCTAAGAGGAAATTTGGGCCGGCCCATTTTGAACGGGTCAAGGCTCAAGTGGAATGGAGGTTGTTACCTGGACCGACCCGAGAGTATCTAGCTGCATCTACCAATCGCGCGGCCGCCTCGTATTATTAGTTTATTTATACCTATAAGATGCTACAACCCCCACGCGCATTGTACCTGCCTTTCAACCCGTTGGCGCCTCTCCAAAAAAGCCTCTCCCTCTCACACACCCGGCAAGTGAAATTTGCGCAGCTGAATCTGCTGTTCCAATCGTGGATAGTGAGTCGGCGTAAAAGCCGACGCACTCAGCTCATGTGAAGCTCGATAAGCTCGGGAGAAGCTGCAATGGGGATTGTGATATTCGAGGACACTCGGAAGGCGGAGCTTGAGGATTTCCGCCAGATGCTGCTATCTTGCGCCGCGGTGCAGCGCCGGAAGGACGACGATGGTTTCAAGCGACGGGAGAATACGCTGGCCACTGAAGATGGGGGTGATGCGCTCGACAGGATGGTTTGCGTCACTAGCGGCGTCTCCTACCTCGGGATCGCTATTGTGAACCACCTCCTGGTCAACGGATACTCAGTTCGAATCATCGTTGATAATGAAGGTCCGCTTGCATACCTCCAGCTATAATCATAATCATTTTTATTCAAGGATATATTGTTTGTTAATTATGGCATTCGTTGAAGTATCTGGGGTATGCGAATTCATTATTTATCTTCAGTATTTTACCCTTCCGTTCTTACCTGGAAGAAGAAGAAGACAAGTTCGTGCTTAATTATTTTCTACTCTCCAAAATTTCACATGTACTGCCGCACTTACCTCAATTCGTTATATTTTTTCACGTGCAGTTGCTTAGTTGAAACTTCATTTTCGACAATATTCAAAAGAGGAAAATCTTGTATGCGGAAAGATCCACCACAAAGTAATAATATAAATTTGTATTATAATACATATTTAAAATTTCAAAAATCACGCCACCTTCAACACCATTTGATCACTTTTGTACAAATTTGCAAGCTAACCGTAGAAACAGCAGGTAGATCATTGCAAATTCGGTTACAACACTGAATGTTAAAGAACATGTAGTCAACGGTTATTTGGAGCCAGCTATATGTACATTTTGCCTAGATATTTTAGATTGATTACTTGCAGCGAGCCAGCGTTTGCATGTGAGATGTCATTTCAGTACTAAATTACTCTGTGCTTCTTTATGATAAGATTTCCGTGAGTAGTTGTGGATAAACTTTCACCAATATTTATGTTGGTTATTAATCTCATCCAGAATTTTCTGTTAGCTAATCGAATACATTATAATTCAAATATGAATTTTAAAAAACTCGCTATGAGACTTGATGCAGCAGCGGTACCTTAAATTTCGTTGATTTGACAGGATAGTTTACTTAGGGTGTGTTTGTTTGGGGATTTGGTTTTTGAGTTTAATATGAATAAGTAAAAATTTTGAATTGAAATAACTGTATGATGTGATACAAATAGGTGATGATGTGATATTTTGAATGCAAAATTAATTTTTAGGATAATATAAAAAATAAGTGTTTGATTTTGATATTTTTTGTGAAAAAAATTTGATGAATAGTGCAAATTTGGGAAAGTCTCTCAAACAAACACGCTTTAAATTAATTAGCATTTAATCATCTAGGAGAAGCTTATAGAGCTAATGACAGAACAAGCTTTAATTTAATCTTGAAACTTTACTGAGTTTGGTAATCTGCGTGTATTTTATTTAGCCACGTTCAATGTCTAGCTGCCCTGATTTAGTAGGACCCACTGGTGGTTCCTCCTCTTTATGATAGCATAGGTAGGTAGGACTTGGACCATTAGATTTATTGTTGATTATCCGTACAAAATGAATCTCTGCCCTGATTTGGATGGTCTGGCATCCAATTTAATCGTCTTGATGTAAAAATTGCAGAAGATGTTGATAAACTGAGGGAAATGGAAATTTCTGGAGAAATGAGACTCGCCGACAGCATTGTTGAAGTTGTAATGGCCAAGCTCACTGAAGTAGAAAGCCTTACGGAGGCTTTTCAGGGGTGTTATTGTGTATGCCACACTTGTGCATTTGTGGACCCAGCTGGGCTATCTGGTTACACTGTGAGTTGCATTACTTTTACCTATTCACAACACACTCACACATACATATGAATTTAATGGTGAAGATTTCATATTGGCCTGAGCTATATATTAATTCACTTGCACTAGACATTCGATAGAATGGTGTAAGACATCTCACCCTTGTATCAAAGGGTTTGCGGGTAGTGAATTTGATGACAGCTAGCTTTGCTATATTGGGCAAAGGAAGAGTTAGTTGGGACGAGATATGAAAAGCATTGCTTTAACTTATATGTATGCATCTCACATGTTGCTATCAATGGGGGGTTTGTTTTATCAGTTAATAATGCCGTGTAGTTACTGTCAAGTTAATGCATGATCTCACTTGTCTCTTGAATCTAGTATGTGCAGAAATCAGTCATCCGAATACAGAACATTAACACATCAACATAAATGCTTTGTTTACTGTTTTCTTTTACTTGCTACAATTTCTGCCTATGTAGAAATTTGTTGCTAGAATGCTTTTGCACTTGTGATTAGCTAGTTAAAACACAATCCCACTCTATCACTGCATGCATGCTAATCTTACCCACTTTGTATCTCTAGAAAGCCATGGCTGACATCGAGGTGAACGCCAGCAAGAATGTCATGACAGCATGTAAACTCTCGCCTTCCGTTCGACACTGCGTGCTCACCTCCTCACTTTTGGCCTGCATTTGGCGAGACGACTCCCTTGATGAATTTCCACCATTAGTCGATCACAAATGCTGGAGCGACGAGTCAATCTGCATGAGCAAAAAGGTAACAATCCATTCTCAGCAAGCCTCACTTACAAGTTACGACCAAACAATATCTCCGTAGCCACTTACTTGAAATTTTGTTTGTATCTTCCTGGAATCCACCCACAGCTCTGGTATGCTCTTGGGAAGTTGAGAGCCGAAAAGGCAGCTTGGGAGATAGCCAAAGATGGCCACTTAAAGCTAGTGACAATCTGTCCGGGGCTCGTCACCGGGCCAGAATTCTACAACAAAAGTCCAACCTCCACTATTGCATACCTGAAAGGCATGGAAGAGATGTACAGGCTTGGATTGCTGGCAACTGTGGACATAAAGCAATTAGCAAAGGCGCACGTTAGTGTGTTGGAGCAGATGAAGAAGACAGCCTGTGGAAGATACATTTGCTTCGATCGGGTGATCAAAAGGGACGAGGAGATACGAGTGTTGGCTTGCCAAACAGGTCTGAATCTGAATGCAAGTCCAATTGTTTCTACTACAGAGGACACCCTGACCCCTCAATTTGAATTGTCAAAGACAAAGCTTGACAGATTGCTGCTTGCAAGTGCAACACCACCAAGGTGTTGTCAGTGATCATCATCGATCGTTAAATTAAATTTAAAAGCATAAGGATAAGCTCTGAGTCTGCCACGTGTTTGGGAGTATATATTAATTAATTAATTAATTAATTATATCAATGTTTAAGAGTGTGTGTATGCGTCGTCTGTGTGTACTACGTATATGTATATATAGATACTCCATTTTTGATGTCCTTTAGTGAATCCATTGTTGAAATTGGATTGGATTCTGAAGTCAAAAATGGATATTTTTGGTCTGGGTGGGGCTAATTAGTTGTGTATTATGTTGCACATTATTAGAAAGATAAATAAATACACACTAAAGTTGTGGCGTGTGTGTCTGATAGCAGCAGAGTGACACGCAGTGTGGATTGATTGGTTGATTGATGAAGGTGCACATAAAATAATATTTAATGCGTGAAGCCACGTGTACAGAAGCACCGCCAATTTGCGAGTTTTTTTATGAGAGGGAGAGGGAGAGGGAGAGGGAGGCGTGGAGTGTTTGCTAGAAGTAGAACAATCAATCGATCTCTCCCTCGCAAATTGGCTGACGTTTGTCAAATTCATTTCATTCAGTTTCCGAACATACATACCCTAACTCACTCACACTGCTCTGCTCAGCAGCGATGGCGGCTGAGGGCAGCGATCCGACGCGTATAATGGTGGCGGTGAACGAATCAACCATCAAGGGCTATCCGCACCCCTCCATAAGTAGTAAAGGAGCCTTCGATTGGACGCTCAAGAAAATCGTTCGCTCTAACACTGCTGGTTTCAAGCTTATTTTTCTTCATGTGCAAGTGCCCGATGAAGATGGTATCAATTTCCAAACTATTATGCCTTCATTTTTTATTTTTTATTTTTTTCCTCTCTTTGCCTGTTTTCATCGACTCTCGATTAAATAGTGCAGTTTTTCGGTGGGACTTTTTTTTTTTTTTTTTTTTTTTTATCTCGCTAGGTTTGATTGAGTTCTGTGTCTGCAACTTGCGTATGATACTGGATTGGGTTAAATTTGTATGTTTTTGGAGGAGAGAATTCTGTGGAAAGAAGTATAGTCCGTTGGTTTAATCATTTGTTCCTACATTGATTTTCTGCTACTTGATATCAAATTTTCTATGAATTGCTGAGAGTTTCCATCAGAGAATCCACAGATTAAAATATTTTGCATCTAAAGTAAATGAATTACAATCCGTATATCCAGTTTGCTGGAAGCATACATTGATTGTGGGGCATTTCTATTTCCTTGCCCGCTGAAACAGGTTTGTTAGGTTGAATACTTTCAATTGCTACAAATGTGTTGCTCTCATTTTTATTCTCTTTGCAAAATTCCTTCATCTGTGTAGACAATGCTGAACTTCTTCTTATACTTACTTGTCTAGGCTTTGATGACATGGATAGCATTTATGCTTCGCCTGAAGATTTCAAGAATATTAAACATAGAGACAGGATACGGGGCCTGCATCTATTGGAGTACTTTGTGAACAAGTGCCACGAACTTGGGGTATAAAGAACCATTCATACTTGGCTAGGACCGATTAATGTGGCTTAGTTAAAGTTTCTCAACATGATACTCTTTTTGGTTTCTGAAGTCCCCTTCAATTGATGAGGTACAATTATGTTCACAGGTTGACTGCCAAGCATGGATTAAGAAAGGTGATCCGAAAGAAATCATCTGCCATGAAATAAAGCGGGTCCAGCCGGATTTTCTGGTTGTTGGAAGCAGGGGCCTTGGCCCTTTCCAGAAGTATGTATATAAGAAACAGCATTTTATTATTTTTATTATGCCTTTTGGTTGAGTGTCAAGTATTTATGATGATGACAATTGATCATCTTAACACATAGAACAAGAGGGCTTTATTCATAATTCTGGTGTTGGAGCATGTATATATATACCTCTTGAGCAGTTTTCAGCTGAGGCAGCATTGAAATTTCTTTTTACTTAATGTTTTGTAGGGTTTTTGTTGGGACTGTGAGTGAGTTCTGCACTAAACATGCAGAGTGCCCCGTGATCGCTATCAAGCGCAGCACTGATCAGATGCCTCAAGACCCTGTCGACGACTGAACACCTTCTTCAATCTCTGTGTTTCACTCTTTGTCATTTGTGATGGTATTTATTTTTATGCGAGTTCGTGAAGATTGGATATAGTTGTGCGGTGCCTAAATTGGATGTTGTAATCTTTACTACATAATTAGCTATTTATTTGGTACAGTGTGCTTGTCCTTGTCCCCCTTGGAAATGTTGGTTGTGGCCTGTTGGGTTCATACCTACTTGCTTGACCACCCTGTGTACGTATTTGGTGAATAATACCCCCTCTTGTGTTTACCTTTGTTTTCTACATCTAAAAATGTATTTATTTTTCTTTTTAATAAAAAATTACAACTGTTTTCGTTATTTTTATACTAGATAAAAGGTTGGAAAAAAATCAATTATTTCCTATTTACGTTAAAATATGTTCTTATGTTTAGAGCACGCAGAAAGTATTATTTATTTATTTGTACTTCCTGCCCCAGTGCATTCATTGTAGGAAGTAACCATTCCAAATTTCCAACGCAACCTCCATATAATAGATAATCAATCAGATAGGTACACAACAAATGTATATTGTGGACTGAATGAATGCAGACAGAGAAGCAAGGCAACAAAAGGCATCACTTTTATTATCCATGTCTGGTTTAAAAGCTAAGTCGAATGAGAAAGCAAACCACTAGGAGCATAAAACAACAAAACAAACAAGGATGTCTGATCCAATAGTAATAGTATACTTACTTACGCCTGATTGTGCTGCTAATATCACATTATATCATATATCATACAAAAGTTCCTCCCTCATTAAGAAAACAACAACAACAACAACAAAAAAATAAAAAGAGCATAGACCTCATCAACATAGGCAACAGAACAGAGAAAGATGGTGTCGTTAATACCTGTGCAACGCACACTCAATCAAGCTCAAGCCGGGGAGTTCTCGGCCAAGACCCGAATCTTCTCACTTGCTGTTTCAACATTCTCCAGAAGATTTTTCATCTCCTGCTTCAAGCCAGATTTGTCCTCAGCTGAAAACTTGGAATGATAATTTTCCAGTATAGCTGTCATGATATCGAGTTTTTGTCTGATGACTTGGACATCCCTCAAAAGATCATCCGATGTTGAGTGGGGATAGACAGGTTTCTCGGCAGCCCGTTTACGAGGAGTCAGTTTTGGATGAGACTTTGAGGTACCTGAAGATTCCTGTAACTGATAGTCAACAACATTCTTGTCACCGAATGGTCTCTCGTTCACAGATGACTTAAAAGCTGCCTCTGCATCGGTAGCATTCTTATATACAACGTGGACAGAGTGAGAATCTGTAGCCACACAAGTTGCCCTTTTGTTGAGGCTCCCGTACTTACTAAACAAGCTCACGATTTCCTCTTTCGATGGCAAAGGATACTCTGGTGCGAATTTTAGAAGAAGACAGGGGGAAGCATTTCCATCCAAAATCACAGTAGCTTTCTTGGCCTTCGATTTGGATGGTGAAGCATTTCCATCCAAAACCTCAGCAGCCTTCTTGAACTTCGATTTGGATGAAGTATTTCCATCCAAACCCTCAGTAGACTTCTTGGACTTTGATTTCGATGGTGAAGCATTTTCATCCAAAACCTCAGTAGCCTTCTTGGACTTTGACTTTGATGGTGAAGCATTTTCATCCAAAACCTCACTGGCCTTCTTCGATTTTGATTTGGATGCTAAAGCATTTTCATCCAAAACCTCAGTAGCCTTCTTGGACTTCAATTTCGATAGTGAAACATTTTCATCCAAAACCTCACTGGCCTTCTTTGATTTTGATTTGGATGCTAAAGCGTTTTCATCCAAAACCTCACTGGTCTTCTTGGATTTCGATTTGGATGGTAAAGCATTTACATCCAAACCCTTGCTACGTTTCTTGGATTTCAATCTTGAAGAAGCATTTCCATCCAAAACCTCAGTAGTCTTCTTGGATTTCGATTTGGATGGACCCGTCTTTCCATCTTTCTTCTTCTCTTCACGGTTTCTCTTTTCACCTGACTTGACTTTTTCATGGGAAACATCCTTTTCTTGTTTCCCTTGTTGTGAGGCTACTGATTTTCTCTTGCTACCTGTCTTGGACTTCTGGTGTAACTTATAGTTTGATCCGTGCAAGTAGATTGAGCTTCTTAGTGCAGAAACAAACGACCAAACCTCATCAAGACAATCCTCCTTGGTCAAGTAAAGTGGGTCGAGAGCAGCAGATTGGATATCAGATACCAATTTATCAACAGGCATATTAACATCAGATGCAGCAAAACTAAATTTCTCTGTGTTCCCTGCTGTCTCAGGAATGTCCTTAACAGATGCATCACGCCCTTCCTGATGGCCTTCAGTCACTTTTTTGTCGGCTAACTTTGAAACAGATGCTGAGGCAAAAGGGTCTGCAGAAGCCTCGGTCGTGTGCTCTCCCACATTGTCGGCCATTTCAGGTGTTGCTTCCATTTTAAAACTTTGATTTCCCACCCTCCAAATGGGAGTAGTATATGGAGGGCACAAGTATTTGCTCTTCTTTCTTTCCCTTGGCGTTGACACAATTTCTGTGTCCTCCTTGCTTTCACCAGAGGAATTTTCCGTAGCAACAACCTCAATTTTCTTCGGTTTTCCAGATGAAGTACCTTTACTTGCGTCATTCCCACTGCCACTGTTCTCAGTATTTGAAACTTTCTTTAATGAATGTTTAAGAGATTCAGAAGCCTCTGCCTTCCTCTTTCTACCGACCCTTCCTGTTGAAGAACCCTCCTGAGGGCGACCATCTCCTACTTCTCCATCAGTACTTTTCTTCTTCTTTTTGGAGGATGTGAACTTCCCAAGATCCTTTCGTTCTTTGGCTGTTGTTTCCTCCTGTCCTTTGGATTTGCCAATAGGATTTCCCCCCATAAGCTCAGCAACACTCTTCTGTTTCCTTCTATGATAAATCTTCTCACCAGATGAGGCCTGGGGCTTTGCAGTATTAGACAACCAGTCATCCTCCAGAGGTCCAAGGATAGGGACTTCAATCGGAACACTAAAATCATCATTAACTTCACTCACGGTCTTATTCTTGTCTTCCATGCCTTCAATAAGGAAGGGCTCACTGTATGTGGGCAAAGGATACACACCATCAGCTCGATAGAAAGCAGATAGCCAAAATCTGACAACTGCAAGCTCAAATACATCATCAACATTACCAGTACTTGCAAGTTCCATCACTCTTTCAAGTACTTCCGCTGGCTCATATTTGGGCAAAGAAAGTCGAGAAACGTCAATTTCAGGTGCAAGAATTCCGGTTTTGATTCCAGCATTTGTCACCAGTGGCCTGGCAAGGCCATCTCTTTTTGCCAACGGTACACACCCACACATCATCTCGGACTCTACTACTCTACCAATCTCACTAACTGCCCTCTGTACAGCATTGACAAAGCTCTTAGAATTACTACCAACAGACATTTCTTTAAAATTCTCCATGAAGGGTCTAAGCTGTGAAGGCAAGCACCAAGAACAAGAACCATCTCCAAAAAAGGCTACAAGGAGATGGCCATCCTGTCTGCGCTTCATGGCAAAGTCTGAGGCATCTCTTGGATCATAGACCCGCCCAGGCCACCATGGATGAGATTTGATTTTAGCCCAAACAAAATCCCCCACATGAAACCCATGGTCCAAATCCCCCAACTTCTCACCATTAACCAGTCCTTTTTCACTTCCATCCGTATCTGCATTCAGAGATTTTCTCTTAGTTACATCCAATTGGTTATCATCACTATCTCTACATTGACCACTGTCCTCCTGAGTGTCCTGCCCATCTTCAATATTTTCACCCCCCACAACTTCAGTATTTTCATTCCTCTTATCGCTTACTTCAACATCGATCCCATCATCACTTGTGCCACAGGTAGGCACACAGTTCAAATTTCCAACTACCTTATCTTTCTCAGTCTTATCAAAGCAGCTATTGCTATCAAATATAGATTCAACAACAGTCTCCACTTCAACCATTTTTTTAGTTGTATCAGCAGCAGGAGCATTACCATCATTATCTTTAACATCACCAACCCAATTCCGATTATCTTCCATCTTAGAACCAGAGTCACCGTTTTGATTGCCAGATGAATTATCTGCAAGAACTTTGCTCGCCGCTAAAATATCATCCAAAGTGGCCATTTACATATATTTCGGACGAGAACAAAAAGCCCTAAAAAAAATTCTTCAATCAAAACGACACCACCGAAAGTTCGGATAAGAGAAATCGACACCTGAAATACCAAAAAAGAAATTGCACACATTAAATAACCACAGGTTGTTAATTACGACTATTAAAATCAACCATAAATTTCTCAAACGGAAACGCGGCAAACACTGACAATCCGAGCGGCAATAATTCGAATTCAAATTTTTTTCAAAAAAGCGTATCAACAATCAAGTGCCGGTTCCCGCAAGACCAATTCACTCAAAGCCAATCCAAGTAAGAAAATCAACAAAAAAAAAATTATCAGAGCTTACTTGCAAAAACACCCACCGAAACTTTATTGAAAAATATATGTCCAAAGAAAAGAAACTGAAGTCCGTAGAAATTACCCGGAAATTTTTGAAACGCTAAACAGTTGTGTGCAAGGCGATGCTCCCTAATCGTCCTCGAGAATCATCCTGAATTTTGTACAAGCAGAGCGCAGAATTAGGGTTTGAGAGATGAAAGATTCGGCAGAGGGAGAGGCAGCTATAGAGCGTAGAGGTGCATCTGTTTCCTAAAAGTAATAATTAAGGAATATAAATGCTGCTTGCTTTGCTGGGTTGGGTTGGGTTGGATTGGGTTTAGTTGAGCTGAGTCGGGTCGATGAGACCAGACCAGACCGGACCGGACTAGGAGTAGGGACTACTACCATTTCCTATTTTCAGGCGATGACGTGTTGGCGTGTTTGCGTCCGTGCCTGACTCCAAATATATATATATATATATATATATTTGACTCCAAAAATATTTATAGGAACAGTACTCGCCGCTGTGGCCGTGGATTTGCATTCATAGCAGCAAATGGACCGTCACATTGGGCGAGTGAATTTCACACACACCACACGCTGGTGTACTTTGCAGGCCGGTAACAGCCAGTTGTCGGTTACAATTTCTCAAAATCATTTCTATTGTCTACCGGATTATTTATATTAAGTTTTAAGTCAAAATGCACCATTATTATTTTATTATGGTTGGATTATTGTTTTAAAATAAAATATTATTATTATTAGAAAAATAATATTTTTAATTAAAAAAATATAAATTACTAAAAAAGAATAAGAACAATTCTGTATAGAAAACAGGCCCAATATACTGCATTAACTCTCTCGTTGCTAAAAATGCAATCTGCTCTTTCCCATGCGAGTAATACAAAACATATCTAGCATTATAGAATTTTATTTTAATTTGTTGTTGAAATTTTTATAAGAATCGTACTTCATCATATAAAATGAAGTAATATTACTTTTAATTTTTATTTACTATTATCTTCTATTTAGAATGCCTTAATATATTTTGTTTTCATCTTCCTTTATCCTTAGGTTTTTACTCTTCATATGTTTGTACCAATTTATAAAAATATTCTAAATAACAATATAAAAATAGAATAAATTATAAACAATAATGAGGGCACAGATTATGGGGAAAATAATAATTAATTAGGACACAAATTAATTGGAAAAGCATCCATCCGTTTAATTGAGTGGCTTACAGTGATCCACTCCGACTCTGCTAACCAATACTCGTATTAGTAGGTGATTTACTATAAAACTCCGTTAATTCATCAGACATTTCGAGAATTGTACTTGAGACCTCTCTCTTCTAAACCAACAATCTTACCATTGACCAAAGGCCCTATCCATATCCCTATCCCTATCCCTATCCAACAAACAAATTGCTACAAAATCCACTAGCATACATACATACCCAATGAAATCAATCATATTTTCATCCATTCCATTGCAGGTGCTGTGCTGTGCTGTGCTGTGATTTGTTGTGTTATTTATTGCATATAAGAGAATAAGAGTGAGTGAGTGAGTGAGTTACACAGATACAAATAAATATCAGAACCTCCTTTCCCTCCTCCTCCTACTCCTTGCCATGCCAAATTCATTAATTATTCATTCCCTTTGTGCGAACAGTAGTATTATCACTGAATGTGTCATCACCTGATAATAAGTAATGTGTATGGCTACAACACCCGCATCTTATCTTATCTTTATCTTTCTCCTACACACCAAAGCTACAGTGATGGATGGCCGACCCACCTACCATCTCCGGCGCCTTCGACCGTACCAGTACGCAAACGCAGCTATTGACGCAGCAAGAATAACTCCCGCAGTTGCATGCCATGCATACGTCGGTTTCTCTATTATCATGCCCGTGCCGCCTCCAACATCAGCTGTCCGTGCAAACGAAGGCTTCTGGCTTACAGACAGCGCAAATCCTAACCCCTGTCTCTCCACCTCGGCTAAGTCGTCAATTTTGGGTTTGAGCCTCGTGGCGTGGGCTATGGCTTCATACTGTTCTTTAGTTCCACCCTCAAGAAAGGACCCGACGAGGCAGCCCTTGTGCACCCAGTAAGCACCAAAGGTGTTTCCAGAGAAATCACCGAAATGAATGACTTCCCCTGCATTATCCCCGTAGAACTGCCAGGACAATGTGAACACTCGGGAGTAGAAGAAAGGAAGGTAATCGAATTCACCAGTTCTTTCCGGATCCATGATTGCAGCAACTGCATGCCTTGCTGATTTTCTGGCTGCATCGACATGCTCCAGTCGCCGGGTTTCTCCAACAACTTTGACTGGAAATGCAGCTACATCTCCGACTGCAAAGACGGAGTTGTTGCTCGATTGCATTTTGGCATTCACTTTGATTCCTCCCTTCTCGAGGGTTAGTTGACCTTCAAACAGACTTGTGTTTGGACGAATCCCAATCCCGACCACAACCAGGTCTGCAGGAAGCTTGCTTCCATCTCGAAGATTAACAGCAGTGACCTGTACACAAAATTGTCAGGCTTTAGATTGCAGGATGTACAGGCCAATATTTGCAAAAATATAAGTTACATGAAGGCAAAATAATCATCATTCATTACTCATACTAGCTGTGGGATACAATAGAAAATCAAAGAAACACTTCCATCCAAAATGGAAGAGTTCCTGTTTAATCTTAAGATCTTCAAGGTTTGAAAGATTTTTTTATCTTCAATATGGTTGCAGTGACTCAGCACAATGCTACAAATTTACCTTTCCATCAGAGTTAAAATCAAATGAAGCCAACACTGTTCCTTTGATAAACTTCACTCCTTTGGACTGGTAAAAGTCCTCATAGTATCCAGCAATCTTAGGGGTAAATAATCTTGCCACTGTAGACAAAGTAAAAATATAAGAACAGTTGACGCTAAATAAGTGAAGTCTGTTATTCAGAGAGCTGGCAGAAAATTAAGGCTACAAAGAATAGTAACTGCAAAAGTTGGTGACAGATGTGAAGAAGCAAACAATAACAGAAGTGGTAATACTATAGCTGACAATAGTCTGACCACATGATAAACGTCAAAACATGAGAAGCATATACAGACAATTTAAGAAAATTACTTACTGCAGTGCGCTTCTGGAAAAACCATTGTCGCATTTAATTTGTTTATCACCAAAGATGCAGCACATTCCATTCCTATATAGCCGCCTCCAATAACGACAGCATTTCCACCAGTAGAAGACTTCATTACATTTACAAGTCTGTCCGCATCAGCCAAATCTCGTAGGTAACAAACATTTGCTGCATCTGATCCATTTACTCCAAACTCTTCCAACTTCAGGGCCTGCAAATAATGCACCGTCCAATCAGATTCATAAATCCATGTCATTTGTTCTTTTAATGGTACAAACTTTTGTTAAGGCCATATTTAGTTAGTTGAGAGTTATTCTTAAAGTCAATCCATGACACACAGCCATGAAACAGCATTTAATTGGCACTTATTTACATTAATGAAAGTGGCTTAATTTGGATAAGAAAGAACAATAGCAGGGTATACACGCCAATTACAGAATCCACATATGATATGCTATCTTCTTCAGGATTCTCTTAGATAATTCTGAGCCAATTTTTAAGGTGGGCCACACTCAGAGTTGAGAAATCTAAAATCAAACCTATTACAGGCCAAGTAAAGCATGAGCGTTATGTCCAAATTGTATGAGGTTAACATAATGTGAACTTTGTTATTTTTGTTCCATTCTCAGGAGGATAGTCAACCACCACAAATTACTTATCGAGACTTGTCGAGGTTAAACTGTTTATCAAGCACAACAATATCAGATATGCAAGATTGTACCCTGGCTCCAGTTGCAACAATCAGATACTTGTAACTTATGGTTTCTCCTGTTGCAGTTAGCAAAGTCTTCCTTCTCACGTCTGCGGACTTAACCCATGTTCCAAGAATCAATTCAATACCTGAATAATTTTATTTAGCAGACTGTAAATAAAACAAAGTAAAACTATCATGCACAATTGCAGCATAATAATACTTAGTGTATCAGAGGAAAATCATTTTTGTCCAAGACCTTGTTACACAAAACGGAAAAATTGAGTTGGGTGCGAATGCAATTACTTCAATATTACCATCAGTACAAATATGCAAGATTAAAATTTCAGCTTCAAGGTTGGAATTATGATAGGAGAAGAGTTTCGGATCAAGGAATTCCGAAATAATTAATTTAAGCAACTTTGGAATTTATTATTTAAGCGTGTCTTTACCATAGTAATATATCTCTCCAATTGAATTTTTCCACACTAATATAAGAAGAATGCAAAATACAAGAATAAAATTAAAATTATCCCTTACAATTTCGCCCATTTAAAACAACTTTTTGTTTATGACTCATTGGTGTCTTCCTAACAATCAGTGCAAGTCATACACTTCTTAAAACACCAGCTCATTTTTCCTAAAATGATGTACTTATTGAAATGAAAAGTCATAGAACAAGTGCAATAGTGCTACAAGAAAATTACCGTGCTCTTTATACCATTTTGAAGTCAATCTTTCCTCATTGGAGCCAACACAACAATGAAATGAAGGGAGCCGTGCAGGAGCTGCATGCAATAAATAGATACAAAGAGTAATCTGTGTAACACATAACAAGCATCATTTTATACATGTAACCAATGAGAGGATGAAAATAATTTCACATGTGAATCCAAGATATAAGAAACAACACATAGAATCTCTGACATAGAAGTGTGTGCACTTGTATGCACTTTTAAAGGTTTTAAAGGTACTAGTATCAATAGTTAATTGCAAAAACAAAATGTTTGCAATTGTAGACTCAGAAATTAACTTCATCTTGGAGGAGTAAATACATATGCATAACTCTGGAAAACATCTATACAATTGTTAAAAACGAAAATTATCAACAATTAATAACAAGAACAAAATGTATGCCATTGTAGGCTCAGAACAAAAAACATTGAACATTTCTGAGATCAACTTTAAGATGCATATTCCAAGCTTTCCAAGCTAAATGGGGTTATTCAACCTTCATTTACTTCAAGGAGAAATTATACAAATATATCATAGATGCAGGTTGCTTAGTAGTATACTGCAAGAGAGACTCTGCAAGGACTCTGTTCTAGTAAGGAATCTACCTTCTGGAAGCAAATAACCTTTGCTTAATGCAGGCCTTTCATAGGGTGCAACCTACAGAACATAAGCCCAATGAACAGCATATTAAACAAATAAGGAAACCAAACCAATGTAGATTGTGATGGTAATAAATCACAGGTTATATTCTTAATCTCACATGATTAAAAATAGAATAAAATGAACACACTCTCAAAACACATTTGGAATATCAGGCCAAGGAACAAGAATAATAAGATTAGCCATGGCATTGACTTCTATGACAGCATATACCAAAGTTTTTAATCAATGCATTAGAAAGATTATATAAGGTTCAACCACACTTGCAGGAGTTTTGAACTGTCTCCAAGTTCCCATTGACTGCCAAGGGACATGAACAAAGCCTTAAAAAGCTATCAGCCACTTCTACAAATAAACTATCCCCCAATATAGCACAGGAATTAATTGACTTCCTTCCATATGTGATGCTTTAGCTACTATAACTAACGCCATCAAATAAAAACAACCAACGTGAACTTATCGTGCAATCAAATCTACTTCAACGCCTACAGTTATGATGTAAAAAGGGACATCACAAGGAGTAAAACGATCAATCTAAATCCAGAACAGAAGACCAGGATTTCCATTAATATTAATCGGTTAGGAGGCGATATGAAAACCAATACAAAACTCAACTGATAAACACCTTCAATTGACGTAACAAAATTTAACCAATATCTCCGTATTACTCGTTTAGCCCCCCTCAGACATGAATTCAATGACATCACGCTCGAATTCAAATAGCATCTCCAAATTCCAGCAGATACAGACCTCAGAACCCAGCGAATACTGTCTAAAATTACACAGATATAACACCACACATTCCGACCACACATTCACGCATAGAGAAAAGAGACAAGAAGTATGAAAATTACAGTCTCTTCAGAAACGATGCAAAGCTCGCCACGAGAAACGCCTCTCTTGACAAATTCATGGGCGGCGTACCCAGCTGCAACTCCTCCTCCCACTACGACGTACACAAACGCTCTCCCCATATGCGTACGCAATCAATCCCCAACTCCTCACCCCCTAGCTTCTGAATAAAACAAAAGATTGCGTATAAGGATTGAAAGCAGAATCTGAGCTACCTTCCTCCCTGCATCAGAATTCCTTCCTTCCTCGCCGCCTCCTTCCTGAGTCAGGATTGACTCATCGTCCAAGTAACCACCACTCTGATTGATTATATACATTTCTTGTCAGTCAGTCTCTATATAATTTTCCCTCAAAATTTTTGAATAAAATACAAAAAAGGATTACAAACGATGGGCCCAAAATTAGGGTTGGGTAATCCCCAATTCCCGCCCATCTGAATTTACTATATTACCCTTTTCTTAATAAAGAGAACTTCAACAATTATAAATAAAATAATATATTTACAAATTACGGCACTGATATCTTATGGGAAAAATATAAATATAAATAATAATAATAATAATAAAAAGAGAGGCATGGGGATCGTTGAGGTAGGGCCCACATGATGGGGATTGGCCAATCAGCGCACAGCAGAAACATTGGATTGGATTAAGTTGGGAAATGTGGCCCGGAAGAGATCAACCCAATCCCAATCTCATGTTTCATATCTACCACTCCATATTTTTAAAATTCTTATAATTATCCTTTTCCATATTTGACCATTCAAATTTATTATTTAATAATATTTCTTAATGTTATATCAAAATGAGTTGGGCCGGGCCGTTTACGTGGTTTTCTAAACAATGGCCCAAATAAGTGTAGCAATTTAGGCCCATTTAGAGCCCAATTCTTACCCGTGCAGTACTGCAATTGTCTTGTATTATTATCATTAGTATTTATTTTCTTTGATCAACACTTAGTTTTAACATTAATTTATTTGTTAATTTGTATATTGGTAGAGCAATGCAAAATCAATTTTAAATTAGTCACGCAGGAATTAGGCATTAGTCTAATCTCATTTAGCAAATATAGCCCAATATAGATATAAAGCAAGTAATTAAATTTGCCCCAAATAAACTAATCCCCTTTCCACGTATCTGTTTTTCATTGCTTCAGTTTGGTGTTAATTAACTTCACACGTGATTAAACACAAAGTTAACCAAGAAATCCCTATTTAATTTTCTAAACACTAGGAAATCTTTAATTTGTCAAATAAAAAATTCTAAAGCAAAACCAAACTGATCATAAGAAACACCACAATTTGTAATAATAGACTTATATATATATATATATATATCCACATATATATGTAGCATACAAAAATATATGTGTAGCATTCTACAATTGTTATTATTACTATTACATATGTAAACTTTAATTTAATGAAGAAGCACAAAAGTAAAATTAAATGCAATAATAGACATATGCGTGATGACTTTATGGTATTTATTAATTTCCATTGAGCAAGTGCATGGACCAAAGATCCTCCATGCTCCAAAGGCCTTCATTTGAATCCGCCGGAGCGAAAGGACCATCAAAGGACTCGATGGTCCCGGGAGTGAATGAGGAAGGCGAAGAATAGGACATTTGATCGACCGCGTGATCCGCCGCGACGCAACAGGAAGAAACTTGACTTGTACTACACCCGACTTGATCATGCATAATATTGACATTATTATTGTTGTTGTTATATATGGATTGTAGCTCTTCTCGTTGTTGGTGATGATCTACAGACGACGGGCTCTGACTTGTCGTCGGTTGTTTCATATGTTTTTGAATTCGAGTTCTCCAAAAATTTTTGATTTCATTGTCGGTCCTGCCAGGAAGATATTTTGCGATTTTCGACCACCTGAAATAAAATAAAATCATTTATGGAGTGTGTTTTTCCAATTAATTTTTGTCACCATCCTACTCGATTAATATTATAAAAATATGTAATATATATATTTTATCTACCTAACATTAAGATTAAGAGGAAAAAGAAAAAAACAAAACACACCCATGATGTTATTCTCCATATTATGTATCCCACTTACTGCAATATAAGAAGAGATGTATTAATGACTTAATTAGCTACTTAAACGATATAGGAAATGAATGATATTGGGGGTGCATAAATCTATCAATATTGGGATATGCCCAGGTCTGTCACTTATTTACATTATTTAGCTTTTCTTCCAAAGTATTCGATGCTTAAATGATACAAAAAAATCAAGTAATTAATCCATTAAATCATGTTCTGTGGCTGAAATCATAATGCATGTTCTATGGTTGAATCTTAATGCAGTCCCAGCTTTATTTGCATATAAAAAGACCATATGTATGCTCAAAAACCTCCTACACCATTATATGCAATTGACTACCTCAATGCCAATTAAAAAATTATTTATATTTAGTGATGAGAGTACACTAGTGTGGGAAATTTATTTTTTATTTATGGAAGAAAAAGCTTAAGATGGCATATCATATCTCAAGCCCTTCTCGTCTGCTATTCCAAAGAAGATATTATAAGGTTACACCATTTTATTTTTATGATATATATTAATTCCAAACCAATAGAAACTTAACAAAATTATTAACTATCATAGAAGTATTATACAGTCTTTTTTCTTTTTTTATTTTTACTTAGGATGATTATTAAGGATTCTTTAATACTACGTATTTATGTATTAGTGAACCCATAAGAACTAAAATAATGTTTACCCTATCTATCAAGTAAAAAGTACATGATTAATTATTGTTGCATATATGTACAATAATATATATATATATATATATATATATAGGTTGTCTTCTTTAAATTAAGGATTTTGTAGTAATTACAGTGAACTAAAATTATGGGTTTTTTTTCCCCTATGTAGAAAGTAATATGCTTAAAGAGGATGCTACGAAGGTGATGAGATAAATATAATACCAAAGAAAAAGGGTTTATTGGTTAATCTTAATTAATTTTTTAATAATAACTCATGCAAGACATTTAAATGAATATGGAAATTAGGTTTCTGAATATGGAAATTAGGTTTAATTCCCTAGCTAGACTAGCTTAGTCTTTATTCACTCTATATTTATTCACTTTTAAGACATCTTACTATATATACCGCTGTAAGATCATTTTTTTTTTTTAGTTTAATTTCTAAATTTAAAGACCGTGCCATGAAACATAAAATTATACTAGCTAGTATTTGTTAAGCAAAAAGACAAGAATAGAACAACTTTTCAAGATTATATTAATAATTTTTAGTTTATATATTATGTCTTCTATATAAAATGAATTATTCAATTAAAACCATATATCCATTAGAGTATTGGATTTTATATTACAAATTAAAATAGCTTAGTATTGTTTCACGAATTATGATCATAGATCAACTTCCGATATGTTCTTGTGCCCTAATTGTACGCCTAAAAATGATAAACCAATTTTTTATGTTAGTTTCTACAATTTTGAAACCTTATATTTACTTCCCTTCTAATAATAATAATAAGAAAAAAAACAAATAAGTGTGATCAATAATCAAATTTCAAAACCCTAATAAATAAAACCACATATATGTATCTGGAATTTAAATTAAGGATCAAAACCCTAATTACCTGTTTCCCCACTTTGAATGAAGCTCCATGATGAGAAGCTGCTCTTCCGGTGTAATATTTCCGCGCTTCACATCCGGTCTCAGGTAATTCAGCCATCGCAGCCGGCAGCTCTTCCCCGTGCGCTTCAACCCTAATTAAATATTATAAAAATAAATTAAAAAAATTTAGGGTTTTCATGGATTTCTCTCCAACATATGCCAGCCATAGGATAGATAAATAAATAAATAAGAGATCACGAAAAATGAAACCCACTACAAAAAACATATACATACGTGTATATATATATATATACACACAACACGCGCACATGGTTACGTACCAGCAGATCGAGCAAGAGTGTTCCAAACACCTTCGCCGTGATTAGCAATGTAATTCATGAGGATGAGGTCTTCTTCCATTGTCCATGGACCTTTCCTCACTTCGAGGTCTTCCGATTTGCATGGCTTTTTATCCATCGATGCCGTTTATATATAACTTGCAGCAGTTATATATATATATATATATATATATTTAGATGGGATCGGATTAGATCAAGAAAAAGATCAAATTTCATATAAGAAATTGATTGTGGTGTGTGTGTGACAAATAGGGAAAAGTGTATAGAAATATAACGCAGTTGAAGGAAAATGGGTAGATGTTGTATTTATAGGGACCTTCTTTCGTACTTGGGAGGATTGAGGATATCATTCCATAGCCCGAGTTAACCAAAATTATAATTTATTTTATTTTATTTAGTGTGCATCTATTAGTTGACATCAAAACAGTGAGCTTTATCGCCTAATTAACTTTTTTCTTACTTAATCCATTGCTAGTAGTAGGTAAAGCTCTTAGTTTATTTGTGCACAAAAATTTAGATCATGGTAAGAATTTTGGGTACTTCCAAACATTACAAGGATTTGTTCATTTTCTGTTTGGTTTTGTATTTTTATTTTTACTTTTTATTTCAATAATGGTTGAATGTAATATTTTGTCATATATGAAAATATTGTATTTTAATCAATAAATTTAAGGATTGCACAATAATAAAATTGAAAAAAAAAATTAAATAAAACAAAATCCACATTCTTTTTTTTTTTATTCGAATCGATTTTTAGATGAAACTATAATTATTTTTGGAATATATTTAAGTCTCGTATATAAAAAAAGAGTGGTGGACAAATGAAATAGTTGAATCTAAAAATAAACTTGAAGGTGTAAATTTAAGACCAATTGTATCCGGGTGAAGCATGGTTAAGTTGTTGTCGTATTTTAATTTGTGACGGTAAGATTATGAATTTTCAGCCATTTAGATCATAGGTGAGTGGTCATTCTTTAGCATTTAATTACAATATAGTTCTTTTATTATTTATAAGAGTTCTTGATAGAAAAACTGGTTTTAGAATTCATCACATACATACCATTTATATTGAACTAAGCATTCGCATTAATGCGGATGGTTTACTATAAATAAAATCTACCCATGGCTAAAATAATAAAAATACACTGGATGTAATTAAGTTTATCTGAATATTAATAGCTTGGGATTATTAAATATATGATTAAAGATGCTTTGGTAATGTAAAATATTAATGCACGAACTATTCAGCAATAGTGAATGCCACACAGACACACGACAAACAAGAGCAATTGCATACATACGTGCAATGTAATAAGAAAGGGGCTAGCTGACGTTTTCATGCAATGTGCATGAATTACAGCCTGTAATGAACATCACTACAAAAAAAATATCAAATTTTTAACGATATTTTTTTATTCTTAAATCCATTTTTTCCACTACTAATGATATTGAAAATGAAATTAGTGATGAAATTATGTTAGCTACGTGAATTTTAGAAACAAAATTCTGTTACAAATATACTATTTTTTTTTTTTTTTTTTTTTTTGTAGTGAGTAACAATTATGTATTTTTATATATAAAAAAGATGCATAAAATGGTTATATACTATCTTCTCCCTGTTGTAATCTACTTATACTGAGGAAAAAATGTAATACCTATGTACACTTTAATTTGTTACCAGTTTTGCCCTATATATATATTACTCCCTCCGTCGTCCACTACAAGAAAAAATCATTTTTGTAATAAAACGTTTTTGTCTCTAAATTTACTTTTTCCGTTACTAATGATATTAGAGACAGAATTAGGAATGGAATTACGTTAGCTACGTGAACTTTAGGGACGAAATTCCGTTACAAATATATTATTTTTTGTAGATCTAAACTTATGCTCACTTTTTTTTTTATTCAAAAATATTTTTATTTTTTTTTATTTTTTTTTTTAGCAAAAAATACCTTCTTTTTTTTTACTGTAGAAAGAAAAAGTATTCCTACTTTTTTTTTAAAACTCATGCCTAATCAAATATGTTTAATTTTAGATGACGAAGGCAGTGACGGAACCAGCAGTTTGGGGGGGCAAAAATATCAATTTTTTTATCGTTTTTTTTTTATCGATTCAATGTTTTTTTAAAAAATTCATAGTACATCCGGACAAAAAAAAGTTAAAAAAAAAATCAACGAAACTACATAAAATTCAATATATTTTATTATAAAAAAATAAAACTTAAAGGCTAGAAATATAAATTAACAAACAGATAAAAAATTTATAATATTTTACATTATTAAATAAAAAAATAAGAGGGATAAATTACTAAAAATATATATATTTTATTATTTTTTACACTAAAAAATAGATATATTTTGAGGACTGAAGGGTCCCCTAACCCCATGTAAATCCCCTGGACGAAAGGGAGTACAATTTAGCATGTATATAATATGGTTTTGGAGATTGTAATATCTAAATCAAATGATCAAAATTATGAAATATTGTAATTTATAAAATATCATTATAAAAATTATTATATATATATATATATATATGTAATGCCCCGTGAATTTGGAATGACAAAACCATGCATGCATGCATTTTTCATTTTTGTAATAAAATGGAAAGTCATTGACATGACTAACTTAGATTAAATATCTGGTCTTGACATTACGACATCTACACGTCATAAACTTATTACAATATTCTTTTTCCATTTTTGAACTCATAATTAATTAAATAAAATAAAATTGTCAGAGGAGGATATTCCCACTTCATTGTTTTTGAGTTGACCTATTGAATGAAATTTATGAAAGTGTGTGAAAAGGTGGTAAGAATTTTGACAAGGTTAGGTAAGAGAGATGTTCCTTTAATTCACTTTTATTTTAGAATGGAAAATAAAATATGACAAATCCGTGCACGCAATTGACATTTCAAAACAAGAAAAGGAATAATTATCTTTCGACAAGCAATATGAAAATCCTCATCAATATATCTCAAGGATGATATGAATGCATGAATATTAATATGAATATGAATACATATTCTAATAGAATGGGGGTTTGTTGTTTACATATTTAAATACAAATTATGATTATTCATCTCATATAATTTTCAATAAAAAGTATTATTTCTTTTTTTAAAAAAAAAATCATATCAAAATATTATTTAAACAAGAAAATTAAATAATAATAATAATAATAATAATAATAATAATAATAATAATAATAATAATAATAAGATGATTATTATATATGTATGCCATAATTAGTTTTAGTGCTTGGTGCTCTTACAAAGGTAGATTGGGACATGCATGATGAGATCTAATGGTGCTCAAACTCTAGTAAACTCTTCATGACATCATTTATTAGACTCACAATTTGTTTACGTTGTGTGCGTTTTCTAATTTATTTTTGCACAAAGCGTACTAAATTAGTAATCTATTTCTCTTTAGTATACATATTTTATTAAAAATGTCAAATAAAAAATTATACCCCGAGCCAGAGAGACTCATTCTCTTACGAATTTCTGATATATATTTCTATTATTTCAAAACAACTCAAACACGAAAATACAAACAAGCAGATGACCCTGATTAATTTCGATCGTGCATTACAAATTATCATTTTTATCATATGTTTATCATCATCATTTGTTTCTATTATAGTCCTTACTGCTCACGTTAACTTAACACAATAATATTTGTTTGAATGATGTAATCCATGTGAATAATTAGAATGAAAATCGCAATGTATTGAAACTTAAAATTGAATCACATCACATGGTAGAAAAATGAATGATAAATATGATAGCTTAGCATATATAATGATTAAAAGTTGCATAAATTATTACATCTAGATTTAAGTTTCTTCTTTGACTACTGTTAGAGGTAAAAATGTTCTCATAAATTCATTGTACACGTTATGACAAATTAAAATGAATGCAACTTCTTTAAAATAAACTAAATAAATAAAATAACTAAGTCATTGGTGACAATGTGTGTGGATATATATATAAAAAAAAAAAAGAAGAAGAAAGAAAGATTGTGGGCTACACTACTAATTGTTACTAAATGAAGGCACTGGTTTGACTCCAACATGAGTTGGATGGAGTGAAACAACAAACATTCGTACCAAATTGTACCAGATTAAATTTAATAATGTTATTAATTAACTATACATATTACATAATTCAACGCAATAAATAGATCATTAATGGTAAAAACACGCACGCCCGCACCGCACTCATATTCTTGCTATACTCACATTTCTGTATATATATGTAGAAGGATTTGTTTCAGTAGTATACACAAATGTATGTATGTATGTATGTATGTCAGTATGTGCGCTTTTAGATCAATTTAAAAATTACCACACAATTCTTACTCATATAATATAGTGTTATCTGCACTAAAAATTGATGTTATTCGGCCATTCAATCCCTAATCTTTCAAAAAAATCAGCTGGATGTTGATGTCTGAAGCATTTTAATTTAGTTATCTAAATCTTAAATTTTAAATTTTTTGAGCATTTAAAATAAATAGAACTATAATAATAAAAAAATAAGTAATTATTAATGAAGCCTGCATAGGAAATGCATAAATACCGTTTTATCTGCAAATAATTATACAAATAATATTTTTTACGTCATCATCATTATTGTTGTTAGTATCCACCACGCATTGTAATGATTTTTTTTGTCAACACCACACGTTTAAATAAATTGCAAATTAGTCCTCGTTAATCAAGAATGCACAAAGCACACCAACATATTTGTGTGAACTAGTGGTTGAAATAAATGCGCAAGAATCGACACACACATATAATATTATATATATATATATATAGGTGCAAAATAAAGAACAGGAATTAGGCACAATAAATCATCGATTGAGATCAAATTATACATACAGGGTGGAAGAACAGGACAAAAATAAATTGTACTAAACTATGATCACTTGTCTTAACTTAAAGATTTCAGCAATTAATTAGTTAATTAATTAAATTGTGTGATATTGATTATATTCCTAACATTAGATGGTCCCCAGAGACGACGATTAGCCAGACAAGGTCGCTGAAAAAAATTAATTATTAAGTTAAATTAAGAACACTTGTCACAAATCAATCGAGTCAGTTTAAATTAAAAATATATATGACGAGTGGCTCACAACTGTTATGAGTTTGACATGAATTAATGCTATAAAAGTTTCGTGGAAAGGATTATATTTTTGGAAAAGCAGCAAAAGGTTTACAGATTTTAAAGGTCGTTCATATTCTTTGTTTTGCTTCTAAAACTGACTGTTAATCTTTCTAATTTCGTCCTGTAGTGGTAAGTACTGAGTAAGGAAATTTGCAATTTTTTTTATTATTTCAGATGTGTTTATTTTGAATTTTGAATTTTTTATATTTAATATAAAAAAATATACCGATAATATAAATTTGTAATATTTTATGTTCAATTCTTTATTTTTCTAAATTAATAGACTATGTATAGTATATATTTTATATAAATATATGTACTTATATTGTATTTTTAATAATACTAATACAAAAGTATTGTAGACAAAATTGATTCAATGAACACAAATTTTTATATAATATATTATATCAATCAATTATTTTTTATAAAAAAAGTCTTGTAGAAAATGGTCTTGGATGTAAACTTTTAGATATATTTACTTTAGCTTAGTATATTTCTGTTTTGTATTTGTATTACATATTCTTTATGAAAAAAAATAATTTGTAACTGTTAGTTAAAAAATTTACAAAAAGAAAAAAAAAAAAAAAACTCAAAATAAACGGAGGGTTAATGTGTGTTCTTTTAAGTATTATATAATCCAGCTTAAAAATATTATCCATAAAGAATACTTTTAAATAAATCATTTTTTTCCCAAAATGTTTATTAATGCTTTCTTTTTTGTTAATAAAATTTAACATTCTAAACACTACAAATATATATATATATATATATATAATATTAAGCTAGACTGTTAATTTTATTAGATGATATTTTTATTTGAATGTTACACATCGATTTTTTATTTTTTATTTTTTAAATTAACTAAATAATTATATATATTCTCAAACATAAAAAGTTAAATGTGATTATCAATAATTAATCCCTACTTAATTGAGAAGCTATAGATAAAATGGTCCCCCATTAAGTTGTCAAGAGTGGATTAGTGAAACTTCAGATCACATGCCCTAGCTCCTTAATTAATTAAAAGAAATTAATTTGTATCATTTATTTTGATTTTAATTTGAATGATTAATATTAGCCACTAGTATATGGTCATATAGACAAAGCATGCATTAAGTGGAGTTTGTGAAATGTTGCTTACATAATTAGCTTGATTTGATTTTGATTTTGATTGTGGTTGTGGATCAATTTAGGCAAGTTTTAAATGTGGCTTTGTGCCTAAACTTGTGTTGTTACCCTAATCAAGGTATTATTGCATGTGATTGACAACTATCTCTGTTTTGTTTTTGTTTATATATTGATTCATTCATTCACACTATTTTTATCTCATCTTGGACTCTATTTGTTTTCTTATTTCAGTAATAAATAATATTTTTAAACACGTACAACTTTTAGTAAAAATATAATACAATTTTATTCTACTATTTAAATAAACATTCATATTCATATTAATTTCAAACTACAATCAATCAAACTCTTTTGAATTTTCTTTCTTTTTTCTTATCTTTTTAATTAATTATAAGTGTTTGGTAGTCTTGATTGGATTACATTAAATTATGTGATATCTTTTGTCGTGTTATATCTTAATAAAGTATACAATACTTTTGCAATTTTGCTTTAATTTAATATATACTTATTTGTATGTGATAATCTTAAAAGACCATAATAGTTGATATAATGTTATTTTTGAGAAAACTTTTACATATCTATATCTATATATAACTGACCATATTTTTTAGTTTTTTTGCTACATTAGAACCATGTTCAGGGACAAATATATTCTATAATTAATTTACTTAAAGCTAATGGCACAAAGTTTCTATTCTAATATCTATTTTGGAAAAATCTTACCTTTATATATTTTTGAACTCGTGACAATAATGAATGGACCTTGGTGTAGGAAGTTAGAGCAAATTCGTCTTCTTCAGCTAAAACAAGAACTTCAAATCTGTAATTATTGAATTTATGAAGAATATTGCTTATCTATTTAAGAGTCCTAACCTCCATTTATCTTGCCAGGTTCTGATTCCCCTTGTGAAACATGCAGAGGAGAGCTTGGAATAATATGAATATGCTAATTTGGTCAAATAAGCAAACTGATTAGCAAATCATCATACGACCTATCATATATTATTAGGTTAGTATATTAATTTGAAACAATTAGCAAAAAAACAGATAACATATAACATGTTATATATTAAATTAATATTTGCTATTTTTTTGTACGTATTTATTGTTTGGATCAAACTCTATTATATTGAAATAATAATACATTTTGCTAAAATCAAAATATATTTTGTTACATATAATTATAGAATATACTATATGAATATGTGTTATATATTATATCAGCATTTGTTATCTTCTTCATAAATATTTGCTAATTGGGTCACATCAACACTATACTAATTTAACTAAATCAATATGGTAATATGTACGCTTAGATTAAAGTTTGGCAACAAGTGCATTTAGATTAGAGTTTGATATTTCATAATAATAAAATTGATGCGATATAAATAGATATTAAATATAATATTTTAAAATAAAAAAAAATATAATTTTAATTTCATAGTTCAAATAAATAAAAAATAATATATAATGAAATACCAAAACTAAATATAAAAGAAACAAATTGTTATTATCATGACTGCAAACATAAAAAACTATTATAAACAACCACATGTACATACATAAATAAAAAAAATACCCTCTAAAAAAATATACTTAATTTGTTATTTTATCTATCAAAATATATGGTATATATCTTATTTATTTTTTTAATACTTACATTTATTTACATATATATATATATATATATATAAAGCTAGAAAACTTTTTACATGTAAAATATAAGGGTTGGTTTCTTTACCAAAAATTTTTCAACACATGTCCAAAAAAAATTAATATAGTATATGATAACTCATTAATTTTATATTATCTATGCAATTCTTTATACCTTAAGTAAAAGAAAATTCAAATAAAAAAAAAACAAAACAAACACACTGTAAACATACAAAAATACCTATCAAATTTTTGGAATGACTTTATGGTGTGAGGATGGATTCGTAATCGTGAGATTATGGGTTCAAACTTCAACGTCTCCAAATCCTTGTATGTGACAAGTCTTGTCCGACGCCTCCGGATATTGTCTATTACACATTATTAGCCTATTGTGAATTGATACCATAAAGTATCTTGTTACTATATATTTATAATTCAATTAAAATATTAATCATAATTATTTAAAACATAAAAAATAAAATCAAAATCAAAATTTGATTGCAAAAAATGTAATAAATCAAGATACATTTTTAATAATATATAAATCTTTGATTAAAATAAAGGGAGACTTGGACTAAAATCCCTGTCAGTGTATTTTGCTTGCAATTCAGTTCCCATTGTAAATTAATTGATCTGCAGTCCCTACTTTATTGATTAGATATGTTATAACTCCCTTCTTGTATTTTCTACTCAATCACCATTGTATATGCAACATGTACTTACGATTGATTAATAAATACTCCCAATTTTATAATATATACCTACATTACCTCCCGCTCTACCCCCAGTATACGATTAGATAATTCCATTTAAATACTGCGTACCTTATTTTGTGATTTTTTTTTAAAAAAAAAATCACAGAAAATATGCACGATTTAAAAACTGAAACATTCCCTAACTCCCCTCACTCACTCTCCGTTCAAGCCCTAGTTCTTCGAGAAGGAAATCGTCCCTCGCGAACTCGACGATCAGCAGTAAGACATTTTGTTCAGCGAAATGGTGAGAAAAACCGCGAATCCGCCGCGATCCCCCACGAGGAGTTCAAAAAAGTAAGTGTCTGGTCGAAACCCTTTTCGTTTTATGATTTTGTTGACAATCGAATTTTATATCGTAGTTTACTCGATTGTTTGGGGTAGAAGCCTTGGTCCCGTGTTTGTATGCCTCGGTTTAGTGATGAGGAGCCCTGGGTGTTCGGTGTTGTGTTAGTTCAACGGGTGGTTTGAAATTGTTCGAATTTTTGGCCAGGAAACCCGGTTCGGCCGATTTTGGGTGATTTTATCTGTTTTTATCTTTGATTTTGTTAATTTTGGAGATGTATATTTTGTTTAGTTACTCGAAGTTGCATATTTTAGGTTTTTTGGTGGATTGTTCGGTAAATAGTCATATTTGTGGGTTGATAAATGCGGTAATATTAGGCACCAGGAGTTTCATTTGTTTGGTCTAATTTGCCAATTAATATACCTGAACGGCACTGTTGTATACTCGGAATGCGTTTTTACTCCTGCTAAATTGTGAAAAACTTTTAACTAAATTAGAGATTTGGGTAACGTGGACTTATGGTTTTTACTTACAGGCCAGGCAAGGAGCACAAATCGGTGATCAGCCGATTTGCATTACCTTTTTTTCATAATGAGCTGGCCAAACTGAAGCAACACATGAGAGACCAACACATCGCAGCTATAAACATGACACCATTCGGGCATTTTCTGGATTGCCCGAAAATGAAGTTTCCATGGCACCGACTTGTTGCCCTCGTCAATAGCTTCAGTTCGGAATCTATGTCCTTCAAGATTGGAAGTGACATTGAGCTTCCGTTTGAAGTTGAAGAATATTCTGTAGTCTTAGGACTACACGCGAAAGGAGTCTACGTGACCGAAAATACATCGGTCGAAAGCGAATGGTTTGTTCGAATTTTTGGGAGCAAGCCACGTTCTGTAACCCGCGGGCAGGTGTTGCAGAAGCTGCGTGAGGCTCTGTTGCAGGGGCTGGAGCCTCTTTCTGTTGCGGATGTTGCTCGTCTTTTTATTATGTTTGTTTTTGCAAATATTTTATTTTGTTCTGCGAATTATTCTGTACCCCTTTTTTTGTTACCGTATGTGGAAGACCTAAGTGCGATTGGTGACTACGCGTGGGGACCCGCGAGTCACCGTTATCTGTTGAAGTCTATAAGCGACTTCAAGTCCGGGAAAAAATATTTGACAAGCTGCACCGCGGGTTTGTTGGTAAGCAATGTAATATCGGATTTGTTAATTTTTTCTACTTATTTTGGTATATTGCACAATATGTATTATTGTTGGCAGTAATGTCTATTACAATATGTGCAGGCCTGGTTCAATGAGAGGGTCCCAACTCTGGACAAGGCACGGTGCCTTCCGAAGGTACCGCGTCTCTTTCGGTGGCTGAATAGCCTCGGTCCAATGTCCAGGGTTCATGCAGTTGATGAACTGACTTCCATAAAGCGGTCCGATGTTCAGGAATTCTATCGGATAGGCACGGAAGAAAAGTTCGTTCGTGCAATTTGTCATGCTTCAGAGGTAAATGCATTATTCAATGTTGCTACCGTTGTAAATGGATAAAATAATTTCTTATATGACATTATTAACATATGTTGCAGGAAGCAGCGCAGGAAATTGCGGCTTTGAAGGTGGAGCTGCGGAAGAAAGACACTGCAATTGCCAGACTTGCTCATAAATTACAAAGATCTAGAGCCGGTGTTGTCGATGACGACAGTGAAGGTGAGGGTGAGGACGAGAGCGATGGCGAGGAGGGTGATGCAAACTATGGGGATGAAGAGACAGCAGACCGGATGGCTGTGGAATCTGAGAGGAAAGAGAAGCAGGCCGACATGGAGGAGAAGCAAGGTCAGGAGGAGGAGAGTCAGGGTGAAGAGGAGGAGGAGGAGGAGAAGGAGGAAAAAACTGGGGAGGAGGAGAGGCAGACTGAGGAGGATCCCGAGGAGGCAGCGGAAGAGCAAGCGAATACCGAGCGCCGAAGCAAAAAAAAAATGGACATCCTTTTGGCCGAAGTTGATCCGATAAACGAGTCAGATGACGAAGGGGTTGGTAGCCTGCTAGAGTTTAACCAATTGATGGCCATTGTTCCTTATGTTGCACCGATAGATGTCAAGGTAAGCTAATTAATATAGTAATTACAATTTGTCCGGTCGTAGTTGTCTATCTGTTGAATGATTATTTGCTTTGTTGAAATTGTAGCAGGGCGATGACTCCGACCGTGAGACTTGTAGCAGGGCCGCAGATTCATCGATTGTACGTGGTGTAATGGCACGTAAGGATCGGAAGAGAAAGAAGAAGCCTGAATTCGTGACACCCGTGTCGACACCGCGAATTGAGAAAGCGAGAAGAACACGGAGGGCGAAAGGAAAGTCAGCGGTCGACGTCAATAATGAGCAGATACGTAGTTCTATACAAATATAAGTCGTCTGGCTCAAAATACTTCAGATAGATTCATAAATACCTAGTGTTTCTGCGTCAATACCTGTACAATAAATACAGATACCTACGGAAACATGATTATCTTAATTGTTGGTTCAGGAACCATTTGTCGTCGGCGACGACGGGGACTCGGATGCTAAGGTTGTAGCAGACCCTGGAGCACAAAAGTGGGAGGGATATCGCAATAACGACAGCTACTGTGGAAAGGGTTCCTTATCTGAGGATGAGACGAACACCATTGAACATTTTCTCGCGTCATTCGCTGTCCGGTATTGCTATTCACTCTTACGGCTTTATATATTTTTCTCAATCAATGTATTTATCCGTTTGCGACTATCATGTTGTAGGGACACTGTATGGCAGCAGGGCGTCGTGTCTGTCTCGGCCGATGCCGTTTTAGAACTACTGTTTGACGAAGCTGTGAAAGGCGAAGTCATCGACGCGTACCTATATCATCTATGCAGCAATGAATATCAGCTCCAACACAATCCGCAGGTGCGGTGTGGTTGTGTGCCATGGTTCGTAGCGGTGAGTATCCTGTTTGGAATTTATACGGTTAGTATTACAAATCACATTGTTATTATTGCGTTGATTGCTGTGTTCGATTTTCAGAAAGCCGTGAACGACGCGCTATCACGACCAAGCAGGGGAGCGAAAAAGCCGAGCATCAATAAGGGTAATGTACTCGCGTTTGCCAACTCGCTGCAAGTGACCGTAGGCCAAGAGATTGCCGGAATCATGGACAAAATCCGGTCTGGGTGCCGGTACATATTTCTACCCGTACACACCCGGTTCCACTGGCATCTCTGCATACTGGATACCGTCAAACGTGTTGTGTTGGAGTGTAACTCAATGCGCGACCCCTTCGGGCAGGGGAATGCAAAGAAATTGGTACGTCTTTCGAATGATCATAATTAATTGCCTATGGGTAGGGTGAATGCCTTAACGAAAGAGTAACGTTATTTGTGCAGACGCGATTTTTATTGTTGTATATGAACGCGTCACGACTATGGCCTATGGTCAGCGACATGCCCGAGTACATTAGATGCCGACACCAGGGTGAAACGTTGGACTGTGGACCTTTAGTCTGCATATTCGCAGAGTGTTATGCGTGGGCAGGTCCAGATGTCAATGTCGTTGGTGTCCTCGGCGAGGACTTCGGCGATGTCAAGAGCTACCGAGGCACGATTGCGGCGAGGATATTGAAAGGTCCCCCCTTCTGAAACGTAGACCCCGATGGAAAAATAGGGCAGGTTAACACATGTAATGAATTTGGATTGATTTGGGAAGTTTTTGCGTTGTGTGGCGAGGTGATGGATTTGTTGAATGTCTTCAGTTTGGATTGATCTGGGAAGTTATTGTGTTGTGTGGAGGTGATGGATTTGTTTAATGTCTTCAATTTGGATTGATCTGGGAAGTTATTGCATTGTGTATCGAGGTGATGGAATTGGTAAATGTCTTTTATGTGGATTGATTTGTCATCTTCATTATATACCTGCGTTGTGTGGTGATACCCGTTGATAGCTTTTATGTGCCTACGGAAAACTAGTATGTACTTTCATTTATATATTACATGCTCCAGTCATTTGCGTTTGTGGGACTGGTCATTTCTTTTGCACTGATCACTGAAATAGCGTTCACTTTGAATCAGTTCAACCGTGTCGGCGTTTCTCATAAAACCCTACTGGACGCCATGTTTTAATCGACCGGAGATACTGCAAGGGCTTACTCGTTAATTTAAAACAAACAATACTAAAAAAACATGATAATATTACAACAAAATATTTGTGCGGGACATAGGTGTCTGGTAATTGCGTGTGGGCCAACGTCTAGATTACAATCAACTATTTCCTGCGGAATGCTAAGCAACACGTGGTTACAGATAAGTGCTACTATACCTACAACTACGATACCTACAACTACAACACAGATGCCCGCATACGCAATCTGTGTACCCCGTTCAGCGAGTCTGGTACTTAGCTCAGTTGCATAAGTAACGGAGTCATTACTAAAAATACCCTATAGTATCTATTATGTACCTACGGAAATAGCCTTTATACTTCCGTTACCATTTCAAATGCTCTGGTGCCCTGCGGGTGGGGACTCGGCCTTTTCTCTTAAAATATTCATGAACTGATGGTAAGAGTGTATTGGCTTAACCATGGTAGCGTTTCTCGTCAACCCCATAATCTTGACATACGTGTTTTAGGCCACAGATTATACTTACATCGCTTACCCGTTAATTGAATTAGAGCACAATAGAATAGACACGATAATATAACCACAATATAGTTGTGTGGCATATGGAAGTCTGGTACGTAGCTGTGTGCTGAATTTTAATCAATACTACGCCTCCAAGTTATTACACGGTAATACAATTTGAATACTGTATAAACAAAATAAAATATGGTTACTACTCGGACCGCAACCCTATATGTTGGAATCATTATTCATATACCCTCTGTAAGCTATTGCGTACTTAAAACAACCGTGACATTATACTTCAGTTGCAATTATGTATGCCCTGGTTACCTGTGGCTGGGGAAACGGTCTTTTTTTTTTTTTCTTCAAATAGCATGTATTTACTGCTGATGGTTAAAGAAGGCATCAACAAATACTTAGTTGTATGACACATGCAGTTGGTTAGTATGACGAGTTTAATACAACAACTATACCTCCTAGTAATAACCCAAAAATAGGATAGCATGTACTTTCAAAACAATTAGATATTACATTAACCATCCGTCCCTACAGAGCTACATAATCAAATGCCTCAGTACATGAAAAATATACCTGCAGAATATAACTATGAACCTTCACAACTTCATCATATACCTGCGTGAGAGGGCTACATACCACTTACTACTGCAAATAAGTCGATGGATCCAACCGGTTACATCCTAGAGACACAAAAAACAATTACAATATAGCTATTGAATATGTACCTAATGTCTTAATATATACTCCTGGAAGCCAAAAAGATGTACAATGAAAAAAAGGTTCGCTACTCTATTCGTTGCTTGCAACTTCTTCTATTATGTCCAAGACGCCCACAACGACCACATTTTCGTGCATTCTTTACCTGCTGGGACTCGAACCTTCGCTTCTTTGGCCGGCCTGGTTGGACAGACGACGGAGGAGGGTGAATTTGGTCCGCCTCAATTTCAACAATCACGTCCATATCATGCGTCGGTACGGGATTTATTGGCTCCTGGTACGTTTTTCTGTAGCATTCAATGCTATAGTAAAGATCGCAAAAATCATAAATTGACATACTGCATTTTTCAATGCAAGCGCAGGCATGCTTGCAGGGCAATCGGAACATTTGCCATTCTCGACAAGAGCATTTGCGCGCCTCCAAATCGACTGCGTATCTTTCATTACAATCTGTTACCTCGAATACAGTTCTAGAGGATGAACTGCACTGTAGCCGTCGAGACGCCATGTACGATAGTGCCAACTTGCTCTCCTGTTTTGGACAGAGCCTTCCGTGCATTATCTCCGACTTTTCGCGGCGTTCATTCATCATTACCATCACTTGCCTTCTAATGGTATCCAACATCCCAACGAATGGCATTGACCTCGCGGACCTCACCCAACTATTCCATGACTCAGCAATGTTATTATTTATTATTCCCCAACGAGTGCCTCTGAATAGTGAATTTGCCCAACATTCTGGGTGTGATTGGGTAATGAAGTCCCTGGCCAATGGCATTGATTCGACCACAGAACTAATGTGGTTTTCGAAATCTCTCCTCAACGGAGCATAGGCGGCCTTATTGAAGACAGCGGTCCATCGCTTCTTATTATGCATTGGGTATCTCCGCATAACCTAAAAAAAAGACATTTTATGGCTGATCATAACCAGTGATGTTCATTACAAATTACTATTGACGTACATATACCTGGGTACGGAAGTTGTCCACTAAGTGTCGGAGACAGTACGCATGATGTGCTCCGGGAAAGACGCACGAGATTGACTTTAGTAAACCCGAGTGCCGATCCGAGAAGAATGTGTACTGTTTCCAATCCGTGCGTCCCTCACATTCTAAAACAGATCGCAGCTTCCAGCAAAACCACTCCCAATTTTCATCATTTTCCGTAGACACAGCTGCAAGTCAACAAATTAGAACACAAATAACTACAAAGGTTTCCAACGTATAAGGGTACATACGTGCCTAAAGAGAGCATGGAAAACAGCATACACGAACACCTATACCCAGCATTCTAACAAAATGACAACTGTAGCTAATATCAAATTACGTACCAGAAAATGCTAAAGTAAACATCCCATCATCCCCATCCACTGCAATTGCACTTAGCAGACACCCTTTGTGTTTGTTTTTTATATGTGTCCCATTAAGAAAGAGTAGGGGCCTGCAACCCCTCAAAAAACCCAGCCGGCATGCACCTAAACAAACAAAAAGGCGTTGGAAACGTTTGGTTGCCTGCTCAACTTCGCAGTCTATAATACTTCCCGGATTTGACTCCCGAAGTGCATGACAGTACCACGGAAGTTGTGAGAAACTGTCTCTACCTCCACCATTAATTGCCCTTATCGCATTCTCTTTGCCACGCCATGCTTTATGATATTTCACGTCAATCCCATAATCTGTTTGGATATGCTCCCGGATGTCGGATGCCTTATACGCTGGCATAAAACGTATCTTATCTTTGTACACCTCAGAAATCCAGTTCGCATCGGCTGCTGGATGATCTCTTGATTGCAATAGACTCATAGTACATGTGTGATGTAAATTGCACTTACGAATGCTGAATGATGCATCACGAGCATGGAAGGATGCATAAATACGCCAACCACAGCCTTTGTCGATGCACACCGCAATAATTTTGCTCGAATCATTCTTTTGGTACCTGAAGTGTTTCTGAGTGGCAATAGAATAATTCTTCAGTAACTTTCTAAACTCCTGCGGTCCCTTGAATGTCTGCCCTTCCCCGACAATGCATCTCTGCATTGCAATTAGACTAGTACTTTCGTCGGGAATAAAGATACCATCGACGCAATCTTCGTTCAATCCAGAACATTCGGCCTCACCCCTACATTACAAATACAATAATAAGAATGAAAATTATATCAGATGTAAGTAGTTCTAATTTTATATGGTAATAGATATTTTCAGAGTAAAGGGAAAAACATGGGTACCCATCTTACTCGACCGAGTATGTCCACGGTGTCTATGGTTACCTACCGTGTCATCCAGGGTATTTAAAAGAACAACTGCATCTATTCACCGCAGCAGGCTACGTGATGCAGTAAATGCCATGGGCTACAGAAATTTCAACGCATCGATCATGGTACACCTACCTAAACCGGATTGCTAGAGGATATTGACAGTGGCGTGTGAAGAAGGAGTGAAAATCGTTAAATACCTTCAAGACGTTATATCCCCACTACATATCTTTACAATCTCTTCAGTGGTTCGTTCTGCACCGCGCTACTACAAAATCGCGGAGGTGGATACTTACTACCTACAAACAACATCGCAACAATATACCACGGTATTGTTGTATGCCAATATCATGAAAGAATTATTACTAACGTAACCTATAAACAATATGTTTTTAGATGTGTTGAACATGACATTATAAGCGCTTACAGACTGCATTCTTACATACTGCATTATAAGTGCTTACAGACTGCATTCTTTCATAAGGAACAATTGTGACTGCATTCTATAACAAAGTTTAATAAAGACTACTTAATTACAAATGATGAGTAACGTACCTGCGTCCAACCGTGCTTCGGAGAGGCACGCTCTGGTGCTCGCTTCTGCACCGTGCAATCATATCCACAAACATTACCTTTAACAAGATATGCATTCTCCACATATTTGCGACATCATCGTCACACAATAACGTCACGTAGCTTTTCTGAATAGGTGCAATATATTGGAGTTTTACCGCCTCAATACTCACTTTATTCCATCTTTTCGATATATTCCGGTAAAGATCCTCCAGCGTGGTGCCCTCTTCTAAACGAATTACATGATGCTCACCTTCGTAGGAACATATAATTAATAATTTCAGACTACTTTGCTCCATGTCCATCGGAACCTAGCGATCCAACCGATGAACGTATGAACTATATTAGGTCGTATGGGCGATTAGATAATCTTACACAAAATACACTAAAATCATATGTTCTTACGGAATTCTAGTAATGTCTTGATCCTCAATAGCAACAAATTACCCATTTCACAAAATAAATATTACCCTTAAACCCTAAATAGCAACAAAATTTATTATCAAAATCACCCAAGATAATACCCAAACATTTTCTTCCAGATAATAATTTTCCAACTAAGATATCGATACAAAAACACACCTGGTACATCTAATTTCGCCGGAGAACAAGAAAGACGGGCCAGGGAACCGGTGACAGCCTTCGGTAGTTCTTCGACCGAATCAATCGACACAACACACTTGGTACATCTAATTTCACCGGAGACCAAGAAATACGGGCCACGGAACCGGTGACAGCCTTCGGTAGTTCTTCGACCGAATCAACCGACTGCCGACGACAGGGAACCGGAACAGGATTCGGAGAGTGCCCTAGGAAATTTTTCAATCGAACCAGACAAGAAGCTTACCTGTGCGGGATGTGGCTTTCGAGCTCACGGAAGAGGACAACGGCTTCACAAGAATTTTTTGCGCGAAAAGAAACAGAATGAAGAGAAATACGATTAGGGAGGAAGAAGAAGGAAGAAGGAAAAAGGGGGGAGTGCAGAGCAAGTTTTTATCTTTAGGGACTGAATCCCAAATGATAAATTGACAGAGGAATTTTTGCCCAATTGTCCGTAAAATAAATTATTAATGTTGTTTTACTATATAGATTTATAATAAGATTAAAAATAATATTTTTCCAATAAAAAATTCATTTATCTTTCTTAAGATCCCAAAGGCCCAATTTTGGCCTATATAGAAACATCTATACCCTATAAATTCGGCCCAATTATAATTCTCTTAAATTAAGGATGTAAATGGGCGTTAGTGAGGTCCAAGTTGGACATTGTAACCCACCTAAGATTTGTCTATACACTTGAAAAGCAAAAGCCAATAATTTGCCATCATCGTATTTCCTTGTCTTTTACAATTTATTTATATGAAAAGAAATTACCTTTTATGTTAATATGTACACATAAAATTTGTTCTAGAAATGTGTTGGTGGCCACTTGTTTCGCTGCACGTGTTACACCAAATCCATTTTGATTTTTGTTCTTTTTCTACGGATTACCGTCACCGACGAGACAAACCAAAATGAGCGCAGATTTATCCTCCACCATTCCCGAGTTCCGATCTCCATTGGCAAAAGAAGAATCCAGTTATACTTCCGGCCTTGCAGGCTTTTATTTATAGCTGGACTTCTTTTTTGTTCCGATTATGTAAGTTGTTCCTTTTCTGCTATGTGCCTCCAGTGGTTTCGGTTTGAATATTGAATGTTTGTGTTCGATTGATCGATGCCTGCTGGATGTTTTTTCGATGTGTATTTAACCGTTGTTTTTCGTTTATTTAGCTTCTACTTGTTGTTGTCTATTTAGCTTCTCCTTGTTGTTGTCGTGGTGGCGGTGGTTGTTTTAACTTTTAAACTATGGAGGAGATGCCGCGCCGCCCGCGCTCTTTCCTTCTACTTTTAATCATGGTTTTGAATTATTTGATTTGGAATTGACCTGCAATATTCGTAACAGAATGCAGCTACTCGTGGATGGAGATCCTACTAGCTTGAGTTATTGGCTGAATTGGAGGGTGCTGCTCTGTGCAGTATGGGTCCTCACGTCTATGATTGTAGCGATACTGCTAATTTGGAAGTATGAACGTTCAGAAGATTTGGAATCTGATGGTGAAACTTCACGTATTCCACGCTATGATGATTTGTGGAAGCCTTGCGTAAAAGAAATACACCCCATATTTATGATGGCCTTTCGGATCATTGCTTTCTGTCTGCTTCTTGTGGCTTTGATCATCGATGTTTCAGTGCATGGGTTTGAGTTATTTTTATATTATACTCAGTAAGTCATTGTTCTACATTGGCAACTTCATAGTGTAGCTGCTCCACCCCAATTGATCAGTACAATAATCTAAAACTTACGAACTATGTTATTGGCAAGCCAAAAATGCTACAATTCTTACACTCACACATGCTCGGACTTGGCCTTTTTAGTATCTGTTGCATCCTCTTGTCAATTATGCTTTTCTACTTATTATCAAATTTTATCTAACCTCATTTTGTGTGTGTGTGTCTGCATTTCTGACAGGTGGACTTTTACATTAGCCACAATCTATTTCGGGGTATGATTTATGGAGTTTATTCTGAGCTAAAATTGATAATGCAATTCCACAATTGTGATCACTTTGGTATTTACATCATATGTCTGATCAGATGTATGCATGAGCATATTCTCATTCACCGCACTTCTCGCCTCATACCTCATGTTCTCTGGTTTCTCTTGTAGCTTGGGTCGTTGATTTCTATGCATGGATGTTACCATTACCTCCAAAGAAATAGCACTAAGTACCATTTACCCACGGATGTGGAACATGGTTTAGATGTTCCCCTTGCACATGGAAAGAATGGAAATGGAATCAGATTGTCGGGAATTTCGAGCTATTTAGGAAAATCACATGATTTGCCCAATCATCGCTTTTGGGGATTTTTGTTTCAAGTTTTGTACCAGGTATGTTATATGTTTTATTCAATGTGAGAGCTGCTATTACTAAAAGATGGCTCAATTGTTGTAAGCTTTGATTGCACACATAAATCCATGCCTTTATTTTTGTTTTATATATGGACTTTTTTTTATCTTTTTTTTCAATTGTTAATTGATCATCCTTGGCCAAGCAACACCCTATTTTGCTATGAATATATGATTCCTAATTGTAACTTTGTAGATAAGCTCTGTCGTGACAAGTATCTTGAGAAGGTTTTATAGTATGGTAGAATTGTTTGTGTATTCTAGATCTAGTTGACATAATTATATTTAAAATCTCATTGCATTGTTCATACAGCATTATTTTTGCGCAATGTTGTTAACAGACATACTTCTGTATGAGCAGATGACAGCAGGGGCAGTAACAATCACAGATGTCGTCTACTGGGGTGTTATATTCCCATTTATGACCCTCAGAGATTATGAGATGAATTTGGTAAGTATGTAGCAGCTATGTAATATGTGGACTTCTGCTTCTGGCTATTGATTTACTAATTGTTAGGTCATTTAAACAGTCTTTATGGATTCACAAATTGCTGTAATAATACTGAATTTATTTTGGGGATTGCCCTGCATTTTAACAACCTTAGTCTTTAACTACCACATATTTATGGCCAACACTTATGTTTTCCCAGCAGCACCTTGAATTAACTTTTCACTATCATATTTTGAAGAACTAATCATGGCATTGTAAATCTCCAATACAGCATGTCCTGAATGGTTGCCTTGTCTGGTGATAAATTTACAGGATGCCATTTTCACATAATGCATATGTTCCATTTCAAGAGTTGAAACAATCACTTTACAAGAATCTACTTATTTTATTTTTTGTACTGCTTATTCAATGTAAGAAGTATGCCTTTTCTTTTGATTAGTTGACAGTGGTAACACACTCACTCAATGCTATCTTCCTTCTCGGAGATACGGCTTTAAATCGTCTGGTGAGTATTTCGATGCACATTTTATGTGCCCTTTTATCCATTGGCGTCAGAACTAGATTATGCAGTTGGCTTAAATTCATCCTTGAATCCCCAATGCAGCCATTCCCAGCTTTCCGGATTTCGTACTTCATTTTGCTGACAGGTGTATATGTCATCTTCCAGTGGGTATTTCATGCCTGTGTCTCAACTTGGTAAGTCTAATCCCTGATTTAAATTTGATTCAAGTAATATTTTGCTGATCACTGCTTTCTGTGTAGGTGGCCATACCCTTTTCTTGACCTTTCATTACCATATTCTCCATTGTGGTAAGCTCATTATGTAATTTCTTTCAAAATTGCATGCTTTTAGCTTTCTCTCATGTATCCACCTTTTTGTAAGAACAGTGTCAAAGATGGAGTCTCTTTACCATCCTTGAACAAACTGTCTTAACTCTTCTAAACTAATCCACTAAGGGTGTGTTTGTTTTCCGTCTAAATCAATTTTGGAGATTTTGGGTTTTTATTTAAATAATGGTTTATGTGATATTTTGTAAAAGTAGACTTTTTCTTTTTTGGAAACTGTGAAGTCCAGATAGTAAAAAACTGAAAAAACACACCCCAAGTCCCACGAATGGTTATTCTATGAGCTCCAATACAGGTGTTCACATTCTACCAGTCAGAGTGTAATTTATATATTCCCAATTAAGATTGGTTTGATCGGTGTTGACAATTGAATTTGCAGGTATTTGATAGTGGCACTAATGCATCTCCCATGCTATGCTTTTTATATGCTGATTGTGAAAGTAAAGCAGATGGCGCTATCCAGATGGTGTTCTGATTCACTCTGGGTAGAGTGAAAGAAAATCATGTCTTCCATATTTGTGTTTTCTTCTGCTTCAAAGGTGTTCTTGAATTCGGGGGCCAATGGTGAGGTGAAATGTGTAAGGAAAGATGCATAATTTTGAACAGAACAGCGGCACATTGCAAGTGTGTGTGTTGGTTGGTCTGTGAGACATGACATGACATGGCTGGGTTTTGATGAACATTGCTCCGTTTGGTTTGTCTATTGCTCTTATTTGCTCTTCTGAAGACTGCTCCTTTGGGGCTGAGGACCCTTCCTCAGACAGCTTGTTGCCTCTGGGCTCTGTTGTTCAAGGAAAAGTTGCTACACGCTTTATCAACGAAGTTGCCTCTATCATAATGGTGAGAGCTTCTTTCATGTTTTTAACTAATTTATTTGAGATTCGTGTGTTTGGATTTGAATTATTGATTTTTTATTTTTTATTTTTAAAAAATGAATATGATATTTTTATTGCATTTCAAACTATTGATATAACACCCTGAGAACAATTACATACCTGGTCTACCAGGTTATTATTTTCTGAAGAATCATTATTTTAAATTAAAATTAAAATAATTAAATTAAAATAAAAAATTATAAATAATGAATTTTAATATATGATTTAAATTTATAATTATATATATATATATTTTTAAAAAAAAATATAATGTAAGACATACCGAGATAAGGGATGGAGAGCCTAGTAAAGATTTATGACATGTTCAAACTTTATAATATTAATTAGAAAGCTCTCGAAAAGTTTTTATTGAAAAAAAATACACTTCAAACTTAAATCATGATGGATGTGTGTGTGTGTGTTTTTTTTTTAAAAAAAAAAAATTTAAATTTAAATATTGGAATTTTTTAGGTGATATAATTTATTATAGATATTAAAAAAAGTATATAATATACCTTCTCCATACATAGCGTTTAAGAAATAATAGTATTTTAATTATAATAAGGGTATTTGTAGAAAAAAAAAGTAAAATAAACGTCCTTATAAGTGGACGAATGAAGTATATTTTATTACTTAAAAAAATCAATAAAAAAATATTGTTCTCTCAATTCGCAATATTTAGTTTATTTAAGTTTAATAAACAAATTAAAAAAAATATATTTTATTAAAAAAAATCAATAAAAAAATATTATTCTCTCAATTCGCAATATTTAGTTTATTTAAGTTTAATAAACAAATTTAAAAAATAAATATTTTATTGAAAAAAATAAAAAATATAAAAAGTAATTTGAGGTATTTTTGAAAATTTAATTATAGTAATTAAAAAGAATATAAAGAGAGAATGTAATAAAATAAATGATATATGTTGTAAATAAGTGTAAAGAAGAATTAATAATTAAATATTTATTTTTTTATTTTTTTTTAAATATAGTAATAAAATAAATTTAAGAAAAATATGAAAATAAATTTGGCTAGAGGTAGTATTTTTATATTATCTATATCTTTTTATTTCTATTCATCTCCTAAAAAACAATTTTATTTATATTTAAAATTTTATATCTTTTATAAGTTTAGATTAATACAAAATAATATGTATGGTATACATATACAGTTTTTATTATTATATAATTTTTAAAATATTTAAATATATATTCGAATTATATAGTATATTAAATTTATTTTAAACATCATTCGTGTCACACTGTCACTAATGAAAAGATACGTACAAGTAATTTCCCACCCAGCCTACTTCATTTTATTTTTATAAGTAAAACAAAACAAAACAAATACTAATTCACAGTTGGTCACGCTCCCAGTCTAAAACGGTAAAACACAACCCATCTTCGGCGTTGCTTAAACCCTAAACCCCCCAACGTCTCTGCCAGTCCATCTTGCAATGGTGCCACTGGGGCGGAAGGCCAGTCCTCTGCTCTCCAATATCTTATGGCGTCGAATCAAGCTACGCACGATCTGTGGCGGCCGCATTTTCCGGGCGGCATCCTCATCCACTGCACAAACGCCAGCCACCGATTCCGCCACTGTAGCGGCGGGGAAGAAAGTTCTGGAGACGTTCTCCGAAGAATTTGAAGTCGGTTCGCGGAAAATCACCCTGGAAACGGGAAAAATAGCGAGATTTTCGAACGGCGCCGTTGTTTTGGGTATGGAAGAGTCCAAAGTGCTGTCCACGGTTGCCTCTGCAAAGGGCGACGGCAGTCGTGATTTCTTGCCCCTTACTGTACGTGCTGCTGTAGAAAATATTCACTTCCGCGTGAATCCTTCTGTTTGTTCTGTTGATAGCATTTGTTTGGAATTGTCGATGTTTGATACCCGTTTATGCGCTAGCTAGAAGCTGTACTTGAAGCTATGTTTGCTATGGAATCAATCCTCTTTCAGTTCGCTGGAATGTCCTTCAAAGATTCACATTGTTGCCCTAAACAGTCATTTCTGGCTAATGATGATTATTGCATCTCGTATTTTTAAGTAATCATTGGCAGAAGCACGTAGACTCACGTGTACGACTCTTTTAGGCTTCAGGCTAGTTCGAATGCATTAGGTTTGCGTGCAGGTGACGAAGATTCTTTTTCATAAGAAGATTTCTGTTTTATGAGATGCTCATTTAGTGTCTGAATTAGCCTATTATTCTTTCACTACTATATATTTTCATTACATCATTTAATTTTCCTTTTGTGTTGGTGACCCATATGTTTGATGGTTTGGTTATTGCAATTGTTATTGTGGGAGGTATTTGGGCCCTCTATTGCTTCTTTTTACAATGAATGGAAATGCTTTTGTTTCTACAAGGTTGACTATCAGGAGAAGCAGTTTGCTCAAGGGGTGATTCCTAGCACATTCATGCGGAGGGAGGGAGCTCCCAAAGAGCGTGAACTTCTATGTGGCCGTCTTATTGATAGGCCTATAAGACCTCTATTTCCGCCTGGATTTTACCATGAAGTCCAGGTACAATAATAATCTTGAAGATTTGCCAAATCTTGTCTCTCAGAACTAAACTTCTGCTGTGTAACTACTCATTTTCTCTTTCCAGGTCATGGCAAGTGTCCTCTCATCTGATGGGAAACAAGATCCAGATGTAATGGCAGCCAATGCTACGTCTGCTGCACTGATGCTATCAGATATTCCCTGGGGTGGTCCCATTGGGGTAATACGTGTAGGGAGGGTTTCAGGGCAATTTATTGTTAATCCCAGCATGGATGAGGTATTCCAATGCTTTTCTTTTTCAATGGCTTTTCCCCATAAATTTTTGGAAGTTTATAAAGATTTTTCTCTATTTATAACTACTATTTTTAATAAACATCTATTTTAAGTTTTTTGTACCACATTTTTTGCTGATATTACCCAATCATCCTGTAATTAACATGTAAAATCTATCAATCCATCCATTGATTGGGCTGTTGATAGCACCTCACTACTTATTGTCACGTGTTCTACTTTAAGTATAAAATATTCATCACTTACTCATTTCAGAAGATATTGCTAGCTCTATTATTAATGCTACTGGAATTTGTATTTTTGTGAGTTTCAAAAACTGTAGAAGGGGAATACTGATAAGGGTAAAGCCTAGTTAGGTTTGAAGCTTTGTGTATGATTATATATGGGCTATATGTGACATGATGTTGTTGAAACTCTATGTTCATTTCTCATGGATGTGTTGCAGCTCAATTTGAGTGATCTTAACTTGGTTTATGCGTGCACAAGAGATAAGACTTTGATGATTGATGTGCAAGCGCGAGAGATATCAGAAAAGGATTTGGAAGCTGCTTTAAGATTGGCTCATCCTGAAGTGAGTTTGCTCTGTCATTTAATATTGGTCCATTAGCGATTTCTAATATCTAATTCATCCATAGGCAGTTAAATATCTTGAACCTCAAACAAGGCTAGCAGCCAAAGCTGGCAAAAAGAAGAAAGAATATACATTATCCATGGTGTCCGAGTCAACATATGAAAGAATCCGAAGTTTGGCTGAAGCTCCAATTGAAGCTGTGTTCACAGACCCTACATATGGCAAGGTTTTCCATAAAATACAAAATACTTATTCTGGTGTGAAAATTCTGCTTTCTGGTCACTTCAGAATTTTATTTGTGTATGGCTCTTCTTTAACATATGCTCTGTTTTATGGTTTTATGCAGTTTGAGAGGGGAGAGGCATTAGATAATATTACCCAGAATGTAAAAAGAATTCTCGAGGAAGAGTGTGATGAACATGGCCTTAAAGTTTTGTCTAAAACAGTTGATAATGTTCGCAAGCAGGTATTTTAATCAATATGTTTCCTTTATTCTAAAAAAATAAAATTGTTATGAATCTCTCCAAAGATCCTCAAGTCTCAAAGATCATGCTTGAGTCTTCCAAGAATGATATTTGGTGTGCTAAAAAATAAGCGATAAATGGTTGCAGAAGGATGTGTTTGAATTATTTAATACTATAAAAAAGGAAAATTATGCATTTACAGGGGAATGTCTCCCTTCATATTGTTTTAGTTGTTGCATCTAAGTGCCAACATGTTAAAGTTCTGGACACTGACAGGTTGTTCGCAAAAGGATAATTGCTGATGGAGTGAGGTTGGATGGACGAAGCCTTGATGAAGTCAGGCCTCTGTATTGTGAAGCTGGTAACTTGCCTGTATTACACGGTTCATCAATATTTAATCGTGGAGATACCCAGGTCAGTAGTTGTGCTGCCTAGGTGAAGAGAGTTCTGCTGATGAACATGATGATAGCTGAAGTTTTTGAGACTTACTTATATACTTACTGATGGGCTATTATATTTGTTGGTTTCAGGTTCTCTGTACTGTAACTCTTGGAGCACCTGCAGATGCTCAACAGTTAGACTCTGTGGTTGGTCCTCCATCCAAGAGATTCATGCTGCACTATAGTTTTCCACCATTTTGCATTAACGAAGTTGGTAAAAGGGTTGGCCTGAATAGAAGAGAAGTTGGGCATGGTAGGGTACTGATATTTATCTGCATATATGATTATCTATGAATCCCTTATCATGTATGTGATAATGAGTATTTATTGGAAAAGAAGTTTCTGGAAAGCACACTATAATATGGTGATTACATTGTCTTGACAGGTACTCTTGCGGAGAAAGCTTTACTTGCTGTGTTGCCACCTGAAGATGATTGCCCATACACTGTTCGTGTCAATGCAGAAGTCATGGCATCTGATGGATCTACGTCAATGGCATCTGTTTGTGCTGGTTATCATCCAAGAACTCCATCCTTATTTATTGCATTATTATCTTCTGAGCAGGATGTGACCAGGAGTTTTTTCTTTCTTTTCTTGAATGAAGAATCTCTTTCTTACTGGGAATTGCATGCAGCACTCCTTATCCCATTTTAATTAATTGATTTTCACCAATGTACTTCATTCATGATACCACAAAGTGCATTTGACTTTGTAGGCAGCATGGCTTTAATGGATGCTGGCATACCTTTGAGAGAACATGTAGCTGGTTTGTCAGTGGGTCTTGTCAGTGAAACTGATCCCTCAACTGGTGAAATTACAGACTACAGAATATTGACTGATATCCTGGTAAGAAATGCACACCCTGTAGTTATTTATTCTACTGTGCAAATAAGCAGTACATTTTATTTGTTCTGTTGTATTAAAATTGAATCGAGGAAGTTGTTCTGGTGAGATTCATTTAATTGCAGTGTGGCTTGAAGAAATCTATGTTGCTATAGGAGAATTTGGGTCCAATCTTGTTCTGATCCAATACCTTATTAAATTAGATATTGTAGAGATTTATTTTCTTTGATTTTTTGGAAAGCATTAGTTGGAGAGCAATCCAATTGCATTTGAAATAATGGCAGTGTCTCCTTTTGTTAGAATGTTTTCTATGGTGAAAATCATGTATTGAACCATAGAACTTGCAGAAGGAGACATAAGCTGTGGCCAAAAAACATTAGCCGGTGCTAGCCAAAAGTGGTTTAAGGCTGAGTGGAATTCTTAAAGATGATGTATCAATCTTTCACAAACTGCACTTTTGTCTCTTCATCAGTCTTCTATCTCATATATTATTGAGTTATAGGCTTATCCCACTGGAATAACACAAACAGAAGATTGTTTTGAATGATTGAAATGCTTATCATTCATTTACAGTATAGTGTTCTCATTTTTCGTTTTATTATGAGAATTTGTTATTTTATCCCATCACTAGTTTGTTTTGAGAGTTACCTCTTTCTGCTTAACTATTTTCTTTATATTCTTATGTAGTTACTGATATATTTCAAAATTTTTCATGGAAAATTTAGTATGACCTTACAGAGTTGCATCTGTTGTATTAGTCTTTAGTAGCTCTTGGTTTGTATATATATATATATATTGATTATTAATGTAGTAGTTTCACTTTTGTGTAATATTTATAGGGTTTGGAAGATCATCTAGGAGATATGGACTTCAAAATTGCTGGAACCCGAAATGGGGTTACAGCAATTCAGTTGGATATAAAGCCTGCTGGAATCCCTTTAGACATCATATGTGAGTGTTTAGAGCCTGCCCGCAAGGGCCGCCTTCAGATCCTTGATCATATGGAGCAAGAAATATATGTGCCACGTGCTCAAGATGGAAGAAATTCTCCACGAATTTGTAAGTGACCGTGATCAATCACTTGTGAGTTAAGATGAGTGATTGAGAACATTCTCTATATCCTTTGAAGAGGACCAAATCAATAGCATCATGTTCATTTCTCAAATGTCTCTAACCATCTTATTCATATGAAAATTGATGCAGTAACTTTGAAGTACAGCAATGATGCAATCCGCCGTTTAATCGGCCCTCTTGGTGCCTTGAAGAGAAAAATTGAAGAAGAAACAGGTATTGTGTGGTTTTTTTGGCTTCATGCACTAAAAAATGCTTGCTAGTATTGTTGTATTCAGAGTTTACTTAAAATTATTTGTGTTGTCCTATGATGGTTTTTGGAACTGTATGCTGTTCTCTCATTGATTTTATGAGCATGGTTTTTTTTTCAAAGTACCATCTACTTGATCTTGGAAAGTGTCATGCTGATTGGTCTTGTTGCTGATCAGCATTGCTCACGTGAGCTTTTATGTGCATACTAATTAATAAAAGGTTGAGAAATTTTCATTTAGTTTTGACTTCTGTATATGCTTTCTTACAAACTTGATTGTTCTGTGTAACTCCTACGATTGTCTCGTGCTTGTTCGAGTTTATGGTAGCGAATTTTTTATTTTTTGTTTTTTTAATGCTGATTTTCTTTGGTGCGTTGCCTACCGTTAGTTCTTGACATGTGTTTCTGATTGTGTAGGTGTTTGATATTTTGTATTTCTTATTTTAACCCTCTATTGGTGGTGATTATAATCAGCCATTCTTTTTAGCTTGTGGTCCTTCCCTATGCTGTTCATTTTTCTCATCCTATGAGTAAATTGGTTTGTGTGAATCTAAGATGAGTTTTTAGTTGGTAGTTATTTAGAATTACATCTCACTATGATAAGCATTTTGAGAACCTAACTCTGTAACAGGTGGAAAGATTTCAGTAGGTGATGGTTCTGTTACAATAGTTGCTAAAAATCAATCAGTACTAGACAAATTGATGGAAAAGGTACTGGTGCCATTTTTTTTTATGTATTTTGCTCTATCTGAATTGTTGTTTGGTTGCCACTAAATTTGAAGACAGTCCTTATCATGGACAACTAATACCATTGAGTTGATTTCTCAGTAGTTATAATACCTAAATATCAAGGTTTGTAATCACAATAAATTTTGCAGTTTGTGAGTTCCCATCTGGGTAAGTAGTTGGAACAGCGGTCATCTTGAAGCCATCTAATACTCTATTTCTTGCCTTTTCCACCCTTGGCCATATTGAGACCCTCATAATTGGGGTGATTTTTCTTTGAGAAATAAATGCACATGGAATAATCATAGTCTCATCATATTTCTGATATTAATGTATTTGGTGGCCTCATGTTTTAAGCAATATCCTGCAACAAGCATCATTAATATTTTAAGATTCTGTGTAAAGTGATTTATTTTTTCTCATTTATGTTTTTTCACCTTGTTACCAACAAGAAGCTAGTTCATTCTGTGTGCGCTCCATATAATTGACTTGCCTTTAAAATTGTTATTTTTAGATTGATTTCATTGTGGGCCGTGAGATTGTGAAGGGTGGAGTTTATAAGGGCATTGTAACTTCAATTAAAGAGTATGGTGCTTTTGTGGAGTTCAATGGAGGTCAACAAGGTCTCCTCCACATATCAGAGTTGTCGCATGAACCGGTTCGAAAATTTTTACCATACTTGCAGTTACACTCTTCTATTTAACCAGCTTAATACTTGTACCAGTTTGGATTCTTATGAAGTTCTATTACCTCAGGTTTCCCGAATTTCTGATGTTGTCTCAATAGGCAAAGTACTAAATGTAATGTGCATTGGTTTAGACGTGCGCGGAAATATTAATTTATCCCTCAAAGCCACTTTACCCAAACTAGGACCAAAAACAAAATCTGCAGTAGAACCTGCCGCTCCTTCAGAACTAACACCTAAAGTCTGGAAGCCTGCAAACAATGTGCAGGAGAACCAAGAAGATACAAATGATCAGTCTGGGAGCAGTGTGGAAACCTTATCATCAATTATTATTCGATCTGTGGCTGAGTGTGATGAAGCAGAAAAATCTGCTGGTTTGACGCAGAAGTCTAAAGGTACTACTAGTTCATTCCGATCTGTGTTGAGAATCTTTTTCATGTAAGCAATAATACATTTATCATGCACAGAACATTAACATTAGATATTTACTGTTTCAAAACTTGAATTTAATGGGATTCTACAGCCAAGGCTCCTCCAGCAGATGCTAAGAAACTGAAGATTGGAATGGAAGTGACAGCAAAAGTTCACCAAATTCGTACACATGGCTTAGTCCTTGATTTGGGTGGTGATGTGCGTGGAATGTATCGGTTTGAGGTAAATTTTGATCTTCAGTCTTAATTCGTACACATGGCTTAGTCCTTGATTTGGGTGGTGATGTGCGTGGAATGTATCGGTTTGAGGTAAATTTTGATCTTCAGTCTTAATATTTATTAATTGGGAGTTTAAGAAGAGTAATATCTATAGAAATTAGCAATTTTAAAAGCGAATTATCACACCACTTTTGCCACCATTTTCATTGCAGAATGGTTCCAGAAGAGACTTTAAGGTGGGTGAGGAGCTACAGGTAAAGTGCTCCAGTTTCTCGAGCAAGGGGATCCCAGTAATGTTGTTGGTGTGAGAGTAGAGGAGGTCAGAACGTGTTGTAAGTTCACTGTAGTCTCGGCCAAGAAATGCAAGCTCCTTGCCAGTAAGCTATACGTTTGTGAATCAAAATCCACAGGAGGACCACATTCAGACTAGTCACTAGTGAAATAAATAGCTATTACATCCGCCAGTTCTATTTAATATATATATATATATCAATATTTCTTTGTGAACAAGAACTGTATCCTAGTATGATATGCCATTTTTTCTTGAGGGGAACAGTACATAGCGACAAGGGACCATAATTATTCTAGAAAAAGTTTTGGTAATCTAATCTTGAGAAGTTTTTATATATTTTTTTAGGGATTGCCTAAGGGGATGGATGTTTGAGGTGGACCTGCCAAGGGGTGATTTTTGGGATGTGACATCCTGCTGTCTGCTGCTGAATGCTGGTCTTGTAATTATAGGTAATAGTTAAACTCTTAAATTCCAACATTCTAGAAGTAATAAACTGACAGTCAATGTGTTCTTTTATATTGTTGATTCATTTAATCTCCCCAATTGCGATTAAGGTACTTAGAATATTTTATTCAAATTTCCAAGTCCAGGCTAGAGTATCCCTCGAAAGTCAGATCTCTAATTTGTAGAAAATTGTTGATTCGAGTCTTCCACTTTGAACCTGAGAAGCTGAGACTTATTTGGATGATTGGAACCAATGCTTTTGGTGGTTTGTGCGGCCGCTTGTTTTGAATTTTTATATAAGAAGAAAATTAGAGTGTGGGGACCATGGTGTCTGTCATCTTCAACTACTCGTCCAAACTTCTCCTCCACCTTCACCTTCACCTTCACCTTTAAGCTTCTTCAGTACCTAAATCCAACTTCATTACCGTATTGATTAGAAAATAAAAAATGTTTAGTTGTGTATTAGGGTTGTTTACGAAATAGTAAAAAATGGAAATAGAATTTTTAATGTATTATCAATATATGCTTGATGATGAGGTATTTAAATATAAAATACTCTTTTTTAAAAATAGAATTGTTTAATTGAACCAACTTTTGGTTTGCCAAGATGTTCTCTTATTTGAGTTTGTTTGATTTTGGTTTTGGTTTAAATAATATTTTGTGAACAATATTTTTATTTTTATTTTTTATTGACATTTATTTGGTTTTAATTTAAAATTGAAACTTAGATTTGTATTTTTGGTTGAAATTGTATTTTGTTTTTAATATCTTGTGAGATGAATAATATATTTTTATTAAGTAACATAGATATCAATAGTTTGAAATCATAATCCAATATACCAGTTGTGTGCTTATATATCTTTGAATTTTAAAATCAGTAAAAATTTAAAGATGGGTTTATTTGTGAGATTTAATTATTCTTTCTAAAAAAAAATCCTGCACTACTTTTATTTGAAATATAAAATTAAGTCTTTATTTTTTTTTTTACAGGAACATGTGTAAATGCAACGATAAGGAGTGTACGACAGCTAGAAAAACCTAAGAGGTAGTTATAGAATGTTGGAAATCCAGTAATATTATCCATAAGTAGAAGGAAGGCACGTGCTTGAATTAAGGTGTCACAGACAGATAATTCGAGTGAGAACTAGGCAGACAAACTTGTCAATCCAATCCAACAAACAGATTATTAAGGAAGAAGATGCATTAAATTCCATTAGCTAGCAAGCAGTAGTACAGTAGAGTGCAGTACAGTACAGTACTCATACACAATAAAATACACTTCTGACTTTCTGTTAACATTGCCACTCACTCACCAAAATTAATAATCAAAACCTTCTCTCCAATTGCTATATTTGGTTGACATTTAATTTGCCATTGGCTATGCAAGTCAATTGAGTGTTTGTTTGTGTCAGTGTCACCAACTTCCACAATTACAATTACAATTACAACTGGAATTACTGCATACACAAATTCTTAATCAAATTACTAATAACTATCTTTAATGCTTCATAAATCATGTGATCCATCCATCATTCTATTCTTTTCTACTAATTCTATTATATTCTGTCGCACTCCTTTCTTCTTTACTACTTCCATCATTCATCTCAATTTCCATCACGTTCTGCTTCTCTTTTTCTTTAATTGAATGCATTCATCAATGTCAAATCACTCCCGCCGGCGGTGGATCGCCGTTCTGGTCGCCTTCCTGGCGGGGAACTTCCCGTTTTCATATTCCGACCCGAGGATTTTCGAAGCAGGATTCCTCTGCGGCAATGCCATGCCGCCGCCGAACACCAGCTACATCCAGCTGTTTGTCAGAGCCATGGAGGTCATCTCGCAGCAGGTCACGGTGGATCGCCGGGGTTCCTACGCCGTCAATTCCACCAACATCTCGGTTTACGTTCTCGCTCAGTGCCACGACGACTTGTCCAAAGACGATTGCCTCCAGTGCTACGCCGCCGCCCGCACGCGCCTCCCCCGCTGCCTCCCGATCGTCGCCGGCCGCATCTTCCTCGACGGCTGTTTTCTCCGCTACGACAGCTACTCGTTCTTCAATGAGAGCGTCTCCCCGCTAGACAAAACGAATTGCAGCACTCCGCTCGGCGCTGCGAGCGCCGTCGAATCGGAGTTCGCGCGGAACTTCGGCGATCTGGCCGATCGCTTGACGGCGAGCGCGGTGGTGAGCGGCGGTTATGCGGTTAGAGAAAATAAAGGAGTATTCGGACTGGCGCAGTGTTGGAGTACAGTCCCGCGTGAAGCGTGTAGGGCGTGTTTGGTTAAGGCTAATAAACAGATTAGGGAATGTTTACCACAAAGAGAAGGCAGAGCACTGTATTCAGGCTGCTATTTGAGGTATTCTACTCAGAAATTCTACTCCAATCAATCCAATGAGTCTAACTCCAATTCAGGTTTGATCAACAAGAATCATCTTCATCTTCATCTTTATTTAATGATAAACAAACACTAGTTTTGATTGTGATTGTGATTATGGTTATCAGGATCTTCCAGGAGAGGAATAATTGTAGCAATTGCTTTGTCTGTATTGGCGTTTTGTTTGCTTTCTCTCTTTGCTGGTTATGCTGTCCGCAGAAGATGGAAGAAACGAAAACAAGGTCTTCTATTCATCGTTATTTATGGTAGTTAACAATTTCAAACGAGGAGATCGTGTAACATGCTGCCCTGAATTAATGGCAGAGCACAGAAATCTAAAGCAAATCTTGTTTACCTACAACAAGTCGAGCTTAAGCTTCAAGTACGAGACTCTGGAGAAAGCAACAAACTATTTTGACCCACTGAGAAAAGTGGGGCAAGGAGGAGCAGGCTCAGTGTACAGAGGAACTTTACCAAATGGTAAAACAGTGGCTGTGAAAAGGTTGTTCTTCAGCACCAGACAATGGGTGGATGAGTTCTTCAATGAGGTCAATCTCATCAGCGGAATTGAGCACAAGAATCTTGTCAAGCTTCTTGGCTGCAGCATCGAAGGCCCCGAGAGCCTTCTGGTCTACGAATTTGTGCCCAACAAGAGCCTTGATCAGTACTTATTCGGTGAGTTCTTGTGCTCCCTGGATGAATGTGTAATCAGGCTTGTGATTATTTGTTCAATTCATTACCCTGACAGATAGAAATAAGGTGAACACTATGAGTTGGAATGAGCGGTACAATGTCATAGTCGGAACTGCTGAAGGGATCACCTTCCTCCATGAAGGTCTTGAGTCGAGGATAATACACAGGGACATCAAGAGCAGCAATGTTCTTCTGGACGAGAATCTTGATCCCAAGATTGCGGATTTTGGCCTGGCCCGGATGCTTGGAGCCGATAAAACTCACCTCAGCACAGGAATTGCAGGCACACTGTAAGAACATTCATTTGGAATTGGAGTCACCATTTGTTGTACTTATAAACTCACGATTATCGATTTGGTGTGCAGTGGATACATGGCTCCCGAATACCTTGTAAAAGGGCAACTCACGGAGAAGGCTGATGTGTACAGCTTTGGAGTGTTGGTTATGGAAGTTGTGAGTGGTAGGAAGAACAATGTCTTCGTGGAGGGATCTGGATCACTTGTGCAAATCGTAAACTCGCTTGCTATGCTAGATTCATTTATGGATTTCTCTAATTAGATCACAATGTTGACTGCTTGCTTTTGGATTCTCAGATTTGGAAGCTCTACAAAACGGGGAGAGCGGTGGAATGTGTTGATCCTGCTCTAAAAGATGAGGAGATTGCTGAAAATGAGGTGCAAAGAGTTGTGAGAGTGGGGCTTTTATGCGCGCAGGCATATGCAGCACAAAGGCCATCAATGGGGGAGGTTGTTAAAATGTTGAGAGAGGAAGATTACGATATCCGGGAGCCAAACCAGCCGCCATTTCTGAACACGGGTGGGATTTCAGGGAGCACGACGACGACTATTATGTCTTCCAACACTAGTCTAAGTCTATTGTCAAATGCGGCGACAATGGCGGAGACATCCAACCCTTCAACGGGGGCTTTCAGTGATGGATATTCCTAATACTTGGTTTGGAGCATCAATCAATCAATTGGTATAAAAGAAACAAGTTGACAAGGTACAAAAGTCTTCTCTTCTGTACAGATTATAAGATTATAGATTAGACATCTCACTTGGTCTACCCTCTACTTTGACTGACTGAGTTGACTATCAATCAAGTCATCACGGTATATACTGTACCAGTACCACGCCTATTTAAGCTGCGCTTTGTAATTACTGGCAGCAGCTATTTATTCATGAAAGAACCAACTCTTCCAATTTGCAAATTTGTCCTTTCAGTTGTTGTACCTATGCTATGCTATGCTATGTTATGTATACGAGTGTTCACGTTGTCGCTCCGTTAATCCTGCAAAACCCAACCCACGTCAGAATTTGGGTCCAAGTATGAGCTATGGGCCGAGTTATGTTTATTTATTTGTTTTATGCAAAATGTTTTAAATATTCTTTTTTAATAGATAACAACTTAGATACAAATATAAACAAAATAAGATGTTTATAAATAACTATCGAATATAATAAAATAAAGGCATCCCAAAAAATTAAAGTAAAACCTATTAGGCCGCAAGGAGATGAACGATTACAGTTTAGTGCTGGTCTGTGCTATCATATACTTTTGTGCTACAAGAAAAAAACTAATAAAAGAAGTTAAACCTACTAATCGAGTGAAATAATTACTCCTATATAGTAATTGAAAAATTAGAATGGATAAATGAGATGAGAGCACAGCATCGTTTTCCTTTATCAGATTTGAATTGGGTTTGCAGAAGTGGGCGATTTGCTCTGCTTTGCTTCGAGTACTCACTCAGATGAATAACAACAACACGGCCTCCAAGTACATGGATAAGCAGATCATGGATCTAACCAATTCCCAGACCTCTGCCACTGCCAACACCAACACCAACACCAACGCTTCCCCTAACAATGACTTCATCGATTTTATGAATCGTGATCCCGAGAAGAAAGAGGGCATCGTTCCCAGTTACGATTTCATGCCGATTCGATCCACCGCTGACCGATCCTCCTCACCACCCGCCGCGCGGACCTCGAATTTCGATTCCGGTGACGACGATGCTCCCCTCAGGACGACGTGGAATTCTGCCGATTCGAAAACCAACAGCTCTCCAATCAGAGTAATTCCGCGATCCTGCCCTTGTTTCTGTTTCGTATTATTTTTCATATGGTCGATTACATATGATCGTGGATTGGATTATACGAAGTTCGGTTAGATGGTCGCGTATATTTATGAAATGATTTTATTTTGCTAGTTGAAGGCGGTGTCTTTGGTTTCATACTGTTGTCTGGGATATGTCAGGGATCACGACTGCTCTCTGTTGGTCTTTTATTCTTGATTTTGGTAGTAATTATTATTAGTACAGTGTAACTTATCCCTGTTTCCCCAGTTTGCTCATAATTATTGTCTGGTGCAGATGAGAAATTTGTAATTTTTGTGATTGGGGGTTTGTCTATAGGGATGGGTTTATGCTATTATTAGACCTGAATGCAAAAGTATAACAATGTTTTCTTTATTGGTCTTACTATTTCATAGAATTACGGATCTCTTGATGCTGATGAACCTTCCAAATTCATTCTGGGGAAGAATTCTAGGCCAACCAATGCATCGTCGGATGTATCTTTGGTTTTTGAAGTTGATAAGATAATGAAGAAGTATGTGGATAATCTGATGCATGCTGTGGATAGCATGAGTGCACGACTGACTCAATTGGAAACAAGGACTCGAAACCTTGAAAATTCCATTGATGATCTGAAGATGTCTGTTGCAGACGGCCATGGCAGCACTGATGGAAAAATGAGACTATTGGAGAATATTCTCAGAGAGGTATCTTATAAATTTTACCTTTTAACACAAGACAACACACATGGGGAGTTCGTAATTGGTTGCCCATTGAGCTGATATGGTGTTGTCAATCTTTTCACTAGCTATTTACAGAACTGTGTATTGAGTCCATATTGTGCTGTTTAATCATATGGTCAAATGGCGTCAAAACTCAATGTGCTGATATTGTTAATGTGTTGTAAAATTTTAACATAGTTGAATTGGATTGATTAACCTCCATTGACCCTTAAAAGTTTTTTTAGTGACTTTTGAATATTCAGGGAAACGGAAATGCTGTAATACTCACTTCCTACTTCTAATCAAATTACTTTGTTGGGTAATTTTCAGAAGCTTGCCACAGTCTATTCACTTACGCTACTAGAAATATTGATTCAAACAATGTTTATCTAATCAGTACATATATTCACACTCAGACATGGAATGAAAGCCTTGAAAAGTTTTGGTTCAATCAGAATCTGCTCTTTAATAAGCTGAGGTAGCTTGTGTGATCTTAGGTTCAGATGTTCTACTCTCTTGTTTCAGTTAAATGCTTGTATTGCGCTTATACCTTATCGTATAGGCGTAATTTTATCGGTCTTTTTTTCTCATGTATAAGTTGGCATCTGCATTAAAGTAGTTGGTAGTTTTGCTTTGGTTACTGCTTGCTTTCTTCCACCTTTTCTTTTCTTTTCTTTCCTAATAACACTTCTGACTGCAGGTGCAATCTGGTGTAGTTGTAATCAAGGATAAACAAGAAATACTAGATGCGCAGCTGCAAATTTCTAAACTGCAAGTCTCTAAGGCTGAACCAGAGGAAAGCAAATCAGTTGTACAGAGCGATTCTACCTCGACTGTTGTTGCAACTGCAAACCAGCAGTTCTCTAATGTTCCTCCAGCCCAGCCACAGCCACAACCAAACTTCCCGATGCCTAATGCTCCTCCACAGCAGAACTTACAATCCCAACTGCAGCTTCCTAACCAGTTCCCCCATAACCAGCTTTCTTCTATCCCCCAGCAGGACCCCTACTTCTCCCCACCCAACCAAACTACAGAAAATCCCGGCCAGCAATACCAAATACCACCTCTGCAGCTGCACCAGCCGAACCCACCTCCACCACAGCACCAGCCAAACCCATCCCTGCCACAGCACCAGCCTGCCCCACCTCCACTGCAGCACCAATCTACTCCCCAACCACAGCCCCAATCTGCCCCACCTCCACAGCACCAGTTCCAGCCACCTCCTCCATCCCAGTACCCTCAGGCTCCCACTCCTTCTCAACCACACCCCCCATTCTCAGTTGGTAATACTGCCCTTCCACAGACACCTATTGGTCATCATCCTGAGGATACACCATACGTACCCCCCCAACCTTATCCACCTACAGTTCGCCCACCTACTTCTCTTCCGCCCACCGGTCCTCCCCCTCCCAATCAACAATACTATGGACCTAGCCCCAGTATTTACGAACCATCCAACCGACCTGGTCCAGGATATTCTGGTTCTTTTGGTCCATCATCAGGCCATGTGGAACCATATTCTTACAGCAACTCTCCATCACAGTATGGAAGCAGCTCCCCCATGAAGCCACAGCAACAACATCCTGCTCCTGGTATGGGCCAGAGCGGGGGAAGTGGTTATCCTCAACTGCCTACTGCAAGGATACTACCTCAGGCACTGCCAACAGCGAATGCAGTAAGCAGTGGCTCCGGCTCCGGCTCCGGCTCCAGTGGCTCTGCTAACAGAGTTCCTATTGATGATGTTGTCGACAGAGTGACAAACATGGGATTTCCAAGAGAGCAAGTGAGGGCCACTGTCCGAAGATTAACAGAAAATGGACAAGCGGTGGACTTAAATGTAGTCCTGGACAAGCTGATGAATGATGGAGATGGCCAAGGTGGTTCCCGTTGGTTTGGGCGGTGATCAGTTTTCAGGTTTGATGCTACTCTTCTGTAGAGACTGAAGTGAATCAAACAACCCAACCCCTTTTAAAGCCAACTAACTCTTCCTGTGAAAATTTCTCATTTTGTTATGCTGGGTGGGATTTTCATGTAATTTGGCTTCTCAAGTTATGCTTCATTCTTGTTCTGTGGAAAGAGGATTTGGTATTAGAGGGAGGACTCACTTCCATGCCATGCAATGCAATGCAATGCCCAACAATATTATTCAACAATGAGTAGTCATTGTAGCAGCAAACTTGGACAAAAATACAGACAGTGGAACAACACCACCAAACTATACACACATACTTAAAACAAACAAACAAACATACACACAAACACAAACTCACTGATATTGTTCTCTTTGTATATGTATCGTATTGTATCTATTTTGGATGGTGAGAGGATTTGCCGGTGATGGCTTTCTTTACCTTGGAAATGGAATGCTTCACTTTTGATCCTACGCCAGACAGAGACAGTATGTTGTGTGATTTTTTGTGACCTACTTTCACTTCTGCACCGCTCTCCTCTGCTCTTTTCTCTTCTGATTCCTCTTCGCCACTTTTTTCTTCCCCGGATTTCGCTTCTTTGTGCTCGCCATGTTCCGCTTGCTGCTGCTGCTGTAAACTTATCGGGTCATTTCTCAACCGTGTGGATTCTTTCGCTGCCTGAAAAAGGTCTGATAGCGAAGGTTGGTCTCTATCTCTCATTTCAGGTTTCTCCATTGATTTTGTAGTTACCTCTTCCTCTTGCTTAGAGTCGGGATCGGAAGGTTTCAATATTTCACCCTCAATCTGGGGACATTCTGGAGAATCTACATGTTGAATTGCTGACATGTCCTTGTTTCCGGTTGAATCCTGTGGGTTCACATTTTTCGAAGAATCTATTTCTGGAATTGGATCCTCCTCCACTGGATTCCCCTGATTGATCACTCCGATGGAGCACTCATTTGACTTCTGAACATCCACGCCTATATCCTTAACATTATGAAGATCCGCCGAACAATCTGTTTGTCCTATTTGTGCTTTGAAGTCCAGGGAAACTGATTCTTGGGGTAAGTCATGACGCTTGAGGTCTCGAGCTTGAGCCTCCGTTAAGGTTTCTTCAATATCTTCCTGCATGGCTTTTGATGTTACGATCGTTACGATCTCAGCAGATTCTACGTATGCAGAGCTCTCTGCCACCCCTTTGCTTTTATACCTTACGTCTTCCTCTTGCTGGCAGTGGACTTCTGTTGTTTCTGGAAGACCACAGGGATCACTTGTACTTACAGTCTCTGGTATGGCAGCTGTCATTGTAGGTTTTGATTCTTGCAGGTCGAAGTCTTCCTCCACTGTGGACTTTTGAAATTCTGTTCCTTCATTTGCATATTTCTCTTCACGCCACTCATTGTTGGGTGTTGCGTTTTCTTCATTATTGGAAATCTCCTGAATGCCTCCACCACGTGAAACTTCTGTTGTGCATGTTGTATGAGAGGAAAGCTCATCCTCAACCTTGGTATCTGTCTTATTGTATTTGTCCACTGTTTTGCTCTGTCTATCAGCTTTCTGGGCATCCTCCTGCAGAGAATATGTGTACTTAAAAAGATTGTTTTACAAACTAATTTCAACACAGCAGTTCACCCATGGTTAAATTGGAGCAAGTTATGTTTTTACCTCATCCTTTACTTGTGCTTCATTGTTTTGATCCAGTTCCGCACCTTCTTTTTTTTGTGTAAATTCAGAGAGTGAATGGTTTTCGTCCTTGCCTTTGTTTTCCACTTCTTGCTCTTTCTCCAAGATTACATCTGCTTTTTCTCTCTTACCTATATTGTCCTGGGTGGTTTCATGTACGCCCACTGTAGGCACTGCTTCACATATTATCATTTTGTCAAGTGTTTCTGGCACTTCAGCAGCTGTTGCTATCACAACAGCATCTGGACTTTGATTTAGCAATGCTTCATCTTTAGTTGCTTCATTGTTAGCCTCATGAGAACTTGTCTTGTTAGCTTTATCCTCTGGGGATGGCACTGCTTCACATATTATATCTTTGTCAAGTGTTTCTGGCACTTCAGCAGCTGTTGCTACCATGAGAGCATTTGGACTTTGATTTGACAATGCTTCATCTTTAGTTACTTCATTGTTGACCTCATCAGAACTTGTCTTGTTAACTTTATCCTCTGGGGATGGCACTGCTTCACATATTATATTTTTGTCAAGTGTTTCTGGCACTTCAGCAGCTGTTGCTATCACAAGAGCATTTGGACTTTGATTTAACAATGCTTCATCTTTAGTTGCTTCATTGTCCTCATCAGAACTTGTCTTGTTAATTTTATCCTCTGGGGATGGTGCAGTGGATCTGGTTAACTAGGTAACATGTAACATGCATGTTGATTAGTACATCACAGGGAATTAGAGTAGTCACTATCACTTCTGTATAAGATTTTAAGGTTCAGAATGTGCATGTCAGAGCAATATCAATTTCTCACCAAAGCTAAAGATTTTGGAGAAAGCTGGAATTAATCTTAACATGTCAGTTTGCACAAACACCCAGCAGATATACCAATCTCATGAGTTACCCGCACATCCAAAATTTCTACTGACCACTGTAATCTAGCTAAAGTGAATTGATTTTGTAGTGCTACTTAATGCATTGTAGATTAATACTTGCTGCTGGCTAATAAATTTTGAATATCTCCATGCAAAATTTCACTTGTTAATTTTGTAGCTTCCATCCTTAAAATAAGATTACTATCTTTAGGTGAAAAAATCAGCGGGATTTGCTGTAAGTCTTAATGTGAATCTTTCCTTGTTTGTTAGTTTCACAACTTATTTGGTCCACTATGAGTTATATTCGAATCACAAAACCAAAAATTTTACTCTTTTGGGTGTTGTCCACTAAAATGGTACAACGGCAGACTAATAGTTTTCAACCTCTATGATTTGCTCTATTTTATGAGTTCCACATTTAGATGATGCAACGTGTTAAAAAGCTCATGTCAAAGTGTTTACCTCTTCTGTTGATTCCTCAAACTCGTTCTTTATATGCTCAAGATGTATCCCGTAATCCTGCTTGGTATCTGGTGCAGCCATAGCAACCTCAATTCCCTGTCCAAGCTCTTGTGGCTCTGGCACAGCTTTCTCAGCAACCTTTTCAATATCACTAGATACCTATACAATGAATGATATACTTCACAGTTATAAAACTGCGGTATCGTTTTTTGTGTTGATAATTTCCCAATGGAGTGTGCCATGTACTTGGATGATACATAATGTGAAAAGGTTAATGATAAGAGTATCTACCTCTTCTTTTGATTCCTCAAATTCTGTTACTAAATGGGAAGGATGAACCTTATGAGGCTTTTCAGTATGTAGTGTAGCTATAACCACCTCCACTTCATTTCCTGTTTCTTCTTGCTTTTGCACAGTTTCCTTTGGAACTGTTTCATGTACTTCACATATTTCTTTCTCATTTACCTCTTGTTCATATTCTTGGAAAGTCTCTGATATGATCTTGTCTTTCGAGTCCTCAGATTTTGTCTCTGGATATGCAAGGTTTACCCCATGAGCCTCTTCGCCATCTACAATAGATGCAACCTCTTTAATAACACTCTTCTCCATTTCTGGTTTGTGTATGCTTCTATTATCTGATTTATTGGCTATGTCTTCTTCTGGCTGTTGTGAAACCTCTTCAATACTTTTAGGTTCCTGCACAAAATGTTGGATTTTGGGTATTGTAAATTAGAGAAGTGTCTGAAGGAACAAAGGTTTTACTTCGATTTGTTTTCAGTTACCTCCAATATTCCATCAATATTTTTGACTTCAAATATTTCTTCCATCTTTTGTTGCTCTTCCTTATACTCTGGATAACTTTCTGCTACAATCTCTTCTATAGAATCCTTGGTTTTTGCCTCCACAGATACATGATCTGTCCTGTGAGCGTCTTTAGCATCTACAACTGCAGTATCCTCTTCAATGTTCTTTGCTATATCTGTTTGGCATACACTTCTATCAAGTGAAACATTTGCTGAGATATCTTCTTCTTCATCTTGCATTGCCTCTCTAGAGCCTTCAGATTCCTGCATGATATATCAGATATGGGCATTATAAAAAGGATAGCATTGTGAGCTAACAGATCAAATTGCTACTCCTTTCGTCACCTGACCTGGTTTGTTACAATTGAATTATTTTTTTCTTTGTATACTTCTCCTGTTCCAATCTCCTTTTGTTCTTCCCCATCTTGTGAGGGACCCTGTGCTGCTATCTCTTCTTTTGAATCCTCAATTTTCATGCCAGCTACCTTTTGAGCCTCTTCAGTATTATATATAGTTGTAACCTCCGAAATGCTCTCATCCAGTTCTATTTGATGCAGGCTTCTATCAATATCTTCTGGCCTCTCTTCAGTATTACTGGCAGTGTCTTCATAAACTTTAGATGCCTGCAGGGTGAAAAAGAGGTTTTCAATATTACAAAATGGAAAAGTTTGTAAGGCAATATTTTGAGGCTGATGTTTTTTCCTCTTTTTTTTTTTTTTTTTTTTTTTTTTGTTTCATTAGCGTTCTTTTGACTTTGCATATTACTTCCATGTTCATTTACTTTGACTTTACATTATCTTCTCTAAAAACTCTCTTATTACCTTTTCTCCTGCATCCTCAGTTTTAACCTCTATATATACAGTGTCTCCTGCGTGAATCTTCTCAGTGCTTCCTATAGTGGGAAAATCCTCAGTACTCTTGGCTACCTCTATTTTCTGAAGGCTTGTATTTGCATTCCCTGACATATTTTCTTCTGGCTGTTGAATGGACCTTTGAGCAGGCTCCTTCGAGACTTCTGATGCCTGCGTGATGAAGGATGGGGATATTACAAAATGATGAAGTTTATGATATGCAGAACTCAATTTATATTATGTTTCTTTCACCTTTACTGTTTCGGCTGCTATCCTTTTGACTCCACTTATTTCTTCTTTATGTAATTCTTCTTGATGTACATCTTCTTGGTGACTCCCTGTAATCATTACTTCTTTTGGATCCTCAGCTTTAGTTTCCACACATAGATGATCTGTCTCATGAGCCTTTTCAGAATCTAATATAGTTGCAACCTGTTTAAAGTCCTTTCCCAGCTCCTTTTGGTCTAGGCTTTGGTCTTTTGATTCTTTTGCTAGAAAGTTTACGATTGGCTCTTCTGCAGCCCCTGCAGAAACTCTGTTGACCTGAGGGATGAATTATATCTTAGCATCATAAGACAGAGAGGTTTCTGAGGGAAAGAATGTAACTTCTATATCTTGTTTTCCTGACCTGTTCGGCTTTGTTCATGTTCATTGTGGCCTTGGACATTTCCCCTGCTTTTATCTTTTCTTTGTCTTCTGGGTGATACTCTGTTATTATGTCTTCTTTTGACTCCTCATTTCTTGTCTCTACACAAAGACTGTCTACCTGATGATCCACTTCCGTATCTGCAATGCTCATATCCAGCTCATTTTGGTGTAAGCTTCTGTCATATGAGTCATATGCCAGTAGATTATCTTCTGGCTGTTCTCCACTTTTGTCAGCAGCTCCTCCAAAATCTTTAGGCATCTGCATTAGTGTAATGAAGGATTTGTGAAGAAAGATTATACTAATATTTACCTTTTTCCATTAACTGTTTTTGTTTCATTCACATTATTTTCAATTTCACAGTTCTTTCTTCCTGTTTATATAGTCTTTCTGATGCTTTTCTGTTGTTACCTCTTCCTTTCAAAAATCAAGATGATGATATACCATTTTTTTCATCCTCTTCTTTGTTCTTTTTTTTTTTTTTTTTTTTGAACTATTGTTTTGGTCTATATTAAATAATTAAATGGTAACTCAACCTACTGATTGGATAAAACGTCTAAAACATTAGCTGGAAGTAAAAGTTGAGGCTGGGTATTGCACCTTATTGCTGGATATACCCTCTGACAGAACTTCATCATTGTGTATTTCTTCACCTGCTTTAAGCTTCATCTCTTTATTTGCCTCTTTTTCTTCTGATATTACTTCACAGCTTCGATCTTGATCAATATTTTCAATCTCCTTTTTTTCAGATTCAGATCCGCTTTTGTTTTGTGATTGTGCATGTGCAACTTCATTTAAGTTTGATGTTTCTCCAATCATGCTGCCAGTAGATGGAGGCTCAGATTCATCTCTTTCACAGTGACTTGTTGAATCTGAGGTTTTCTCAACATATATGCTCTCAACTTCTTCAACAACCCCCAAATCTTTTGACGGAGAATCTCCCTCTGAAGCTTCTGATCGTAATATGGTAAGATTCTCATCTCTTTTCTCTGTTTTGTCTAGGGCTGTATGACTCAAATCTGATATAGTTTGTTTGATTTCTTCCTCCCCTTTATCCTTGTCTCCATCAATTTTTACATCCTCAGCATTGCCAGTTGTTCCTACATCCAGCCCTTCTCTATCTTTTGTCATCTTCCTATCAGAAGTGGACTGATATTCATCTGAAGCTTCAGAAGAGTTTGGAACAAACTCATTGGCTATTATAGTTGATGTTGTGTCTTTGGCATCTTCTGTTTCATCTAGCAATGCTCTCTCTTCTCTGCATTCTCTCTCTTCCTGCACACTTGCTCTATGTTTTTTATATTCCACTAAGCTTTTTATTGTATCATTCTCTTCTAGTTGCTCACTGCACTTGTTGTTAGTTGAATCCCCTGCAACTTCACTTGCATTCTGATCTGTTTTTACTGTAATATTCTCCTTCAATATTATTAGACCTTCCTGTATTGGTTTAGTCTCATGAATTGTTGATGGCTCATCTGTGTCATTGCTTTTGGGTGTTTCTTCCAGAGATGGCATTTGTGAGGTGTCTTGTTCAGTATGCAAGTAATCTTCACTAATATCCTGTAGCAATGACAAAACAACTAATTAAATTTATCCATTTTCTTTTAAAAGCTATCTTTTCTTTTGATTTCTAATTAAATGTAATCGAAAGTTTGATACTTTGATTTGATTTTCACCTTTATGTCAAGAGTTTCCACGGTTTGAGCACGCAGAACATCTGGCAACTCTGGATCTGAGGTATTCTCCTTGATAGAACTTATTTCATTTTCTTTGCTTGGAGCAAATTGTTTAATTTGTTCATTCAATACTTCCAGGGAGCCTATACATTTTCCTTCTGCCTCTTCCTTCAGCATTGGTGTGTCCACTTTTGGTGGTTCTGTTAAGGTCCTCAAGGATACATTTTCATTTTCCTTTACCAAAAGTCTCCCATCTTCCTCTCGTGAGAATTCCAGTTGGACTTGTGTGGTCTCAAGAGGGTCCTCCGGTGGAGTAGCACCTATTGCATTCTGCAAATGCATGCAATAGGGACAATTATTAAGGAATGTTGTTAATAGCTTGAGAAATTTTTATCTAGAAGTGTGTAAAGTATGTCTGTAATATAGTGTTAGATGCGGATACCTTTCTCACCTTATTTTCTTGAATTTCTACCATGTGCATTTCGTCTTGTTTTTTGTCTTCCTTGGGATCATGCATAATTTTTTCAGGAGTTTCTCTCATGTTTTCCTCCTCTAGCGAGCTTGGCTTTTCATGACCTTGATCTGAAGCAAATGCTACAACATCCTTGGATACCACCACTTGCAAGGCATCATTTAATTCTTTCCCCTTTCCCAAAGTCCCATCTATACTTCTATCATTGAATTCATTTGCTATTGTGTCTTTGCTCTCAAACTTGGCCTCATGCATTTGTGCTGAGTGATCTTTGGTGGTTCCCATTGAATCTTCTTTCAGAGATGAATTTTTCAAGTCATCTTCACTTTCTTCAGTTGGAGCATGTGCTGTAATTTTCTGTAGCAACATTGTTGCATCTATAAGCTATCATATCTGCTAATTAAGCTAAAATTATTATATTCAATTGTGGTTGTTTTTACCTGCTCATCAAGAGTTTCTTTCTTTAGGGATGTGCCAGAAGTTTCTTCCTCTGTTTTGAGTATTGAAAATTCTTGCATATTTGATGTTATTTCCTCAATGGAACTCGTGTCTGGTCCTAGACTTGAAGTAGACAATGTATTATCCTTATTATCTACTAGAAAACAGTCATTGGACATCTCCGCTTGTGATTCTTCCTTCATCAAAGTACCATCTGTTGTGCTTCCTGTCAAAGCTTCCACCTTAGATGGGTGTTCAAGGACCTTTTCCAGATGTTCATACTGTTCTTCAACTGCTTGGGTTAGCGACCTCTCCTCAGCTTCCTCATGTGCAACAGTGGTTTCAACACCCTGCCACAATGCAAGTTGGCAACAGATTTCACTAAGTAATTTTACATATACTTTATTAATGTCATACTTAATGTTTTATTATTTAACAGATAACAAAAAAAAATAAATGAAATATGCTATTAAGATTCTCACCTTGTCCACAGGTGTTTCTGCATTCAGGTCACCTGCATTAATTACTTTGTCCTCGTTGTAGCCTTCTGTATTAACCTGCAGCAAGGATAAACAACTTATGGGCTGTATTTAGTTTATATAACAAAGTCTCTGATTCATTTGGTTTTCTGTACCTCTGCAACTGTGTCATTCTTGTCAACTGAAATTTCTTGAAAACCTGTAGTTAGAATTTGCCCTTCTTTGGCACTTTTAACTAGCTCTTGACCAGAAGCAGATTCCTTGATATCATTGATTGATGCTTGCATATAGTCAATAGACTTGTCCACTTGACTTCCATCAATGATCAAAGTACTTTCTGTGGTGTCCCCTCTCAGGCATGAAATTTCACTTTCCTTTTCCAAATGTTCAGGAGGATCCATCTTTGGGCTATGCACTTTAATTAGTTGCTCTTCAGTATTCTCATGTGGAATAGCTGTTTCAACACCCTGAAAGCAAGAATGTTAACTAGTTAAATTATTCTATTTGTTCAGAACTTTGCATAACACAATCTCCAGTAAATTAGGAACATGATTGCAAAAATTAATAAATTAGCATAATCCTCACCTCAACCCCATGAGTTTCTAATATTCCAGTTGCTTTATTTGTTTTGTCCTCTGTGTCATGATATATAACAACTTGAGGATCTTCAGTTAGGATCTGCTTTTGTGGAGAGCTTGTTTCTCTTTCTTGTCCTGAAGCAATTGATTTAATATCTTTGTCTGCTACGCACAAGGACTCAGTAGGTACCTCTTCCTTTCCTGATGCTCTTTCTGTACTTTCCTCATGATCTGCATTTAGGAAGTTCTCCTCCTCAAGTTTGGCCTCATGTGAGTTTTGGGTCTCATTATCACTGGCATTATATGTGGAATCTTCTTTCAGAGATGTCTCTTGTGTCTGTACAGTCGGAGACATATCTGCATTCTCTTGACTTGAAACACTTGTCGCTGTATCCTGTAGGAAAATTCATTTTCACTTTGAAAATAAATATTCCTTTATTTTTACATTCTTCAAACCATTCCCATATATATTCACCTTGTGTGCCGATTAAGATAGGATATAATAATAATAATAATAATAAGATGCCATTTTGTCAATTATTTTCATATTACCTTGTTATTTTCCTCCACGTCAGCTACCCTGTCATGTGTTTTATCACTTAAATTTTCTTGTGCATCTGTAGGTTGGATTTCTTTCTCACTTGAAGCTTCTATTGATGGCTTTATTTCCTGCTCTGGACATATATCATTGTCGACCAATTCTTCTTTTGAGGAGCTGTCATCCTCGTACTTGGCAGCCTCAAGTGTCTGTGTTGGCTCATTATTTCTAGATTTACAAATGACAACTTCCTGGCATGGTCTTTGTGATCCATCTTCTACTTCCGGTGAAGTATCATGATTCTCTTGATTTGGAACATTTATTGGTGTATCCTGTGAAAACAAAGCCTTGTTTAGTTTAAGAATTAAATTGTCCTTTCTTTTCCAATTTTCATTTGTTCCTCACTTTGCCAACTATGCTACAATGCAAATATCAGTTAGTAGATTTTAATGTGTACCTTACTTTCTTCCTTTATGCCATCCACCTCTACAACATCTTCTTTTGTTTTGTCAGGTGAGATTTCTTTTGTACCTACAATTTGAAGTTGTTTCTCACAAGAAACTCGTGGTTTCTCCATTTCCTTTTCTGTGCAATTATCATTTTCCACCAACTCTGCTTTTAGGGAGCTGCCATCATCAGATTTGGTCTCAGCAAAATTTGAAAATTCGTTATCGCTGGCTTTACCAACAGCACCTTCTATCAGAGATGGCTCAGAGCTTTCTTCTGCTATTGGCGAGGTATCTTCATTCTCGGGTCTTAGAACCTTTATTGTTATATCCTGTGGTAACAAACACTGTTCAGATTTTGAAGAAATGCATCTATATTTCATTGTGTTTCAAAATTTCATTTAGTATGTTCCAACTAAGCTGAAATTAAGTATCAACACAGGATGGTTTTCGCAAGTACCTTGGTAATTACCTCCTTTGCACCAGCTACCTCTGTAATTACTTCCTTTGTTTTATCAGGTGAGGTTTTTTGTGGATCTACAGCATGTATTTCTTTCTCACTTGAAGCTTCTGTTAATGGATCATCAATATCCTTGTCTGCATACTTCTCAAATTTGGCCTCAAGCGTATTTGATTGCTCATTATCATTGGAGTTACAAGTGGAAACTTCTTCCAGAGGTGGCTCAGAGCCATGTTCTGCTGTTGGTGAGGTATACTCATTTCCTTGACTAGGGATATTTGTTGCTATATCCTGTAGGAACTTTCTCTGGTCGTGTTAAGAAGAAATTTTTTTTTTTTTAATTTTTGATTTCTTTTCATATTTACCATATATTTTCACATATGGTCTATTACATATTAACCTAAAAAATCAAATGTCAGTTGTACCTTGGTGCCTTCCTCTCTTTTTTCAGCTATTTGAGTAATTTCTTGCTTTGTTTTGTCAATGGAGTCTTCTTGTTGATCTACTGTTTGAATTTGTTTTTCACATGAACCATCTGTCCATGGTTTTTCCATTTCTTTTTCCAGAAGTTCCTCATGCTTTATGTGTGAGCCATCAGTTTGGATCATTGAGTTCTTGTCATTGTCTTCATGTGGGGCATTCTGCTGCAAGAAAATGCAAAACTAATTATGCTGAATTTGCCTAAAAAAAAGAAGAAGATTATTTAATTCTATTTAATAGCATTCAATGTTCATGCATGGTGGAAAGCAAATATATAATTCATAGGTTTGTCCCACCTGCAGTTTTTGATGTGTCTGGTTGGTGGCTTCTGTATCCATTGTATTTTCCTCTATTTTCCCACCCAGCATCGCTTGCTGGTTCTCAGATAAACTTTGCTCCTTAGAGCAACTTGTTGTTGCTGAGCATGCATGCATATCAGATGCTTTAGCTACACTAAGAGATTTCCCAGGCTTCTCTAGATGCACTTCTGTTAGTGCAGCACTTTCTGTATAATTATCCGTTTCAAACAACTCTGCTCCAGGTTTTTCTTTTTCAATTTCTATCTTATCCTTCAGGCTTAACAAATCACTAGTGTTCCTTTGGAAATCTTGTGGTAAAGATGATTTATCACTTTCCTTTTCTAGATGGTGCTCATCTTCTGTTTGGAAGCCATCAAAATGGATCAATGAGTTCTTCTTATTCTCCTCATCAGCATCAAATGTTGCAACATTCTGCATCTAGAACAAAAAATTAATTAGCCTTGTTGAGCATATATAAGGAGCATTGTTATGTAATACCTACACATTTTACTTTTTCCCAGACAAGCTTTTGATATATCACTTGTTCTTAATCTTGTTATAATTAAGAGTAAAAGATTTAGCATTTCTAAGTGATTCTGTGCCATTAACCTTATTATAATTAAGAGTAAAAGATTTAACATTTCTAACCGATTCCTCAAGAGTTTCATCTTTGGTTGCTGCACCATCTGTTTGGTAATTTTTTGGATCATCAAGGAGTCCTTGTGGATCTGCTGTTAAAGTCTGTTCAATTGTGCTTGTTTCTATCTCTTGACATAAATCAGATGCTTTAATCTTTTCTGAAGCTACAGGGAGGGTATTTTCTTCCATCTTTGTTTCCGATGCTATCTTTGGCAACTTTCCTTCTGTATGTTCTTCACTTTTGCCTAATTCAGTTTCACTCTGTTGTCCATCCTCAATTTCTGCCTCATGCCTAATCATCAGGCTATCATGATTGCTTTCCCTTGCCAAAGTTATAGAAGAAGATGAATTTCCACTTTCTGAAAGCTCTTTGGTATTCATCTGCGAACCATCCACTTTTATTGTCAAGTTCTCTTCAGTTTCCTCTTTTAGAAAATTCTGCAAGGTAAAGACACGATCATCAAGCTCCATGGGATCAAAAGAGATTTACTGTTTTCCAAGTTCAGTGCTTATTTCTTCAGATAGGTTCATCCCCTCTGAGATGTTAATGTCAATGTAGACTTTTGTTCATGACTCTTTACTGTACCTTGGGAGCTTCCTTCTGAGGGGTAACATCAGTAATGATAATTTCACTCTTTCTGTTGTTGATACCTTCGTGTTGATCTGCAGTAGTGCTTTCTTCTTGGTGTGAGATGAACTGACTCATGGGAGAGCTCTAGAACAAGCACAAAATGTTCATTAACTCAAATCAAGCCAAAAGGATGACAATCTTTTCTTTTTTCTTTTTTTTTCTTTTTTCTTTTTCAGTTGATGATATCATGCTTTTATCATATGCTATGCTGATAAAAGTAAGTTTCTTAGTAGTACTCTATTTGTACCTCATTGACTTCCTTCGGTGTTTCAGTTGCATCAACAGATTTTTCTTCTGTATCTTCACTTTTGATGTCTTGTAAATTCGTGCCTGTACTGTGCTCCTCTTGAGAACTTGTTGCCTTGTCATGATCTGAATCAAATGTTTTTAAACTTTCTGGACATATATCGTTGTCGATTGATTGTGCTTTTAAGGAGCTCTCATCTTTGAACTTGGCAGCCTCTAGTGTATGTGTTGGCTCATTATTTCTAGATTTACAAATGACAACTTCCCGGCATGGTTTTTGTGATCCATCTTCTACTGCCAGTGAAGTATCTTGATTCTCTTGATTTGGAACATTTATTGGTGTATCCTGTAAAAACAAAACCTTGTTCAGTTTAAGAATTAAATCATCCTTCCTTTTCAAATTTATTTGTTTCTCACTTTTCCAACTATGCTACAAAGTATTCATTTGTTTCATGTGTACCTTACTTTCCTCCTTTATGCCATCCACCTCTACAACATCTTCATTTGTATTGTCAGGTGAGATTTCTTTTGAACCTACAATTTGAAGTTGTTTCTCACATGAAACTTGTGGTTTCTCCATTTCCTTTTCTGTGCAATTATCATTTTCCACCAACTCTGCTTTTAGGGAGCTGCCATCATCAGATTTGGTCTCAGCAAAATTTGAAAATTCGTTATCGCTGGCTTTACCAACAGCACCTTCTATCAGAGATGGCTCAGAGCTTTCTTCTGCTATTGGCGAGGTATCTTCATTCTCGGGTCTTAGAACCTTTATTGTTATATCCTGTGGTAACAAACACTGTTCAGATTTTGAAGAAATGCATCTATATTTCATTGTGTTTCAAAATTTCATTTAGTATGTTCCAACTAAGCTGAAATTAAGTATCAAAACAGGATGGTTTTCGCAAGTACCTTGGTAATTACCTCCTTTGCACCAGCTACCTCTGTAATTACTTCCTTTGTTTTATCAGGTGAGGTTTTTTGTGGATCTACAGCATGTATTTCTTTCTCACTTGAAGCTTCTGTTAATGGATCATCAATATCCTTGTCTGCATACTTCTCAGATTTGGCCTCAAGCGTATTTGATTGCTCATTATCATTGGCGTTACAAGTGGGAACTTCTTCCAGAGGTGGCTCGGAGCCATGTTCTGCTGTTGGTGACGTATCCCCATTTTCTTGACTTGGGATATTTGTTGCTATATCCTGTAGGAACATTCTCTGGTCATGTTAAGAAGAAACATATTTGCTTATTTTTAAATTCTTTTCATATTTACCATATATTTTCACATATGGTCTATTACATATTAACCTAAAAAATCAAATGTCAGTTGTACCTTGGTGCCTTCCTCTCTTTTGTTAGCTATTTGAGTAATTTCTTGCTTTTTGTCAATGGAGGCTTCTTGTTGATCTACTGTTTGAATTTGTTTTTCACTTGAAGCTTCCGTCAAGGGTTTTTCCATTTCTTCTTCCAGAAGCCCCTCATGCTTTATGTGTGAGCCGTCAGTTTGGATCAATGAGTTCTTGTAATTGTTTTCATGTGGGACATTGTGCTGCAAGAAAATGCAAAACTAAACATTATGGTTAATTTTCCAAAAAAAAAAGATGATTATCTAATACTCTCTCCGTCATGTAAAATAGCCCTTTTGGAGCTGGCGTGGAGATTAAGGAAAATGTATAGTTGATTGAAAACTATTTTCTTAGTAGTACACTATTTGTACCTCATTGACTCCCTTCTGTGTTTCAGCCCCATCAACAGTTTTTTCTTCTGTATCTTCACTTTTAATGGCTTGTAAATTCGTGCTTGTACTGTGCTCCTCTTGAGAACTTGTTGCCTTGTTGTCATGATCTGAATAAAATGCTTTTAAATTTTCAGGTGCTGCATGCAAGGACTCTGTAGGTTTCTCTATCTGCATTTCTTCCTTCAGCAAAGTACTTGTATGTTTTTCATTTTGGAATGGTTCAGCATTATTGAGGTCTTCATCCTCAGCCGTGATATTTAAATTGACTGGAGACTCGTTCGCGCCGATGCTACCTGTTGATGCTTCTGGCACAGATAGTATCCCATTTTCCTTCTCCAGTTGTTGATTGCATGCCGTATGCAAACCATCAAGTTGAGCCAATGAGCTATTCTCAGTCTTCTCTGTTACCTTAGGAGCTGTTTTATCTGTAACCTTGTCTGTCAAGGTTTTCTGCTCATTATTGACAACTCCTAGGCTATCACTGTAGCCCTGAAGCTCGCCATTATCACCTCTTGCATCAGTTATGGTTTCTCCAGAGGTTTTCAATTTGCCAACCAATTTCATCTCGTTGCCTAAATGCTCCTGTTCTGAGGTACTCTCATTTTGGTTATTTGGACATCCTGCTCCTCCAGACACTTCATCAGGGAGATTGAACGTAATATTGTCTTCTGTTGTTTTCCCATTCCCTGTGTTTACTTGGACATTTAGGTTCTTACTATGTTCTACTGGTGCAATGCTCCTCCCCCCATCTTTGTCTGAAACATTTGACCCCTGGATCATTTCTGAGGAAGTTTCTAAATTTACAGCAAGCTCTGAAGGTTGATCACCTGATTTGAGGTTTCCTAGGAAAATCTCAGGATCATCTTTCGCATCTTGAGATGGCTTTTCAGCAACTGTACTTGCTTCTGGTAAATTATTATCTATTTCACCTCCAACCTCGCCAGCTGAGGATGTTCTCATAATATCCTCACTTTCAAGTGTAAGAGGTTCATTAGGTGTATCAGGCTCGGAAAGTTTACAGATTGAAATGATGGTGCCTTGACCTGCCATGTTTCGTTCTTGCTCGCTTATCTCAGTTCTCTACAATAGAGATATATTAGTGTTGCTGTTTAATCAAGAAGATGCAGTACAAGGTATTGTATTGTACATTACAAACAAAAGATATGTTTGCATATTTTACTAGTTTAGCGATTTTGTCTATTTTTACTATCTTGAAAAAGGAAGTCTGTTTCAAGTTGGCACACTTTGTACGTTTAATGTTTTCTCTTAATAAGATTTGTAGATAAGGATTGAATTAACAGTATAGCTTCAGATAACATTGTGAGTTAACTAGTAAAGCAAAAGCTTTTCCCATTGGGCTAGTGAAGAACATACAAAGAACCTGTCAGGGTAGAATTTAAAGGATTGATTCTCACACCTTGTTTGCATGTGCATAAAATGATCTAGCAGCTACTAATTTGTTATGACTTAAACCCATAAACTAGAGTGTAGCAGATTAGTAAACCAACTTCCTTTTCATATGATCGTATCAAACAAAATGCAAAAAAGTATGTGATCCATATCTTTAGGTTAAAAAAACCTAGCAAACGCTTCTCTGTTCATTAAAAAAAAAACTTGAATTGCCAATACTACCCAATGTTGAATCGTAAAACCAAGTTCATTTTTTGAACAACTTAGCTGCTATGAATTATTATATAAATATAGAATGACTCCACGAATATGGTGGCAAAGCTCGGTAGTGTGTTGGTTTGGAATAAACTGTCACAGGTTTGTTATTTTTAGAAATCCATTCTCCTGTTTGAGCTTCTATTCAATATTCTTCAAGTGTTATGCATTATTTGTGATCAGATAAGTGGATGTTATCTTGTACTGAAGACATTACACACTAAGTGATAATTATTTGCGATGTTGATGATCAGCTTTATTAACTATTGATGCAGCAAATCAAAGAGGTGATATTACTTACTTTTTCTATAATGGGCACTGAAATATCTGCTTCATTTGCCATTGCTGGTGCATCACCTGGAATCCGTGTGGGAATCAGATGCAACTTCTCAAATTTCCAGGTAAGTAGGTTTACTGCTTACATGCTTTGATATGGCTATTTCAGATCATGGGTATATAAATAGAGAGGCTTCATAACATTCTCGTCAGTCCACATGTAATAATGCCCCTCTGATTGAAACGTTAGTAAAGTTGTCAAAAGCTGACAAAAATTGACACTTGGTGCGATTAGTGTTTTCTTAGGTGAGTTGGGCAGAGATTGATTAATGATAATGGTCCTTCCTAGTGGTGTAGTGTCACATGCCCAAGTGGCTCTAATGAAATATATTCATCTATGTAGAATAGAATCTCTATTATTCGGTGGTGCACATCAGAAAATAAAATTTTAGTAGGAAAAAAAATAAAAATAATAAAAGGAAGGCTGCTTAATATATTTGTAGAGAAATCTGAATTCCTATATTTACCAAATATTGTGTGTTCGGTAATTCCCAAAAACATCAATTCCCTTTTGAAAGGGAAGTTTGGATTTGCTTTATCAGTATTTTAATTAAGCTGCAAGTTGGAGTTGTCTAATCCAGCTGATTTCAATAGATGCCAAAACTTATATATTCTAAGATGATGACTGTGCTTATGTTTTGTTTAATCAATTTCTTGATCAAATAAGAACATATGATACAATGACACTTCACTTTAGTGGATCAATGTGTAAGCATTACACATTAATTACCCTTCCTCTAATGACTAATAGTGATTCCTATCAACAAGCATTCTTTTGGAAGGACCTTCACCAGTACTTCACCTTTTAATCAATCATGCCTTGATATTGCCAGCCTGTGAGTGTTTTGGTTTATCAGACATGTATTGTCTTGGAGTTTTTGGCCCACTTATGTTCATCTGTTCTTCCATCCCTGCGTGTGTGTCGAAGAACACTCACTGCATGGTTTCAAAAAAGGCAGCTCCAGTAATAAATAGATAAATAAGGAAAAGTTGAAGTGCGATGAGATAGATGTATGAAAGCCGACCAGAACAAAATAAAATTGTCATCCTCTGCCGCCCCCTTAGGTGGATCATATGCAAACTGACCCCTTTCTTTTCGTCCTCTCTTAACTTTTTTAATGTGTGTGTACCTAATGCATCATCATCATTATTATTCTTTATTAGTCAGTCACTCCCTTCTTTCATCAATTGATTAAAGTAGCTTACTGTGTTGTTCTTTTCCACAATACTATTGATTTTAATTTTCTGTGATTTATGAGGTGGTTAGTTATGATTCTGATTCTGATTCACAAACAAGCTGCAGTTGCAGTTTTAGTGCTATATTTTATTGTATGAGGTCATGATTCTGGTTCAGAAGTGTGTTGGATTTGATTGTTTTCCAGCTTGGATTATTCTTTTCTTTTCTTTTCTTTCCGGTAATAATTATTAATTGACGAGGAAGAAGAATAATATGTTTAACATGACGTGCTTATTAAATATTTTACTACTATTATTGGTTCAATCTGAACGAGTCTCTTTTTGTTTGTTTCTTGTCCTGTGCTTAAGTTTATAGTAATAAAAATGTTTGTTTATACTCCACTATTTAGCATTGACTGTGTACTCTGCATAGTTATTATTATATTTTTATATTGTGATATTCTAATTAGATTATAATTTGTCAAATATGGAAAATTTAAATGTTATTAGTAATTAAATATATATATATATATAATAGTATGTGTGTTATTAAGGTGAGAAATAAATCGTATTGAAAATTTGAAGAAAAAAATAGTCTTAGATGCTTATATGTGCGTGTGTTTGTTGGAAAATGGGAAAGGGTTGGGATTTGGATTGGGGTTGGGATTTGGGTTGTCCTGTGAGGTTATAACTTATACGGCACTGATGAGACTTGATTCCCAATTACATCACGTCTCCACTCAGCACTAGACTAGAGTAGACTGAGTAGTCCCTCTCCCTCTCCTGTCTGCACTGACCTCACCTCACCATTGGATTTCATACACTCACTCGCTCTCCTGGTTTTAATTTTCGGCAAAGACCAAACAAACGATAGGTGGATGTTTGGATGGATGGGTTGAAACTATTTACAACTATTATTTAAGATGGATGGATAGATTTCTCACAAAATAAATAGATGAATGAGTTGAATGCAAATTCAAATGGAAACGCAATTCTCTCAACTGCACCGCTCTGAGTCGAGTCAGTGGATGTGGACGTGGATGGGGACATAAGGCTTTACAATTCAGTAAATATTAAATGGGCCTTGTTTATTTATGTTTTAGTGTTCTCGGTCTGAGCTTGTTTTAAAAATGAACATATATACTAGTTATTTAATTTACTAGTATTTTATTAATATTAAAATAAAATTGAAAAGATAAGTGGTAATAGCCGAGATGTAACGTGGGTCCTCGGGAAAAGGTTAGAGGGGCTACCAGTAATGTGGTGTTCAGCGAATCCGGTCTAAATGCTTACTCGATTAGATAGATCATGTCCGCCGCCCTCGACCCCACCGCTGCCGCCGCCCCCGCCCCCCTCCACTATTAACGAATTAATTAATCGATAGTATTAGAATTACTATTAATATTAATATTAGTATTAGTATTAGTATTAGTATTATTAAAAGAGGAGAGATGGCTGTGACCGTCATCGCCGTGTCGTGTCGTCACTTGCTTTGGATCAGTAGGAAAGCCCACTAGGCCCAGGAAGCAAAGCCCAACCGAAACCGACGTCGTTTCAGCTGCCAGGGGTCTAGTCTAGTCTAGTCTACTATATCTATTTCATTTATTTATTTATATATCAGGCAGGCAGGCGGGCGGGGTCCGGGAAATAGCATTAAGTAGCAGGGCAATATGGGAAAAACAAAAAAACGCCGCAGCCAAAATTATGGGCGGGAAGGAGAGCCGTTGCTCACTAAACTTGCCAGAAATGGCGCCAAAGTCTCAAATCCCTCCTCCTAAATTAAGCTGTCTCCCCCCTCTCTCTCTCTCTCTCTCTCTCTCTCTCCCAATTCCATTCCCAACCAACCCATACACATTCTCCATTTCACACTACAAGTCCCCTCCTCCCCTCACGCTGTTTCCATTCCCATCTTTTCGTCCCGTTTGCGCTGTCAGTCAGTTTTCAAGCCACTAATTCTTCGTTTGCCGCCATTGCCATTGATCTTCCTCCTCCAGATTTCCGAGAAGAAGTTGCCAGTGGGCGGCGGAGCCGGAGAGAGTAATAATAATAATACTCTTTTGCTGAGTAATTCCATCTTCCGCTGATTTCTACTCTCTTAGTTTCTCATTTGCTGCTGCGTTGCGTCTGTTGTAATGGGGTTTTCGAAGAAGCACAATAATCAAGTCGAAGCTCGCAAAGAATCGGAGGGGAAGAAATGGGTTATCGCGGGAATAGCCGCAGCAATTAGGGGTCCATTAAAGCCAATCTGTACCAAGGCAGCCAGCGAGGATCACGCGGAAGACAAAGACGCGTGCAATACAACCCCGACGGCGCGTGAGTCGAGGATTCCGGAAATATGGACCTGCCCTCCCGCGCCGAGGAAGCGCCGGCCGACGTCGAAGCCCAATGTTAGCGGAGCCATAGAGTTCTTCAATCCTCCGGATTTGGAATCAGTGTTCCTATGTCACAGGGAGAGTGAAGATTGATTGAGCCTTGAGGAGGGTTATTAATTAATTAATTCAGCAAAGGTAGGTCAGGTTAGGCTCCTTTTGGTTTGGTCTTGGTCTTCGTTTTCTTCTCTTTATTTAGTATTCGCTGGCTGGCTCCCCTGTTACTACTGTTAGCAGTGCAGTGCAGTTGGGTGTTAGATAGAATGATGGGGTTTTGTTTTTACAGTACAACTACAAGTATGTGTTGAAATAATTAATTGTTGAATGTATAAAGACGGTAGGTAGGTAGCTGTTAGAAGGAATCTTCTCTCTATTATCAATATAAGGAATTCTGCCCGCCCATGATTGTGGATTTTGGATCATGCGTGAGTCATGTATGTTTACAGTGAGTGAGTGAGTCCCTTACCGGCTCTAATCATCAATCAAAACAAAATGAGGGTGGATTTCTTTTCTTTTTCTTTTTCTTATCAAATCCAATACTAATATTTACATTTCAGTAGTTAAATAGAGGAGGTGCGAGTAAATGAATACAAACAAAACAAAACAAGAAATGGATGAAGAAGTTGAAGAAAGCAAGCTGGCAAGTAAAAGTGAAATGTGTGTGTCTTGGTCAAGATGAAGATGAAAATGAAAAGCCCATTTGTGCTGTGTGTCGGTGGTTAACAGAATAGAATAGAAGCAATTAGGAAGGAAATGAATGAATGAATGTGGTGTGGTCTGGTTTGGTATTGTGTGTAAATGAATGAGTATTGGGGTGTGGGGGTCGGAATGTGTGGAGATGGAGATGAAAAGGACAAGCAGCAGCAGGTAGGAAGGAGAGGGAGGAGTAGCACTTGGAATTGGAATGGTGCTGCCTGCATGATTAAGCGTGTTGTGAGAATCGAATCCTATGTGGGGTGGGGTGGGCTTTATGTGTCTGTCTATCTATTTATTTATTTGTTTGTTTGTTTGTTTGTATGTATGTATGTTATTTAAGTAGTATTTATGACTGACTTCCAAGGCCAGGGCTAAGCTCTCTGCTCTGCTCTGCTCATTTCTTTTATGCCCTTAATTTAATTCTTTACTCTCTCCTCTCTCAAATATTGGATAGCGATCGGTAGGTCATAGAAGGAGGGGGAGAGGGGCATTCCAGTTCCAATTTCAGTTCCAATTCCAATTCCAATTCCAATTCCAATTCCAATTGCACCCATTAGTGTAGTGTTAGTGAAGTGTAGTCCCAGTGAGAATGAATAACGTGTCTGCACGGGACTGGACTCCTGCTCCAGGACATTTCTCTCATTCTCACTCACTCGCTCCCTGTCAGAGCTGCAATGGAGGTGGACCTCATTTCATTAATTTACTTGCACCATTCACTTTTTTCTCACTCACTCAGTGTTGTGTTGTGTATTGTAGTGTAGACTAACCTGAATCACTAGTTTAGTTTTCAACTATTACTATTACTATTATTATTATTATTATTATTATTATTATTATAATTATAGCTATCTAATAATGTATAGATATAGATATAGGTATATATATATATAGAGATATTCTTCATTATACATTTGACAATATCTCAACATTCCTTTTTTATTTATAAAGCTTATACCGACTGACTGAATCAGAATCAGCAGGCAGATGTGCTGTGGTCCAAAAAGGGCAAAAACATATGAGAGCAAAAGTTCATTTTAGGTACATCCATTGAAATCCACTTTATTCACATATTAAGGCTTACTTAGTAAGTATAAGTATACCAACTTAAATAAAAGTGCCAGTCTGAAAACTCTCTCTCTCTATTCATTCATCAGTCCAATCACTCCATTATTATTATTATTATTATAATAGATCAGTCATTTTATTAGTTTTTCTAAGAAGAATAAAAATAATAGAACCAAAATTGATTTGTTTTTATTGTAATATAAATATTTTAGATCGATTTATTACTGGTTCTTAAATTAAAATATTATTAATAATGAGTTGTTTTTCCCCCAAATTTGAGGCACAAGGGAAGGCTTTTATTCAACATTATCAGGAAGCATCCTCAAACTCATGTAGACTAGTATTTAATACTGGTGTAATTTGTGAGGGAAAGTTAAAAGCAGTAATTAAGGGTTGTCAGGTCAGGGCATTGAGACAAGACTAAATATTAGTATTATAATTATAATAAGTAATCAAAGTTTAACATCATTGGGATCAGTCCAGGTTGAAAGAATTTAGTTACACCCATACGTTTTCATGTATTTGCTGATTAGTAAAATCCATCTATTCTATAGCTACTCACTCATAAGTATTATATATGGATGGATATAGACACTACTTCTTCTTTCCTAAAACAATTTTGAATCATATATTATATATGGACATTTGTTTAAGTAAGTTTTATTGGATTCCCCAGCCCAATACATTAGGATTCAGATTCAGATGCAGATGCAGATTTTGTTACCAATATACATATGCTGCATCATATGAATATGATATCATATTTACACTGTAAGTGGCTCTTTTGTTGGAAGCAATTCTATTTTTTTTAAAAAAAATAAAATTATATGCATGTATTGCTTTTTTACACACGCCCACAATACAATAATCATGTATTCAGTTTAGTTGATTATTAATAACATGAACAATCACGTGATTAATATAATTATTACATAATAATACTTGAATTTATAATTTTAGACTACTAGATCAGCTTAATTCATTTTTATCATTGATTCCAAGCAGGAAAAACCATTGTGCATGCCCCTCACACCCCTAATAATAACAATAATAATAAAGTTGTGTTTTGTTGAATAATGTTGGTACAAATAAAGAATGAGTTTGATTGTGTCTTTTAATGAAACAAATTAATTAAATTGATTGGCTTGAAACTTTATTAATTAATTAATTCGGGTGGGTGACTGTGGCAACTCATTTTTAGCTGTTTGTTGGTGCCTTTTTTTCTTCTGCTGGTCAATTGTGTGGGATCAAAGCTCTATGAATTAATTAGTTGATTAGTTAACCAATTAAGCTCAATTATTTATTTTGGAAACTGGGTTACGCTGTGACTACTGCTTACTACATATACATATGTATTTTACACATATTCGGTGTTAACTAGTGTGGGAAGATGGCTGTTGTCATACTGTTTTGGGAATGCATTCATTATATTATTGTCATATATGACATCCATCATAGGAAGTATCAGTTAATTAATTAGTAGCTTCTCAATTTTGATTAATTTCACTGTGAATATGAATATTTGAGTTGCTTTATGGCATTAACTACTACCTAACTCACTCCCTAAACTAAACTAACAAACAGCATGACAACAAGTGTAGTGTAGTGTAGGTATTATGATGTATTTATTTATTTATTTATTATAAATTCAAAGTAACTGTGAAATCAATCCCCAAGTACCGTGTGGTGGTATTTGTGTTTGACCATATACACACACAAAATTAACTAACAGGAATCCAATGCAACATTATTGATTAATTATTCAATGGCAAATTATTATTGGTCTGTAAGAGCTGAGCCCCCACCCGCCACTTGGCTGTAAAAGGTTATAGAATCCTAGGAACAAATTAATAAGTTTACAATGTAGCAGTAGCACCATTTCTTTCGAGTTTTGGCCCGTTAACTTCCTTCATGGGCTATTAAAGTAAAATAATAATTGCCTTGCAAGACAGGAAGCGAAACTTTGGTATTGGGCTGGGTGTCATATATCTATCAATCGTATTCATGGTCACCATCAATCCCTTCCTTGCAATGCCTCTCGGCGCACACCCACACCCACAAATTTATCCTTCTCACAAAAATACACACTTTCTTATAACAAACGTGATTCATATATCGTCAACCACTAAAATAAACACTTTCTCCATTGATCGATGATATCAATACACACACACCCTTTTACACTTGTTCTCAACTTTTGCTTCTTTCTTTCCAAGATATAACTAACTAACTAACTAACTACCGTATCTATCGACTTCCCACTGGCTTGGCTGCAGTTTCAGAAAGCTTGCTCCCCTCCACTTCCACCCCTCTCAGTTTCAACGAGCTCTTCTTCTTCACTAAAAACTCCACTCCATCCACCCCAATCCCACTGCAATAACTTATATCAACCCACTGCAACTCCTTACACATTCTTACCATCGAAACCACCGCTATGTTTGTCAGTTTACTACAACCCCTCAGTTTCACTTCCACCAGGCGCCCCGATGCAAACATCGACACAACCTCCTTATCAACCAATGTATCGTTGTACGACAAGTCCACTCTCCTCAACCGCCTCAGATTTTGTCCTAAATCCGTTAGCAAACCGGGCTCCCTCCCCACGTCGCAATTAATCAGAGCAAGCTCCTCCAACACATCCGCCAATGCCCTCCCGACAGACTTTAGCCCCTCGCCGCTGACCAAACTGCAGCTTTGCAACCTTAAAGTTGCTAAGCCTCTGAAATTGGGATTCTCAGACAAGGCCGTCAAATGAGCGTTGTCGAGATCTAGGGGCAACCTCAAATCAAGGCGTGTCAAGTTACACTTGCTGTGGTTGATGAAGTGAAGCAACCCCTCGCGGCTGCCGCCGTCGTGAACCAACAAAGAATTCAGACAAACATTGGTCTCTGATAATTTGTGCAGCACCACGTCAACTATGCTCCTGCAGGTTCTCAATTCCAATTCCTTCACACCTCTTATAAGCCTTGCAAACATGGAGGTATCCCCCAGGCTCTCAGAGTTCATTAATTCCAATTTCTTGACATTCTTACAGCTTCTCCAAAGATACCTAAGCTCCTCATAATCCCCTGGCAAGATTCCACTCAAAGAAAGACAATCCAAATCCAAATTCAACCCCAAATTATTACAGGCATCATCATTATCATCTTCTTCTTCTTGATCAGTATTGTGTTGTTCTGAACGAGGGTTGGTGATTGAAAGCGAGAGGCTTTTCAAAGAGCTAAAACAGCGCAGCCAACGGAAAGACAGAGGCCTCGGAACAGCTACAGCAATAGAATTCAAATTAATGCAATAAACGGACAGAGAACAAAGAGATACCGTAGAAACTTGGGAGCACAAGAAGTCGAGGCGGCGCAGGTTCGGACACGACGACGCCACCGCTAGAAGGAGACGGTCATCGCCGCCGCTGCCGGTGACCGAAAGAGAAGAGAGAAACGGGTGTTGGGCGAGATAGGCGGCGAGAGAAGCGACCATGGCGGGGTCGTGGAAGCGGACCGAAAGAGAAGAGGTGGACGACCGGAGCACGCGCCGCCACCGCCTGGAAACGAGGGCGACGGCGGCGGAAGGCTGCGGGAGACGGTTGAAGATTTCCTGGAGAAGCTCATCGCAGAGAAGGGCGTCCATGGAGAACCCTCTCTGCGAGCTGTGTATGTGTTGTTGAAATATGCTGACAGATAGCCTTTTTATTCCTCTCTCTCTCTGGTTTTTAGTTAGAGATGGCGACAGCAAAAGGTGTTGCCTTTATTCACCTGCCACTCAAATTTGTGCCGTCTCCCTCCCTCTTTCTTTTTATCCGAATTAATTGTGGTCGTTGAGCAAGGCGATGAAATTAAGGATTACAACAGATTTTGGTAATAATTAATGAATTAATTAGAGGAAAGAATGAATCCCCCAAGGCCAAGATTACAAGCATTAATTAATTTATATTGCAGGCCAGGAAGGAAAGGTCAACGCCAAGGAAAGGTAAGGCGGCGTTGAGGAATGAATTGAGGCCCCGACCCTGATCATCCACAAACTACTTCCTTCCTTCCTTCCTTCCATCATTAATTAGATAGTTAGATAGATAGATTGGCTGCTGTTAATCATTAAGAAAGATTAAGGATGGATTTAATATATATATATAGATATATATGGGTATGAACTATGAAGTCAGCATTAGTTGGCAGACGCGGATGGGCAGCCCACCACACCTTCGTATTCTTTTTAAAATAAAATAAAATAAAATAAATTGCATTACATTTTTGTGATTGTTGATGTTGATATATATTGTATATATTTAAATATATATCATATCTAATATATCTCTTGTATAAATATAATATTCTACTTTAATTGTAAACAATGAAAATATAGTTTATTCAATTAATCCTAACATGGTATCAGAGCCATGATTTTTTTCGATCAAATCGAAACAACTCACGTATTCTAGATCGCATCTTTCCGACCACCGCCGACCGTCACCGCCACCACCATCGTCTTTGCCGCCACAAGACCGGCCGGACTCCGGAACAGATCGGCGAACGGCGGCGCGTAAGCCTCACACGCGCCTTACGAGATTTCCGGCCGGACGCCTCGCCGGCACGTGGAGGCGCGTGCGGCGGCCGTTGGCGGCGATCTTTGCACCGTCGTGTTCGGAATTTAATTTCCTCCGCGATGGTATACTCATTTCTTCCGTTTGAGCAGTTTTTTGTATCCGTCTAATTTTTCGTGTTTCGGGTTCGATTCGGTTTTGCTTGTGTTTCTATCGTTTCGGCTTTCGGCTTGAGGTTTGAGATATTATCTACCTTTGGATTTTTATGGAAAAGATGGATGTCCATATTCCGATAAATGTTGTTCTGTCCGGAGATAATTACAGTTTGTGGGCACAATCGATGAAAAGCTTTCTGATAGGTAGGAAATTATGGCGGATTGTTACGGGGATATAGTTGCTCCAGTTGCTCCGGTTTCTATAGGAGAAGTTGCACCTACCACCAAAGTTGTTGAATTTTATATTGAAAAATTGGAGGATTGTGACAGTAAGAACCATCAAATTCTTACTTGGTTGCGCAATACTTCCACTCCGGCGATACATGTGTAGCTTGCCAATTTGAAACTGCTAAGGCAGCGTGGGATTTCTTGGCAGTCCGCTTCCGTGCTACTGGTTTAGCACACTATTATCAGTTATGGAGCACTCTTCATGATCTAAAACAGGAACCAGGACAATCTATCAACGACTTCCTTGCGCAAGTGCAATCCCTTTGGCATCGGTTGGATCAAGCTGAGATCAGTCCTGATCATCTTTGCCTCATTCAGGTCTTGATGGCTTTGTGTCCAGAGTATAAGGCAGTTCGTGCCTTTTTGTTACATCAGCACCCACTTCCTACCTTGGATGCAGCTATTCAAGAGATTCTTTTTGAGGAAACTCGTCTCCACCTAGCCAAGGCTCCTCTGCTTGATTCTGCTCTTGCGGTCACCGCCCGAACTCCTACTCAAAGTCGTTCCCATCGCTGCAAACGATGTCAGTCTTCTGATCATGACTTCGGTCATTGCCCCAAGGTGGAGTGTCACTACTGTCATGTTTTAGGCCATACCATACAATATTGTTCTACTAGGCCGTCTCGCTCTGGCAGTAGTAACTACAAGCCTCGGCATATTCGTTGACCTTCTCAGTCTAGTACCTCATTTGTCACAGCCTCTGCCACACCTGCGCCTGCGCCTCCTACAATTCAGGACCTGGAGTTTCTTCTTAAACAGGTTCTATCTTCCAAAACCACCATGTCTACCACATCAGGTAACTCTCCTTGGTATTTTGATTCTGTCTGCAGTAATCATATGACCTCTGATATACGCCTTATGACCTCTATATCCACCACATCATCCCTACCTCCTATCCTTACTACAAATGGTACCCATATGCCCATCACCCATACTGGACATACATCCACCTCATCCTTATCCCTCTCCGACACATATTGTATTCCACAATTAACCTTAAATCTGATTTCCGTTGGTCAATTGGTTGATCAATGTCTCACAGTGATTTTTTCTTCTAATGGTGTGCAGGTTCATGATGCGCAAACCGGGCGGACCCTCAGGAAGGGCCGGAAGACGGGCCGCTTATTTGAACTTGAGTCACTCCAGCTCCCTCGTCCCTCTATCTCGGCTGCCACCACCTCTACACCATCCTGCCTTCAGTGGCATCATCGTCTCAGTCATGCGTCATCCAATAAACTCAGGTTTTTGATTAGTTTGGGTCGTTTGGGTTCTGTCAAGTTTAAGTCTTTTAATTGTGTGGATTGTTCGTTGGGAAAACGACCTCCCTTGTCATTTCATCATAGTACTTCCGTTGCGGATACACCGCTTTCATCAGTTCACTCGGATATTTGGGGACCTTCGCCCGCTGTATCTATGAATGGTTCTTGTTATTTTGTGATTTTTATTGATGACTATTCTCGTTTTACATGGATTTACTTTATGCGGCAGCTTTCTGAACTTCCATCTATTTATATGGACTTTGCTAAAATGATACATACCCAATTTTCCTCCACCATAAAAACTCTCCACACAGATAATGCTCTTGAGTATACCGATTCATCCTTCCTTCGTTTCCTATATGATCAGGGTACTGTTGTCCAACGCTCCTGCCCATACACCTCCCCACAAAATGGTCGCGTCGAACGTAAACACCGAGATATCTTCGATACAGTCCGCACCCTTCTCTTATCTGCCTCTTGTCCGGATCGCTTTTGGGGGGAAGCCGCACTCACTGCTATCCACACTATAAATCGTGTCCCTTCCTCTTTCATGGGTAATGTCAATCCATTTGAAAGACTATTCAATCGTACTCCTGATTATAGTATTCTCTGCCCTTTCGGTTGTGTCAGTTTTGTCCTTTTCTCTCCTCATGAGCGCACTAAGTTAGAACCTCGCACGCGTCTGTGTTGCTTCCTGGGATACATGTTAGAGCATAAGGGTTATCGTTGTTGGGATCCCATTTCCAATAGGCTACGTATTTCTCGTCATGTCACATTCTGGGAGAATACTAAATTCTCTACCTTGTCCCACTTTTGAGTCCCATTTGATCGTTCGTCTCCGTTCTTTGCCTTGTCCTCTCCACCTCTATTCCCCTCCAATGACACGGCCCCGTCCCCCGCTCCTGACGTTGTCCCGGTTGCGCCTCTTGAACCGACGCTGATCCCCGAGCCTACTCCTACTCTCGATTCCGATACATCACCATCACCAGAGCCTGACACTACTTCGATCTCAGACCCTGATCCTGGCACTCGCCGTTCCACTCGGGTTAGTCACCTTCCTACTCACTTACTTGATTATCACTACTTCTCTGCCACCTTGTCCCACCATGAGCCCAGGTCCTTTCGTGAGGCATATGCGGATTCGTTGTGGCGGCAGACTATGTCTGAGGAGTTGCAGGCTTTGGAGAAAACCCATACGTGGGATATGGTTGATCTTCCCTTTGGCAAGAAACCTATTGGCTGCAAGTGGGTATTCAGAATCAAAACTCACTCTGATGGATCCATCGAGCGCTACAAGGCGCGTTTGATAGCCAAAGGCTATACCCAGCAGTATACCCAGCAGTATGGTATAGACTATGATGAGACATTTGCCTCGGTTGCTCGTCTCACCTCTGTCCGCTGTCTTATCGCTATTGCTGCAGCTCGTCGGTGGCCCCTGCACCAGCTCGATGTCAAGAATCCGTTCTTGCATGGTGATTTATCCGAGGACATTAATATGTCTCCTCCTCCTAGTTTTCCTACCTCTTCCAAGGTATGTAAACTTCGTCGTGCCCTCTATGGTTTGAAACAGGCACCTCGAGCTTGGTTTTCGAAATTTAGCTCTGCTCTACTCCAGCTTGGCTTTACTTCCAGCAATCATGATTCGGCTCTCTTCCTTCGACGTGGGTCAGCTGGAATTACTGTTTTACTACTTTATGTGGATGACATGATCATTACGGGAGATGATGCATCATGTATCTCTGAGCTGCAGGCTCATCTACACCGCCACTTTGAGATGAAGAGTCTAGGGCCTCTTCGGTACTTCCTCGGACTTGAGATCTCCGACACCTCTGACGGATATTATCTCTCTCAAGCCAAGTATGCCTCCGACCTCCTGTCTAGTGCCGGTCTCACTGACTCCAAGACTGCCCCTACGCCTCTTGATTCTGATTGTCGTCTTACTCCGATGGACGGCGTCCCCCTTGATGATCCTACTCTGTATCGTCGGCTGGTGGGAAGTCTGATCTACCTGACTGTCACCCGACCGGATATTGCCTATGCCGTCCATATCGTCAGTCAGTTTATGTCTGCTCCTCGGACGACTCATCATTCTGCTGTTCTATGGATTCTCCGGTACATCAAATGTACTCCCCTTCATGGGCTTCATTATTCAGCTCGTTCTTCCTTAGTTTTGACCGGGTATTCTGACGCTGATTGGGCGGGAGATCCCTCTGATCGCCGCTCGACCACCGGATTTTGCTTATTCCTTGGCGACTCGCTTATTTCGTGGCGCAACAAGAAACAGATGGTTGTCTCCCGGTCTAGTGCAGAGTCCGAATATAGAGCTCTTGCCGACACCACTGCCGAGCTTCTATGGCTTCGCTGGCTGCTGGCAGATCTCGGAGTGCCTCAGTCCTCTGCCACTATTATCCATTGCGACAGTCAGAGCGCCATGAAGATTTCGACGAATGATGTCTTCCACGAGCGTACGAAGCACATTGAGATCGACTGTCACCTTATACGTCATCACGTTGTTCATGGAAACATCTCATTGTCTCCCATTCCCCTCTGCTGATCAGACTGCAGCGGATTCACCAAGCCTCATCTTCCCGGCTGTTTTCAGTAATTCTTGAGCAAAGTCAAGTTGGGTTCCACCGTTCCATCTTGAGTTTGAGGGGATGTTGATAGATATTGTATATATTTAGATATATATATATCTCTGTCTAATATATCTCTTATATAAATATAATATTGTACTATAATCATAAAAAATGAAAATATAGTTTATTCAATTAATTCTAGGAGTTGATTGCAGCCCACAAGAAGCTAAGGTCGCATGTCGCCCGATGATGATATGATGTGATGATATTTACAAGCTGCTCTGCTCATATCTTTAATATTTCTGGTACACACACGCCCAGCTAATTATATACGTGTATATATATATATATATATTTATATAAAGTGTGACGTTTTTATTTGTGTATGTTACTATAGTGTGTATAAATAGACTTTGCAACAACTTGGCTGTACAAGAAGATTTATTTATTTACTATTATGGAGTATATATTACAGAGCCAGAGCCCAGAGGGCATCCTATCATGTTTGGTCAGATCAGATCATATAGATTATAGGAAGTATTATAGATAGATACGGATGAGACAAATAAATAAAAGAGAATGACGGGTCACTTGTAGTAAATAAACAGTGGTTTTTTCTTTAGATTTAGGGTAAGGTAGTTAGCTAGGGATATGGATGCCATGGCTTTAATTGGCTGCCTTATTATATATATACTGAACCAGAAGGAGCAGTGATTGATTATATTCAAAATATGCATGCATGTATGTATGTTTGACTGAAAGCGAATCACTATCCCTTCCCAAGATCCCAATGATAAATTATCTACCTAGCTATATATATAAATCGAAATTTAATGAAAAGAATTGTTGAGATATTTTAGATATTCAGTTTTAGATTTATATCTAGATTTGATCTTATTCATAGATTAGATTACTTAGATTTGAGTCTATCGAATATGTTTTGTATTGTCTCCTTATTTTGATGATACAATCTCATTATTTTCCCCTAAAAATTTCTAACAAGAATATATAGATAGATATATTAAGAAAACACGACTACTAAGTAAGAGGAAGAAGAAAATTGGCATGATATGTGTTATTTACTACCTCATTTTGGCCCAACAAATAAATAAAATAAATTCCTAACTTTGATTGTGTGACATTATTATGTTAAACAAGCAACTGTACGGTTGTATGATATCTTAAATATATATATATATACAATTTTGCATGTGAGTGTTGACTCTATAATATTAATAAGGAAAAAGCAAAAATATATCAATCCCCTTAGCTTCTTTTGTTGTATACTACTGCTACTACTACTACTACTACTACTACTACTTTTTAGCTTTATTTTAATTACCCACCCATTTTGTTTTTATATCTTTCGGCTTTCATTGCTCTTTCTCCATTTTTTGACTCACATTATTATATTTGTTATTATTATTATACACCACACCACTCTTATTATTTGATCGAATTCTTAGCGAGTAAGTACTTTTAATTGCTTAGTTTATTATTAATTACATAACAAATTTAGCGCACACTGAATAGAGACATCTTATGCTCTAGCCCTAGCCTGTTTATTAGAGCGTGCATGATTTCACAGGGTGAAGGTGATTGATTAGTTTTAAATAGGCTATGGAGGAAGATTTATGCAATCATTGCAGCTAGGGAGGGTTGGGTTTTTTCACTGTTGTTGTTGTTATTATTATTATTATTATTATTATTATTATTATTATGTGAATTGTGATTAGAGGCTACTTAAACTTCTCCCTCTGTTTTTTATTTGGTCCTCTTTGCAGCTTATAAAAAGAAGCTAAACATGGCAATATGATTGTAATATTTAAACATGCGAGTCTCTAAAGGGGGACAGTGGTGGCCTAAGCTGTCTCCTCTTTCCTCCGCATCGATCTACTTAGCTTAGCTTGGACCATTTCCAATAAATTTATATATATATATATATATATATATATATAAATCTTATTTAACTTGCTTTTTTACATTATTGAAATGAGGGGTGATATAATTGATAAAATTGCATGCTTCATGAATCATCATATATCTATATACCGTGGCCTGCTAGGATTAATTAATTAATAATTTCGGATTATTAATTTATTAACAATAATGAATATTGTATTTTATTTATTTTTTTGGATTTTTCAGAAACTAGTGTGTGTGTGCATGTATTAGCTGGATATGGTTGACGAATGCGATAAAAACATGCATGATCAGTTTTTAAGACACAAACACAATTATTTTAATGATGATGGCGTAATTATTTATAGTATTTCCGGGAAGAGAAATTTGGATATTTCTCTGTTACAAATGTGATTAATTATTTAATTTATTAGTTATTATATACTAACTGCGCCGATTTGGCCAAGCGTTTCACATGCATTAGCCTTCTGTCACGTGCGCGCACGTGATCTCTCCTTGTTTCCGCTACACGTAAATTAATTTTTAGTCTGCTCTAATTTGTATTAATTGTCTGTAATAAAAATTTGGTGATATTACGAGCTTGTTATTCATTGCGGTCATATAAAATACTGATGGCTGAAGTTATTGCTATTATTATTATCATTTACTTGTCTTTAAGGGATTGATGATGGATTGCAGCCAAAACTGCCCCACAAATTTGTGTAATATTTTAAAAGTATTATGTATTCAATAACAATAATAATAAATTAGTTACAAATTATAAAAGTTAGTTATAAATTATAAAAAACTATAAACAGGCCAAACAAATGTATCTTAGTAATAATTCATCAAACATTGAATTGGATAGAATGACGAACTGGCTGCATTATTATCGATGAGACAACTTCCTAGTTGAGCAGGTCTGTTTAATATACCTCAAAATAAAATATTTAAAAAGTAATAATTCAATAATATTTTTACTTTTATCAATAACCAACAATAAGAAACCCAAACCCAAAATGCTTACCCACTAAAAGCTAAAAAAACAACCTAAAACAACAAGCTCTTGCTAGTAACTAGATGCCAATGTTGTTTTGTTTGTCCTTTAGTTATGCCTCATGCACACATGATTCAACAGTATCGAGGCAAATCACATTAATAATATATTAACTATTTCCTGAATTACTGTATGAAACACTGTTTATAATATGCGTTGTTTATTGTTTGTATTGTCATGAATTTTATTGTGGAAAAAAACATGACCCACATTAATGAACTTCTAACTATATATAGTCATGGTTTGTTGTTTTATATATATATATATATATTTATCACTATAATTTTATAAATATTATGTTTATATAAATATATTGTACAAAACATTATACTTAACAATTATTTTATCCTAAAAATATTAAAATATGAAATAAAAGCAACAACGCACAAGAAGACATTTAAGTAGATAACATAGCCAAAAAAAAAAAAAATAGTTAACATAGTCAGGCATCTTTAGTTACGCTTCATTTTTGTTCTAAATTGAGATATATTGTGAATTTGATTCTTCCTATCTCAACAAATATTAAAACAATTAGACTAGATTATCGAATACATGTGATAAATTAAATACTAGTGTTATTAAAAGTAAATAAAATAGTTGTCTCCTTTCATGAAAAGCAAGAGTGCAATACAGTAAGTATTGTATATTTGTATTGTGCAGTGCACGGACAACGAAAAAGAGTGAGCGTTACAAAAACAAGGGAAAAAACATTAAAAAGAAAAGGGAAATAGGAAGGAGATTTAATGGAGAAGATGGTGGAGGTGTGGATTGAGTAAAGACGGATTTTCAATTTTTCTCCCTCAGGCTTTTTCTCCTCTCCCTTTTTTCTTACTCTTAACAAGGCACAGCCCTTGCTTGTGGCTGGGTTTCTGCTTCCATCAATGCTTTCACCGTTGATCTTGTTCCTTTTGTCAATGCCATTTGCCCAATCAAACTGCAGCAGAAGAACTTCTTTTGCTGGTTTTTAATCTGTAATCATTTATATTAATTTTGATTTCTTCTTCTTTGGGTTAATTGCTGCAATCTGTCTGTTTCTCTGTCGTCTATCAACATCTCCTATTTGTTTTGATCGGATCTGAAAACGACTCCCGCAACAATACTCCTAGTGCTAGTGAAGATTATATAAAGCTTTTCACCGGTTGAAGATTCGATTGCTTTTCGGAGAGGAGTTATTTGAGGGAAGGATTAATTGGTGGTTTCCATTTTCTTCTGTTCAGGTGAGTCGACTCAGATTCGTTGTTTATTGGTATTCTCTTTATGTGAGATTTGTGTTTTGCTTACATGGCCTTTTCTCCATTTCAAACCAAAGTATCTTGACAATATTGGAATGGGTCAGAGTTTGATTAATTTAGTTCATACGGTGTATGTCTACCGGTTTCCAAAATTCTTGGGCTCTTTTAGGTTTTGTTGCTTGTTTGATGTTAAGAAGATAGGGACTTTTCAGGACTTTTTTTTTTTTTTTTTTTTTTGGAGAATCACAGGAGAAAGATTACTTGTGCTGCGTGCTATTCATAAGTTAGGTTTTGTATCTGATTTCATTTTCTTCATAATGTGTGTTCAAAGATTGACTTTCGGACTAGAATGAACTTGTTGGTGGTCCAATTCGGACAATACGGTCATTTCGATTGTGTCCTATGGTAGATTTGGTTGTTGCATATATCTTGTCACTGTTTAGATTTTGCGGGAAGTTCGATCTGCTTAAATTTGTTGGTGATGCAGTGTTGTGATTATGCCCCACACGATCGACTTGCTTGTCCACGGTGTTGGTTCCATAGGGATGCCATCCGAATCAGTTGGCAATGTGGATAATAATAACAACTCGTCTTCTTCTTCTTTTCCATCGGCCATGTCGTCTGGGAAAAGTCGATTGCCTGAAGCTCATGCAGTTCTCAAGGATCATGTTATGAAGCATTCACATAAAACATCTAATTTTGTCACTCAGAAAGATGAAGGTAACAGAATACCGAAGGAAGTCAATGTGCAGTTACAAGGAAAGGAAAAATATTCTCTGAAACATCTTGTGGCATCAGAAAGCAATGAGGATGAGGATGATGATGATGATGATGTGTTACCCGATGACCATGACAATCTGGGATCAATGAATGCTGTTGCTCCATTACCGGATAAAGGAGGAACTGTTGACCTGTCTAATGTTCAGTTGAAATTGAAACCGGGGACGAGCTATTGTCCGAGCCCTCAAGGTAGCTTTTACTCTGCGACACTGTACACGGAAGCTAAACAAAGCTTCACCAACACTGAAGTGAGTGAATGTGCAAGCAGCATTGGGAAATCCGGTGCGAGTGGGGATGTTAGCAACTCATGTGGTGAATTCATTGAGAGTCAGAAGAGCAGCAGCATTCACAGAGGAAGCACCGGGAGCGATGGCAGCGATGAAAGTAGCTCTAGTAGCTTTACTAGCGCTATGTACAAACCCCACAAATCCAATGATATACGGTGGGAAGCAATTCAGGCGGTTAGATCGCGCAACCACGGAGCGCTTGAGTCGAAGAATTTCAGAATTTTCAAGAGGCTGGGACGCGGGGACATAGGGACCGTCCATCTGGCAGAGTTGATAGGCACGAGAACTTATTTTGCCATCAAAGTGATGGACAAAGAAGCTCTGGTGAGCCGGAAGAAGATCCTGAGAGCTCAAACCGAGAGAGAGATTCTGCAGTCTCTGGATCACCCCTTTCTTCCCACTTTGTACTCTCACTTTGAGACAGAGAATTTATCTTTCCTTGTGATGGAGTTTTGCCCTGGTGGAGATCTGCATGCCCTCCGGCAGAAACAACCCGGGAAGTTCTTCCCGGAGCATGCGGCCAGGTACAATAAATATCTATCAGTTTGCTGCTGTGCGACTGGCGAATTTGTTTGTTTGTTTGTTTATTTACTGTTTTTGAGTTTTCAGGTTTTATCTGGCGGAAGTTCTTCTTGCTTTGGAATACCTGCACATGCTCGGGATCATTTACAGAGATCTCAAGCCAGAGAATGTTCTGGTGAGGGAAGACGGACATATAATGCTCTCGGATTTCGACCTGTCGTTGAGGTGCGCTGTGCAGCCAACCTTAGTGAAGACATCCAATCCTAACACAGAATCCAAACGTTCAGGCTACTGTGCTCAGCCGTCGTGCGCCATTCAGCCAGCCTGCATCCAACCAACGTGCTTTGGACCACGCCTGCTCGGCAAGTCCAAAAAAGACAAGCAGCGCCAAAAGACAGAACCACACGCCCAACTCATTCCACTTCCGGAACTCATAGCTGAGCCCACAAGTGCTCGATCCATGTCCTTTGTTGGCACGCATGAATACCTTGCCCCCGAAATCATAAAAGGCGAAGGCCACGGCAGCGCGGTGGATTGGTGGACATTAGGCATATTCTTGTATGAGCTCTTGTTCGGCCGGACGCCCTTCAAGGGATCGGGGAATCGGGCGACTCTGTTCAATGTGGTGGGGCAACCCCTGAGGTTCCCGGAGACGCCCACAGTGAGCTTTGCTGCTAGGGACTTGATCAGAGGATTGCTGGTGAAGGAGCCACAGCACCGACTCGCATACAGGCGCGGCGCAACCGAAATCAAACAGCATCCATTTTTCCAGAGCGTGAATTGGGCGTTGATCCGGTGTGCTAGCCCGCCGGAGATACCACCACCGGTGGGAATGCAGCAGGATGCAGCTGCGCCGCCTGCAGCAGTGAAGATGGGAGGCGTGGATGTCAAGCCTGCCGGTAATTATTTTGAGATTGATTTCTTCTAGTGGGTCATCCTTAATTTGAAGTGTAAATTGGAAGTAGCTTTACTGGATTTTCCTTTTGATGAATCTGAGTCGAGTTAGTTTATTGAAAATGAAAACCTTTGGTAGGACTGATAGTGATTGTGAATCTTTGTTTCATACGTCGTGGATTCTGCAATCGTGTCTTACCCCCTACCAATGCCATTGTCATTATCATTGTTTACTCCACGCCACCCCCATTTCGGCTTCCTTTCCTTCGCGTATCTTATCAGTTAAAACAATAATACTCCTACTTTGTAGGGGTATTTCTATAAAAGTACTTTAATTAATTTTATTTACCTATAAGCATAAAAGAAATAAAAGTGTGTTTTTTCTGACTCCATACATTCTTTTACTATTTACGTTTTTATATTTATAAAACATATAATAATATATTAAAATATTATATTTTCTTCGTTCGGTTAGAATGTTTATTTATAATGTATATATATAAAAAATAGATACATGTGAATGTGAAGATATTGATGTTAACTTTGAAAATATTTATAATATATACTTGAAAAAAATAGATATTTTCATCATAAAAAAATATATATAATACTCTACTATTATTTAAATAAAAATTCGATCAATCCAACTTACTTTTACGGAACAAACACACCATGGTGACATCATTTGGCAGATTATTCATCAAAGCTGGAATCAATTTCCATTTATAGCTTGGAGGGCAAGTCACTACTGCAGATACAGTACAATGGCCCGCTAGTTTACAGGAAATGCGTAGGTCCTGTCGACTGCCCGAGGTTCGGAGTTAGCTTCGGATAACGGTCGGCGCCGCAATCGACGTTTATCCGAACCTCTGCTACGGAAGTCCCAAACCTATTAGTGGGTATTTCCCGCCCTTTCCTAGCCTTTTACTTAGTCCAGTGGGTCTGACGATACAGAATTTTCGCTCTTTCATACTCCGCAGCTTCGAAGCTTTGGCCTTTGGGTTTCCAGTAGCTTAAATTGATCCCGCCTCTTCTGATTATGGCTAGGTACGTATAATGATTGATTCATTCAATCTGCTGTTTATTCGTTAGATGAATTCTGAAGAGATCAGTCCCATAGTGATGGAGTAAAGAAAATACTTTGGAATATTAACGGATTTTCTGTTTGACTACAAAGGTGTTTCTTCGTTGCGCATTTGGATTGGTTGTAATGTGCTTCTTTTGTTGGCTTAACGTGCATTTTTGCGTGATAACAGGGCTTGGATTCTTGATGGCCGAGGAATTGCCAGAAAGGTGAAGAATGCTAGCCTTCCTGCTGCGAATCAAATCAAAGATTGTGGAGCAACTCGAGAATGTCCTAATTGCCACTATCGCATTAATAATAGTGATGTAAGCTCTATCGAATATGTTTCTTCCTAAGATTGAAGCAATAATGAATTATCAAACAGTGAATGCATTTCTCAGTCTGTGCACTTGATCAATAGCTATTGGACTTGCAAACATTATACCTTTTCCAATTCAACTTGGGGTTAAAATCATAATGGGTGTTAACTATCAAAAACTGAATTCTGTTTTCTTCTTTGTGAAGTAACTGTCTATTCTGCCAATTCAGGTGTGTCACGATTGGCCTGGTCTCCCAGCTGGGGTGAAATTTGATCCATCTGATGTTGAACTGTTGGAGAATTTAGCTGCAAAATGTGGTGTGGGGAACTTCAAACCACATATGTTCATTGATGAATTTATCCCAACTCTGGAAACTGATTGTGGGATATGCTATGCCCATCCAGAAAATCTTCCTGGTGAGTCAATGCCTAACCATTTTTAGAGAAGTGTGTGAGCTATTGTTTTTCATGTAATCTGAAAAGTTCTAACACCAGAAATTTGCCCTCCATCCTTCTTACAAGTGTAAAAAGTAAAAAGAAAAGATCTCTTATATTTATCATATTTTTACCAAGCTTGGTGTGTAATTCATTTTTTTTTTTTTTTTTTTTGCTAATAACCATCTTACATGCTTTAGGTGCTAAAAAAGATGGAAGCAAAATGTTCTTCTTTTATAGGATAAGTAATGCATATGCTAGCGGTCAGCGCAAGCGCCGTAGAATTGATAATGAGAACAGCATGATGCCATCAGTTCGGTGGCACAAGACAGGGAAAACGAAAAGTGTTATGGATAATGGCATTCAGAAAGGTTATAAAAAAATAATGGTTCTGTTTGAAGGATCATCAAAGGGTGGGTCGAAGTCTGATAAATGTAACTGGGTCATGCATCAGTACCATCTGGGTACTAATCAAGACGAGCAACAAGGGGAATATGTTGTTGCAAAGATTTTCTATCAGCAAGCAAACAAGAACACTATAATAAATGAGAGTTCCTTGGAAATCGAACGATCAAATGGACTTCCAGTTCATGCAATTCCAACTCCGAGGACCCCTAAAACATATATTCCCAATCCTCGCCGTTTTGAGATTACTCCATCTCCTGTCAAGGTTGGTAGCAACTTGTGTTCAAGAGATGCATTTATATCAATATGCGCAAACATATTATGTAACTGCGAAGATGTACTTTTTCATGCTACTTTGTCTTACCTCATATTGAAACTACTAATTAAGGAGCAGGAAACGGGGAACTCCAAGAGAACATTGGATCTACCTTATGCTTCTCAGTTGGAGGATGAAATGGAGCATGCCACCAGCTTGGCTGGAGATTTTGATGATATTGATTCCTTATTCTGCAAGGAGATCATTGATAATTTTGCTACATTCACTGAATGGAGACCCAACAATGTGATTTCTACTCAGTTGGGTGGCAACACAAGTAATGCATGGCAGACAGATGATCATGGATCGTGTGCAATTGATGATCTCAACAACAACGAACTCGACACTCCTCCCGATTTCCCGGTTGCAGTAAGCCCTTAATATATCCATCCCATTTCTTGTGTACCTTAGTCTCTATGGATCTTTAATATTCTTGACACCTTCTGTGTTATGCTACAGGATTTGCAGTTTGCTTCCCAGGACAGTGTATTCGACTGGCTAGATCGGTTATAATGGACAAGCATTAAAACTTGGACTGGCTACAACCAAGGAGGAAAGCAATCGCAGTCCATAGGTATCATCACTACCTGTTACCGTGATTTTCAAAATTCACTACGGTATTAGAAATTCTGTGCTCACAAAAAATTGAATGACATTAGCTGCACCAAAATTAGGTCACGTATCCATTCAGTAGGTGTGTCTAACTAAATCATGTTGGTTTATTTGTCTGGTGTAAATGACTATGACTATGAATTAAAAATGAAAAGAGTTATGATTATAATAATTATTATTATTTTTGTGGGGCATATGCAATGATTGTGCTGTGCTTTCCATTAGATAATATTTGTTGGCTTCATGCCAACCAGAGAAACTGCAGCCATGTTTTGTGGGCAATATAAATATACAATGGCCAAACAAATCCATCTCTACTACATGTCATTGTTACATAAGCTTTGATAAAGCAACTAATGCGGCTCATCAAATCCTGTGAAGTCAGAGTTACAAAAACAAAAGGAAAAAATCTAAGCTCTATCTATGATATGATAGATCTCTAATACTCAACAGTTAGCAACAGGAAATGTGTTTCCTGCTAAAAATTAATAAAATAAAATTCTGATGTTAATATATGTGCAGACCTAAACTATTTCTAGTGGAAGCAGTATATACATCTAAACTTGTTTTCCTATCCCTGAGTTGGCAAAATCATCACACTGATGATTGGTTTCTCAGCCATGTTCTCTCACACAATTCCCTGGCAAGAGATACTTGTACTCTTGTGCATTTTCCAACAAGTAAAATGGAAGATGAACAGCTGAATTAGAACGTGGGATATTCCCCATCTTCCCAATCATTTCTCTAAATGTGTACTCCTCCGGCAGCATGTCGAATAGATTCGCCCCGTGGCAGATCTTGTCTTGTATCCTTTTGGGGCTTAGGAAATGCGAGAAGCGTACCCTATCTGTGTGGCTGTATGCCTTCATCTTGAATACAAAATCACTGATGTACCTGAAGCAGAAGCTGCAATGCCATCCAGAGTCTGATAGCAGGTAGTCGGTCTGGCGATAATGCGCATACCGCGTCTTCCCTTTTTGGTACCTGTGGATGGAAGCCCTCCAACTCCCGAGGTCGTATTGGAACTCAAAAGAGTATAGATAGTTCCTCAGCTGTAGGTGCAGGATCGGAGGGATGTCATCACACCATCTCAGTAGATCAATGGTATGACCACTAGGAATCTCATCTACATCAGACATGATCAGTAGATCATCGTCTTCAATCCCTGCAATTCGTAGGAGCTGATCGAGGGCCAGTCTCTGGTAGGCCTCCTCGATGAAGGGATTCTCGCCCTTCCGGAACCTGCCCCCGATTAGGCCATATGTCAGCCGTGGCTCCACGAATTTGAACTCGTCCCGGCTCAGGGCAAAGTTGAGGGGCTTAGGAATGGCAGTGAAAGTGGAGTTGGATTCGAGCAGGACAAACTGTGTGATGTAAGGATAGAGCTCATTCCATCGGATTTTCAGCATGTCCAATTCGTTGCTGAATAGGACAGCGTCGTAGACGCGCCTAGGATAGTCGCGGATGCCCCAGCCATGGAGGTTGCAGAGGGTCTCCATGGATACGTTCTCGTGGTAGTAATGAGTGAGCGCGATGAATGGCTTCGGTGGAGACTGCCATAGCGGCCGGAGGAAGTAGGAGATCTTCTGCCCGTGGAGGTATATGCCCACAACAGCTGTCGGAAGAATCAGAAACAAAAAGACAATGCTTTTTGCATCCAGTCCTAGGATCAAACACCGAAGTCTTGACAGGCTAAACGGGGAGCCCTGAAACAGCAAACAAACAAACAAGAAAGAAACTCAACAAAGTTAGGTAGGTAATGAGTAAGTAGATTGATCCTGAATTTACAGAAATAGAAAACACAGAGAGGAGAAAACAGCATACCCGATCGCACGCGTTTTTGCAGATATCATCACTCTTTTTGGAGCTTGAATACCCATTAGATAACATGAGGACACAAATTTTCCTGATCCCAGAATGAATGTATGTATGTGGCAAAAGTTCCAAAAAAAAGTACAAAAATTGTCTTTCAAGTTTCCCTCCTTGGAAAACAATCAAATCCCTTTCTCTAGGTATCCTTCCGTCAACAAATACGTAGAAGAAAGAATCCAATCCGCAGAGAGAAAAAGAAGGAGGGAAATATTTAGGAATTTCCAGGACCAAAAACACAGGGAAATTGGATAAGCTTGTGAATTGCCTGAAAACAGGGCAACTTCCCGGAATGGAGGGATATGTTTATTTCCCAACTAGGTTTCTCAAAATTGCATCTGCCCTTTTTCCCCCTTCTATTATATTCTAAACTTTGCCTTATATTCCTTCTTCTCCACAAAAAATTGCAGAAATCTAACAGGGCTGGAGAAAGAGGAATAGAAATTATTAAGAGGATATGGAAAATGATGTGTATGGAGAGGAGGATCACATGCGAACGCTTTATACTAGGACGATGATTAAAGGAACCAAAAAATAAAAAAGGGATTCTACCAATCGATATTATTATTCTGATAGGAAAATTGGACACAGCATCATCTCAATTCTTTCCTTTTGCTTTTTTTTGAATTGAATATGGAAGGCCCTTCCCATGTGGAAAACTGCAGCATCTTTACACAACCTCCATTTCTTCAAACCTGCTTGTTCCAAACTCCTTAAATAATAAATTGTATGTTGTGTTGTATTCAGACAGGCAATTCCAAAAGAGAAAAGGTTAAAATTTTGGTGAAAAGAAGCCACGAAAAATAAGGGAAGGAAGTTAGGAGTTGGGCGGGGCTCAAAATCTAACACCCAGAAAGTAAGGGATGGTTGCTAAACCAAAGTTTTTGATTCAATGGAAATGAGCCACACACAACAACAGACTCTGCATAATATAAATAATCTATTATTAGCAGCTTCCCAGAAATCAACACATGTCTTTGTATGTAGCCCGGCCATATCATCATTTCCTTTCCAGTTTGTGTCTGGCCCGGCCCCATCCATGATCCGTCAGCTTCAGACATAGGTCAGGTCAAATACCATTGCGGACACCGAATATGCTCCATAACCCATACTCCCACCTCTTCAAGAAATCAACAGATCAGATCAGATCATGAAGACTGTTAAAACGAACACCACGTGGAAAGAGGTGATGTAATCAAGCTGCAATAAACTATTCTCAGAATATAGATTACGTTGATGCATGTGTGATTGATAGCTTTCGATTGCATCATTTTAAAAAAAACCATTTTAATTTGACTAGCTACAGCAACATAGAATTAAATAAATGCTTTGCTTGTTGATAGTTTTCTCTGTTTTATATATCTACCTTCAGCCTTTCAGGTGGGATTGTTTAGGCTTATATATATAACCTCAGTTGTAATAAATACTCTATTAAATAATAATGCGTTTGGATGTTTATCTTTGTCAGCCACTCATTTGGAAGTTTTTGGACTGTCTTCTTACACTTGACTTTTTGTGCCTTTTAAGAATTATTGCTCAACCAACCTAGTCTTAGGCTGAGTCAATTTAGCCCGTAGAGGAGTTCACCTAGCTGCTTTTCAATGAATCCCCCTTTATTTATTAAAAGAAGGCATGTACTATATTTATTGGACTATAAACTGACCCCGCTTCTCTATTGTTAATTAGGGCCTGAAATGTTTCTAGTGAGATAAATTATTATAAGTTCTGATACTTCCCTTAGTTCATTTTTATTGTAGTACGTATGGGAAGACATCAAGTAATAGTCCACTATATAAATATGATCAAGTAACATGGCTGTATTGCGGGACGCATTTATACTTTTTAGTATCCGAATTCAGAACTATCATAATATGTAACAGTTTCCCTTATGTTTCATTCATATGATTTATTACAGCTGTCAACATCTAATCTAATATATATATATTTACCGTTGGTTTTGGTTCGCCCAATTTTCCTATTTTTTTTTTTAAATTTTTCTTTTGTGGGATCCTTTTTTCTTTTTTTTTTATATTGGCGCATTAACATTTATTTTTTAAATTTTTTAAATTTTCTTTTAGTGGGATCCACTTAAAATTAACAACAATTTTTTTTTATATTTTAAAAAAGTTTTTCTTTGTGAAGCCCACTTAAAATTAATAATAATAAAATAAAATAAAGATGAGCGAGGCTGTTAAAGAATAATGAAAGAGGATTGGGTGCTAAAAAGAATCAACACCTATGTTGATAGTGTAAAAATTAGTTATACTAATTTATTTTATTAAATTATATAATTAATGTAATTATATGTAATCACATTTATACTATCAGTACTGATTTTTTAGAATAAGCACCAAATTCTTTCTCAAGAATAATACTACTAATATACATTATTAGTAATTAATAAAAAAATATATTAAAAAAATAATTATAAATCAAAATAATTAAATAAAGTAATTAAGATTAAAAAGTTATAAATTATAAAAAAAATTGTGCAATAAAAAGAATATTATTTATATAATTTTTACATAATAAATAAATAAATAATACTAAAAATTGATCTTAAAAAATAATTTAATTTATTTACCTGATTTTTATATTAAAAATTTATATTAAAAAGTAATTTAATTATTATATAACAACAATTAATTTTAATAATTCAATAAAATTTATAAATTGTGAATACCAATCGACGTCGATTACTGGTCACACACACAGACCGATTGCGACTCGAGAGGGTGAAAGGGGGGAGAAGAAAATAGCAGAGAGGTTTACGGCCCCTGTGCAACCCTAGCGTCCCCGGTCTGCATTCGGTCTCGTTGTTCAGAATTTTTGTTGACGAAGACAAAAGAATGCTCCGGTAAGAGGCGCAAGGCGGCGATGGCGACGCCGACGGCGACTAAACCCTAGTCCATGTTTTTTCCTATAAACCCTGTTACTAATTTCAATCCAATTGTGTTGACAGTCTAATTTCAATCCAATTGTCTCGGACTCTCTTTGTTTTCGGCTAGGTCTCGGAAACCCTGTTCCCGAGGGGAACGGTGGAGGAGGAATTGCTGGTGGAGGCTTGACAATAGGGGAATCCCTTCCCGCTACGAAAGGCCCCGCCGATGGAGCGTACTCTTGTTCATCTGTCAAACAAGGTGAGATCGAAGCATCAGTCATTGCAAATGGTGTTCATACCTTCATCGACAAGTCTGCTGTCTTAGTTGACTCCACTAATCAATTAGACATTATAAAAAAGTTGGTATATGCAATTAATAAATAGATTTGTTTTCTGAATTACATCTCGTTCTGTTTCTTTCTCGATCGCTTCGTTTCTACTGTTGCTTTTCGAAATACCACACTTTCCTCGCTAACTGTTTTTGCATGGGTTTGAAGGTCTTGATTGCGATTGCGAGTTTCTGCATATACTCTATTGTTGTGCGAATGGTGGTTGAGATCATTGTGATGTATCCTATTCAGCACTGCACTTATTGCCCAGCAATGGGCAAGTTACTTGTGCTTCTCACTGGAGGAATTCCTGTTGCGATGCCAACCGTATTGGCTATTACAATGACAATTAGTTCCCATCGTCTTTCTCAAGAGATAGAGTTCTACACACCTTATGAGATCTGTTGAAAAATGGTGGGGCCAACAAGATCTACAATTATTTAGCAATAATTGTAGAATCTACTTTCTTAAGTTACAGTATTAATTAGTACAATTTTGTTGTTAATATCTTCGGAAGTGATGACTAAAGAATGACAACCATAGAAGAAATGGAAGGCATGAATGTGATCTGAGTGATAAAACTGGAACTTTGACACTGAAGAAAACTAGCGTTGAGAAAATTATTATTGAAGCAAACACTGTCTGCAGTTAATATATCAAAATGAACTCAACTATTGAATCCTGTTTGGATATTTGAAATACCAATGTAGGTCTTTGCTAAAGGAGTTGATCCAGACACTGTTGTTTTAATGATTGCGTGGGGTTTTCAGTTGGAAAATCAAGATGCCATTGATGCAGCAATAGTGGGATGCTTGCTTTGACACCAATGAGGTATTTATACCTTCCGTTAAATCTTCTATATTTTGTATATGATGTTGGCCTTTTATATTTATTTTACATGATGTATCCCTGAATTTGACATGGTGAACCCCATATGGGGTTACCTTATTTCTATATCATTTTTCCCTCTGATACACAACATTTTCAAACAAAAGGCAAGGTCTGGAATTCAAGAAGTTCATTTCTTGCCGTTCAATCCGACTGATAAGCTTACATATTTACCAGTCTTGTATAATACACTGAGCCAGCAAAGCTCCCTCTAAACGGTTATGCCGAACATCTATTAATTGAATGTTGCTGCAATGCCCTCAAGTTGTCTTGATTAGTCACAGATTTGGCTTTCCAAATAATAAATTATTGCATACAATAGATCTGATAAAGAGCATAAATTGAAATCTGTCATTGATAAAGTTGATGAGCGTGGAGTACGGTCAATTGGAGTTGAAGACCAGGTGAACTGATAATATTGTTAACTCGTAGTACAAAGTTTGATATTAAATCAAGACATGTATGATCGATTATGACATGGGAGCTGTTAATCTGCACGAGGTTCCAGATGGAAGAAAAAACAAGGCAGAAGGTCCATGGAAATTTATAGGACCCATACTGCTTTTCCATCTTCGAAGCATGATAGTGCAGAGACCTTTAGAAGGGCTCTGAATCTTGGTGTAATTGTTAAAATGATAACTGGTGATCATGTTATAGCTAAGGCTTTTGCATCTTAATTGATGGAAACTAGAAGATTTTGACACCCCACGATTAATAAAACTCTATACATAAGGAATGTGCTTTGGTTTGTATCAGGTAGCTCATTGTGCTTCTTCTGTTGTCAATGCTGCTGCTAATGATCTGGCCTTTTCCAAACTCCAAACAACAGCAGCAAATCCAGTAGCCGAACATCCCTACCCAATTTAGTATGCTCTTATAGTCTTTATGGTAATTCACTGGAGTCTAGAAGAGTTTTCCCTCAGCTTTTGCGAATAATTCTCTGCTAGTAGCATCTACAAAGTAGTAACTTTTTAGCATTATTATGTTATTAAGGTGGTTATGGTTTTCTGGGATTGACAAAGATTAAATTAGAACAACTGGACAAGTCAATCCAACCTTTAATGACAGCACTGCTTTGAAGCTCGATGCCCTTATCATTGTTGGGGGTATCCTTTTTGCTGTCCTTGGTATCGGAATTGGCTTAGGTTCTTGAAGCTCGGTGCTCTTGTAATTTTTAGGGGCATTCATTTTCCTGTCCTTGTTATCATAATAGGCTGCATTGTTGTAGGTTCCAGTTTCTTGGAATTTTCATATTTTGTGTTTGAATTGAAAGAAAGTGCCTTGCACGGTAAGTTCCTCTTTGTTAACGATAATATGAATTGGTAAAGTAAACAATTTAATTTTCCTTTTATGTAGTAGTTTTACTAGCTGTTGGCATTCCTGTAAACTTTAAATGAGTTTTGTAATACCTTTTTTTCTTTATTTCTTTTTAGTCATTTTTGCACATATACATTGTGCTCTTGCACCATATTTGTAGTTGTTTCTGTACGTGGGTCTGTTTGTTTGTGGGGTTTTTGGTTTGGATTTGGGTTTGCCTTTTAGATAATAAATGTTTGAATTGAAATAGTTGTTTAATGAGAAATAAATATTTGTTTGATATGATTTTTTTGAATGTAAGAACTATATTTTAGTGTAATGTAATATAGTAAATGAAATTAAGTGTTTTATTTGATTTTTGAGGGAAAAAATTGATATAGTAGTATATATATATTCATTATTCAATATATAATTTAATTAAAACATTACACTTGTATTATTTTTATATTTAAAATTGGTCAAAACCCGTCGAGTCCAGTAAGTTCTATGACGAGCCAAAATTGCTCAGTAAGGAGACGGCATGGGAAAATGCAGTCTGTTAAAGCCCACACGCCCAATAGGCTATGAAAAGCAGCGCTCTATAAACCAAATATAGTTCAAGGCCCGGCCCGGCCCGTCAAGAAAGGCCTCCGCTCGGTTGGGCCAAAGCAACAGGGTCACATGATGTGTTCCATGCCCACCCGACAGAACCACATGCAGTATCCCAGAAACCGACAGAACCACGTGCTGTCAGCAAAGTCCACTCCGACACAATGTTTTAGCAGCGCGGGCCTCCATGGCCCAATATTTTGGAATCTTCAGTTTTTAGGCCCATTTTTGTTAACAATAAGGCCCATATTTGATCCGACAAACCCACATGTGTTGTCCAACTATTGCACGTGTTGTCTCTCAAAAGGAGACATGCGCAAATGGGCCTTACTGGGCCTGCAGCGCCACCAAAACATTGTGATGGGCCTCATCAGCCCAATATTTTGGTAGCGTTGAATTTTGGGCCTATTTTATTTGACATCAACCCATAATGTAAAAATTTTGGGCTTTTTGGGCCTGCGCCAAAAAAATATTTTGATGGGCCTCATCAGCCCAATATTTGGACTGTTGACTTTTGGGCCTATTTTATTTGATCCGACAAATCCACGTGTGCTGTCAAACTATTGGATGTTGTCTCTCGAAAGCAGACAAGGTCACATGCATGCTGTCAAACTATTGGACGTTGTCTCTCTAAAGCAGACATGCGAAACGGTCACACTGTTTTGGCGGCTCTGGGCCTTATTGGGCCTGCTGCGCCGCCAAAACATTGTGATGGGCCTCATCAGTCCAATATTTTGGTAGTGTTGGCTTTTGGGCCTATATTATTTGATCTGACAAATCCATGTGTGCTGTCAAACTATTGGATGTTGTCTCTCGAAAGCAGACAAGGTCACATGCATGCTGTCAAACTATTGGACGTTGTCTCTCGAAAGCAGACATGCGAAACGGTCACACTGTTTTGGCGGCTCTGGGCCTTATTGGGCCTGCTGCGCCGCCAAAACATTGTGATGGCCCTCATCAGTCCAATATTTTGGTAGTGTTGGCTTTTGGGCCTATATTATTTGATCCGACAAATCCATGTGTGCTGTCAAACTATTGGATGTTGTCTCTCGAAAGCAGACAAGGTCACATGCATGCTGTCAAACTATTGGACGTTGTCTCTCGAAAGCAGACATGCGGAAACGGTCACACTGATTTGGCGGCGCTGGGCTTTATTGGGCCAGCCGCGCCACCAAAACATTGTTATGGGCCTCATCAGCCCAATATTTTGGTAGTGTTGACTTTTGGGTCTATTTTATTTGACATCAGCCCATAACGTAAAAATATTGGGCTTTTTGGGCCTGCGCCACAAAAATATTTTGATGGGCCTCATCAGCCCAATATTGGGACTGTTGACGTTTGGGCCTATTTTATTTGATCCGACAAATCCACGTGTGCTGTCAAACTATTGGATGTTGTCTCTCGAAAGCAGACATGCGGGAGCACAAATCCACGTGTGCTGTCAAACTATTGGATGTTGTCTCTCGAAAGCAGACATACGGAAACGGTCACACTGTTTTGGCGGCGCTGGGCTTTATTGGGCTTGCCCCGCCGCCAAAACATTGTGATGGGCCTCATCAGCACAAAATTTTGGCAGTATAAACTTTTATGCCCATTGTGACAAGCCCATATATTTTAGTCGACAATTCAACGTGTTAGACTTGTCCATTGGTGCACGTGTGGGGTCTTCGAAAAACAGACAGAGGGGTCACATGTGCCCGCAAATCTCCTCACAATGACGGGGCCCATACGGAAGGGCCTACTCGGCCTACCCAATATTATAAATACAAAGGCCCATACAACATAAACTTGCGCAGTCGGTTCTGAGCCCAATTGAATGTAGCACAATGTTCTTACAGTGAAGGCCCATTCGACCCAGTATGACCGTGACAGGGCCCATACGGTAGGGCATTGTGCAGACAAGGCCACATGCATGCTCAGATCCATCCAGCTTCGCTGATTCCGCGTTTGGGCCACGCATTCCATGCGGCCCAATATTTTTTGAATGTAAGCCCATTCTGCCCAATAATACAAGGGCCAGGCTTTGTGCAAGAGAGTTCATGAGCGGACAAAGTTATGCAGGCTCACATGTGGGCTAACTGTAATGTATTGATTTAGTAACGATGAACTTGTGATTTCTTATTATGAAAATCCTTGAAAATCACAAAAGCAGTTTAATATAGACAAACGGCCGGATAACAAAACTAATCAAACATGAGCATCGAATATTAAAAGATCAAACAAAACGAATTCATTTCGAGGCTCAGTCCCCACATCTACGCAAACACAAGCGAACCAACCAAACAACACACAATCGAGAACATTATAACGCGGTCAACACCCACGGCACCTACCTATCGCAAAATCACCCCCAAAACGCTTGACAAAATCAATACATGGTGAAAAGGGAGGAAAAGGATTACCTAAAACTGCCTACTCACGGCGTCGACAACACCAAGCAGTTGACTCGCCGTGAGAACGAAACAGAGCATTAAGAACTCACAATCGCGAGAGAAGCAAAAAGGAGAAGTGAGGGGGTGAAGCTAGAGAGGAGGAGAAAACCCTTTCCAGAGAGATTTATGAACCGTGTGTGTGTGAGTGTACTGTGGAGGAGGTGCACAGTGCACAGACACCCTATATATATTTAGGTTAATGCTGAATCCAACGGCTCAAATAAAACCTTAAGATCCAACGGTGAAGAACTAATTTTAAGATATCGGGCTAGACCAGTAATGGTCACATGAATATTGGGCTCGATACATAAATACTAGCTTTGTATTTAAAATATTAATCGGCAAAGTAACTTGCTTTTAAAAGCATAATTCAGAAAGAATAATAAAACCATGTAGAATAATAGAATAGAATAGAATAGAGGGGAAGCGCATAGAATATAAAGAGAGAAACATGAGATAATCTTAACCATATATGACCGAGCTCTCCTTTCATATCCTCTCCGCCGCTCCAAAGCACTGTTACATACAATGTTAAATAAGATCCTGCAGAAATAAAATGTAATGTTAAATAAGGTACTTCAGAAATACAAATCGCAAGCATATCATCCAATAAGCTGTTAATATATGATTGGATAAGTCTAAAATCACCCCCCTGCATACTTTTCTTCACCTGGGCTTCAGAATATAATTGTTTTCCCATAAGTTGGAAACCAACTCTCTATAGTGACATATCTGACAAATGCCATTTGAGGTTTTACCCTTTGTAGGTGCCCTCTATTCTGCAAAGACACAAATGAGAATCATCAGAATAGCAATGACAAAACAAAACAAAAGAATAGCCTCGTTCTAATCCCACAATTTTAAATAGAACAAACTTAACACCCAAAAAACAAGCCAACCCTATGCTGACAAAATCTCCCACAATAAGAATAACACAAAGCTTCTTAATTTAGTGATGTTCATGGAAAGTCATTTACCAAAGGGCACGCTCAGTTCTGTCTCACCCAGGCCCAGCAACCTAAATTTGAACAGTACAAAACGTGCTTGGTAAGCAACCTAAATTTGAACAGTACAAAACGTGCTTGGTAAATGCATCAAATAATATCACATGTTCAGGAGTATGGCAGCATTGAAATTCACTAATCACTATGATTATTAACTACTAAAAGAGCAAGATTTCTCTTTTCTTCTTCACTTTGTATTTAATTAAGGGTGAAATAAATAAAAAATAATCCAGAGATAGCGAAAATCTCAACATGAATTCAGAAGTCCTCATACATGTCAGACTGACAGTTCATATGATAATATGCAAGGTATTTACAGTAAAAACTGCATGAACCTTGTACAAGGAAAATCACTCAAGTGCGTATAACTATAACAAACCCATATACGAGGAGAATGTCATAGGCTACTAGAATGGACAATCATATTAAGAGAATATCAAAGGGAGCATCCAAGAGAACATTACACAACCTGTCCAACTATTTGTATTCCGTCTGATGAAGCAGAGAACTTAGAACTATGGCAAAAGTGAAACAACAATGAAATGCACAAAGGCTTATTAAAGCATCAGCCATTAAGCAAAAGCTAAAGCTCTGTGAGTTTGAATGACATGTGATTAAAAAAAAAAGGATTAGATGAAGTTAAAAGAGCAAGAACACTAACCTTCATAATTCGGTTGAGTTTGCAAAACAAAGGTATTGTAGATGTTCATGCAAAGACATTTACAAACAGTTTGTTTATTCTGCCTCAACAAATAGGTTAGGAGCTTCTCTGCCTCATACTGACATATTAAAGGAAAATAAATAAATAGATCTCTTTACAAAAAATAAGGTTGGATTTTTTTTCAACCAATTTTTTACTATCCAATCTTTTTAATTTTATTTTTTCCTCCAAAAACTTCACATTCACACTCACTTTCCAAACAAAATGTCACATTCAACAATTATTTTAAACTCAAAAGCATCAAAACGAGCAATACAAAATAAAAACAAAACCACAAAAGAACACACCCACGTTTGGAGATGGCCAAATAGTAAGGATAAAATATCCAATATGTAAATCAAGTACCTGAGAGTTGTGCAGAATCATCAGATTCCGGGTGAAGGAGGAGCTACAACACATTATCATTTCCACTAAGTAAAATAACAGAGATAGGTGGAATAATCTTCAATAATCAACACAGACCATATTTAGATGAAAAATGATAGCAAGAATTCAATCTACACCAGATGCCCATGTAGACACACCCTGACTTAGAGATCCACCTATTTCATGGAAGGTACAAATTTTGGATTAGGTGCACAGAAAAATCACATATATATCAGAGTAGGCAATATACAAAACATGCAAATATTTTGGACATGAGGGCTAAAGAGTATGCAGTTAGCCCCTCAGGCAATAGATTGATACCATGATAACTATATTGAAAAAAACAAAAGGACACAATGAGTGGCTCCAAAAGCTGACAAAAAAGGGCTCCTAGTAGTATCTACCTTGTTTGATAAGACGATGATAATCACAATTGGGTAAATGCAGAGTGACAAAAAACAATCAAACCAGTTTATGAAATTACATAAACAGAGAGCGCACCTAAGAAATCATCCCCAACAAGTGAAAACAATAATAAGCAAAACAAGTGGGGAATTAATTTCAACTTTTTGAACAGACAGAGTGAAGTAGGTGATCACAACAGCCCCAATCAGCTCTTAAAGAACGGAAATCTTCAGCAGGGAAACCCAGCTAGCCAGTTGATTTGAAAGCCATTAACACAGAAAGCGGATTAAATAATAAGATATTATGAGTCAACCCCCGGTACTCTCCTCTTCATTCACCGCCTCAAATTGATCCCCAAAATATGCCAGATTGGAACCGAATTTCAGAAAACCCCTCTTTGTTCAAACAAATATGAAATCATTCAATACTCGCCCATTTGATACAAAGATCAAAGGGCACAGGTTTATAAGCACTTCAAAAAACGTTTACATTTGAAATCACAAAAACTCATATTTGTCATTACGAAACGTCCATTACGAGTACCAAATATCACAATCTCACAACTTCGCTGTCAGAGCAAGTGGTGACTGTGAACTTGTCGCTCAGACAATCATTATACAGAGATCTAGTTCAAAACACACAGAGATAAGCTTATAAACAACCAAAATATGGAAGCAAAAACAACAATGCCAAATGGTTTGATCCAAAACTAAAATTCGAACAAAAAACCTCGCAACTTTTTGTCAATCTCGGCGTAGAGGCCCGGCACCATGACTTCGAAACCTAAAACTAACGAACCGTAGTTCTCCAGGGTGCGCCCACGGGAGGGAGTAAACAGCGAATGCCCTAACTACGGCTCATTCAAACACCAACTATTGTTAGGTTTTGACAATTGGTTAGACGGACGCACCGAAATACATATGCCGGAAGACCCCCAATGGGAGTGGGACGGACGATATATTATTGTTCCATGACATATACGCCTATTGAAGCGAAATTGCGACTTTCGTAATCCGAATTCTAACCTAAAAAACGTGTTTGTATGAACAAATAGGTGTTTTCATTTTCAAGCATTAATCAGTTTTTACATTAACCAGGGTAAAGCTTGAATTATTTTCAGGAAATTTACAGTTGAAAAGACAATGGAAGTTTTCACCGGAGGTTAAACATAGGGTGGACGAGGATAAATAATCTCTCTGTGTAGATGTTGGATGATTTAGATTTAAACTTAGGCTTCAATAATCAGTCGTAATAATGGTTGGATTTATATATCATCATTGATTGTCAGGCACATAATTGGATATTTTGTGCATTTTAAGAATTACAGTTTGTTAGCCAAGGTCACCTGGCTATCTGCTTTTCTCACTTAACATAAAAAAAATAAACAACAAGTGTTATATTCAAGGGCAGTATATACTGATCCAGTTATCTTATACTAATACAGGGCCGAAGAGGTGGTCCTGTTGGGATGCCAAAAATTTTACTAAATAAAACATGAGTTGCAAGTACATTTACAGGGGACATACTTGGAACTCCTCTGTAGATACCAAGAGAGCTTGACCTTGAGTTCAGTTTGGTGCCGATGGGATTCTGTAACTTAGGACAAGATAGATTCCTCGTCTTGCCTTTCTGGTGATATGAGCATCCCATCTAGGAATATGTGGTGTTGGGAGGCTTGATTCCCATAGCTTGATAGTAATCGTGCTCCGCGTTTGCCAATCGATTCTTGAAGAGGGCCCATTCCCTTCTACACCTCTCCCTTACCTGCAGCAAAGAAAAAATGTGAGCTTCTTCTTACACGAGAAACCACACAATACAAACAAACTTGCTAGAATCAAAATAAGAGTTCAGAATTTATTATATAAGTGCATTGTCTCGTGTACAGATAATGGTTGGATCAGAAAAAGCAGCGATCGTTTGTACCCCTTCCCATGGTGCCCTGCCATCCATAGCTTGACCCTGCGAAGGAGAACGGGAAATCAACGATTGGAAATATTGCATGAAGTGGTTCACATAAAAGATGATAGACGGCCCAATGGTACCTGATTGCCAAGTGAAGGAACCGTTTGGTGTACAATCCATTGGGAATCAACTACCCCTATCTTTTGATGAGCTGGCTGAGTTTCAGAAAGAAAGCCAACCATTCAGAACAAAGTGAATATTTATAAGCAAGGAAACTAAATTACTTCATTACACGGGTTATGGCTTACTTCAACGCATTTCCTAAGAGCAAAGTCGAGACCCCATCCATGCACCAAGTCATTCTGCAGCATAAGCAGTAAGGAAATTTAGTGATCCTTTTCGAATCCAGGTAATTTTTGTCCATGTGGGAACTTGTGTGACCTGAATCAAATGCCAGACACAGCGCCATGCATCTCTGGAGAACACCGGTGCCATGATCTCAACAAATCTGTGCAAGAACATGTTGATGAGTTAAGTAAAAACTTATCTAAATAGATGCGTAAACAGAAAAGTGATCATATACGCTGCACACGGTGGCAAATGAGGGTCTGTGCACCATCCTGGTCTTTCCTCAGTCTCCCTGTTATTAAAGCAGAACATGTTTTTATTTATAAATATTGAAGAGAAATGAGATGATTATTTTTTTATTTTCAGGCTGATATACAAATTTGAAATTTTCATACTTGTGAACTTCAACATCATCTCGCCTCCTTGTCATCATCCATGTCATTCCTCCGTCCGGTGATAAGGCAGGCTGTGAGATGTCTAACCCATGCTTCTTCACGAGTTTTATGTATCTGCCATGGAGGGATATATAAATGTTAGCTCAAACACAAGAGTGAGCTGGTTCAAAAATCAACAGGATGCAAGCAATTTTTCCTCACTCTTCAAAGTCAAAATTATCGACGCCAAGGTCCTCATCCCATATAAATACATAATCGTATGTAGCCACAATGTCTGGATGCAAAAATCGCTTAGCATACCACCTTCAATGACAAATTACATTTCATTCAAAGTTTTCAATCATAAGCAAAGATGACAAGGAAGAATTAACTTGCTGCTACAAAGATTACCATTTAGTTTGCTTTGGCACGCTCACATGGATAGCACTTTTCGACCACTCAAATTGATCCCACTCACTCGTCACACCGTCGTAGTGAAACAACAAAATCATAAAGTTTTCTGTCAACTGTTGCAACTTTGTCAACCAACCAATACATTAAAAGCACATCTAAATGTAGGGCATGGTGGAATTTCATATTACCTTCTTCACAGCTGCATTGATGTTGTCTTTCTGTTCATAGCCCACCGTAAAGGTTATAAGATACCTCGGTTTCACAATCAAGTCCTACAATTGTCAAATGATCTTGTCAAGAGACAATGGAGGAAAAATAGTTAACAGGGCTAAAAATGTCAGGGCAAAGCAAGTACACCTCATTAGGAAGACCCCACAATCTGCGAGCATATAAATCGGACTCTGATGCAATGATGCCAGGTGGCAGCCTTTCAGCGCCTCGAGGATTGGTCGGGACCCAAATCTGTCAACAAAACAACTGAAATTAAGGTAATAGATTTAATAGGAACAAGCCTGTTGACACAACCCCTGCTTGCTCACCTCAGTGTTATTAGGCTTCCGGGGAAGGCCTTTCCGGCCTTTAAGAGATGACAATGCATTTAACAGAGCCTGAGTTGAGAGACCCGAGTACTTGTCTTCTATGAAAGCAAGATCAATGGAAGGAAATATGTTCGTTGAAAAACTGACCTGAAAAGAATCAGCCAAATGCATTTTAGGTGTACAGTAATATGCCAAGTCCTAAGGTAAATGATGTGTAAGAAATTTCCAGGAGTTAGGACCAGGTCATGCCTTAGTCAATGAAAGTTTAGGAAAAGATACACCTACAAAGAAGCCACATACGATCCCCACAAACATCATCATGATCAGCCTCATGGATTCATTCGATCGTCTGATACCATTGCTGCGAATACAAAGAACAAAATCATCAATCAAGGACGTTGCAACCATATACTACGTTGATTTATTCTACTACAGGGACTTACTTGGAAAACGAGGATCTTCGAATAGGCAGCGGCATTTTCAACCACAATCTTTACAGCAGATGGCCCAACAAAATCACGACCACATTAGTTTCATCAAAATCTACCCAGATATATAAACCACTTTATCGATTAAAAAAGCAATTTTTGTTAGAAATGTTAATCCAGGGCTAAAATAAAGAAGAGACACGAAACTAATGACATAACTGATTCATCACTTCGTCACCAATACACGCGTATACAGAATACGACTGTCGGAATCATCCCAAAAATCAAGCCCTAACCAACGTCCTTACGGACTACAATTCAACAGTTTGAACGCCGGAAACAGAGTGATTCTTACCGTTTGAAAAATTTCACCCAGGATCGCTTTTGAACACCGCCGCTACGTCCGAGGATTCAAAATAAAGTGGGCTCAAAGCAAATGATTATACAATGAAGAACAAAAAAGCAACACCCAAACCCAGAGCAACGCAGCGCAATGATATAAGTTTCCCAACCAAATAAAATTCAAATAAATTTCGAGACTGTGGAAATTCGCAAAATCAGTTCGCAGTTAGACAGACAGTATTGGAAAGAAACTAGAAAAAAATCTTCAAATACGCGGAAAATTAGTACATGTGGGGCCCAGTGTGGAATTTTTTAAGGAATAAAACGAATAAATGTTTTTTTTCTCGATCTGCTCCTCCGGATAACGACAGGTCTGGAACATATATTAGTTGAACGAACGTTGCAATATTTCCAACAATTGTATCTCTTTCTTTCTGTATAGTAAAAGTATTTTTAATACGTCCACCTGTATTTTGAATTCTAATCCACATATAAAGAAACAAATAAGAATTTGTATGATAGTTGGTCATCTTAATGTAATTGTGTATCTCTTCTTTCCAAAGCTGTCCCTCCCAACGGAAGGACCCGTCTTCTATAGTTCTATTGCCTATAAATTAAAATAAGGTTGACTTTCAAATATGTTAGAGCAGGCCGTCTTTGAGCTTATTACTTTAGACATAACTCAAAATTGGGCTTATGAATGTTTTCGTCAATAAGTCCAGTATGAAATTCATGGGCCTAATATACTGTTCTCTTAAAAAAAAACAAACGACAGAATTCTTACAAAAAAAAAAAAAAAAAACAAATTGGATTGTAAATTAATACTCGTATTACAATCTACAAGGAGCGTGAAGATGCCACGTAGCGAACATCGGACAGTAGACTTCCATTGACGCCCAATTTCCAAATATGGTTCCAAAGCCATTTTAGCGACGGGTTTCTCCCCATCTGTACACTTACCTTATGTGAAACGGATTAAAGTTTTTCCGATTAACCACATGGCAAGATTCGTCGATTCGGCCCTCAGCCCACGACGGATCTTCGGAATCTGATCTAGTGACTATCTCGAATCTAAGCTGCTGACGTTCGCACGATCTGCAAAGAGGAGGGTCAAACGATGTCGTCACCGGACAGTGCGGCAATCTTGGACAACTTGAAGGAGCTCGATAGGTTGAAGAAAGAGCAGGAAGAAATGATTCAGGAGATCAACAAGATGCACAAGAAACTACAATCTAGTGAGCTATTGGTCTACCAAGTTAAAGTTTGGTCACTTCATTTTATCTGTTATTTGATTACATTAGTTATTGCCATTCACCCTTTCATTTATTATGACTCTTCTAATAATTACTATTGTCATCTACTTCTGGGTAATGTTCTCCATCATAAAGGATGTGCCTTCATTTATTCTTGCTTGGAATTTTTGTAAGGAGCAAATAATTTAAAGCTATTGTGAATTTTAAGTGTTTCGTGACTTGGGATTACAGATATTAAGTTGTTACTGTGACTTGGGATTCCGTGAGAATATGTGTTGTCTGAGATTAATGTGCACATAAGATCGACCTAAGATCAATCCAACAATCTTTAATTTTTCCTTGATTATGTTAATTAAAGTTTTGTTTAATAGCTTTTGTGGCATCAGTTTGTCTGGAGCAACATCAATAAATACGAACCAAAGCATAAAGTTGAGCTCAAACAAGTTCGTCAACTATCATTTTGAAGCAATACTTGGTGTGTCCTGGTTTATGTGTGTAATTAATACTTCAACGACTGGAAGTTCTGAAAACAATTAATAATAGGCTTTCTGCTATAAGCAGTTCTTTTACTTTAAGATATATGGTTAGTTGTGTTGATGGAATAATACTGTTTACTGGATAGCCAGAAGCTTAAACTGTTAACTCTCAGCTTTTTAGTAACTTCTAATGCAGATGTAATTGAAATTCATGTCTTTGTTTGTAATTCTTCCTTGCTGAGCTTTCATTTAGTTATTTATTTTTAAAATTCTTTTTTCTTGCACTGTGTTATCACTTTGTCAACAACTCTGCATTCTTTGACATACTTTCATTATGTAGATCCGGAGGTGGTTGAAAAGCCTGGTGATAGTTCTCTATCACGCCTTAAAATGCTATATATTCAAGCCAAAGAGCTATCAGAAAATGAAGTGAGGTATGTTTCAATTGCTGTCATTTTACCTATTTAAGATGTTGCTGATTGTTAATATATATTTCATTTAGCAAAAATTCTATTAAACTTGGGAAACACTTTTTGTTTCTCTGTCTTTGCAGTGTGTCCAGTCAATTGCTAGGGCAACTGGATGCATTAATTCCTTCTGGAAATGCTGGACAGCATCGAAGAAGGATAGGTTTGTGCCTATGACAAGCATTACAATAGGATTGATATGAAGAGTAGCAGACTTAACCTAACAAATCATAGCCACATGTATTCCTTCTAACTGAATTATTATCACTTACTACTATTTGGCTGACCTTGTTGTAGATAGTGGCGAGCAGAAGAAAAAAAGGATGAAGGCTGATCCAGAAGTCCCAAGACAGTCTGCTTCCATTCGCAATCCTCTCGAGTCTCTTGCAAACCTGAAGGGCGAACAAGTATGTCTTCAGCTTGCACTCTGTCACCAGACTGTTATCTCCCTTAGCCATGTGCTTGATTTCAAGGTTATTACTGATTATAAACCTCCACATCCTTCAGGTGGCAGCAAGGATAGTTCAAGAGGATAATGGAAAGGATGAGTGGTTTGTTGTTAAAGTAATCCATTTTGATAAAGAAACGAGAGAGTATGTTCTGTTCCCCTACGTTGGCTACCTTACTAACCAGCTTGCTCTTTTTCGGTCCTCTTGGAGAATGTTGTAAGAAATATAAGCCAGCACCAAGTCATTTTGTGGCTCATTTTGTATCGCTGTATAGGTTTGAAGTGCTGGATGAGGAACCAGGTGATGATGAAGACAGCACTGGCCAGAGGTCTGCGTTTCTTCTACCTATCTACTAAGATTGCTGTATTCATGACCCTGAACTACTTATTCCCTGTGGCTTACAGGAAATACAAACTGCCCATGTCACATATTATACCTTTTCCGAAAAGGAATGATCTCTCGAGTGCACCCGACTTTCCTCCGGGAAAACATGTTTTGGCTGTTTATCCAGAAACCACTGCACTGTATAAAGCAACGGTTGTCCAGGCTCGTAAGGTACTTGTTTGTTTCTCACAATTGGTTTGTATCAACATATAAAATTACACAGGATTAACTAAAGCTCCCCTTGACATAAACTGATGCTGCTGAATTACAATCATTTAGAGGAAGAATGACGAGTAAGTTAACTAGGCCTTCTCATTCTTTGCAGCGTTATCTTTAGTTAGTTAATGTGGCGTCTCCAGTATTTCAGCTTTTTATTTACGTCTCTTCCATTGGCTGTCATAGTTACATTTTGGAATTTGATGATGATGAAGAAGATGGATCTTTGCCTCAGCGGTCTGTGCCCTTCCACAGAGTTGTTCCTCTTCCTGAAGGGTATCGTCAGTGATTGTTTTGTGTTATTATAGTTGTAAAAGATGATGGGAACCAGGAGCACACTGAATGAAATGTGTATTTAATCCAATAATGTGAACTGTCTCCAAGCTCATCTCCACAGACAATTAGCCTGAATATGTTACTTTTCTTTTCTGATAGCCATCCTTCTATATGTAATCCGTCTGGTGATTTGTAATAACCTATTCCAGGATACCCACTGCACTGCCCACAGTGGATTGTGAAAGGCTCTTCGGATTCTGCCTGCCACACAAGAGCCAGAAAATCATATTAAAGAACTCACTGCAAAACATGTTAGCCAATTGTAATGAGTAATTGAACAACCATGCCATGATCAAGTGGATTAAATGACTCTTCCCAGATAAGAAAAGGTGTTTGCTCACTAGTCAAGATCATTGCCTGTCAGCATTTGTAATTGGTGCAACAATAATTAAAAATTTGCAACTTTCTTGGAGCTTTTGATGAGATATACATGTATATATAGTAGTGCAGGTGTGGTGGCTGCGGCTGATAAAGAAGTGTATGCATCATGAAAGCAACAGGCATGATGTCCATATTCATAAATTAATCTAAAAATTAGGATTAAAAACAATTATTGTCAAGCAAACAATCAGAGTTATCACTTTTGACTCTTTGCATATTGGTGATCAAATTGTGCTCGGAGAAAGCTTTGATCTTAGCTCGAGAGCGTTGCTATCGACGTGTTCGTTAACCTCAAAAGTTGATATCAAGGTATGTTGGCTCTTGATACAACTACAAACATGCTCAACCCAGTTCAGGATCTTGGACTTATAACTGTGGGCAAACAGCCAAAGGGCGTCTGTTTTGTACCCAGAAAGTCTTTACTGCCTCTTTTATACTGATCCTGTCAGTCATATATATGAAACAAGAAGACCAATGCTTTTGTGTGAACTTACTTGAAAACTGGCTGACTATTTTGCTAACGGATGCTTCCATTTCCACATTACTGCAGCGTTACGTACACGATGTAAATGTCTCTCTGAAACAGGGAACAACACAGCAAATACAGTGATGGGAATATTTTATACAGAAATTTGCTGACCTGATTAATGCGTGCCTAAGGCAGAGGATAATAAGCATTGTGATGCTTCTCAACGTGTCAAACTGTAATCATGCCGCCATGTTCACTGCTCGTCGTCATTCAAATAGTAATAATTACTTGGTAGAAAAATAGATAAGGTGGATTCTGAAGACTGGACCAAAGATCAGCTCTACTTTCCATTGCGTCGAGTCTGTCGACCTAAATGTTGTTGGGCCTCCCAAATGCCTAATTCATTCAAAGCTTCAATGCATGTTAGTGTAATGCATGTTTTGGAATCTTATTTCAACAAATCTAACGACGATTCCCCACCGAATTTTTTATTTTTGTACCGAAGATCAGAGCTTGATTCCATAGATCATCCAAAACTGAAGAGACGACATTTCCATGTGCCTGCATGCATTCATTCATAAAAGGTAACATTTTTATTAAAGAAACCAACAATTTCTTGTAGAGAAAAAGAGACCTTTTCCGAAAAGCTGTAACCCTTTATTGTCAGTTACATGTTTTTTACAAAAGAGTTTTGAAATCCTGCAAAGGGAACGATAGTGGGATTCCGTATGTTGTGAACAGGGTCTACGTTGTCGTCTTCCTTGAACCTTCATGGACGTTACTAATTTCCGTAGTGAGATCTGAGGAACACTCTGGATAAATGCCAATCGATTTTGCCTTAATTTGCCGATAAGCTTCGAGGCAGAGGGGCTTCTTTTGACTAGATCTGTTTTTGTAAGTTTAGCTCCAAGTTATCATTCAATTCACGTTTCTTCTAGGCGCTTTCAACATTCGTGTGCGAACGGCAATGTGAACTTTCTTTTTGTTTCCTGTGCACGCATTTAAATTTCCATGTCATTATCTGTTGCGTGATCCAATTATCAATACCATTTACGGGGTTTGATTACTCTGGAAGCGGATAAGTTTGTTTCGGATGAGTACCCTTATACGTCTATTTCATCGCATACGACACCAGCCCAGCGTGGAAGACCTGGTCTGAAATGGTCTCTGTTAAGTCAGCAAACCTGAGGGCGTCGGTTGTTATTGCGGTGGCCGCCTTCATCCTGGATTAGCTGTTGAGTAACGCGTGGTTGAATTTTCTTTTGCATAAAACATATATAGGGTTCTTGACATTGGGCGATTTAGGGTTTGCTACTTGGCGTGCATCCTTGTTTGGTATTTGACTACGGAAGCTTTAGTTTATTTCAGGATTTTGCTTTGATACCCCCTTTTTGTTCACTGGAGGAATACTTGTAATATTCTGTGGGATTGATTGATACGCTGACCTTTGGTATCTCGTCTTCTGTATTGTGAAGGTCACTGGGGACAGAGGTTCTTAAAATCTTGAAGGTGTCTTAACTGATTTGATGGGAAACAGCAATTCTAGTCCTAGGGCTGAGGAGGGGAGATGGAGACAATCTTCAATGACTGGAACCAATTCTGCGTCTGGTTGGCATCATGATCAACATACCCAGTCAACTTATTCCCAATATGCTCAGAACTACCCTGTGCAGCATCCCTATCCAGCACCAGGCGTTTATCCACCTGTGGATCAGTATCCTGCACCTCAAAATTATGGAAATCCTTCACAATCTTATGCTCCTCCGACCAGACCACATGCACCACAAAAGAAGCTTGATAGGAGGTATTCAAGGATTGCTGACAACTATAATTCGTTAGAAGAGGTATGTTTGTGCAAATATTGATGCAGATAATTGTTGAGTTTCGACTTTGATGGGACCTATAGGATGGTGTTGAAGTGTCTGTTTGTAAGCCATGGTGAAATTTTTAATTCTGAAAGAAATGTATATACTGAATAGTTAATAACAAGGAGGTTGACATGAAAGGATGAAATGTATGATTTGATTTAATGATTGGTTTTAAGATTCTGGATTTAGAATAGTTTTTGGTTTGGGTATGTAATTTTCCATGGTCCCCGTATGCTTTGTCAAATGTAATTCTTCTGTGTTCACACTTTGCTTCCCATTCTATGTGTTTTTAAGTATATTCTAATGTCTTTTAAGATATTTTGTCTTTTACTAAACCTTTAAATATGGAATTTTTTGTTTGATAATATTCAGGTGACTGAAGCTCTTGCACGTGCTGGTCTTGAGTCGTCCAACCTGATTGTTGGAATTGATTTTACTAAGAGCAATGAATGGACAGGTCGGGCCTCCTTATTTTCACCTTTTGGTTGAATATCTTAGGAACTAACTATAAGTTTCAAAGAGATAACCTGAACTTGATTCCATCTTCAGGCAAGAGGTCATACAATGGTAGAAGCTTACATCACATTGGGAGTGGCCTAAATCCATACGAACAAGCAATATCAATTATTGGGAAAACCTTGGCGGCCTTTGATGATGATAATTTGATCCCTTGTTTTGGATTTGGAGATGGTAATTGTTGATAAACTTTTGGTTGTTTTTTAAATCTGTGAGTTTCCTCTCACCCTCTTCCCAAATTTTAAGTCACCGATTCTTCTATCTAAATGATCTTGGCAGCAAGCACACATGATCAGGATGTGTTCAGTTTCTATCCTGATGGAAATTTTTGCAATGGATTTGAAGAAGTCTTGAGCCGATACAGAGAAATTGTTCCAAATCTGAGACTGGCAGGTAAACTACCAATCTAGTTTGGTTTCTCTGTCCCTGGCATTTGAATGATTGATTCTTTAAGGCTTACAATTTGTTTTACTTTTCTGCTTACAGGTCCAACATCATTTGCACCAATAATTGAAATGGCTACAACTATTGTCGAGCAGAGTGGAGGCCAGTATCATGTTCTATTGATCATTGCAGATGGGCAGGTATATGGTGTCATATGCCTTTTCCACAATTTTTAAGAGGTTCTTCTTGTTCTATTAGCTAATTCAATTATGCCTAAAATATCATATGCCCATTTATAGGTTACAAGAAGTGTTGATACTGAAAATGGCCATTTAAGTCCTCAAGAGAGGAAAACTGTTCAAGCAATTGTTGAGGCTAGGTTAGTTTTGCAATACCATTTACAATTATTTTGTCAAGTTTCCAATCTAGATCCCAAGAGTAAAAACTAAAAATATTTGCAGCAAGTTCCCATTGTCTATTATCTTAGTTGGAGTTGGAGACGGCCCCTGGGACACAATGAGAGAATTTGATGACAACATCCCTGCTCGTGATTACGATAATTTCCAGGTCAGTTCAGTTACTTGCTTCAGACCATGTCTCTTAAATAAGCCAGTGAACACATACTTAGAATTTTTTTGGGTTACACTTACAAATGATTATGTTTGTGTTCTACAGTTTGTCAATTTTACTGAGATTATGTCCAAAAACACTCATCAATCTCGAAAGGAAACAGAGTTCGCTCTGTCAGCATTGATGGAAATTCCATCTCAGTATAAAGCAACAATGGAGCTTAATTTGTTGGGGTAAATTTTTTGGCTCCTACTTGGTGTCCTTAAATTGTTTACGTGTAACATCATAATGAATTATTCATATATCATTGTGTTTTTAGCGGAAGGAGAGGGAACGCCCCGGAACGAATTGCCCTTCCACCTCCCATCTATGGTACAGGTTTTGGCTCTGGTTCAAAACCCTCACGTGCAACTACCTTTAAGCAGAGCTATGAGTCATTTCATGAGCACCATGTTCCAAAGGATGAAGCTCCTTCTGCCCCTAGTTCCAATTATGAGCACCAGGTATCATCTATATATAGATATGGACTACCTTTAGACATCTTATCAATATCATCAAACATTGGAGATTTTGTAGTAATGTAACTTTAGGTCTTTTAACTTCAGAATACTTATTTCTTTTCACTTATTTGCCTCTGGGTTTTACAGGTTTGCCCAATCTGCCTTACCAACCCCAAGGATATGGCTTTCGGCTGTGGTCATCAGGTAAATCTATTTAATTTTCTGGTGGCAATATTAGAAGAATTACGGGGCACAAAATGATGATTCTTTTTCTAAATGTTTCTTTCAGACATGCTGCGAATGTGGCCAAGACCTTCAATCGTGTCCAATATGCCGCAGTCCAATAGTGACCAGAATAAAGCTCTATTAAGTTGCATGCCCAAGTTTCTTTTGCGTCATTTTCAGCTTGAATCAATTATTGGATGTGCATATGCCATAGCTAGCTTGGATTCTTTGTTCTGGTGCCTTGTAAAGAATTTTACCTCATTTGCAATTGTTTGGCATGTTTATTCTTTTGGGAGCCCTGTAAAAAGTGCCGTTGGAACCTAAACCTGAAATAACATGGTAGATGTTTTACCATGAGCAATTTTTCGCAGTAGAGAGTTCTGGATGATGTTGTGTGACAGCAGTTGAAGTGAAATTACTGTTCTGGATGGTGTTGTAATGGTTTGCTAATAAGATCGAACGAACCGCTTGCATAATGATTTGAGCTTAGCCTACGCACACACACTTCCATTCTCTCTTTTCTTTTTGGTTTTCATGAAGGCCGTTAAGGAGGGGGATAACCTCCAAGGAACCTTGACTAAATTAAGAAAGTAAAAGGACTGAGAGTGGTCGTGGGTACAAATTACAATCCAATGAATTTTTTACTCATCTCAAATTTTTTGAAATTCCAAAACTTTCAAAAACCTTGTCCGGTGATGGTTATAAGTCCTCCTGCAATAAAAAAAAACTGAATGCTAACTCGGCCAATGATCCGTAGCATTATTTTTCCAACATCCCATAAATAGTGCTCACTCACCAATAATTGCAACATGCATTAAATTTTGATGGTTTATGCGTCTGAGTTTAAAGCTGGAGAAGTGCTTCTAATGTGAGTGATGGTGATGGTGATGATGATTTAGTTTTCCATCCACAAACCTGTCCTCTTCTTGCAATGAATGCACCCAACAAACTGCTGACCTAATAACCACTTCCATCCCAGGCACACAATATGATACAGTGTATGTGAAGAAAGTGACAGCTCAGCTCTCTCTTAAAATACCAACAGTGTTCCTTCTTCTCTTTTCATTCTCTTTGCCAGCCATGGCCATGGCCTCCGCAGCTGCCAAACTCTCTTACCAGAGGCTCAAGCACGATATTTGGTTCGATGAAGAAGATAATGTGGTAAGGAGGAGATTGGGGGAGCAATCAAGGCTGAGAAGATTTCCCATCAGGAGAAAACTGAGGGTGAAGATCCCTCGGCTGAGGAGGTTCTTGGGGAGAAAAGTGAGACAGGTAAGAGGCGCATGGAAAAAGGTGTGTAGGAGACTCAAGGAAAGTCAGTCCCATTTTGGGGATCTTTTTGCTGGAAATTATTTGTTCATGCAGGTCAATCCAACTCCATTGAAGTATGCTGCTGATAATAGTTTTTGTTACAAGTCTTTTGCTAAAGGCCACAGTAATCATCAATATAGTCCTGCCCTGTGTCCTTCTAGGCTTTCTGATGTTCCTAGGGTTGTTTAGAATTGTTTTTGTCTTGTGTGCTATATTGGAATGGACTTCGTCGCTGGTAACTGTACCATACATATCTCGTAAGATTATGAAGTTGGTTTCGATTTTGGATATGCTATTTATGTTTATAAATTTACTAGATTAAAGCAGTCAATGAGTTGAGATTTGAACTGAGTTACCAAGTGAATGACAAAAGATTGAAGCTTTTATTAATTACTGATGGTAGATGGAAATGCAAGTAAGATGATGCATAACTAACTTATTATGGAAAATGAAAGGAGTGATGACCGCGTTGGTGGGTGAGAATTTATTGCTGACGTTTAATTTCCACTCAAAACAAATAGAGCATTATCCCCTTTTTCTATTTCTTTTTTTCTCTTCCCAATACGATGTGACGTGAGTTATGACTACCATTAGCATAAAAATAGTGAAACAAACGACGTACAATATTAACAGCAAAGCATAAGCAGCAGTGGCGTGGCTGATTCCACATGTTTACACCAACTCATTCAGAGATCTTCTTCAGCTATACAACGTTACTATAAAGCTTTTGCGGTTCAATGACATGAAACATTGCGGGAAAGCATTCCAAGAGGTGAATACAAAGTTCGTAGTTAACATATATGTATTTACATTCAACTGCAGCATCCACCTCCTTGAGTGACGGCGCCATCTCTTCCACCTGCCGGGCCTTGAGGCCGCCCATACCCAATTTTGATACCCGAAGACTGCAGTTTTGGTTCAAACATCTTAGCATCTAACATGGATAAGACACATAGCAACTGATCCCAATAAAGTGGTTTACCTCATTGGATACATCGAAGACGCCTTCCTGAATCTTCTCAAGTATCTTGCCAGCCGTCTGAGTGAATGCCTGCGTGAAAAATAATACAACTTAAATGAGAGAGCCAAATATGCCATAATAGTTAGCTCTGAGATTGCTGCTAAAGTTCAGTATACTTTGTTTTGAACACAGTACCTCCTCAACATTTTGAGCTGTCCTTGCAGATGCCTCCAAGAACAGAAGTCCATTTTCTTTTGCAAACTGTTCTCCCTCCTCTTTGCTAACAGCTCTCCGATGAGCAAGATCACTTTTATTCCCTATGAGCATGATTGTCATATTTGGATTCGCATGCTGTCGAGCATCTTCCAGCCAGCTTGCAAGATGGTTGAACGTTTCCCTCCTACACAATACACACGGCATGCATTAAGGATAGCATCCCAAGAAGACAAACATAAATTTTAGAATTTGATACTACAATTTTAAGAAGCCATTACATTTGCTCAGAGATTCACAAGTCGCTACACTTAGTTAAAGAATTCGATTTTTCCTCAGCATTAGTGTAACAATTTGGTGCCAAAAAGGTACCTAAAATAGATAAAATATGGAATAGAGAACTCTTATGCCCCCGCGAACTCCCCCCCCCCCCCCCCCCCCCCCTTTACTTCAATGAAAATAGAGAATAAACTTTGATATTTCCATTTATCACATAAACCCTGCCAAAAAACTTGCATTGTTACAATTGATCCAAGCCTTAAACACTATTGATGGGAAGAGGGCATTATGATGTGCATTTTGGAGGCCAGCTGCTATAACCATCAGCATCAATAGTACTGATTCATTAAAACAGATTATGAATGAAAAACGTAAAAAGAAGTGAAACTTGCATATCAATTATCATGAACCTCAGAAATTAATGGCACAAGTTCATTTTAGGGACAGGAATAGATAACAAGTAAAATGCTTGCAAGGAAGGTAAAAATGTATGCGAATAACAAATAACAAAATGCCAATGCAAAAGAACATATCCTACTATCCTTTACCTGGTGATATCATAAACTAGAAGTGCCCCAGCAGCTCCTCTGTAGTATGATCTAGTGATGGATCTGAAAGACTCCTGACCAGCCTATGGGACAGCAAACATAAAATTTTCCCATATTCTACAAAGTTAAGTATATACCAGATACAATATCCACAGTGAAGAAGGTTAATTCAATGAAAAGAAAAGCAAACAGTAACACTTATATGTTCTGGATTCTACATGCACTAACAAGATGTGACAAAAAGTAGAACTCCTAAGTGCAAGGAGGATCTACCTCATATTTGAATAATTACTACCATAGTACCATAACATCTTCAAAGCTAACTCGCCTAATATATGGTCATTGAAAAGTACACACACATGCAACCAATCCCTCATATTTACAAATTATTGTTGATTCTGTTCCTAGGTGGACTTCTATTACCGATTCAAAGTTTAGACATAATTTTCATCGTAGAAACAACGGATAATTCTGGTGAGAATTTATGAAAATTAAGCACTCAATTTAACATACTCTCGTGCACAATATGTTGATGTGAATCTATAATAAACAGTTTCCCCTATCACACTACATGGTGGGAGACCGAAATAATTCATATTCAATTGAAATTCGAGTACAGTGAGAGGTTTTTCTCAAGAATCAAATACTAAAAACTGTCCCAGCAATCCATGATAGCAGAAGATTCTAATCACCACAATGAAGCACAAATTTGGCCCAAATGAAATCGAAAAAGTGAATTACAGTGTCCCAAATCTGAAGCTTAATTGGCCTGCCGTCGATTGTAACCATTCGAGCCCCAAATTCAACTCCAATTGTGAGATCATGCACCGGCTGAAACCTCTTATCGGTGAATTGCAAAAGCAAACATGATTTGCCAACACCTACAAACACGATTTCGGATAAAAAATCGAACAAACTGCACTAGGGTTTTAAGACCCCGGAAAATTCGACGAGATGAAAGCGTTTCCCTTACCAGTGTCGCCGATGATTATGTACTTGAAGAGGTAATCGTACGACATTCTTCTCCCTCCTGGAACGACGACGTTTTTGGCTGTACAGAAAAAAAGGGAGACGTATGTGTGTCTGGTTTCTCTGGTTTACGCCAACAAACTGTCAACAAGAAGATGGATGCGTACAAGCGTATACTTGTATTATACTCTTCTGTTTACTGGTACTACAGATGCCGTAAATACTTTATTATGAAATGAAAAGCCCAAAAATACGAAAACAATTGAGGCAAAAAAGATAAACATCACAGCTCAGCTCAGAATCTCACAAAAGCCTAACATAGATTAATACAGTATATAAATAGAAAAAGCTTTGATTTGAATGGCAATTATTTTCTTACCCTTTTTGGCAAGCAACCACGATACCGTCCTTACAAATATTCATCTGGGCCTGCCTGCCTGAGGGCATCGGCTCTGTTATGGAATGGTATTTGATTGGACCATAATAAGGTACCAAAATCATCAGAGACCATTCCAATTTCCAACCAAGTGGGCTTTGGCTTGGCTTATAGCTCTTGGGTCCCTTACCCTTTTCTCTGGTCTGCCAGAGCCAGACCACAATCTAGTGTGGTTCTTATCTTCAAGCATGCAGTCTCAATTATCTTCACAACAAGTGCAAGTCTCTCCCTCATCCTCTCTTTTCGAACTGAACTGCATCTGCAAGAGAGGACATGAATTCCGCGACGACCTTTCATTTCAAAATCTTGGAATGCTGCTATGCAGCCATTGTGCCAAAGACCCATTTCATGACCTCTTTTCCTCAGCCCTCTCCCACAAAGCTAATCCACTTGTCGTCATCCAGGACTTTGCGCTTCAGGTTTGTCCCACTTGTTGCAGAAGCTTCAGAGTGGGCGCCTGATGAGATTGAACTCGAAGAGGATGATGATGTTGATGAAGAAGGAGGATTCGATGAGGCTAATACTTCCGCGCCGTTTACGTGGGCAGGCAATGAGGAGTCTCTGGATTCTGGAGGGAAAAGTGAGGAGGCAGGGGACCCCGACCCCGAGGAGGCCAAGCTTTTCGTTGGAAACTTGCCTTACAATGTTGATAGCGAACAGTTAGCTCAACTCTTTGAAAAGGCTGGCGTTGTGGAAGTCTCTGAGGTAACAAAAACAACTGAGTATGTGCTATTATCAGCTATCTACTTGAATAAACCTTTAAAGACGACACTCTCTTTAGGACTAACCATTGTATGTAGTGAGTAGCTTTAAGTGCTACAGGAAGTTAAGAAGGGTGTGTTAAACTTTGCAGGTGATATATAATAGACAAACAGATCAAAGTCGAGGTTTTGGATTTGTGACAATGAGCAGTGTGGAAGAAGCAGAGAAGGCAGTAGAGATGTTCAATGGCTTTGTGAGTTGCTTCTTGTTTCTCTTCTCCTTCACACCGACTGAGTAGTTGATCATATTGGTGAGTGATTCTTTATGATTCAGGAGATAGAAGGAAGACTGTTAACAGTCAATAAGGCAGCTCCTAGAGGTTCTCCGCCAGAAAGGGTTCCTAGAGCGTATGAGGCTGAGCCCGCCTTCAAAATGTACGTAGGGAACCTTCCATGGCAAGTGGACGACGATCGGCTGGAGCAGGTTTTCAGCGAGCATGGCAAGGTGGTGAATGCCCGGGTAATATATGATCGGGAAACAGGGCGATCGCGTGGTTTTGGTTTCGTCACAATGGCTCAAGAGGCTGAAGTTAATGACGCCATAGCAGCTCTTGATGGACAGGTGAGGAAACACAATACTGTTGGCCCATTTGTAGAATGAATGAAATATGGAGATAGATACATACCTCATCGGGTTTTGTGTTGTGCAGAATTTGGATGGAAGGGCAATTAGAGTTAATGTTGCTGAGGAGAGACCACGACGAAGCTTCTGATTCAGAGCTACTGCCTCAGTTTGAACATATCTATTGAAGTACTGCTACTTATTGACTAAGTTGCATTTTTACAAAGCTCCTACACGCTTAAAAGAAACTATTTTCACATGACTGAATGAATGAATTCTTCTGTTCAATGATGTCTCCTGTGATAAAACCTTGTATAGACTACAAAACCTGCCAAAAGATATATTATGTGTGTATAAAGTTTAGAGGCTTCTTTGTGCCTTCCCCATCAAGCACTCGAAATATATTTTCAAGATGCATGCGGGATTCATAATGCATAGCCGAAGAAGCCTTACAACAACAGTGTCGGAATGAAAATAGTTAAAATTGTCAAATTCCTGAGAGCATGCAAAAGCAATCGTTGAAACTGCATAGGCACAACAAGATGGATGCCATGGCAATGCCAAAATAGCAGATATTTTGACCACAATATAGAGTTCAAACCTAAGCACTAGTGTTTTCTGTTTCGGACACAAGACAGAGTTTGACACACATCAGTATAGGATGCTTGAGACTGTGGTTTCAGAAATACTGTGCAGATCCTTCCACCAGGGAGTAGTTCGGAGTGTGCTCGCTGTACTCCACTACGGCTGTTGGAGGCAGACGGCCAATGCAGATCTCATGGACAGTTTTGAAGAGTGGAAAGAGCTCCAGCCAACCCCTATGGTTCAACACCTCATAAACTTCCTTTGCAGTCGACACACCCTGGTGGAGATCCAATTGTACACATTTTTATGTGTTTTGCATAAGGTGATGATGTTCTCATGAAACATGCAAAATTTACCTGTAGTTTCTGGCCTTGCAGCATCTCTGCTTCTAGCTCATCCAATGATCTCTTTCCGCCGTTCCTAGCAAAAGCCTCTGCACATTTTCTGTTTCTTCCTCCCACTGTTACATCAAAGATCAGATGCAAAATTCATATTGCAGTGCCAAGGAGAAGGAAAGACTGGAGAGGTATGAATCTGTGGTTTACTTACAGCAGGTTGTGATTAAGTCTGCCACGCCGCAACTCTCGAAGAAGGTGCTGTCTTTGACTGAAGGGAAGAGTAGCTTCGAGAAAGCTTTCATTTCTCTCAAACCAATTCTCATGATTGCAGCCTGGTAAGAAACATCATTATTATGCAGGCACAACTTTGGTGTTAAAACTGATCTTGAGAGTTTCAAATTAGCTTTTACCTTGGTGTTATTTCCCATCTCCAACCCATCCACAAATCCTGTTTACAAAAGAAGGAAACTCATTGAGTATTAGTAATCACAAGAATGAATTCATTATAAAATAGAGCAAAACTTGTCGAATATCCATATATGTGCCTGCTGCAAGAGCCACCACATTCTTTAGTGTTCCGCATAGCTCGACTCCTTCCACATCTTCGACCTTTTAATATTGTTTGTTCACAGGACAAGACAAATGCACATCATTATTGTTGAGCTAACTAGGCCTTGTCTAATACAAATGGTGAATTTTATTTTACTCACTGCTGAGACCATAAAGTATGGATGATTGAACAGCTGCACCCATTTTGCGGCAGTCTCTCTGCTTCTCCTATATCCAACCGTAGCCTCACTAAATTTCTCTACTGCAATCTGTGCAAGCAAGCAATCATTGTCTTTTCATGTCATGAAAACATATGCAGAATAAGAAGAGGCGACTAAATGCTATAAGGTGAAAACAACCTCGTTGGCAATGTTGGCACCCATCAGAACACAACAATTAATCCCAAGCAATTCGGTTATGAGGGAAGAGATCATACATGGCCCTTCCCTCTTCACCTCCATTCCTTTGATGAGAGAGATTGCTTCTGCATCATCCCTTATCTTCCCCGCCAGGCGTTTACAAATGCCCTCCATAAACTGATGAGGTGTCACAAACACTAACATGTTGGCATCCCTCACTGCTCATTAGCCGCCATATTTGGCTGAATTAGACATCGTTGGACACACTTTATAACACAATCAAAATGCATTTACCTGCACTTTCGAGATCAGGGTCTGCAACGACGTTTTTACCGAGCTTTATGCCTGGAAGATACTTGACATTCTCCTGTGAAGAATAAGAGAGCTTATCAGAAATGTAACAACAGTTTCTATTTAAGGGAGATTATAACCATGAGAAGATTAGTTTTTACATTAGCTCTGTTGATTACTTCTGAGAGTTTTTCACCCGTTGGAAGTGTCTCTTCAAATACCCACATTCTCACTTCATCTGTTCCGACAAAATGTATAAATATATGATAAATCTCAAAATTTAGACAGCATTTGCATGTTGAGCTACAGCACCCTTTTATACTTTAGCAACAACTAGTGTTTAAGTTAAGAAGGTCAACTAAAATTTACGAAACCGATGAAAAAAAAAATAAAAATAAAAATAAAGAAAAGACGAGAGATGATAAAGCAAACACCTTATAAATTATGATCGGAAAAGCAATCGGGTCTTCCGAAAATAAGATACATAAATACCATGGAAAGAGTCGAGCTTTAGCGTGTTGGAAGCGATGAGTTTGGCGGCGACGCTTCCCCAATTGCCGCTGCCGACCACCGTGACTCTGGAGGTGACAGTGACAGGCGGCATAGCTCCTCCTCCGGTAGCGGCGGCGGAGACTGTATTATCGGCGGTATCTCCAAGGGAAGGAGTCATGATAAAATAAAGGAATGGAGGATAGGGAATGGGATGGAATGGAATGAAATGAATTGAATATAGGAGTAGGAGTAGGAGTAGGAGTTGGGGGAAGAGGGAGTTAAATGGCAACTGGGCGGAGAAGGAGAAGGCAGACACGTATCGTCATTTTCTATGTGCGAGCCTGATTCACATCCTGTTAAAATTTGGCGATCTACTCTATACAACTCAACTCAATTCAGCTCTGCTCAGCTGCCCTGCCCTGCCATGCTATTATATTGCTATTGCTATTGTTATTGCTAAAATTGCTTTTACTTTCTTCTTCCATTGTTTTTTATTTTTTTATCTTTTTCAAAATCCTTGTAATAAGAATAATAATAATAATGTGTAGAGAGTGTATAGACACTCTTCTTCAGTTGTTTCCAAGAGGAGGGGGAGGGGATAAACGAAGTGAAGTATGGTCCCATTAGTTCCCGAAGCCGTTGGTTGGTTGGTTGTATTAAGCAAAGCAATGTAGGTTTAAATTTAAGACAGCTGTGTGTGTGTGTGTGTTTGTTACTGTTATCGCGTTGTCAAGAAGCCACGCTGTCCGGACACGATTTGGTCCTCAAACTATTGGGCTAACAATGCAACATTGGGCTCAAATGATTGGCGGCCCATTTTGTCTTTTCGCTCAGTGACATATATAAATAAATACACACATGTTAGTACTGATGGTATCAATTAAGGCAGTGGGTGTACCGTGTATGGTAGGCAAAGATTGTTGGCACCTAACCTAACATACAAAAGTTGGAAATTGTAGTAGTATAATATATAATTACTCAATTCGATTAAGGTTCCTGCAAAGCTAGCGTTGTATAATCTATGAGCAGAATCAATTAATTGGTCAACGAATATATACTGCATGCATAGAAATAGATCGAATAGTATGTAGTAACTAATAATTAAGCAGAAGACTGAATGAAGAATATAACCTGAGGCTGGGCTGGGCTGGGAGGGGATGCCAAACAGACAATCGAAATTAGCTAGGACACTGCCCGCCGGTATAAGTATAACTAACTATATTATTATATATGCATGATATGGAGCATGTTATTCCTATTGCAGCAGGACATGCAGTCTGCATGTGGATCGAGTCATACATATATAGTATAGTATACATATGATATGCCCCAAGTGTACTTTCAATTAATGAATGCAGTGTGTGTACGGTAGTACGTTCATTTGTTTGCAGTTGCAGAGTGTGAGTGTGAGTGTGGCCTGAGCCTGAGCCTGAGCCTGAGCCTGAGCCTGAGGAGAGCAACAAGTCAAGTCCCAAACGTGACTGATGAATTGAGGATGATTTTTGTTGCAATTCGATCGTAGAATAGGCATGCAATGCAAGTTTAATCTGTCCTCTCTTCAGACCTTCTTTTAATTTGTTCCTTCTCAGATCGAACCGGCCAGTTCAGAACTATACATGCCTATGCCTGCGCTCCATCCTCCTTTCCACTTTCTGTTCAAATCCTTAATCATGTAAGACACTACACATTCATGCATGCATCTATTCTATATGTTATATGCGTGTCTGTGTGCGTATCAAGTTTTTAATCTTGCCTATTTCTCTTTAGTTTAGTCTCTCTCTTCCACTACTGGTGTATTAGTATAAATTATTATTGCAGTGCTCTTGGGCTGGGCCTGAAGGAGCTAGCGGGTAGGGACAGTTTCTGAATGCAATTTGGGCATGCATATGATATATATGGAGGAGTTGGGATGTATTATCTCCAATGCGGCAAACAAATTAATAGCTGATAATAATCATCCCTAGTTAAATTTCTCTATACAACAAACAAATTACTGACCACCCACCTGGTAAGATTAATTTATTCCTAGTCACAAAAAAAAAAAAAAAAAAAGATTAACTTGGAATGGAACCTTTACGTGTCATGAAGGAGCAGACCGGGCCGGGCACGGAACCGTTTTTATATAATATGGGCTTTTCACTGAAGGGTCTTGTAAACATTAAGTGCAGACGAATGGTTTGGGCTGATTCTTGCTGGCTGGCTGGCTGGCTTTATAACCTTAGCAGTTAGCACCACCGTAGCGTATGCTATGCATGCTCCGCGTGTGTCCAAAATAGCTGAGGACGAGGTGGACAACAATAACATCCTACTGTTTCGAATCTACTGAGCAGGAAAAAAAACAAATCTAATTATTTATTTCACACGTGAAAGGAAAAAAGTGATTAAAGAAACAAATAAAATCAATCACGTGCGTCGCATGTTAGCACTTAACAGAGACGAAATCCAGATAACGCCACAATCCCAAACTCCCACCCAATCAAAATCCTCCACGTGTCCCCAAGAACCTCATCATCATCTCCTAGCTCTCCGACAACTGGATGGCGACCGTCGCCCACTCTCACTTGCAAAGCTGACTCCCTTTTTGCCCCCACAAACCACCCTTGGCTTTTCTCCTCTCTTTTTTGCCACTGATCGATCGATCGATCGAGCACCAGATTCACCTCCTCTTCTTCTTCTTCTTCTTCCTTCCCAACCTCTTCAATGAACTCCAAGCGCCGCCTCAGGATTCCTAAATCTAGGACCACCACGCCCAAGAAACAGAAGTTCCTCAGCCTCCGCCGGCAGTTTCCGCCGTGCCGAGATAACAAGCCCGGAATGTCCACTCCAATGCGGCGGCAGGCTCCCGCCGAGTCTGCTACCAAAGTTGAATCTCACCAGCCCGAACCGCAGAATTTAATGGATAATCAGGAGCCGGAGAACGTTGCCTATTTCTTCTCAGCCGCGGACGGCGGCGCTACTTCCCTCACCGGACTCCTGGACAGCGCTGCCGAATCTAATTCCTCATACGTCACCACTGGTAGCTCCAGGTTAAGGCTTAAGGATTCGTACATGTTTTCGATTCATTATTTTAGTTGAACACTTCAAAGCAACAGTAGTGCCGAGTGTGCTCAGCAAGTATAATAGTATAGAACAGCTGCTTAATTACGATGTTTTTCTCCGATCATGTTTCTTCTATCAGGCAGGATGATTTGTCCCCGTCGGCGTCGCTAACATACGCCAACAGGATTCAGGATAGAGAGGAGCGGGCGGCGCTTGTGCGAAACGCGCTGAGGAGCAGAGAGAGGGAATCGAGCGAGGAGAAATGGGTTTGCTACTCGGAGGTTGTGGAGAGGAAGGTGAAGGAGGAGGAGGTCAGCAGTTCCGTGGTGGATCTATGGCGGCCTGGTGAGGATCACGCGCCGCTGTCGCTGAAGCTGGATTATGAAGACGTGGTCAAAGCTTGGTCCGGCAGAGGGTCTCTGTATGTGAGCCATGCTGAAACTTGGCAGATTGTTCCGGACGTCACCGATGACACAATGTTCTTTTCTAGTCACGTAAGATTTTGACTTTTCGCATTCTTCACTTCATCTATAGCTTATTATTTGCATGCCCTCCCTCCTTCACTTGGATTAAATCCCATTAATGTCTTTAGATGGAGTAGTAGCGGTTGTAGCTTTGGTTAATTAGATCATGCGAGAGACAAGACAACGGTATTAAAGTAATAGTATAATCATTCATCTCTTGGGGAGGGGGGTTGAGCAGGACTGGAGATATCAGAGTGAGAGTGGGGACAATAATGGAAGGTGAATAATTAATTGTGAAGTGGGGTTGGGGTTGGGGGCAATGGCAATACATTGATTGAATATTGATTTGATCTGATGTGCTGGCATTTAACTGCAAACAGTAACATGGGCCCCCTGCAGCTTGCCCTGCACTGCCTGGCCCTGCCTTTAATGAATCAAATGCACTTTTTGACTACTACTAATATGGAGTATTTTTTCTTGTGTCAATGACCAACCCCCCTGTGGGCTGTGTGTGTGTGTGTGTCCCAGCCAAACCTACCTGTGACTCCTCCACCAAACAGTTGTCTGATCTGCTTTGGCGAAAGATTTCTCTTTCTCGTGTGGTGTAATTAATTAGTAATTATTAATGGAGTGTAGTGTTGTGTTGTGGTGCAGGGAGGGATGGGAGGTTGTGAGGTGGGGTGGTGGGCAGTTCCAGAAATGATGATGGAGGATGGTGGTGAAGAGATGAAGATGGGGGTGGGGATGGGGATGGCGGGGCAAAGGGAGGCCAGCTTGTTGAGGTATAAGGCCAAGAGGCAGAACAGGCTTTTCTCCAAGAAGATACGCTACCAAGTCAGGAAACTCAACGCTGAGAAACGACCCCGTATCAAGGTAACCAACCCTTATTACCCCATGTCACTGCATGCCATATCATATGCCATTTGGTTACAAAAATTGGTGAGTAACATTATTATTATTATTATTATTATATTTATATTGGCTTGCAGGGTAGGTTTGTGAAGAGGGGCTGACTTTGACTTTGACTCTGACTCTGAACACTGTATTCGGATGTTGAAACCCTAGCTCACTTCACTTGAGTACATGAATTAATAGTATTTCATTGTTTGTCGTCTAGTTGTAAATGATTTTCAAGAATAATTAAGATACGAGAGATCCAATTAAGTTTACCTATAGATAGATTCCCAGCTTGTAATTAAAGATCTTGGCAATGGGAGTGGGAATGGGAACGGCAATATGGCAACCGTATATACATATACACGAAGACAGCACAGCACAGCACAGCTACATGGATTTGATTCTGTTGTGACGACTGACATGGTTATATATTACGAACTTTTTGTGATATATGTATATACCTGCTCTGCTCTACTGTTGCATACATTACAACAGGCCGATAGGTGGGGGCAAATTACATTGATCCATCCGATTAGTCCCAGTGGAGAAATCTACCCTTTCCTTCCTATGTATGGGAGCTACTATAACACAAAATTGATCAACATATTTTATCTTTACCCTCCACATAATTTTCAAGTTAGTAAGGCAAACAAATCTAGTTTCAAAATGATAGTGTGTGAATTTGAAAAATGAAATGTGCATTATATTATATTAATAGCTCTATTGAGTATAGTAGTTACTAGTATTTGTTTTTGTTACTTGTGTGTATAATAATTGAATGCCTCAACATATATGGAACCACAAGGCCAAGTAATTTGAGAAACTTTCCAGTAAAGCAGCCAGCCCATTAATTTGATCTGGGTGGGTAGTAGTACTTGGTCAACCAATTAGAACTTACATTTAATTGTATGCATGTATCATGTGGTGAGCAAATGGACTGTACTATTATTGCATATACATAATTTATATTTTGGCAAAAAAAACAAAACTCAACAACAGTAGTCAAAACTGCTGATAACATAGTAATAATTCCAGAGTCATAACTTGGACGTACATGCATATATATACATACATCTTTGCATTTAGTAAGCCCCAACCGACAAACTAATGGACGACGACGTATGTAATTAGTTACCACACCCAAACACCAAACTGGGTTGGTATATATATTATGTGTATACATACATACATACATACATACATATATATATATATAATTTGATATATATTGAGAACGTTAATTAGTAATGGTGGTATGATCGGTCAGCAATGGCAGTACGTACGGTACCCAATTAAGGCCAACTTGGTACATAACGAGTTTTATACTATATGTATACGAAGAGATTAGAGTTAAGAGGTTTGGGGTAGGGGTAGGGGTAGGGGTGGGTACTGCTGCTGCTGCAGGTAGTTTAATTAATTAGGTAGAGAGTGATAGCGGAGGGCAAAGTGGGTCATGGGGTGGAGGTTCGGGTTCGGGTCTGGGTTTGGGTTGCGGTGGGGATCCATCTCGAGCATGAGAAGCTTGTCCTTGTCCTTAACCCCAACCATGTGCAGGTGTTCATCGTCTTCCCTTTCCTTCCCTCTGTACAACACCCTCTGCTCTTTCGCCTCCACATTTGTCACCAACGACAGCACCATCTTCACCTCCCCTTCAATTCATCACTAGCTGGTTAATTAGTATTAATATTAATTAATTTGGATCATATCAGATTCAATTATTGATCCTGAGGTCACTTGATGAAATTAAATGCTGCTGTAAATATTATATATACAAGAATTAATGCTATATAGTACTATATATATATGATGAGTAAGTTACTGTTTGGTGTTGCTGCTGCATACCGAATGTACAAGTTGGGTGGATTGTTATATCGTGATGCCTGCAGTGATGATGAGAGACCGTAGAAACCCTAATTTTGATCACCTCCTCTTCTCCTTTTTGGTCGTTTTTTCTGTGATCTCTTTTCTGAACCAGCATCCCTCCCGGCCTCAGCTCCCACTTGATCTCGCCCGCGGTGGTGGCCGTGGCAGTTCCTCCTCCTCCTCCTCCTCCTCCTCCCTTGGAGCTGCTTCGAGAAAACCTCTTGGGCCTTAACCTGATCATTATGTGAAACCCTTTAATTTGATCGTCTCTGATGAATGGATGAATGTGTGTGTGTGTGTGTGTGTGTATATAATATGACTGATCAGTAATATCTATATATCTATATATATGTATGTGTGTGCCGAATGAAGGGGATGACATGAGAGAAGAAAGGGTCTGTGGCCGGGCATTGATATAGACATAGATAGATATAGCGCTGCTGCAACAATAAGTAAACTAATTGGGTTAATTATATGTGGACAAAACATCCCACCTATTCGATACAGATGCCTAAGTCTAATAGAGTATTTATTTAATTTGGATGGATATTTGAGATTGTGACACGTCGGATGAATGTGTTTATTCTGCGGGCACATGAATATCTACATAATTACGGTCATACATGTATCATTGCAGAATCAACGGGCACCAAAACATTATAGTATTGTTATATATAGATCTATCTGTTCTAGCAAATTAATTACTTGAAGCTTTCTTTTCGTTACTGTCTCAAGAAAATTGTTTCTTCCTAGTTTTTGGTTTTTATAATTAATGGGTTTTGAAATTATTCCTGCACAAACTAATTATAATGTTCTTCAATTTGTCCTTAGTCGTGATTTTGGGCATATATATTAATTATGTAGCCATGTGCAAGATTAGTCACCCCTAGCTTGTATTTCATTAATGATATAACTTATTATATATATACATGTAATGTAAGCATAACCTTCCTTGTTAATTAATTACTTAAGCATGAAATTCGGAGACAATCAAGACAATCCAGCTTTGTATTAAAGCAACAACATTTTATTTGGATAGTAAGTATTTGAATTTCCACTGAGAGTGACTAACTGCCCGAAATTAATATTAACTAATTAATTACTAGTAAATACCATTTATTAATTGAATTACGATTCTATCCCTAGCTAGTGTCCTATTCGTTGAATAATTTGGCGAAGATATTAGTGCATCATCATCGTCATCATATATATATACACGTTGCAGCATGTCAATTGTCACGTAAATCATTTTCATCAATTAATGAGAAGCCCTCTTGATATCAAACAACCAATGTGTGTTATCACTTACGAATCATAATATACACTGATACCACTCGGACCATATAAATTACTATATCTCTAGATCTATCTGAATTTAAATTAATTGCTGACATGCACATGATTAATTGAGGTAAATCACGTATCATAAAATTGGCCTTCATTTGCGGATGTATCATGGGCTGAGTCACATATTAAGTATGCCATTTTAATTCAATGATCAATTTAAATAAAAATATCACAACCTAGTGTCCTTTAATTTAGAAAATTAGGTGCTTATAATGAATAATATAATTAATGTGAATATGCATGATCCGGTCCAGCTTCAATTATTAAGGTAAGCCAGCACACGGAGAAGTCACGTGTTTAATGCGGGCAAGTGCAACCAAAGCCACTGTGTGAATGCATCAGTGATGCACACAATGATCAATAATATGTGAATCTGTATAAATCACTAGAGATTCATATTCTGATATGTCTGCCAATTAATTCAATTCTCGTATGTTATGTAATCGATGATATCGATTTACGGGAGATTCTTGCCATGTTGGAAGGTATTGGTTGGATTGGGATTATTCTTTGGAATCAAATATGTACGGAAGTAGATGCTTAGTATTTAGTATTAACTTGTTTGATTTAGAAAACAAAAATAAAAGCTGTTGAGTTGGGTCTCGTCTCGCGTCGTGTCGTCTTGTCTCGTGGCTTTTATTGGGCAACAAGCAGAGCGGGAAAACTCAATAATCATAGAGTGCTGGATGAAGACACGCTCTTTAATAGAGTAACAATCTTTTGAGATATTTTATGTATATATTATGATTATGATTGTAGATAAAATATTATTTGAGTGTATCCAAATCTATTTGTGGCTCTGCACCGCCATTGCTGTCCCTAATCTATTCCTGCCAGCAGATCAGAGAGAGATTTGCTTGCTCCAGTGGGAATCATGCCGACGAAAGAGCAAGTCAAGTACCCTCAAGGATGGGAGTTGAGTTGTTGATTGAACCAACAACTTCTTCAGGGAAGAAGATGAGAGAAGCTGAGCAGGGCAGGGCTTGGTCCACACGATGATAAAAAGAAAATGTGAGGCTTTATGGCCGGCCTATATTCAAAGGAGCCCATGCATATTTGACCTGTGCTCTACTGTACTGTACTACAAGAAAAAGGAAATTTCAAAGGAATTGTTATTTGACCAGGGACATGCTGATATATAGGAATCTAATTGCTAAATGGAAGAAGCCTGGTTGGTTATGCTGCTTAAGGACAGGTGCATGCAACCACCAGTCCCCAAGCATCTTCCAGAAGAGAATGTGTACATTGCCGCTGTGCTAGTGGAGATTTAGTAGTCACTCCTCCATATCCACTTCAACTGCACTTAATGTCTCCGAGGGAGGGAGGTCGATGTTTTGTTTAGTATTATACCTTAATTTCTTCAAGGTCGATGTTTTGTTTAGTATTATGAACTCTTGCATTGCATGCAAACTATTAGCCTCTCAATGGTTGCCTGCTGCTTGGAGTCGAAATTTACATTTGCCATGAGTAAGAAATTTCTATTACGTTGTTATGGTGCTGTGCTGTGTTGAGTTGTTGTTGTATATATATAGAAAACATCCCAACATAATCAATTGATATCTCTCTTGTCCAAGCAGATGCCTTAATTTATCCTTAACAATTGGTTTTGTGGAATGAAATTTGGAGTTGCTCGAGCCAAACCCACCAAGCTAGCTCAGCTCAGCTCAGTTAATTCTGATAAATAATTTGAATAATGATGGCTAGGCAGGGGGCTCTGGCGACAATAACAAGGATGCAGTCATGTGGTTAGGAGAAAACCCAAGAGTTGGCATGGAGGACCAAACATCCGATCCATGAATTGGCTATGGCTGAGCTGTGGACTTGCTTGTTGGCTGGGATGATATGTTTTGTGGCTTGAAAGAAGGGAACCATGTTATGTCACAGGCTTCAAACAAGGCAGCAGCAGAGATTGGAACTCTGTCCTGGAGGGATAAGAGAAGCAAAGAAATTTGGGAGGGGAGGAGGCAGAGTGGGGTGTTGAATATGAATAGGTTATAATAAGACACCACCAACACATAAAGCAAAGCAAAGCAAATCATCCGCAGTTCAATTTGAACTCTTGCATAACAGAAACGCTCTGCTCTTGTCACAAACAAGTACATAATAAAATTCTAAACAGAAAGGGAGGGAATTCATAATCTGTGTTTAGATGCTGAGTGTAATATAGTAACGAACTGAACGAATGGTAGATGCGGAAGCTTGCTCATCTCATCTTCTATTCGTTCTTCCTCGAGTCCTTGAGCTGCCCTCTCTTCCTAATCTTAAGACAGAATCCCAGCCGCCAAGCATCAACCACTGATTCAGGCAACGAGTTTGCCAGAGCCCACAGAAGCGTGTGAGGCCAATAAGGAGTGCATCGAGGCTCATACCCGATCCAGCGCAGAGCTGCACGTGCATATCCATCCGTTGATGGCACAAAGAAGGAAGACCTTCTGATTGACGCCATTTTTGTTGCGACATACAAAGGTACCTACCAACAAAGAAAGACGTCTCCTATTATAATTGGAAGCGATGGATAAAGAAACAAAACATCTATGTATGATAATGGAAATCAAGGATCAATGCCGTCCGTCCAGTCCATATGGTTTAGGAGCAACAATATAAGGTTCTTCTACAACACTTAGGACAGCTACCATACACATGATAAAAGTATTAATGCATCTAACAGAGACTCACCATCAATGAAGCATCAGATCTCTTATGTTCAAAGTGCTAAAAGATGCATAAGATCAATGTACAATGCAGTCCATACATGTGGTTATTGGTTAAGGACCAACACTTAAAAAATTTCTTCTCTATCACAATGCAGCAAGACACATAACAGGGCAGCAGATAGAACTTGATTAAAGCATACAATACAAATACTCGTAGAAAAAGAAGCTATGTAGAGGAAAATGCAAAACCTGGCACTGCACATCAATCCCACTCTTCTTGTACTCCACGTAGAGACACCTTGAGAACTGATCAATATACCTGAAAGGCACAAAGAGTCAAGCCTGCCATCGATGGTAAAGAAGATTCTGCACAAAGTAAGAGGTGGGCACTAACGCTTTGGTAGCAGCATAAACAGAGTAGAGTGGATCGGCAGGGATGACAATAGCAGCCCCAGAGCCGATATTGACAATAGCCCCCTTTTTCCTTTTCAGCATCCCTGGCAAAACAGCACGAGTAACCTGCGTAGTCCCGACGACATTCACCTTAATCAGATCATTCAGCAGCTTCTCATCCACCTCATGCAAGAATCTGGCATACGGATACGAAACCCCAACGTTGTTAATCAGCAGCCCAACGTCCAACCCTTCAATAGCCTCCTTGATCCTCGAAACGCCCTCGTCCAGATCTCCCGAGAAGTCCACCACCACATTCTTGATCTGGACGGACCCAGATTTGGATTTGATGGAATCCGAGACCTCCTTCAGCTTATCCGGGTTTCGCCCGACTAGGACCAAGTTGAGCCCTTTCTTCGCAAGCTGGAAAGCGAAGGCTTTCCCGATGCCGTCGGTGGGTCCGGTAATCAGAGCCCAAGACCCGTATTTCTTGAGGTTTTTGCCGGGTCGGAGGAAATTCACGTACACCCATCGGAGAAATACAAGTAGGAATTTGGCGATGAGAAAGACGCCGATGGAGAAGAGGAAGAGAAGCCAGGTGGGCTGAGATTTGAGATGCTCGAGAGTACACTCCTCCGCCATGAGTGCGCGAGTCGAGGCGATGATTCCCAAAATCAGTTGTGAAACACAGGGTTTATATAACAATTAACAGGACAAGAATAAATACCGTCTATGCATTCGTTTCAATGGCGTGAATTTAATTAAATTTTTTTAATAATACTAGTAAAAATAGATATAAATCAAAAAGTTGTATAGATTAGAGAAAAAGGAGAAATAAGAATAATAAAATAGAAAATGTGTAGTTTCCTATGCTATGTTGTATATGTATGGAATAGAAAATGGTTGGTTCATCAAGTTAGGCGGAATTAATATTGTAATTAAGTTTAAAGAAGATAATTTAGTTGATGTTGACACGCATACACATACACATACACATAGACATACCGATACATGTATCATGTATATCATTTCATAATTCATAAACATTCACAGAATAGAATAGAATAGAATAGAATAGGGTAACCTAATAACAACGAACATTGATAATTATTATAGCAAGGGTGGCAGTGGGTGGTGAGCAGTTGGCTGCTGCATTTATTGGGACCTTCAATTTAGTATTGGGTGGATGGGGAATTCAACATTATTATTATTATTATTTTTAATGTATATATTTAATGATATGGATCATAAAGTTGGTTGTCAGTATTAAGTTAGTTGAACCAACATGGTTTGAACACACATACATACATACATACAGTTTGCAAGCAAGCAAGGCGTACGTATACCAGATATATCGATATGTGTTTACTGTTTACATATTGATGAGAGGAGAGGAGAGGAGAGGCCTTACCCTTATATTGGGAAGTCAACTGTCAGCGAGTCGAGTCAAACTCGTATTGGATCACGTCACATACATGATAAGTGTGTGGATGGATGATGATCGTTGATACCTCTCCACTCCCCTCCCTGCACAATGCAGTACGACCACAACTGCAAGTTATACATACATACATACATGACAGACAGCGTGTACTGTAGGAGTAGTAGTAGTATGTAAAAGATCTGCAGCTGCATTGGATTGCATATTTGCATTGCAATGCTGCCCGTGACTGACTCACTGCCACTGTCACTGTGCCCTTTTACTCGAAATTCATTGGAAAGTACTGGGTATCACACGCACCCCTTCCCCTTCCCCTTCCCTGTATGTTTTCTCGTTCCGATCAACCACACAAACCATCTTATTATATGTATACTTTATTTAATGACCGATTGCCATCAATTAATATATAGAGATTAGATTAAATTCAGATTCAAATTAAAATTAAAATTAGAATGGAGACCGATGGATATATGTTAAAAATTGGGTTTTCACCTCTAAGCCCGTATTGATTCCAAGTTATGGGTTTGACCCAACTTCTGTTTGAAGTTGAACCCACATATATATATATATATATATACCTAGTTCTATATATTAGATTAACTATTCAGCATCTCCGCAGTCACTTATTCTCTCACTCACCTCCGTTCACCGTGCACATCACCACCGCCTTCACCATCATCCATACAGATCCATTCACACACACAACACTACATCACCATCTTCACCATCATCTATGCAGATCCATTCACACACAGAGCATTACATCACTGTGGTTGTTTCACTTCACTTTGTCTACGTCTCTTTCGCTCTCAAATCGATCTCCGCATCGATTATTCTTTCACTTGGGATCACTGATTTCTATCACTAACATATTGTCTTAGTTTTTTCTTCGTCTTCTCTCACTTCCACAGGCACTTGATTTGGTTTGCTGAGTATTGGTGTTTTTTACTGGTGTTCGAGGTTCAGAAAGACAGGCACAAAAATGTTGTGATTAACGGTTTTCCAGTTATACTGGTTTGATTGTATTCATCCCTTTTTTATTATGAAGTGATTCAGTGCAATTATGTTGATGTGAAAGTGTTCCTGTGTGAACACTGTGCCTGTCCTTAGTTGATTCATGTGTAGAGACATTTGTTCTATTAGATCCCTTGTGATCAAGGCGTGTAATGTTAAAAAAACTAGCCTCCTCGTTCGCTAGTACATTTGATAATGAATATCACTTGGAATGTAGGCTTTCCTCACTCCCTACTATAGATTTGTGTACTTGTTATTTGTTTTTTTAACATGGTATCAGAGCGAGGTTTGACATCCTCTTTGTTTGCAGGTGAATATTCTTGATTTAGCTTGCTAGTTGTGGTGAGCAGAAGGTGTAGTGTGAGTTTTTCCTCTGTTACTTTGTCCTTGATGGGTGGAAATGTCACTCCAGTGTCTGGTATAACAAATAATCCATTTCTAGTTACAAGTTTATATGATCCGTTGTATCTTTATCCTTCGGATTATGCCAACACTTCCTTAATCTCTTGTGTTTGCTGTTAAAAGGCCAATAAAGACTAATGCAAAAAATCAAAATCTTAAATGTTCACACTATGGTAGAACAGGTCACTTGGTTGAAAGATGTTACCAATTGATAGGTTATCCAAAAAAAAAAGGGCAGATTTTTAAAATAAACAAAACTCCTCATGTTTTTGCTAATAATATTTTTGCTCAACATGAAAATAATGAACGTTCAGGGTCTTCCACAAATGTTTCTCTAACTCCTGATGTTTGTGATGAATTGATTAGGTTGTTGTATGAGAAGAAAGGTATTGGCTCTCCCAGGCTCAACATGGCAGGTATGTCCTCTACTCATCTATGCAACTTGGCTATGTGTAGTGATCGGGTAGTTGATTCTGGAACTACAGATCATATGGTACCTGATAGAACTCTTTTTTGTGATGTTAAAACTATTGAAAGTGGTCCTATACATGTTACTTTTCCTACTGGAAAATCTGCTACTATAGTTGAATTGGGAAAAATGCACTTAAGTGACACAATTGTTTTAGAAAATGTTCTTGTTGTCCCCGAGTTCAATTTAAACCTACTCTCAGTCAGTAGGCTTACTACTCTTGGGATTGTTTCTGTAATTTTCTTTAAAAATGCCTGTGTAATTCAAAGTGTTTCAGATGAGAGCATGTTAGGGATAGCTAAACTTGTAGAAGGATTGTACAAGTATGACAGTCCTCAGTCTAATTGTAAGAAGCATTTTTGCACTAATGCTGGAGCAGAAAACAACCTTGTCTTGTGGTATTTTCGTCTAGGGCACCTGTCTCACAAGGTTTCAAATCTTCTTAAGGCAGACCTTGGTCTGTCTGACATGTCTGTATCAGTTTGTGACATTTGCCATTTGGCAAAGCAAACTAGAATTTCCTTTCCTCTTAGCTATCACAAGTCAAAAGCTCTATTTGAGCTTGTTCATGGTGATGTTTGGGGACAGTATCATGTCGAAACCAGAGATGGTTTCAAGTATTTTCTTACACTTGTAGATGACTTTTCTCGTGCTACTTGAGTTTTTTTGTTAAGGAATAAGTCTGAAGTGTCTGTCTGTCTGAAAGAGTTCTTTGTTTTAATTGAAAATCAGTTTGATAAAAGTGTCAAGTGTTTTAGATCAGATAATGGAACTGAATTTGTGAACTCTTCTCTCACTGATTTTTTTAAAAACTCTGGAATAGTGCACCAAACTTCTTGTACCTATACTCCTCAACAAAATGGAGTTGCTGAGCGTAAACATAGACATATCTTGAATGTAGCTAGAGCTCTTATGTTTCAAAGTTCTTGTCCTGCTAATCTATGGGGAGATTGTGTTCTTACAACAGTCCACATAATAAATAGGCTCCCAACTTCTCTTCTTGAGAAGAAGAGTCCTTTCCAGGTTGTCCATGGAAAAAAGCCAGAACTGAACATGATGAAAGTCTTCGGTTGTCTATGCTATGCTACAAACTTGAACATATCAGATAAGTTCCATCATAGAGCTAGACCCTGCTGTTTTGTTGGCTACGCTGAAAGTAAGAAGGGTTACAAGGTTCTAGACTTAGAAACCTTTGTTCTGTTTGTCTCATGTGATGTTGTTTTTTATGAATCCGTATTTCCCTTCCAATCATCTACAACTACAGGTGTTCCAGTTCCTTCTGCTCACAATCATGTGTCTTCATTTGGTGCCTATGATGATCCTTTTGAGATTTGTGAAGGTAGTCATTTAGTGACGACCTTGGATGAGATTCAGACTTCTCCTTTGAATCAGCAACCAAGTGTTACTGATGATAGAAACACAAATCAGTACTGTAACCCTAATTTTATAACAGAAATAACCGATTTAAACACTGAGGCATACCCCAATAGGCGTCAGTCAAGCAGAAGAAGTTGTCTACCTTCTTACCTCAATGACTATCAAGTCACTATAGGTAGTACTGTTGTCAACTATCCCCTTAGTGACGTGCGTCGTCTTCTGAGAGATCTGTCTAATGAAAGTCTTTCCTTGTTGGCCAATTTAGACAAGTTAGTTAAGCCTCAAAGTGTTCGAGAAGCCATTCTTGACCCCAAGTGGAAACAAGCTATGGATCTCAAAATGAAGGCTCTTGTTGATAACGAAACTTGGGTTCTCTGTGATTTACCCAATGATAGAAAGCCGGTTGGTTGTAATTGGGTGTTTAAAATTAAATACAATTCCCATGGGACAATTAAGAGGTACAAAGCTAGGCTTGTTGCTAAGCGTTTCAGTCAAAAAGAAGGGTTAGATTTTCACGAAACTTTTTCACAGTGGTCAAAATGACTAATGTTCGATGTGTTCTTTCTGTGGTTGTTGACTCTAACTGGGAAATCTTTCAATTAGATTTGAATAATGCATTTCTACACGGTGATCTTTATGAAACAGTTTATATGACATCTCCCGAGGGGTATCCAGAATTGTTTCAAAACAGATATTGTCTTCTAAAGAAATCATTGTATGGTTTGAAACAAGCTCCTAGGCAATGGAATGAAAAATTAAAATAAGCTATGATTGAATTTGGTTTTAAACAGTCCCTACATGACTATTCTCTTTTTGTTAAAGCTGAGCATGATTTGATTATCATAGCCCTTGTTTATGTGGATGATATCCTTGTTACCGGTAACAATGTGGAAAAAATCACAAAGTTCAAGAGTTTTTTGAATCAAAAGTTTAAAATCAAAGTTTTAGGGATTCTTAACTATTTTTTAGGAATAGAAGCAGTTCGATGCAATAAAGTGATTGTGTTCTCTCAACAAAAATATGCTCTTGAATTGCTTGCTGAATTTGGATTATTAGGTTGCAAACCTTCTTTAATTCCTATGGAGCAACATTTGAAACTTGATAACATAGAGAGCGACGCTGACCCTTTAGTGAAAAATGTTGTTATATATCAACAACTTATTGGAAAATTGATTTACTTGACTCTCACGAGACCTGATATTGCCTTTAATGTCCAAGTTCTAAGCCAATTTATGCATAAACCAAAAGAGCCACACATAAAAGCTGCTCTAAAGGTACTAAGGTATCTAAAGAGGTGTCCTGGACAGGGATTACTGTTCTCTAAGGGCAATAATCTGTGTTTAAAGGCCTATTGTGATTCAGATTGGGCAGCTTGCCCAATTTCCAGGAAGTCTGTGACTAGGTTCTTGGGAACTCTTTGATTTTCTTCAAAAGTAAAAAACAGTAGACAGTTTCTCGGTCCTCTGCTGAGGCTGAGTACAGGGCTATGGCCCAAACGTGTGCTGAGATAGTTTGGGTTCTTGGCATACTTGAGGATTTGCATATTAGCCATGATATTGTTGTAGAGTTGTATTGTGATAACACCGTTGCTTTACAAATTGCTGCTAACCCCGTGTTTCATGAAAGAACCAAACATATCGAGGTAGACTGCCACGTGGTAAGGGATCTCATCTCCAAGGGAATCATCTCAACACATTTCATTCCCTCTGATGAACAACGGGCTGACTTGCTTACAAAAAATCTTGACAGTACATCTCTTTATCAACTATGTAGACTTAACAATTTGTTTGATTTATTTCAAATTGCTAATGACGATCCTTCGAGTGAGGGGGTGTTAAAAATTGGGTTTCCACCTCTTGGCCCGTATTGATTCCAGGTTATGGGCTTGGCCCAACTTGTGCTTGAGGGTGAACCCACATATATATATATATATATATCTATACCTAGTTCTATATATTAGATTAACCATTCATCATCTCCGCAGTCACTTATTCTCTCATCCACCTCCGTTCACTGTGCACATCACCACCGCCTTCACCATCATCCATACAGATCTATCCATCCACACATAGAGCACTACATCACCGCCTTCACCATCATCCATACAAATCTATTCACACACAAAGCACTATATCAATGTGGTTGTTTCACTTTACTCTGTCTACGCCTCTTTCGCTCTCAAATCGATCCCCGCATCGATTATTCTTTCACTTCGGATCACTTATTTCTATCACTAACATATTGTCTTAGTTTTTTCTTTGTCTTCTCCCACTTCCACAGGCACTTGATTTGATTTGTTGAGTATTGATATTTTTTATTGGTGTTCGAGGTTCAGAAAGACAGGCACAAGAATGTTGTGATTAACGGTTTTCCAGTTATACTGGTTTGGTTGTATTCATCCTTTTTTTTATTATGAAGTGATTCAACGCAATTATGTTGATATGAAAATGTTCCTGTATGAACACTGTGTCTGTCCTTAGTTGATTCATGTGTAGAGACATTTGCTCTATTAAATCCCTTGTGATCAAGGCACGTTAAAAAATTCACCTTCTTGTTCGCCAGTACATTTGATAATGAATATCACTTGGAGTGTAGGCTTTCCTCACTCCCTACTATAGATTTGTATACTTGTTTCTTTGTTATTTTAACAATATATAGGATGGAATATTTATTAGGGGAGTGGAGAGGGGAGAGAGGATCCGGTAACACCCTACCCAATTAATTAAGGCTGGCCCCTTCTCACTACAAGTTTTCCTGTTACTACACTACACTATAGTATCGACGAACCATATCTTATACAATTTCATTTCTAATTTAAAACATGTGTAAAATGGCATACATTATTTCTCCATATTTTTTTAATACGTCAGATAAAAACTACTACTACTGTATGCAGTGCAGTGCACCGGACTGAACGCTAGGCTTTTGTGCAATAACACGCGACGCGATATACGATGAAAGCGTGGTATGCAACTTAAAGTCGCTACTCTGATGTCTGTTGTTTCTTCTTTCTCACTGGATAGGATTGCAAGAAAGCTACAGCAGAGGCGCCGCTCCCCTATTCTTCTCTCTCTACCCTAATCGGCAGTCCAGATCCGACGTCGTTCTGTGCTTTTATCCTCTCTCAGGTTCCCCCACCTCTCTCTCTACCACCACCGTACGTTTCGTGGATCAACTGTGAAACTCAAAACTTACGAAAGCAAATTGTTTTTTTTTTTTTTTTTTTTTTTTTTTTTTTGTCATATGGATCTGAAGTTGAAATTCCATAATTACCAGAATGTTATAATTTCATCCACGCGCATGTAATTTTTTGAATTCTTGGCGTCGCTGCTAAATCAATATTTATAAGTCTTCGTTTCTTCTTCTGCACCTTCTTCCTTCTATCGTGCGCAAACGAGAAAGATACGAATGATCGAGCTCCCATCAATTGTGCTTTTTTTCTTGACGGAGTTCTATTTATTGAATCACTTTCTTTTTCTCTAAACTTTTTCTTTTTGCCCATGGAGTGTAATTTGGTGTTTGCATGTTTTGTGTGTTTTTGGGAAAGCTGCGAACTTGAATTTGATGTAATTTCATACGCACTCGTGAACAAAAATAAACAAGTAACAGGCTAATGCATATGTTGTACGCAGTGCGGAGGAATGGAAATTGATGATTAATTATGCTGCTCCGGCTTGTTTTGATTTTAGCAATGATTAAGTAATCTTGGGAATTTGGTTGCAGTTCTTTAACATCAGAGAGTTCTTGATCATCTTATCAATTAATGATTCTTGGCCTGGCCATCGTTGATAGCTTCATGATCATGCCTAGTTTGCACATTGAGAAGGAAGCTGGATATGTTCTTGAGTGCATTGACAATATGTTGAAGTATTCATCCTGTTTCAGGTTTCTCCCCTGTGATGAAGGTTGATGGACCCTGGCTTGATTGCTAGGGTGAGCAATCATTTTCAAGGTGGTGTGGGGAAGAAAGCTAATCCAACATGTCAAGTGGATGCTGATGAAAAACCCATAGTTGACGCTCCAAACTTTAAATATGGCACTGCCGAAGTGATCTTTGTCAATGGGAAAACATCTGTCAGTCGAAATGGTATGGGCATAGATAGTGAGAGCACATATAGTTGCCTTAATTCTTCCTCAGATGAAAGAAGTGTTGGTAGTGATGTTGAGCAGGAGCTCTCTAGCCACAATGGTACATCTGTTGATAGTGGTAACAATGGGCAATCTACTGAGGGTAGGCTGAATGATCATAGTGGTTTCATCTCCAGTAGGAACCAGCAGGGTATTGATGCTAAGAGTGGGCATGTTTCTCCAAACTCTGAGACCCCTTCTGATACCTGTCCTGGATCTGTCCAAACTATAAAAGAAGAAGCTGGTGAGTATGTAGTACCACAACTTGGTGTGGAGTTTGAAACTGAGGAGCATGCATACAAGTGTTACAATAAATATGCTCTCATGGAAGGTTTCAGCATCAGGAAAGATTTTGTGAATCGAAGTAAAGTTACAGGTTTGGTGGTATCAAGGAGGTATACATGTCACAGGCAAGGCTACGGGTCTAACAAGCGTGAGGCAAACATGAACAAATCCCGTAAAGAAACTCGAACTGGTTGCCTGGCACATATGACCATCACACGCCAAACGAATGGTAAATACCGTGTCATCCATTTTGAAACCAGGCACAATCATGAGTTTGTGACGCCCTTCACAGCTCATTTATTACCTTCACAGAAAAGAATATCCTTTGTTGAGGCTGTTGAGGCTGATTCAGCTGCTTCTCCAGGGCCAGATGGGGTACCAAAACTGGGAATGGGTTTTGATTCAGAGGATCATGCTTATGAGTTCTATAATGCATATGCTGCGCATCTAGGTTTCAGTGTTCGGAAGGACTATGTAAATAGAAGTAAAAAAGATGGATCTGTGGCATCTAGGAGATATACTTGCTATAGGGAAGGTTATCGCCAGAATGATAAAAGAGGCTTAAAGGTGAAGAGGCCTCGAAAGGAAACCAGAGTTGGCTGCATGGCTCAGTTAGTCATTTCCCGTCAGGCTGATGGTAGATACCGAGTCACCCACTTTGAAGAACATCATAATCATGAGCTTGTACCTGCATGTAAAGTTCGAATGCTGAGGTCACAAAAGAGGCCCTTGACAGATCATAATATGGAATCAAGCACATCCGGTTCCAATATGCCACCCAGATCACTTACTGAATTGGTATTGACAAAAATTCAGGATGATTTCTTGTACGATCCTATAGATCATGAGATGCGTCTTACATCTAAGCGAGTGTGTAGCATCAGGCAGGATGAAGCAGAATTTATTCACCAGTATCTTCAGGGCAAGAAATTGAAGGATTCATCTTTCTATTATGCTGTACAGCTTGATGTGGACGAGGAAATGACCAATTTCTTTTGGGCTGATGAGAAAATGTTGGTGGACTATGGTGACTTTGGTGATGTAGTTTGCTTTGATACCACCTCCAAACTAAACAAAGATTTGCGACCGTTGGTTGTGTTTTTTGGAGTAAATAATCATAAGCAACTCCTGGTCTTTGGTGCTGCATTTCTGTATGATGATACTGCTCAATCTTTTAAGTGGCTACTCCGAACTTTTGTAAAAGCAGTGTCTGGAAAATTCCCCAAGACAATTTTATCCGATAGAGATGCAATTATATGTGAAGTGATCTCTTCTGAGCTCCCCCAAACTCAGCACAAAATATGCACCTGGCAAACCTATCAGAATGCCCTTAAATATCTTGGTCATGTGGTTGTTGGTTCAGATTCTTTTTCCACAGATCTTTGTGGTTGCATTTACAATCTGGATGAGGAAGCATTTGTTAACTCCTGGAAGATCATGCTAGATGCGTATGGTCTGTGGGAGAATGGATGGCTCCATGCAGTTTTTGCAGAACGAGAGAAATGGGCATTACCATATTGTAAGAATATCTTCTTAGCTGACATAGAAGCAGTGTTGCTGTCTGATGATTCTGTAGCAAGCTTGAAGAAGTATCTTAAGCTTCAATCCCATGTTCTTCAATTTCTCAAGCACTTTGGGAGGGCAATCAATGGTTTGCGTTACAAAGAATTGGAAGCTACTTATGACATGGGCCAGCATGTGCCGAGACTAATAGGAGATGTTATAATGCTGAAGCAAATGAGGGAAATATACACCCCCGTAATTTTTAAGATGTTTCAGCAAGAGTATGAGAGCTATCTCAACAATGTGATAGGCCAATGTAGTGACAATTTGTCATCAGTTGAGTATAAAGTAGGCGCGTATGGTCGAGTTCGTCATCACAGAGTTCTATACAGTTCAGAAGATGAATCTGTTGCCTGCAGTTGTAGGATGTTTCAGTCTGTAGGAATTTTGTGTAGCCATGCACTGAAAGTGCTTGATTATAGGAACATAAAGCTAGTACCTGGACACTATATCTTGAAGCGATGGACCAGAGATGCACGGGCTTGAAGTTATTTCTCCCATAAATTTGGCTGGGAAAAATGAACTGTAAGTATCCGGGAGCCCATTTCGTTTGTAGATTAGTGTGAACTGCTGTGGCTACTCAATGGTCTATCACATCATTGTACATTTTGTCGAAAAGTATTTTATGATTTTATAGTGGTCGGGTGATATCCCTGCAGTTTTCCATTGAGGCCTGTGGTCTCCTGCCCCTCCCCTACCATCGTTCGTGTATATTGGGAACATAGTTGTATATATGATGCAGGATGCACATTTTGCATGTTCAGCTTTCCGTGATATAAAGTTGCTGCAGTTGCTAAATGTTCTATCCATGAGATGATTGAGTAATTATTAAGAAAATTATTGAATGAGCAAGAAGAAAGTTTGGATGGGGACTTTATTATCATTGATCTTTGTGATATAAGATTTTGTATATCTACAAAAATGTAAGGCAATGGTGATTCAGTAGAATCAAGATTGTTTGTGCTTGCACTTGCACTCATCATACATTATTTTAACATACGTTGAGGGCAATCTGCAAGACATTCTTAGCCTAAGGAAACTAAACTATTCTATTCTACCCGGGGTAGAGTACGTTTATCTTCTACTGATCTTGTGAGTTTTACCTCTTTTCCTTTGACCTTTGTGTCTGTAAATCACCATTGCTATCACTGCTACAAAACCAACCACAGAGAATGTCCATAACCCAATTATCCGCAACCTCATTGATCTAAATGCTTGATTAGCCGCTCCTGGCGGTGCCAAGTCTTGTAATTTATTCCGCAGATCTGATATATCCTTATCAGCATCAATATTCTCCAAATTTTCAAGCTTCATAGATTTCTCAATTTTAGTGGTAATCTCACGGTGGGGTGGGGGTGAGGAAGGAGGATTCGGTGTCGAGGCGGGCAATGAAGGTAGACTGGGACTCTTCCGAGTAGAAGTGGACTGGGAAGCCAGATCTGGGGTAGGTTGAGCCCCAGTGGGCAAGGATTTTATATCTGAGCACTTCTTTCTTTCGTCGTGACGGCGTAGAGCTTCGTTCAAAGAATTGACACAATCTATGCTAAGCAAATCGCGCTGCAAAATGTACTTTTCTGAGTGATGAAGGGTTGACGGATCAGGAGGATCAGGAAACCTCACCCAGCATTTGTTAACCACATCCAGATGTCTATACTTAGCCTTGTCGAAGCTCCAGTTACCAACCCGGAATTCTAAGCCGTAATGGTACACCCTGTAGCTTACACCGGGCGCAGGCATGTGTCCTGGGTAAATCAATATATTGCTGCTGATCTTGTGCCTCATGTTCAACTGCATCAACAAATGTCAAACAAGTTTTGTGAAGACCAAAAGATGCTCAAAGTGAAGGTAGTAGAAGCTGATAAATTTAAGGATGAAAATACCTCTGCCGCAGCAAAGGCATAGCCATACATCTCACTTAGCCAACCCGCATTGTAAATATCTCCTGTGTAATATTTGGACCAGTGACCCACATCAGCCCGGAGTTGCTTAGTTTTATGCAGCCAAAGGGAAGAAAATCTCCTGAGATCCCTAATGTGCATTATGATCACACCACCAACCTTGTCACACGCACCAGGGTTGTGAGTGTGAGCCCTGGCAAGCTCGTTGTCACAGCCAATTAGATATCTAGCATCCAGAAAGACAATGAAGCCAGCGGCAACCGGCATTTGGTAATCTATATCCTTTAGTAGAAAATCTGCTCAATAAGAGTTTGGACATGCTTGAGAGTCTTACTCATTGGGAGCAGAAACAGGCCTTCCTTTGTCTGCATTGAACTCCCACGGCGTAATTGGTCCTTTCATGATCATATCTGGCTCCAGGATCACAACATATTCTGCATCAGTCTTTACATGGTTGATCCAATGCAGCACAGCAGCTGGTTTATTAATAGCTGGATACCTGAAAGAGGCTTTCTGATGTGCATAAATCTTTCCAACTTGCTTTATTGTCAATGAATGCAGTGTTATATATGGTTCTTAACCACATAAAGATAGCAAGAGCATTCTCAGAAACCAATTACCAGTCTCCGGTTAAGGGATGCCGGCTCATGGATGGCACATAATGAGTTGGAGCAAGATTATGTCCCTTGTATTCCTTCAGCTCTTCCTCCGTGCAGCTCAAAAGTCTTGTGATATTCCCTGGCTGACCACTCAGGTGGAAACTGCGTATGAGCCCCACTGTCTGCCAATCGAAGTAAGGGAAGCATTGTGTTGAGAAAAGAGTATGTATTTTTGGACACTGCTTTTCAGGCTCCCCAACATCTTGCTTCCGAGTGTTTTCTTCCATCATTCTTCGAGTGGCAGGAGTGAGATGTTTTGGCTGGGTTAGTTCTGCAAAAGCTTTGCTTCTCAAGAAACTTAGGTATTTCGACTGTTTTGGCTTGGGGCAACCGCGTGCTGCATGATGCAATAGCAGGCCTTCATTGATCGTATTTATGCATTCTATACTTAGAAACAGTGCTCTCCTTTTGTTTGGATCCCTCTCCATTTCATCCACCTGTAAGACAATGTAAAATATCAACTCAACAACCACTCAATTCAATCATTACAGTGTTAAAAAGCATCGTAGGGTATGGCAGAATTTCATACATCTCTAGGATAAGGAGGTTCGGGAAAGAGCTGTCCACACTCATACACGATGTTGTCTTCATGATGATCTAATTTACTGAACGACCAGTTTCCAACAGTGAAAGGCAAACCATAATGCAAAAGAATTGGTTCAACGCCCTCCTGAGGAACATATCCGGGATAAATCATCAAATTATCATTTATCTTGTGGCGAAGCCCGACCTGATGAAAACAAGACGACATGCGTCATTCATACACCACTGTGTACTTAATTATTACCTACTGAAAGGTGAAGCTAGGATTAGCTGCAAAGAACTGGACAATGATAAATATTTTAGATACACTAAGAGACAACGGAATATATAGATGGATATCAAAACAGAGTTACCTCTGCAGCCCCAAAAGAGTATCCATACATCTCACTGATCCACCCTTCTCCATATATATCACCGGTGTAATCAGTAGCCCAATGAGCTCTATCCTCGCGTACTTGTTCAGTTTTAGATAGCCAAATATGCGCCAAATCACGGAGGTCGTCAATATGCATTGCTAAGAGGCCACCAACCTTGTCGCAGAGTTGAGGATGCTTTGTGTGCAGTTTAGCAAGAACATTGTCACATCCTACCAAGTACCTGGCAAAGAATACAACTACTATGAAAAATCATCAAGGAAATGTTGAAGGAGGTGGATACCTATAATTACCCGTAGTATGCTGAGACAGGCCTCCCTTTCTCTGCACCAAGCTCCCATGGTATGATTGGACCTCGAATGATCATGTCCGGATCTAGAATAACCACCCAATCGACATTGTTTACATGTTTGCTGTGTTTAAGCCAGTGAACTACTCCAGCTGGCTTATTAATTGCAGGATACCTGCCCATAAGCACCACCAGTTATATAACCTACCATTAGAATCTGTTCTCAATCTATAGCAGGGGTAATATGTCCGACTCTCGTAGAAAAGAATCATAGTCGCAATAAGAAGTCGAAGATTCAACATCGAAGAGAAATGATTGTATTGTATTGCATGTAAATGCATGAATGCACAGCACTTGTTCGCTCACCAGTCACCCGTCCTAGGGTTGTGACTCATTGACGGAACTTGAAGCGTTGGGGCCAAGTCCATGCCTCTATACGTTTTCTTCCGTTCCTCGGTACAGCTGAGCAGGCGAGTAATCAGGCCGGGTTGTTTGGCTTTACGGAAGCTATGCATGAGACCTACCGTTTGCCAATCGGAGTATGTCTGACACTCCACCGAGAACAGCGTGTGGATCCTGTACGGCGCCGCCCCAACCACCGCGTCGTGGGAAGATTTCTGCGCTCCGCCTCGGCTCATCGACACTACCACGGTCGCCACCAATAAGAAATGGAATCTTCCAATCGCCATTGTCAAATGCCAATAACTGCAGCAATCGGCGGTCCCTAGAGAGATCTGAAATGTGAATTTCCTTCATAATCGCCCTTCTCTGCAATCATTTTCCTTTGGATTCAATCCGATGGCAGGGACGCAAGATCGCACGGAAACGATTCAACAATAGCCGGAGAGAATTTGAACTGTTGACCTGCCTGCGTAGTTGGATCATCAAACCAAACCAATATTTCTATATAAACAACCGACGCAAGCTAGCAAGCAAGCAAGCAATTGTCGTCGGAAATTTCACTGGAAATGATCCACCAGATTTTCATAAAAGATCGACGGCGTCTGAAGTTCTTTTGCATGGTATGGAATGGGATAAGTGGATAACTAATTAGAGTAATAAAAAATAAAATACAAAAATAATCACATTGCGTGTCTTTAAATATCATACTTATACAACTAATGGAAGAACTCAAAACGACCTGTTCTTCCCTGGTGCACGCATAAGAAGCGGCGAGTACTTATTACACCATGGCATCCGGGAGAGGGAGCAGAATGACCATGATCAATCATTAATGTGGAGGTGGAGGTGGAGGTGGAGATGGAGATGGAGGTTTACAGAACGATCCTGTCCCTAGTAGTAGTGAAGATTGTTTACAGGAAAGATATAAAACACAAAATCAGTCAATTCTCTATCACCCGCATTAACTCCATCCGCTCTAAGAAAATATTGTTTCCAGTGATATTACAGAAGGAATCCCTTCACAGTGAGTGATATTACTTACAAGATAGCGAGGGAAGAGGAGGGAAGGGAAGCATAACATCGGGTTGGGTAAAATATAATCACCAAGTATGTATGTATGTATGTACACATGCATGCATGTATCCTTACTACAGGTAGGGTATTCTTGATTATCTTCACTGCCCTGCCTCGATAAAGGTGTTTTTTTCGTTATCTTGTTCATCTTCGTCATCATCAAGTTCATCCAACTCATCCAGTAGCGACTGATTCAACTTCTTCCGAGATTGTCTCCTGTGCTTCTTGGGTTCCAATCTTGGCTCAGCTTGCTTCACCCCATGTTCTCCCACCTTGACCCTAACCCAATTCCATTTCGAATATAAGAAGAAAGTTAATCCAGTTGGATAATAAGAAACAGGCTGTGATAGTTGTTAACCTTGAAGAATTCAACAAAACAAACAAACAAACAAACAATCTCATTTCTAGTTGCTAAGTGATCAAGTGCTGCTCCAAACACTTAGCAAATAGGAAGACTACATAAAAGTTTCAGCAGTGGAGACACGCCTGCTAGTTATGTATGTCAAGCAAGTATTGCTCTAAACATCAGCACATCGATGTCTGACATACTGCAGTAAGAAATAGCAGGTTATTTACTTATTTTTCTAACGCAGCATACCTCACATCACTCTCTCTTTTAGTCCCGACGGTCCTCAGCTGAAACTCTTCTCTAACTCGAATTTCATCAAGCAATTGAAGATAATAGGAATATCTTTCCCAGTCTCCTCTCACAAGGCATCCTCTTTCACCTAGATGCAAGCAGTCGCTGAACAAGCATTTTCCAGGTCCGCCAGCTTCCAGCATTTTCCGGATCTAAATATTCAACAAATCATTCATCCATTTCCAATTGACTCTCGCTGTGTGGATGATTTCTATTATGCAAAGATTTAAGGCAATAAAAGAAGAGTTGAGAGCAGAAACCTCTGGGAAGTACTGTGCAAGGGATTGCTTTGTTACTTTGAACAAACTAGGCAGGCTGAATCCAGGGGTGTCAGCAAGATATCCTCCACCAGACAGTGGTAGCAACGAAACATTCCTAGTGGTATGCTTTCCTCTTCCACTCCTAGCCGACACTTCCCCAACTCGCTGCTCTTCAAACCACTTACTACCTAGAATCTAAACATTTGATTGATAGCGGGGAGGCATCACTATACTCACATAGATAAGGATTTGCATACAATATGAAAAGCAAGCATAGTGGTAAAGAGAACATACAGGTTCAAACCAATTGTCGTCTTCAGTAGCACCAGTAACACTTTTATTGCCTCTTAAGGCATTGATCAAACTTGATTTACCAACACCACTGGGACCAACAATTACAGATGTTTGATCTCTCAAAATGAATTGCAGAGTGTCGACTCCTAGTTTAGTATCAACACTGCAGAAAACTGCCTCATAGCCCCAGCCGCGAAGCCGAGATTTCCAACCCCTCAGTATCTTCAAAAGTCAAATTTCACCGAAGAGCTTAAAATGTTGTAGCAGAAAGCATGCTACCATAAAACAGGGACTCAAGGGAGCACAGGCTTGGAATAACACGAGAAATATGTGAGCAAATTAGACCAGCAATTATTAGACTGATGAGCTTAGAAACCAAATTGTTTGTTTAACTACTACTCCTATCAAACATTCTACAAATGTCACATCATCAAATTTCCTACGCTGACAGATCTAACTAATTATGAAAAAGATTCTGAAAATGTAAGTTACACCAAAATGCAACAGTGTGAGAAACCTGCGCAAAAAGAAGTGACAGCGTTCTAAAAGCTATTATCAACAAAGTCTTATCACCTTGAAAAAAGAAGATAAGGATCATCAAAAACAACTCGCATTTACCCTAAGAAAAAAAAAAAAAAAAATCCAGTTGAGCAGCATGTGCTCGTTCGATAACAGTAGGAACTCAAATCCAGTTGTGAGAAAGTACGTCTAACGTGAATTAGATCTCGAGCCATCAATAAAGGAATTAATGCTGAAGCAACTCATACAGTGAAATAGAGACTTCATACCGCTTCATCAACAAGCTCGGTTTTATTCAAGGCAAGAGTGAATGGAATATTAGTAGATTCAGCCTCCACAAGGAATCGAGTAAGCATAAAAGGTTCGAGTTTAGGCTGCACCAAAGAGAATAGGACTACTAGATGGTCTACATTCGCCACAGGAGGATCCAAAATCTCACTCTTCCGCTGAAAAATATTTTCAATCATTCCTCTCCTATCAACCCAGTCGACCGAACCTACAAGCACCTTATCCCCCACAAGCACTCTCCTTTTTATTTTCTTCAACACAGCCTTCACCACGCACAGCAATTCCACTCCCAAACTTCCGGAATCTTCCAGCGGCTGCGAAGCCGAATTCACAACTACGCGCATGAAATTGGCATGCGACGCGGCGACAGTGCCGATCGCCTCATTTTCCTTCAGAACAGGCTTGTCGTCGGGTGAAAGAGCTGGAGATAGAGATGAGAATTGCTTCTTGAAGCTTTCCCGAGCTTTGAGAAGGTTTTTCTGAGGCTGCTGCTGCGGGTGCTGCCTTCTGACATTCGTTGGGTTCAGATGGTGGCGAGCCGCCGCATAAATGAAACGTCGCGGACAGAGGGCGGCGGCGGAGAAGCAGGGCGGCAATTTTTGACGGAGGATGGAAACCGAAGCAATTGTCATGGTAGACACGTGTATAAAGCTGAGATCGAGAGAGCAAACACAACAATACAACACAACAAACACCGAAACAGAGCGGAAACAGAGAAGAAGAAGAGAGAAGGGCATAGAAGTAAAGATATATACATATAGACAATATACTGCGTTGGAGTATGGATGTTATGTGTATCCACACCGCCAGCCGAAACCGCTGGAATAATCGGCCATCTCTGGCAACAGCCCAAGCCCATACTCAATTCAAGTTACATTTTTTATTGGGCCTATTGGGCTTTGATTTAGAAGGCCCTTTCATAAGAAATACAGTTCGTTCCTCTTGAATACAATATTGAAATAAATCGTGTCTCATAATATGAATGAAACAAGCAAGCATTTAATTGAATAAATCTTTTATTATATGTGTTTTGCCATTGCCCCGTCTCTTTCTTTATACACTCAGTATTCAATTAAAATAATAATAATCTTTTAATATGAACCTTTCACGTAGTTATCGTATCATCTATATATCTATCTTTATCATTTATGACTCAAATTAGGAAGCCTTTAATATTGAAACTGCCACTCACTCTCACTGTATTAGAGAATTCCATAGTGCAGACGAAATGTCCATTTCCAAGTAATCACATATAATAACTTGAGTCCAACCATTTTTCTTTTTATTGATAATAATAATAGTAAAATAGAGGTGGACGTTGACTGTGTAAAAATATAGTAGTACTAGAAGACGAATCCTACACGGCAAGACTATACTAGTAATTGGGCCCTATCCTTTCCCTTTCCCTTGCTTTTCCTATGGTTAGTAATGTAAATGCAATACAAATAATGAATGAACAAGGGGAAGGGAAAGGGAGGCTCTGGAGTATATATATTTATACTATTACAGCGCAGGTGCGACATAATATTGGTGAATACAAATAATAATAATAATAATAATAATGTATTGAGCTGTCGGTCGAAAGAGCAAGTCGGGCAAAGAAGAGTGAAACAGCCTATATGGAGGTCGGTCTAAAAAGAAAGTCGGGCGAAAAAAGATGAGATGGCAGACACGGAGGTCGGTCAAAATGAACGTCAGACAAAGAAAGATGAGATGGCAGACACGGAGGTCGGAGAAAGAGGAAAGGTCAGTTAATTGATCGGGCGAAGAAAGAAGTCTGTTAATTGGTCGCTTATATTAACGACCTATTAATCGCCTGCGGGTCACTTGGTCAGACAGTAATTCAGTCGCTTAAAAGGGCAGTTAGTTGATCGCTTGATTGGACGACCAATGAATCGTCTGAACGAATGATTGTTCAGCCGGATGAATGGTTGTTCTTGTCAATACAATTAATTATTTATTTAATATTATTTTAACCATTTATACCATAGCACATGTTTGCGCGCTAGCAGCAGTATATATCAAGTCAAAGTAGTAGACAATAATAGTAGTGTGATAAATAGACGGAAGGAAGGAAGGATATGGATAGTACCAGCGGCAGAAGCATCATTAGCAGTGGCGATGATATGTATATTTAGGGATCCATCCGATAAAAGTAATTTATTTACCTGAACAGGCAGAGGAGACTAGAAATGTCAATTGTCGATCAGGCAAAACAAGTTTCAAAATTAGCTAGTAGTGCCAGCCCCACTTGGCTTGAGGAAGATTTTAGAATGGATTGGATTATTCAACACACGCCTCATCCCAAATACGAACAAACGCACCAATTTAATTTTGAGTCAATCGTAATCATGATGATCGATGCGTTTTGGCTTCTCTTCTCTTCTCTTCTCTTTACAGAAGAGAGGAAGGAGGATATATGAGGCCGACGAGGAAAGAGGCGAGCTGCCTGCAGCAGCTACTCATACTCATACTCATACTGAATGGTAGGGTAGCATTGCTAGCTGCTGAATAGAAAGAAAGAAAGAACGAAGAAGAACAAGTTACAATAATTCTGAAATCCAACACTCACCCTTGAATTGGTCGTCACGTCACCATGAATGATCATCGTAGCAGACGGGGAGTTTCGCCCTGGATTGTGCTATTATTCTGGTGCATACTCCTCCTCTTCGCCCTCCTCACTAACTTCTCCACCCTCCGCCTCCTCCTTTTCCAAGGTATTTATTTATTTATATATTTATTCATTCATTTTCCGAGTGTAAGTGAGTGTGCCTTGGTTGGGATTTTGCTGAAATTATTCTTGATTACTCCTTACAATTTCAAGTGATTTGTGTATTAGAATGTAATTTGATGTATTTATTGCAACCGGAAGGTCATCAGCCCAGATTGGTATCCAGATGGAATAATCCGGCGACGATGGAGATGATTGTCGGCGAGAACTCCGCAACTCCAGCAGCGATCTCAGTCCGAGAAAGAGTTCTCCTTCCTGACGAAGCTCTGCTATTCCTGAAATACCACCGGCCGCCGCCGCCGTCATCGTCGGCTGCTTTATTAACCAAAGCTGATCTCACCTGCATCTACTACTACGCGTCCACGAACTCATCATCGCCGCAGCTCCAGCAATCCCCACCGACTTGGCTAGAAACCAGAGACGAAAACGACCTGCAGATCGTCCGGTGCCCGGCGCCTACAACAACACATGGCATGATCGTGTCCCTTGCGTTTAACAGCAAGGGTAACAAGAACAGCCTCACACCTCCTGCAGCAGCAGCAGCAGCAGGGCCTACGTACAAATGGGACTCTCTGGCGTACGAAGCCGCCTTCGATGATGATGACGAGTCAACGATTGTTTTCGTGAAGGGACTCAATCTACGGTCAGGAAAGGCTGCTGCCCCTTCCAGGTACAAGTGCCTCTTCTACATCGGGGATTCAAACTCCGGCTCCCTTCTCCGGAGCGACGTCGTTTCAGCTGCCCAGGAAATCGTCAGGTGCCGGACCCCTTCCCCCGTACTTAACGCCCCACCTAGTTTTGGCAGAGACCCCAATCCCATTAAGGTCTCCGTTAAGGCCGTTGGCAAGCGGGCCCTCGATTCCGTTGCACGAATAAGAATCCCGGCGGCAGAATCAGACAGGAACTCCCAAAAACAGCAGCAGCAGCACAGGGTATGTATGTGCACGATGGTGAGGAATCAAGCTCGGTTCCTGCGGGAATGGGTGATGTACCACTCCCGGATCGGAGTGGAAAGATGGTTCATTTACGACAACAACAGCAACGACGATCTGGAGCGGGTGGTGGAGTCTTTGAATCAGCAGCAGCAGCACCACAACGTGACACGCCATAGTTGGCCCTGGATCAAGAGTCAAGAGGCGGGGTTCGCGCACTGCGCATTGAGGGCTCGAGATTCCTGCCAGTGGGTTGCATTCACGGACGTTGATGAATTCTTTCACATGCCGGCGGCGGCGTCTCACTGGTCCCTCCACGATGTGATAAGCAGCAGCAGCGATGACTACTACTCTGATGGGGAGGGGGTGGGGGAAATCCGGGTGTGGTGCCGCAGCTTCGGGCCGTCTGGGCTGAAGCAGCATCCGGAGAGAGGGGTAATGGGCGGGTACACGTGCAGGGCGGCTGCAACGGAGAGGCACAAGAGCATAGTGAGGGCGGATGCGCTGAACTCGTCCCTCATCAACGTGGTGCACCATTTCCATCTCAAGTCCGGGTTCCGATCCCTCCAACTCAACACCACCCGGCTGGTGATCAACCATTACAAGTACCAGGTGTGGGCGGTCTTCAAGGACAAGTTCTACCGGAGGGTTGCCACCTACGTCTCCGATTGGCAGGAGGAGAGGAATGTGGACTCCAAGGACAGGGCGCCCGGCCTAGGGACCAAACCCGTCGAGCCGCCCGATTGGTCCGCCAGGTTTTGTGAGGTTCAGGATACCGCCTTGAGGGACTGGGTCCTTCGCCAATTCGCTGACCCCGCCACAGGCTTGTTGCCCTGGCAGCCCAACTGATTTTCAAACTATACATACATACCATCTGGCTAGACTAGCTACTACCTGGTAACAAACAAACAAACAAAGAAATACAAGGACACTTTTAAATTTGTATAGAATATATTTATTGTAAAAAGAAGAAATAAAAGTTTGTTTATTGTCGAAGAAGAAAGGAATTACTATTACAGTAGTATCTAACTATCTATACATTTATAGACTCTTAAATCTTGATTTCCGTCTTCCATTCAGACTCAATTCGGATTCATTTATTTGGGAGTGTTATTTTGAACAGCTAGTCGAAATTACTAAAATGCCCACGCAACACCCACCCTCTAACTAGCCGTTAAGCTTTTCATATAAGGAAGGAATATGACCGTTACGGAACCTCTCCTCAGTCCTCTCCCTTTCCTTGCCCACTAAACTAAAAACCAATACGAAATCCGGAGGAGGAAAGGATGACCAATGCAGAGGGTTCGGGTCCGGAAATCATGGAAAATGGGAAGAGAAACGAGAGTTTGTTCAGCCCAAGGTTTCGATCGGTGGCGGCGATGGCCGGTTGGGATGAAGAGGCACTGCTGATTGCAAGCCTCGTCGTGGAAGACACGCCCGACCGCCAGTTGAAGCACAAGAAAAGATCCGGTTTGCACAGTTTCATAACACCTCCCACAAATTCTACAAGGTTGGTTCAGGAGAACCAGTCCTTGTGTCTTCTGAAACAAGCTTGGTTTGGTTTTACTTTGTTCATTTCATTTCTGCGTTTGTTTGTTGTAATGAATTATTTATTCCCTTGACTGGTCTCCGAAAGAAAGTTGCTTGTGCGATGCTGCGTTTGTATCTAAAGAGGATATAAATATAATCGTCCTACTGATCGAATTGGGTTGGTGGTTCAGAAAACGCAGAGCCCAGCGGAGAAGTCCGGCATCCAAACCAGTGGCGATTCTTGACCTTGAGGAGGATGTGGATGTGGATGACTCAAACGCAAAACAAGGTTCTTCATTTAATCTCTTTAATTTCCAGACTAGTTTTAAGATTTTCAATCCTCTCTGCATCTTTGATTCCAACCCAAGTATTCTACAGAAAGTGAGAAAAAGAGTGAAGAGACAACCAGTGATAAACAAGTAGAGAAGACAAAAGGAGGTTATGAAGAGGGTTGCAGGAACACCTCCACTGCCGCAATGCCTTTTGATAAGCTTCGGGAGGAACTTTCTTGCGCAGTAAGAAGAGAATTATAAATTGTCTCTGATTAGCTTCCTTTCATTTGCTTTGATCTCTAACTTAACATGAACTTGGTAACCAAGATTTGCTTGGAGATCTGCTATGAACCCAGTACCACGCCTTGTGGACACAGGTAGGTTACTACATTCATTTGTTTTGCTTGACCAAAAACAATGAAAATCTTCATTAGTTTACTTTACTTCTGCGTGTGCAGTTTTTGCAAAAGATGTCTGCGCTCGGCTGCTGATAAGTGTGGCAAGAGATGCCCCAAGTGCAGGCAGCTAATCAGGTAGTGTGTGTAGGCATGACCATATATATCTATATATTTAATCACACAAACTGACTTTGGATAATATGGTGAAACAATGCAATGCAGCAATAGTAGATACTGCTGCACGGTGAACACGGTTCTATGGAACACAATACAGCTATTGTTCCCCCAAGAGGTGGAGGCGAGGAAGGCAGCAGAAGCAGCAGCTGTAGATAGTCACGCGAGAACAACTCCTCCAGCTCCAGCAAGAAGTAGTAGGAGGGTCAGAGAATTTGCGGCAGCATTGAATATCCCTGAGTCGTCTGAGAGAAGAAACCAGAATCGTCATCGTCACCGCCATCTCCCTCGCCGTGTGCAAAGTGGGAGAGAATTGCCAAGCCAAGATGAGGATGCTGCGTTGGCTTTGAGATTGCAGAGGGAAGAATTCATGGAGGTTTTTAACAGCGGCAGCGAGCATGGTCGTAGAAGTAGTAGTAGTGGGTACAACTCATCTGCTGCGGCTGCTAGAGCCAATTTGAGGGCAATGGCCTCAAGGGCCGCTAACATTAGGATCAGAGGCCAACACCACCACTAGAGTTGGCATTAATCATCACCATCAGTGGGATGGTAAAAACCAGTATGTATTAGACAATTCTCCGTGGACAAAATAATGAGACGTCTCATCAAAATTTTGGGATACAGTACAGTATAGTCAGTCAGTCAGTGTTCGTACAATCAATGTTTGTGAGAATGCTTCCGGCTCTTGTGATGAGTCTCGCCCTTCTCTCTGTGCCTTCTATGGATGGCCCTAAAAGTGAAGGCAAATGTTCCAACAGCGGCCATCACATATAAAGCCATGTATGGAGCCAATGCCAAGGCAGCTAGGTAGCAAGAGTATCCAGCAACCAGGTAAGCATAACTTAGCCTGATTTGCCCAAATAGGATCCCGCCTGGGATTGGAAACACAAAGAAATTAAAGTCCGGGTTTGAATCACATAAGCCATGCAGGATCACACCAATGCAGAGTAGAGAATCTGAAAGCCATGGAACCATGGGGATCCCAACCTGCAAATGTCAAGAGGAGCTATCTGAGTGCTAATAAAAAAATATACAAGGAGTACTTGAGGGCAGAATAAATGAAAAATATCTTATTAAAATAAAAAAATATCTTACTTGTGAGAACTGTATTCTAAAATGAAAAAAGAATGAAAATTTATGCTCAATCAAGATCGTCCCTGTCAAGGATTCAGCTACTTTGCACCCACCACTAGCAATGGTTAAAAAGAGTGGCAACAAAATTGGCATCATAATCATCAAGCATTGAGCTAGTGGCTTTCCACTAAACCTTCAGTTTGTCTCATTTTGTTATTGATATGGACTAAGTTTTAGGTTGGGAAGACTTTTATATATACCAGGCATTGTTTCATTCGACGCGTATTCATACTCAAAATATTAGTGCCCCGTGCAACTCTTAATCATGTTTGGCCAATAAATTGTCAAAATCGTATGCTATTTTGGAAAAAAAAAAAAAAAAAAAAAAGAATTCAATCGCATTCCAATGAGAGTATAGTGGAAGAACACACATACCTGAATCCAGGCAGCAAGAGAAGGGGCAAACATTAATGCTGCAAGCAAGTGTAAAATAAGCAAACCATGCTGGTGGTAGAAGATCTCCAATTGTGTGTCACCATAACTTCTTGTTGATTTTGGGCTACTGGTGCAGGTTTCATACAACTCCTTGCTATGGACACTACTGCGAAATGAAGCCATCAAAAAACTGTTCAAGAAAACAGACGAAGACACTTAGATCATTATTACAAGATGCAAATGGTATTCAAATGGCAAGTAAACAAATAAGGCATCCCAGAAAATATCAAAAGCAAACTAGTTAATTGCCTAACAGAAAATTTCATAACCACACTCAACATATGACAATGGACCTGAACCGTAAGTGGCCAAAAGCATAAACGTCCATAGAAATTCTGGATCGCTTCTGCTTGGTGTGTGTTAAGTGTTAACAAAAAACTGTAAATCAGGGACTCTTAAAAAAATCCTCTATTAGGAAAAGAAAGATATTTGATGCATAATATAAAACAAATCAATCTGGACATTACCAGTCCATATAAAGCTGGAATTAAGCCATCTACATGATCCAGGTAATGCTTTCACATGATAAAAAATATAAAAAAAATAAAAAAAAAAACATGCCATACCCTTACTCATAAATTATACTCTTATCCTAAAGAGAAATTTAACCAAGTAAATACGTGAATGTTAAAGGGATTCTGTTACAGGTACCTTGACATACTGCTGTGGCAGAATAAAGCATGATAGAAGAGCAAAACAAAGAGACCCAGTGCCGGATGCACAAAACATGCCAAGGAAATCGCAAGCAATGATGTAATAAGCAGAGGATTACCCCTTAAAACCCTTATCACCTGCTCCATGCAAAAGTAGACAAGGATCTATCATCAGATTTTGATAGTTGAACCTCAAAAGGGAAAAACAGAAAGAAAAACATAACATTCATCACAAAGTAAATTGCAGGTAACCAGAACATCATACGGTCTAAGAACCAGAATTTCCTTGCTTGATTAAATACAATATCCGGAGATTCAGGTACAAAGAAACCATCCGATCTAGCTTACCGGAAGATTAAATTTACCTTAATTGATGCAAGGGTGCAGGAAAAATTGATTAGCCACTGCATACAGGAAAACCAAGAAGTCCCTTCCCACATTTGTGACCTGACAAATAAAAATTTTCTTAGCATATAAAATATCATAAGAAAAGTTAATGTGTATGTCAATTTCCATTAGATAGAGAATTTTGAGTACATTTCTATTTATTGTTCATGAACCTCTTAATTTTATTAGATAGACTTACACAACTAAGACTTCAAATAAAGTTGCTCCTCTTATAATGATTACAAAAATGAATATCACATAATCAAGATAGTAAATGCACAAGGAGGCAGATGCACACAGACATTGCAACTAACCGTTTCTTGATGGATACATGGATGATTCCAGCCACATAGAAAACCATTTGGGAAAGTAGTATCAGAACAGCTATCACTCCATTAGCACAAATAAAGCAGAATATGGAGACAAAAACAAAACTTAGAGTTGGAGGGTCAGATTGATAAATGAGGCATGAAATGAGCACAGCAAGAATAACTGGTAAAGTGATGTGAAATATAAATGGCCTTGGCATTCTCAAGTTTGATTCAACAGCAGATAGCAATGATGGTATGGGCTGATCAACTTCCCATGCATGTGCCTGCCGCATCAAAGCGAAAAACACAACAGCAACGCAAAGGCCAAGAATCTGCATGGAATTGATGCATTAAAGGAAAGACCTATATAAATATACTAATCAGAATGAATAAGTAGGGTAAAATATATTATTCACAACGAAGCTGGAGAGATGCATTGTCAACACAGGCAGTTCATTAAATGATTACGATTGGGGTTGAATGTCCTCATTTTGAGAAAGTGACAAAGAGTATACGTCATTGCTTTTAGTTAAAAATGGTGAAGAGTAATCTTATTTCATTAATAAAAGAGCATAAAGAACTCTCCACAAAATAGTAAAAAATCTTATACCAAATTGAACAATTAATGGCGATAAAGTTCCTAACTGTTATGTGTTCCAAAAGTAAATACAGAATAAGCTTCTAGATAGGAATATCAGCTACATGTTATAAACATATAAAGTTCGCCAAAAATCAACAAATTTTTGAATAATACTTGGTAACAAAGGATTTACCTGTGACACATATAAAAGCAAGAATCTAGCAGCAGCAGCAGCAATAGAAACATGAACAGTACTTCTATATGAACAATGTGGATCTACCTGAAAATAATTGCACAGTAAAAAATTGATAACATAATACTGATAAAAATCCAAAGACTCCAGTTTCACAGGTTTTTTCCATTAGGGGGAAACCTAAAATATCAATTCAAGCAACCATACCAGTACAAAAACAGTTGTCTTATCAGACTGTTGAGAAGAAGTCCAGAGTGCTGGGGAGGAATCCACAACAATTGATTCTGAATTCAAATTTGGAAATGCATGCAAACCAGAGGTCACATCCCAAGCTAGTGCCACGGGAGGGAAACACCGTAGCTTGCAAAGCCCTGCATTTCAGAGGATCAGAAGCTAAATGTAATCAATGAAATTGACAAACCATCTATTCAGGAGGGATAAGCAATTAAACATAAAAGCCAGCTCACATGTAATCAGTGATGAAGCTTCAAGTCGCAGTAGCAAAATTCTTATAATATTGTACTGAAGCAAAATTTTTGCAATTATTATCAGAATTACTTTCATTAGAAACAGAGCTTGTTAACAAAGGTTTCAGCGGGCAGAAAACTGGTTTTAAGGTGATCATTTATGTTTATGAACAGCTGACATTATCCAACTAGTTTTTGTATTATCAGAGGGAGTCATTTTGAAGAAAGCCAGCCGCATGGAGTTTTACTCGAGTTGGAGGTAAGGCTCACAGCCAATCCCCTTCCTTTTCTTTTCTTTTGAGATTCAAATCATATTATTCTATCATTATCTTTTTTCTTTCATTTCTATTATAACCCTTGCAACCTTCCACTTATCACATTCATGCCACAAACCCTACCGCATATGAGGAAGTCCTCTTGCAGTAATTGGGAGTGGATAGGCAACTAAGAATGGTTTAAAATCCCAAATTCAAGAATCCCAAATACTTGTGAGGTAGAATTGACAGAGAAATGAACTTACTACTATTTTCTGCATCTTCGGATGCTTCAAATTCTGACCTTTTTATTCCGCAGCCAGTAGGTGTAAGAGATAATGAAACAGGAAGATGCCCTAAGCTAACTAAGAATGTAAAATTGAGAGTGAGAGGATGGTCCTCCTTCAAGTTCACTTCCTGTAAAACAATCAATTTAAGTATAAAGAATCATTACATAACTTCTGCAATAACGAAGCTGTCTCAAAAGCCAAGCCCTTGTAGATCAAATGGTGAGGCATCTCCACTTGGGGGCTATGTCCCGGGTTCGATTCCGAGTGGATGCGTGTGAGAGTGTGGAGTAAAAAAAAAAAAAAACCAAGCTGTCTCGAAAATCTTAACCTTGTTTGAAATTAAAGAATGAACCAGCTGGTAGCTTGAGAATAAATGTTCTCCATCTTTTGGATTGAAAAATTGCCCAACCCCCATAGAAACTGCTGGTGGCGGTCTACCTGAAACACTCTGAATGAAGATATAAAATGTTTCAGTAGCTAAATAGTATACAAAAGTAAAAGTGTCACATTCTCATAAAATTTATAGCCAGCAATGATAGTGTGTTAAACAGGACCATAAGCAGGCTGAAGAAACTTATAAGGTCACTGCTCGGATTAGTTGATCTTGTCATAAAGCTTGTTAACTAAACTTAATCTTGCAGTTAGTTATCATGAGAACCAATCAAGCGGTCTTCACGACTTAGCAAAAAGCTTTTTGGCTTAATCCACTCAAAGATAGAGGAAACCTTCATTCATAGACTTCATTTTATAACTATATGAATCTTGAAGTGCATGTAAAACATACGGGTCCTTTTCAAAATTTAAATCACTAGAATTATTGGAAAGTAATTTCGACAGTAACTAGTTTTCCATTTCCCAATGTTTCTGATATCAAATTCAAAAGCAATGCCACATACCACTAAAGAAACAATTAGATGAAGAATAACAAAAATAAATAAACTGCAAGGAAAAGAATACCGGTCGAGGGGCCACGGATATTGTCAGGAACCTATAACCATGCATATCTTCAGGGCCCAACCAAAATACTGCAGAAGGAGGAGCTTGCTCAGTTTGACTACCTGGCTCAATCTTACATAACAAAATATTCATATTTAGATAGGAGAGTATAAATTTTGAATTATATAAAGACATCGGAAATCAAAGATAGAGAATACTGTAGACTTTTCTTAATGCCTACACATATTATACCTGCCTTGGAGCTGGTCCAGATGGAATCTGGATCATTTTTAATGTTACATCAACTACACTTTCAGAAGCTGAAATTTCTGCAGCTGAAGTTCCCTTTTCTCGCCAAAGATGGAGTCGCACACCAGAACAAGGTGAAAGATTTGTGACAAAAACAAAGTGATCTTTCCTTTCTGCACCCTGCATTTTGAAAAGGCTTTATGGATCCTGATCACAAGTTAAAACTATATTGGCGATGATTATCCATAGCACAATCTCAAAGCTACCAAGTTTCTTATCACAATAAAACAGACAAGCTTCAGGACTCAAAACAATCCAAATTTATATTTATCCAAGTTTCACTCCAAAAAGCTATGGATCAGATTTGTGGATATTTTACAAGTGAGGAAGTTGCTATCTCCGAAATTGTAAAGATAGAGGTATCCACACAGAAAATAAAAACATAAGAGGGAGAGAGAGAGATGATCCAATTCAGAACCCTGTACTCCTACGGATGCAGTGCAAAAATTAGAAGTTTATTGAACTCTGTCAATGAAGCTAACCAGTTTCTGAATGTCCAACCACCGTCTTCTCCCATCCATTGCTAAAACTGTGACAGTATTTGTATGGATATAGAGGTCTCTTTCAAGTCCATCCTCATTCCAGTGGCTATTAGTTGGGCAGCCCGAAAACCTGAGAACTTGTGATCCTGTTTCATTGTTGTGATTTCCAAAATAAATAAAGACCAATCACTCCAGAAGATCAAGTATTACACCACCATCCAGAAGATCAATTATTACAGCACCGACGCTGAATCCAAGTCAAAAGTAAAACTGTTACATAAATTAGATAAGATTTTTTGTTTTTTAGGGGGAGGGGGGGTGGAGGGGAAAAAGAAAGAAAAGGAAAACCTAAATTAGATCTCTATTTCTAAAATACCAAAATTGTAACCATCCCTATAGTTGCCAAAATTCCACTAAAGCACCAAGAGAAAATACTATAAAATAAATATTATATGCCATCTCAGATTAAAAAGTATTATTTAAATTGCTAAGAATGCAAATACATCTAACCATGGTACACAGTCTATAAGACAAAATTCATCCAGTTAGGGAATATGAATAATAGGATTACTGTAGAAGATACCAGAAATGGTCTTTCCGATTTCCTTAGGAAAATGGCCAGACGTTTGCGGTAGCTGTTGTAGTCCATGTGAAATGAAGTTCTGTGGGATTCCACTATGAAGCATTTTCAGAAATATTCCAAGTCTTTGCTGTACATCATTAAATGGTTGAGCTGTCTTTGTGTCTATTAGACTCAGGAGAGTATGTGATACCTAAACAATGAATATTATATTCAGGGCAGCTTATGCTATAACATTGCAACTCAAGTAGAGCAATTCAACTTACTTGAACAACTAGCTGATTACACCATAAGATAACCTGGTGGCCCATTGACAACCAGACATTCCTCATGCCAGTGCTACTTATCATAAATCCATGTGTAGGAGGAACAATGCCATCAAGGGTCTCCAAACTTGAGCGCACCTACAAATGGAAATTGGGAATAAAGAACATAAAATAATTATAAATCAGCTCATTTAATGAGTGTAACTAAAGGTATAACAAGAATTAGTATTTAGAGAGCATCTTACGCTCTAATCCTTTTAAGTAGACTAAATCAGAGATTAACCATAGTTATGGAATATATATATATATAACTAAAATTAGATAGGATGGCCGGAATAATTAAAATTAAAAAACAAGGAACAGAAATCCATAGAGGTAAAAAACATAAAAACAATTTCCACAATAGCACAAATTAAAATTTTCTGGTACAAGGTAAGCACAGAAAATTAAAGAAACTGAATCAGGGAAATCTAATATGAAGGTTTATCAAACTGTTGCTATATCTACATGCAACCAGTATAAGAAGGTAAAGCAAACAATATTGCAGAATAATGTCACTGGAGAGATTGCTCTATTTCCATGGGACTTTCAGAAGCCTTCTGAAATCCAAAGTTCTAGTTTGTGATCATAAAATGAGTAAATGAAAATATGAGCATGCCTGATAATCATTATAGCCACCAGATATGGAGACAATGACAACATGAGAAAGGAAAGGACCAGACAGGTAGTGTCCCTCTTGAGAAGTTTGAACTTCATAGCCTTTCCTCCATTCACGATTCACATGTGCATAATAATGGCCCAATGATGGCTGCAACGGCAATGGAGGAGACCTGAAAAAATATGTAAAATTATTGAAAACTGCACTATATTAAAAATAAAAATAAATAAATCAAAGAAAAAATCAAAGCTAAAACAAACTGTGAATTTTACTGGTGTGGAGTAGAAAGAGTCAGAATAGTCTCAACAGCAAACTTTCTCAAATAGGGGTGCACCACTGCAGCTCTAGCAACAAAACCACCCATGGAGTGACCAACCAAAATCACACTCTTAGGTAAACTGCTAGCTATAGAACTTCCTTCTTTTGCTCGAGCATCACGGGATTCTTTATATAAATCCAGAATCTGCATCATAAACACTACATAAATTAATGGAAACAGGAAAAAGGATTCACTGAGAGTGACAGAGAGGGAGAGGACAAATCAATGTGAAGAAATTAACACATCATAAGCCACAATCAAAATCACATTAAAGCCAGAGGCCACATTATGTGAATTTGCTTCTTTTTCCAATTATCTTACTTTTTATATCACTTATTTAGGTTTATTCTCTAGCATGTCGGCCTGTCATTCAATCTGGATTCCAATTATTATCACACATGGAAAAACTTGTCATGAGTTATGAAGCAAATTGATACCCTGTGAATGGCATATACTACATAGTCTGCTTGATCTTGAAGTATTCGACCATCCATTGCAGAGTGTTCACCCACAAGATCCACTGCAAACCAATTCAGCATTGAAGCATATTTAGTGGGTAATATAATGTCCAACAAGTCTACACCCACTTGCTCTCCCAAACTTGATGAATCTTGGTACAAATTCATTTCAAGTGGACCTCCTTGATAAGCCCTGTCAGATTCAGCACCTAGTGATCTGACCTGTATGAGTACAGGTACACATACATATGTAAGTAACTGGTGAAAAAGGGAAAGCATGAGTTTGGTCACCAAAACTGATCCATTCATCATGTAGTTCACCGCTCAAATGAATATATGAATATAAAACAGATCAGAGAATTGCACTACAATTACCAAGTCTATTGTGGAATTCACCTATGAATCAATCACATACATTAGAAAGAACCCAGAGAGAATTTATCAACCAACAACAAGCTCCCAATTATATGGCTACACAGTTGTACAACGCTAACTTACAAATCACAATAGATAGCTATTTGATAAACAATGAAGAAATATGTGTGGTGTCAACATACTCAAAATGACATAGTACACAACATCAGTGAAGACTAAGAAACACTTGCCTGTTTGTAGCATCCCCCGTTGCCTGGAATGAAAAGAACAGGAACACCATTAAGCTTTTTAAGGTGATCGTTAAAATCAATCTTTCTCCAGCCTTCATGGTACAGATATAAGCTATACCGTGCAGAAGTTGCATTTTCTGACTTGGAAATAGGAATGTAAGTGGGGTACATATATGTCATGACACAACCATTTGATATTGGTCTCAACAAACCAAGAAGACCAGCCAAGATCATCCCTAGGGATATGACGACAATAACCCCCACTCCAAATTTCGATTGCACGCCTTTCATGTCAAGCCCACTTCCAAGCCCCAACCTTAATACCATTTTCCCAATCACCAGCAGCAAACAGAAGCTACCATCCTAAATGAACTGCCGGAAAACAAACAAAGCATTACGGCACATGGAAAGGAGAGTATAAAGGGGAAAATAAAGAAGCAGTAAGCGCGTACTGAAGAAACGAAGTACATTGGGAGACAGAAGTAGTTGAATCAATCACAATAATAATTTAAAAACAAAATCTTGATAAGAAGACAATAAATGAGGAACCGATCAAGCTAAACAAGAACGTTAACAGCTGCAAACTAGAACACAGTTGCACGTTAAGAAGCATCAATACAGCTCCGCTCAGATCAATTCTGCGCAGATGTATATCGAGTTAGATCAAAATAAATGCAATGCAAAGATACCCCGAGCTGAAGCCATCCCCGCGACTTCAAAGCTCAGCGTAAGTAAGTAAATAAAGCAATTGAAAGTAGGAAATCGACAGAAAATCACCTAGAGGAGAGAGATCGAGCAGAAAGAGAAGGGTAGTTGAGCTAAGAAGAGAAAGACGAGCTGAAGAGAAGAGAAGAGGAGAGTGGGGGTTGTTTTTCCTAGGGTCATTTAAAATAGGTAATTAATGGTCGGGCTTTATTTACATCTAAATATACATAATCTGAAAATGGAAAGATAATTAGTTGAAATGCGGTATATTGTGGTGTGTCGTGTATAAATACATAAATAAATGTTAAAGGAGTAGTTCACCTCACCTCGATAGGTCGCGGCGGCGAGAATCCCCAAGCTCGAGTCGGACCGGACGTGCGATCAATTAATTCATGTGCGATGCGATCGATCAAATATACGTATTGTCTTATTGGGATCCCATCTTATTATACTTGGCTAATTAATTAATATTGCTTGCTTCGCTGAATAGTGAGTGAATACCAGTGGAGTTCCAGTAATACATACAGATACAGATTCAGTTAACTAAACAAAGCAAGCCCTCATTCAATCTCCACGTCAAAAAATATAAAATAAAAAAGAAAAAAGTGTTCTCTTCTCTTGGCCTCGCCCCTTTTAGGTAGCTTTATTCTTTCTTGTGATAAATGGCATTCTAAATCATTCACTTTTGTCAAAGGCTGTACGAGAAGGGCAATTCATTTGCCATGAAGTTGAAGGAAGCAACAGAGAAAGAATAGCAAGTTAAGTTATACATACAACAATACAATGAATGAGCTACAAAAGTCTTCCTCAAACATAAAAGCATATCCCCTTCCCTTACACATGCATACATACCTTTTTGCAATTAAATCAATCCAAGGTCGTGGGAATACATACATATTTATATATAGGACAAGTACAGAGGACTGATTATATACCATAAGAATATCGGGGAGCCGGCAGTGGCGGTGGCATGTTACATACCAAAGAATGTCGACAAAGAATAACCATGTTACGTAGGCTTGCCAAACTCAATTGGGTACAACAACCTCAACTCAAAGACCTAATCAAGGAAGGGAAGCTCTCTATAATACAAGAAGATAACAAAAACCCGAGTCAAGGAAGGAACCGTAATATATCCCCCACGCGCGCACACACACACACCACAGTAAAACTCAATAGGAGAACTCATGACCTCGAATGGAGATGTATTTTTTTACCCAGATGGCAATGTCTTCTGCGCATGCATGGGCCTGAGGGGTCTTTAAAAGTATGTCCAGTGTGGCAAATTCGTGGACTGCATCCTTGTACTCAAGGACAGGTGCATCCACATTCACCTTCCGGAGCTCTTCGGAGTAAGCAATGGCCCTATCTCTCATCCAATCGTGCTCGGCCACGACTGTCAGTGTTGGAGGCATTTGCCTCAGAGGAGGTCCTCCTCTGCCAGAAACTAGTGGGTTGGCAGCGGCGTGATCCAGGTTGAATTCCTCCTCGGGTAACACAAGTTTCCATGCAAGCAAGCACATTGCCTTGTCATAGAAGTAGGAGTTTGCAAGTTTGATTTCAGATTGTGTTGGTACACTTCCCATGAAGAAAGGATAAAGCAAAACCTGGGCAACCACTTTTACTGGATCTATACGATTACCAGCTTCGACAGCCTTTCTCGCCACGTAATCAGCAATGTTTCCTCCGCAACTCACCCCAAGAAGTACACATCTGCACAATGTAAGATTGAAATGATAATCAGAATCCTATTTTTTATTTCAGCACATTCAACACAGATGGGGATAAAACAATGCAAGCAACAAAATATTAAATGTTTATGCATACCCTTGGAGCAATATAACAAATCTTGTTCTATCACCAACAATAACATTAAACAGAGTATGGAATATGAGTGCTCAAAATGTATACATTCCAAACCTTTTCTAGCAGAGAAAGGAAAGAAGTACAGCGAATCATGATGCAGCTGACTAACAGATTGTTGGAGAACAGTGAGAGAGATTCTTATTAGCTTAGTAAATATCAATACATGCCTTAGCAGATGAGCAAAAACACAAATATCAAAGGAAACAGAAAAAACCTCAAAATAGGCCAAGAAATCATTAGGAATGTGTGTTTGTTCTGCCTTGCCGCATTGCTTCCTCTATAATAACAAAATGCAAATCTAGACCAACTAAAAGACGGCATGTTTTATTGTCCTATTATAAGCAATACAAAAAGGCTGATATAGAATTTAATGCAGTAATAGCATACAGAGGGAATCAAATTATAGTTAGCTATACTTAGCTTTGCAAGCAATCTAATCACACAATAGGGCAATGCAGACTTTCTTTATCAGGAAAAGCTAAATAATTTAATATGCAACATACACATCATTCGAGAATCTAATTACAAAAATCTATGTTACAAGTGTTCTTTTATCTAAACTAATCACAAGAGATCAATATCTGAATTGAATTCTTAAACAGTGATTTGTTATCCTTCAAGCACTAAACATGATTGGAAAAGAACTGAGATAACAAATGCTAACATCCTAGATCAAACACTTTTTCCAGGTTTTAAGAGAAATTATTCATCATGCTAGTTACTTCCAGCTTTTATGCAATCACGGTCAAATCACATCATCCATTGATACTATCAAATCAAATTCATCTCCATCAAATGAATGAATTCATATAGAGGTTGTATATGAGCTAAAACAACACAAACCGTTCAAGACAGAACATCAATGGTAAAAGGCAACACATGTCAAGAAACCAACCTCGTTGGATCCCCATGAGCAGCCAACCAAGGCTCCACCATTGACGACCCAAATGCATCGGCCAGGTGCCAATTACTATCAGACCTTCTCAGATCCGCTGCTTCTCCCTTACCCAAGGACTTGCTACATTCAGCCAAGTTTGCCTGCTTAGCTAGCCATTGCAGTACCTTCAGACCATCCTCGAATGCAGCTGGATACTTACTCTCCGGCGCCAATCTATACCCAACTGCTAACACAATGACATCACAGAGCTTCGCAATACGCCGACAGAAAAAATCATTCGCCACCGAATCATTGCTGCCGCTGACAAAACCCCCACCGTGAAACTGCAACATCACGGGTAGTCTGCGACAATTTCGACCCTTGGGATTGTACCCCTGGTAACTCCCACTTTCGGATTTCAGATTCGAATCATCTGTGCTCCCCCCATAACTATTTCTCCGATGATTGTTATCAAAACTCTGGGTGCGCTTAACCGCAACGCCGTTGCTGCTAGAAACAAGGCCATTATTCGAAGATCCATAACTGTTGCGACGAGATTGGGACTGAGTCGGATCCGATCCGTCTCTCAATTTTCCCACACGAGATTTGGTTAGGGTTTCGGGACCGTAAAGACAAGTATCGGGGATAAAAATGCGAATGGAGAGAGATGTTGTGGGATCGATATGTATGTCTTTGGTGGCGACGCCATCTGTGAAGGAAGGATTGGCAGCCGCAGGTGTCTCTTCCTCCGGCCTCGATGTGATCCCAAATGTGCCGCTGCCGCCAACGGCGTCATTTTCCGCCTCCTGTAATCGGCTCTGCAACCGATGCTTTATCATAAACTTGAAAAATACGCTATACAATTTGACACCAATGCTTGGCATTTCCCCAATCTGATAAAATTATGCAGCACATACAATCAGGCGTGTATACACACCACCGCCTTCTACAGCCCTTGGCTTCCGCAACTGATCCGATGCGCGATTAGGGGAAAAAGAAGAAGGAAATTGCAATTAGATTCAAACCTCAAGAAATCCAATGCGAGGAGGATATATAGTTTATTCCGAAAAATATTAGAGGTTTTGAATTGAAATTGGAACCCAACAAGTACCAAAAATGAAAATCGAAATCAAGCAGGCAGGCAGAGATAGAGGAGATGGGGAGAAGGCGGGGAATCTACGGGCCCGTGGGTACAAACTGCATTGAATTTTGAAAGAAGTGAGGATAATTTTATGACAATGGAGATGTCGACCTCGTTGGCCTGCTCGTGACGATCCGATCCGGTGCGTCGTGCACCGGTGGTCCGGATCTGGTGCGGCTTTATATGTCTATGTTGCTGTTTGTAATTATTACTTGTATCGTTTGAATGAGAGGTGAGCCGAGTCTAGTGTCGTCGGGTCGGGTCGGGTCGGGATAGTAATTTACAATGAATTGAGTGATTCGATCTGACGAGGTCTTGTTATTGAGTGATTAATCTTTCCTTATTATGTTGCTATATGAATAAAAGAAGCATTTAATGCGTCTATCAAGTAGTCTCACTGCGACCTATTCATTTAATCCCTCTTGAGTCTTGACTGACTGACTGACTGGTGATCATTAAAATACTGCTCCTTCCGCCAAATTGTGACCGGGAGAGGGAGACAAGTATTATGCGAGTATTTACTTACTTCCTTTCGTCACAAAACTATAATATTAATTAGGACACGGTATTTCAGAAATATTAATATTATATTAATAATTGGTAAAAAATATAGATATAAGATTTTTTTTTGCCCTTGAATATAGTACATTAGTGTAAAAAGTAGTGGCAATTGTATAATAAAAATGAAAAAGTAACAGTAATTTTACGATGATACAATTCTTAATGAAAATAAGACTGTTGTTTTGAGACAAACAAAAATACTAAACAAAATTATTATATTGTGAGGGAGTATTTATTTATTTATGGTATTACAAGGAAAGGAGCTGAGGGGAGGCCAGTGTGGCGGCTGTTGAATTGTTGTCGACTTCGAAATATTGAATTCCATAATTGACTCTCTTGATTTTTAATTTTTGTTGGACTACAGGTAAGTTCATGATTCGTGATAGTTGGAGATGGATCAAGTCTCAATGAAATTTAAAATAAGAATTTTGGGTATTTAAAATTTTGAGCTTTCTTATAAAATATTTAAGGGAAGAATTACGTGATTTTTTTTATTATTATTTTTTTTTAAGTTGTAATTCGAAACTTACAAGTCTATAAATAAATTTGGAAGAGTTAGGATTTGGTAATTATTATTTGGTATTTTATTTATACCTTGTGAAATTTATAATTTTTCATAGCATTATGTTATTTCTTAAAAAATTATAACATTCAATCCACTATTTAAAAAATAATTAGAAAATTTAACTCAAATTACAATAAATATATGTACACTTACAAATTTTATCTAATCAATAAGCTTTAAGCTTAATCAAATAAACAAATCTTCGGTTTTTATTTTATATTACTAAAATTATAATTTAATGGTAAAGATTGTCATGATAAAGAATCGGTTTTTTCATTAAATTTGAAGAATTGTGATGTTATATACTTGAAGACTTGTGTCGATGATTCATCGTGGATGTGATATATTCGGCTTGATCATTAGAATTTGGAGACTTGAAAGGAAATATGAGAAAAAAAAATGATAATGAAGATCTTCTCATAATTGACTATTTAGATCAATTGAGTAAGACATGTCTTTTTGAAAAATACTTAAGAGTTTTTTGAAAAATTCATATTCAATAGTCACTGAGCTACTATAAATTTATAATTGTTTTACGTCCATGTTTGTGATGTGATCAAATCACAATAGTTGGATAAAAGCTCTTACTTCATATTCTTTATTAATGATTATAGTAAGGGTGTGAAGTTTGATGCTTTTAAGAAAGTCAAAAACATCAATGGAGAATAAAATGATTTTAAAATCAATATTTTGAAGACTGATCGATGAGGTAAATTTTTGTCAAAAAAAATCACAAAGTTTTGTAAGGTGTGTGACATTTGGCAAAATATCATACTATGGATGAGTTCTATGATACAACTAATATGTTGAATGATTATAACATATTGTGTTTGTTGGTGGATCTTGAACCTAAGTCCCTTTAAAAAATTAAGAAAGACAAGAAGTAGATTCAAAACATGAATAAAAATATACGAGTCATTGAAAATATGATTAAATATCTATATCAAGTGGTGGAATAATAAAGGAAATAAGAATGAGAAAGGAAAAGTCTTGATGTATAAAGTTCCATTGAAGTCAAAGATAACAAAATATTGAATTTATTATGATGAGGTGTGGATTGAAGACAATTATTCTACTAATCTCATTTCAATGAAAAGTATATCAATGAGATGCCAAATTTGCATTTATTAATATTCGATTATGTTGTTCAATACCATGAAGCTAAAATTTTAAATTTGAAGAAGACACTCCGTAGGCGCAAACAAATTCCTCGAATATAAAACACAAATATTTGAGGTGCATTTTTAAATTTTTTGGAGATTATGTAGAAGTAGAACTAACCGGTGAGAAGAAGAAAAGAAGACAACTCAAGAGCCGGTCTGCATCTGCTACTTAACCAAGGACCCTGACTATTTTAAAGTTAGAGTAAAATCAAAATTATAAATCTAATATCTATACTTAGGCTTGATTCTTGTATGTCACGTAGTTTTTTTTTTTTTTTTTCGTGGAACCCACCACTTAAAATTAACAATAATAAAATAAAAAAAGAGTGAGCGATGATGGCTGTGGAAGAATAATAATAATATACTAGTATGTTAGTAATAGTAAGTAACTAAAAATATATTAAAGAAAATAATTATTATATAATAAAAATAATTTAATTACGATGACCAAAATTATAAATTATAAAATTAAAAATATGATTAAAATATATTACTATTATATTTTGAAAACAAAATCGACAAATTATATGGAGGAATCAAAATATAAAAAGTAATGTTGGGATGAAAATAGTATTATTATATAATTTTTATATAATATATAAATAATAAATATATATCTAAATAAAATCAAAATTAAAATAAAAAATAATTATTTTCAATTAAAATTAATTAATTTTTTAAAAAAAATCTAGAAAATAAAAATGAATATATTGATGGAACAAAAAAATTGTTATGTTTTGACCAGATTGAGTGAGTATTTAAAGACGAAAAAAATTGTTATGTAATGGTATAATTATAATTTAAATAGAAGTTAAATATATTTTGGTAATAGTATATCATTACTTTTATTAAAATAGAAAATGAGTAATTTTAATGGGACAGACTAAATAATAAAAATAGTACTTTGAATTGTACCTGATAAAATACTATTTTTTTTTATAAAACATCAGGTCAAAATATTATTTACACAAAGATTAAAATTAATATTTCATTTTAAATCAATTTCAAACTAAAATCAAACAAATTAAATGATAAATTATTGAAAATGCAATTAAGCAAACTATACATATTTAGCACCTTTTTAATATATCAAATTAGTTGACTATTTTTTTTTCATAATATTTTTTCTGAAATTTGTTTATAATAACATAGATAAATAAAATTTTTAGTTATTATTTTAATAGTATTTTATTATTAGCACATAATCACTATTAATAAAATATAAAAAATACATATTAAATAAAAGAGATGAAAAAATACATATAATTAAAAAGAATTGAACATTGAATATATTTATCAATTATTATTGTATGTTTTATGAACTTAGTAATATTTATAGTTATTATTTTTCTAATAATAATAACTATTTTATAATTGTGCAGATTATTCTTCAAAATATATTCTTCTTTCATTCCAGAACTATAATGTTAGTTGTCTTGGACATGAGATTTAACGAATATTAATATTATAACGATTGTTGGTACAAAATACGAGTTAAAAGACCTTTTTGTCTTTTTAAATGTATTAATATAAAAAGTAGAACAATTGTGTAATAAAAAAAAATATGAGTAATTTTACAGTCATGTTATTTATGAAAATAAAATTATTGTTTTGGGACAGACAAAAATAATAAACAAAGACTATTATATTGGGGCGGATGGAGTATTAGCATATACAATGTAAAATGCCAACAAAATATAATTATATATATATTTTAGTAACAACAATACTATTTATGGTGTATTCATTTCATATTTTTAGATTAATGTATTTTTATATTAGGTATAAAGAATAGTACAAGTAATACAAAAATAATACTTCCTCCTACCAATAGAAAGTATACATAATTTTATTATGAGACGTCAAATTACAAAATACCAATTCTATTAAATGCTATTTTTTTTTTTTTCATAAATATTCTTATTTTATATCACATTATTACTTTTATACCAAAAATTTAGGGTAAATATGTCATTACACTGCTTTTATTAAAATATTATTATTTTTAAACTCCGCCGCCAAAAAATAAATGTATATTTCTTACCTAAGGAAGGGAGTATGTTGTATTGAATTATTAACTTTTTATTTGAGATAAATAGAATATATATTAGATATATATTGTGTTAATATATATGTTATGTTTTATAATACTTATGAAAAATATTGACACTAAAAAATATATTGGACGAAAAAACTCCTAATAACTATTTACATATTTTTTTAATATATATTTAATGGAATATATAATATTGTATAAAAAATATATAAAAAATTACTCCCTCCGTCCGTCCAGTTAGAAAGTATACATATTTTTATTTTGGGACGTTCAATTACAAAGTAAACATTTCATTAAATACTTTACTTTTTTCCACAAATACCTCTATTTTACATCACATTATTACTTTTACACCAAAAAGCAAGGGCAAAAATATCATTACACTATCCACTATAATTAAAATACTATTATTTCTTAAACACTGCGTCAAAAGTAATTGTATACTTTTTTTTTTGGACGGAGTGAGTAATTTATTATTGCACCTTTACAAATAATAATGTACAAATAAAATAACATAAAAATATTATTTATCATTCGTCCGTACATGAATAAATAAATTTGAAATGGGAAAATTACGAAAAGGGGCATCAAATTTGCCCGACCCGTGACCCGATCCAGTTCACCACCGCCACTCAAAACGGATCCGATGAGTTTCTTTCCCCCCTGCCCGCTGCCTTTGGCTGGGAAGATTTGGGGGGATTGAGACACAAGCAAACACAGCACGCATCACTTAAAAGAAACTCGGGATTGGCTGATTCGGTGATGACATTTGCTTCAACAACTTGCAAGCGTAGAAGATTCATCGCTCTCTCCCAAATGGAATCTGATTCGGCTAAGGTAGTCATTCATTTTGGTTATGGGTTCTGGAGGGTTTCGGTGGTTGTCTTGGCTGATTTAGGCCCTTTTTTGTTTGTGGCCACCTTATAGTTCTAAATATATATGTGCGTCTCTGAATCCATATATATATATATGTATATGTAATTAACGTTATTGCCAGTTTATCTTGTGTTAATAGAGAATTATATACTGTCTTTTATATTGTGAGGGAAGAAGTTCATGATCAGTTAAAGTGGATTTGAAAATGGCTACTGTTTTTTCCTGCTCCATGCGACTACTACGATTTCCTCCAGCATATGAATATAACTTTTGAGCATGGATTTTGGTGGTACGAATCAAAAAGAACTTCCTAATGCTCTTTGAAAGAGTTTGCTAAAATCTGATTTACATAATAGGTCAAGGCCGTGTCGTGAAATTCAGAAGGAATAGATGGTATTATCCCGATTAGTTGTATTGAGCTGTTCTGAAGATGAATTTTGGATCTTTCTTGTATAGTGGATTTTTTTTTAATGTTTTTTGAGGACATGGGATGTGATGTTTTAAATGAAATTTTAGCGATGGATGTGATGTTTTTAAGGGAAATTGAGAGGTAGAAAAAAAAAACAAAAACCCTGAAGTTATTTTTTGTTGTGCACTTTTGATGTGAAGGTTAATCAACAGTACAGGAGTTTTTATGTGATTTGATTGTGTTATTTAATTATGTAATAGCGCTGTACTTTTTGATCATATGTAGGTAATAACTAATTTTAAGGTGCAATGTATATCAAATAGATTACTATTATGTAGTATATACATTAAAATATGGTCTGACATCAAGGGTGGTAAAGTTGTGTAAGCCTGTTGCTCTTTTCTGTTTAATCCATTCCAACACATGTTGCATTGTAAGAGTTAAAAAACATCTGTTTGCATATCTTGCTATCAACTTGTACGGTCTTATGCATGCATGGTATAATCCTGAAGCTTCAACTTGTCTGACTGCTTAGTCTTTCTAGAATTGAGATATTTCTTTGCTTTGATGTATCTAGGCAATGCTTGTTGCTGCAAAGGAAAAATATGGACGGGAACTTCATGTATTCGAAACATCTCTAGCTTCTGCAAGCCTTGGAAGCTCTACTGAGACAGGTATGTGAGTTCATGTAAAAGCTTTTGTTTCCACAATTGTTTACTGATGGTGCATTTTTCGTTTTCTACTTGTTCCAGAGGAGCCAGATAACTTTTATGAGTTTACAGCAGAGGACTACTACCGTCTGTTGGCAACAAAGAAGGAAGGTATGTCTAATTATTTCTTTAATAGATGATTAAATTGTCAGTTTGGAAGGGTAATGATATTGATATTGGATTCTGTATGTTTTCTCCTTCTGAAAAGAAAATTAGGTACTCATAAATTAGTTAATCCAAAATTATTTTCTAATTTTCAAACCATGTGCAGAGAAATACTTGAAGACAAAAAAAATCCGGGATGCGGAAGAGGCTGCTCGCAGGTCAAAGATTACAAAGGTGTAATGTCATTCGTTTTGTATGAACACTTCTGTTTAAGGATCAACATTCTGTCTTTGTAGATGAGTCACTAATCTTCACTCAATTAATTCATTCTGCTCAAGCAGGCAGTGATCCGAGTGCGTTATCCTGATAATAATACGCTTGAGGTTACATTTCATCCATCTGAGACAATTCAGAGTTTGATTGATTTGCTAAAGAAAGTGGTTGCTCACCCAGAATTACCATTCTATCTATGTGAGAACCCAATGATTGTTGTTGTTCTTAGGCACAGAAAAAAGGCCCTGAAAAATCTTGACATTTTTTCAAGTGTAAGATTTTAATTGTGGGTTTGTTTGCATTTCAGATACAACACCTCCAAAAAAGCTTATAAAGGATATGTCCCAGGACTTTTATAGTGCTGGTTTTGTACCCGGTGCTATTGTGTACTTTGCTCATGATGTGCCGAAAGGTATTTTATAGTTTCTGCTTGTGGGGTTCTTTTCTTGCTTGGCTTTAAGTTCATGTCCCGCTGCAATAATCCCATAATTTAGCTCCAAGCTCAGGTATTAGTTTTGAATTCTTGTCAGTGCAGAATCTTTTGAGAGCAAGCATGACGCATCCTCTTTATGAACCAAGAAATTTGAAATATTCTACATTCTAATTTGTTATATAATGTTTTTCAATGCTTTTGGAAAACCTGCTCTGTACCTCTAGGATATTCCCATCATTGGCGCTTTTGGTTGTTTCAATGAACAATTGTTTCACATATCAACTTGGGCGATATCTTCGGCTAAGCATTACCGGCTTCCCTTCTCTTGCTGTATTTTGAATGTCTTAAAAACTTTTTAGGTGCTGATGATGCTCCATTGGCTGGTCCCTTCCTTCAAGAGGAAGTGATGTCCTTGAAAGGTCTGGAATTTGTGGCCCAAGAAGCAGAGCCTACACCAGAGCAGAAACCAGAACCTGTCTATACCAGCAGCCAGACACTTGTCCCTGCGGCAAAGCCAAACGAAAAAAAGAATATTAAACCCAAGTGGTTGAAAATGTAAACTCTATCGAACTGTTTGTCTTTTCTTATAATCTTACCCGGGCATCTTCAAGTTTGTGAATGATCACATGGCTGAAAAGATCTATCTGCCGAATACTTTGTAAATTTTTGTTGTCTTCAACAAAAAGGTAAACAATGTTTGAAAGTCTACTATCCCCAAATTCTTTTTGAATCAGGTATATAAGCCACAAAGGCAGATGACGATGCAACATCAGGTAATTGTTTTTTTGGCATGTGCATATGCCACCCGCTGTTTGAATCTTCTTCCTCTTTAATAAATCCATATTACTGAGAAGAGTGTGACAATGCACACGCTAATGAAGATAGTTCTTTTAGCTTGTTTTCTAAATTCAAATTGTGTTATTCTAGATGTTAGGGAGATGACTCTTTTAGCTTGTGTGCTAAATTCAAAATGTGTTTGTTTTAGATGTTAGGGTAGATAGGTTTTTAGCTTGTTTGGTGGTGTAATGTTATAACACATTGATAGAATAGCTTACATCTGTTACGATGTACAATTAAAAAAAAAAAAAAAAAAAAAAAAAAAAAAGTGAACATGATCCTTAGTGTTTTAAATTATTACTTTTATCCTTAGTGTTTTAAATCATTACTTTTCTGGATATTTTTTTAATTTATTTTAAATTTTGGGAATCCTACGTAGCTTTTTTTTTTTTTTTTTTCCGGTAGTTTTGTAAGTTATATTTTTTTATTATTATTTTATCATTGTTGAACAATTATTCTATTATTTGGCCAACTTGATTGCAACATGAAGCATTTGACATAAATAATGCATGCAGCCTGCTTCATGAGATTTATGTCTGTGTTGATGAAACAATCGTATGTATGTGTGGACAAGTTTGGAACTTCTTTGTATTTAAAATATTCTTGTAAAATATTGAAGAAATGTCTATAGTTTGGCTAGAACATTACAGTAGGAGGAGGTCATTTATAAATCAGCCAACTGTAAGAAGAGTTGTTTTGAGAGAATACTTTTATGTATTACTACTCTTAGGTGTATTGTGCAAAACTGTCTGTGAATGTTCCTTGAGTTCCAAAAGTAACAATATATTGGTTTATAATTTTATATAATGTCAATAATAATAATTAAAAAAAAGTTATAAATGCTAATATATTATTAAAATAAATAAATTTATAAATTATGTAAATATATTAGTTTATTAACAAGTAAAAATAGAATGTTATAAATTGTATTTTAATAATTTAGAAAAAAATACTTTAGATAAAAATAATTGAAATTTTATTATAAAATAAATATATAATATATATTTTGAAAAATTATTATTAATATAAACTGGGTTAAAAGTTAAATATGTACATCTATTGAATCAATCAATTGGAGTAGCCTTAATACACGGAACCACAGGAAAAGCGCATGGATCTGTACGTGCTAGAAATAAGCTACAATTGAAAAGTTGTAACCGCAATGGATCGGAGTTTCCGCCTACCGCCTATGGCTTCAAGAATGCGTAACCTTCCCTTCTTTTTATCATTATAAATACATAATAGCAACCTACATGCATTTTCTCATCTCTTATTTCTTCTCCTCTCAATCTAGCTTATATTAATTACTTCATTTCATTTCACCATGGCGAAAATCAAGATTGGAATCAACGGTAATGTTCAATCGTATGATTACTACGTATTGCATGTATCATTATTTTAAAATAATTAGGGCTATTGAAGTTGATGATTCTTAAATGTTTGGATTGGATTGTTTTGGAGAAATAATTTTGATGAATAACAGAAATCAAAACCAAAACCAAACCTTAAATAAACATACTAGGTCTCAGCTATTACAAAGTCAGTCAATCATTCATTTTTCTATGGTCAGGATTTGGAAGGATTGGCCGCTTGGTGGCCAGAGTAGCTCTACAGAGCGATGATGTCGAGCTTGTTGCCGTTAACGATCCATTTATTACCACCGAGTACATGGTACTGTATATCTTCCATGTTTTGATCATACTACTTAAGGAATTAAGGAAGCTGGTTCATGCATTAGATGCCGCATAAAGTTAATTTGTGATGTTTTTGTTACATTTCACTTCTTCCATATAGTTTTTATGGAATGATGCACAGAACACAAATATCAGCCAAATTCGCTTTGCAGAATATTTTAAGGGTCTGCTAGACAGACCAATCACTGGACTTTACTTTTCGTTGTTAGTGATTTCACGTACAAACAAAGCTAAATGTAATTTGCAGCAATCATGAAGGATTTTTATATTTTCATAGTTCTCATGTAGTTTGGAATAATTATATATGGATAAACATGCTAGTTAAGGTTCGATGCTAGTCAGTCCACCTTAGCATTAGTGTGCAGTTACGACAAAAATAGGCTTTTTGATTTTTTTAGTAAGTGAATTGTGGTTCTCATGGTGTTGCACAGACCTATATGTTCAAATACGACACCGTTCATGGTCAATGGAAAAAGGTCGAGATCAAGATGAAGGATTCCAAGACCCTTCTCTTCGGAGACAAGGCAGTAACAGTGTTTGGCATGAAGTAAAAGCTTCTCCATTAGCAGTTTGAGGTTGTAATCAATGATCAAACCACGTCGTCTATTAATACGGTTATTTTTCCTTCTGAAAAAAATAGGAACCCAGAGGAAATTCCATGGGGTGAAGCCGGGGCTCAATATGTTGTGGAATCCACCGGTGTCTTCACTGACAAGGACAAGGCGGCTGCCCATTTGAAGGTTAGTTAAGTTTATTATGGAGTATCATCTTTGATTCTCTTGTATTTGCATGCTATTAAAATTTTGGTGGTCACCAAGTCACTAACACGGTTCTATTTGTCTTTGGTTGTGTTACGGTGATCTTGTAGGGAGGTGCAAAGAAGGTGGTTATCTCTGCCCCCAGCGCAGATGCTCCCATGTTTGTTGTTGGTGTGAACGAGAAGGAATACAAGTCTGACATCAATATTGTTTCTAATGCTAGTTGCACAACCAACTGTCTAGCCCCTTTGGCAAAGGTATATTTCCCAAACTCTGGGGCCAGAATACGTTGGATTGAATTGAATTCATACTTTCTGCATACCGGCTTGAGCATAAGACTAAGGTGTTATATATACATATTACCACAGGTACTTAATGACAAGTTTGGTATCGTTGAGGGGCTAATGACCACCGTCCACTCCATTACCGGTAAGTGGTGGCACTGGTTAGTTGTTACTCAAATTCATTGGAGTATTATTTATTTTCCATTTTATGGATGCACGCACCAATCCATGGTTGAATTTTATTCTTCTTCTGTCTTTCAGCAACACAGAAGACGGTTGATGGCCCATCAATGAAGGACTGGAGAGGTGGAAGAGCAGCTTCATTCAACATCATTCCTAGCAGCACTGGAGCTGCTAAGGTGACTAAAATGCCCATGTTCATTTTAGAGTGCTATAAATATGATTCTTGACCATCTCCATGCCATAGCCAAACCATTAGAGTATCTGGTGGCTTCTCTGTTAAAATGGCATTTGCTCCAAGTCCCTTAACTTAGACAATGTCTTTTCGCTATAGGCTGTTGGAAAAGTGCTCCCTGCACTGAATGGAAAGCTCACTGGAATGGCTTTCCGTGTTCCAACGGTCGATGTTTCAGTCGTTGACCTTACTGCAAGGCTTGAGAAGGCTGCTTCGTATGATCAAATTAAAGCAGCTATCAAGTAAGCTTCGTCTTGATCTTAGGAATTTATTATTTATTGTGTTGTGTCTTTTTGAGGGAATGTGTTTCGATTTCTCATCTAATCTGATCTGATCTACCACGACAGGGAGGCTTCTGAGGGTAACATGAAAGGAATCCTTGGATACACTGAAGATGATGTAGTGTCAAGTGACTTTGTAGGTGACTGCAGGTGCGTGGTTGATCTCATTGATATAATCACATACTATCATTTTGTATCCCGACCCGTGTGAAGGAATAAATAAATAAATACCACCCCCTGCCCTACATCCACATCCTTTTTCTCTATATTTATAAAATCTGCTCTGCTCCAACACACTTTTATAATGAAGCAAGATTTGCTTTTTGACGGGGACAGATCAAGCATTTTCGATGCCAAGGCTGGAATTGCACTTACCGACAATTTTGTCAAGGTTGTTTCCTGGTACGACAATGAATGGGGTTACAGGTGCGCAATGCAGTTACTTACATATTACATACGTAGTTATATCATCCTAGTAATTGCATCACATTACGAATGATTATAATGATAAATTCATTGTGTTGCAGCAACCGTGTTGTTGACCTTGTCCGACACATGGCAAAGACTGGTTGAAGGACAATGCTATGCTATGCTATGCAATGCTGTTGTGTCGGTTTTGCTGTGCAACCTTGTCTAGATATACTGTGTTTAGAAATAACTAGTGTGCTTGCTGCCTGCCTGCCTGCTCAAGTTCTAGCCAGTGAACGTTTTCAGGAAATTTTGAAGTTTAGTTTTGCTATTTAACGCTCCTTTCTTCACATTTGGCCAATAAAAATAAATTTGGATCTGTTATATGTATACTTCAGAAGTGAAGTGAGCGAGAACATGAAAATGATGAGATTGGGTGATTCTGATTCTGTTAAGAGAGTAGTAGTAAGGCAGTGACAGAGGACAAGTCATCTCTTTCTTACGCTGTGTGAAAGGGACAGCTCTCCTACTTTTTTGTTCTTTTAATTAACAAATGGAAAATTTGGTTGTTTCAGTAGCTGAATTTGAATATAATAAATTTGCCAAAGTAATTGACTTGACTTGGCGTGTAGTGTAGTGTAGTGTAGCGTATGTATGTATGTATGTATGTATCATGTTGACTGACTGCACAAGTGCAAGCAAGTTGTAATCAACTTGTACGGCTATATCTATATGTATAGCTTGTAATAGGAAAATATATAGGAGGACGACGGACGCATCCAACCCAATGGAGAAAACATATAGAGGAAGGAAGGAAGGAAGGAACATGGGTCGGAGCTGGGAATAGGGATGGGTGTCAAATTATAATATTAATACGTTACTTAGTACAAATTAAGAAAATAGCTCTACCATTTGGGATTTTGAAGTTCTCTTCTCTTCTCAATATGACTGACGTGATCAATCCTATCAACTTTTTGACTTGCCAAAACCCATTCCGATCGACGACTTGTATGACTTTTATAATTAGTTTTTATTTAATTTGTTGAAGAAACTGCAATAAATACAAATATCTAAAATGATTACTTGTTTTTGAACAATAAAAAGCATCGGAGAAGGAGACAATTATTATTTAATCAAAATTGCCTGCAAAGTCCCCTTTTATTTATTAAGTAATTGAATTGAATTGTAAAGCTGCAATTAGTCATAAGCTTTTTAATCTGTTGTTGAAAGAAAGGCCAGGCCAGGCCAGGCCAGGCAAGTCTGTCAAAGTCAAACCATGAATTATTATTATTATTATTATTATGATATTTAATTGGTTAGAGTGGGAGGGAGGTGGCAAGACATCCGCCTGTCATTGGAGTGCATCTGTACCGTTGGTTGTCTTCTCTGGAAATAAATAAATAAATTAATAATTAATAAATAAATGAGAGAGAGAGAGAGAGAGAGAGAGAGGATGAGTAAATATGTAGTAGTACTGAGTTTCACATGATAAGTGGTGTGCGCGTTTGTTTAATTTGTGTGGTCATGCAGACAGGCACGCAAGTATGTAAGAGAGATGAAAAGTCAAGGATATATTATACATAACGCTTTTAATTTATTATCATAATTAATTAATTAATTGCTTGTTGTTTTTCTTGACTCTACAGTATTGTATGACTTAATTGTCCAGGTCTAGGTCTTCCTTGGACAAATAAATATTATGTGTATATATATATATATATATAATTAAGTGGTGTTGACGATTTCACATTCCAGGTCGCTTTCATTCTTTCAATATTCAGAAATCAAAAGAAACAATGACATAAGTAAAACATATCAAGTTCTGACTAACTCAAAATTAACGTTGGAAGGTGAGGGAAGCAACACAATTAGCTTATATGTATATAGCTAGAGAGGGTGAGATTCAAAAATGAAGTAAACACCACACTTTATAGACTTGTCCTAGATCTATTAATTATCTAAATTAATTGATAGAGTTGAAATTATATGTACTATCTATATAGACTACTAAAAATACAATATTTTAACAAGAGGGCATGCATGCAATGCAATGGATATTTGTAGCTGTTGATGCTGCCTTGTGCCTACCTATCCTAACTCGAAGTTTTGCATTTTGTCTGTCTGTCATGTGAAGAAGGGTTTATTGTTATTATTATTATTATTACTATTGCTATGTTGAAGCTCGCTCCATGCCATTCTTGTGATGTGATGTGATGTGATTTTGGTTTCATCAATGATCAATTACCTGGTTGGTATCAATTCAGTCAAATTCTCCATAATCCTTCAAACATGGTATTTTGAATTTAATCTTTGATTGCAAGTGTGCACCAAAGTCTATCATACTTTCTCAATAAACTAACAAGAGAGGGTTCTGCACTTGTTAAAAGTAATTGTAATTTGTAAGGATGATAATGATCATTGCCGAGTATAAACCGAACCACCCACGGGACCAATTTGGCAATAACTGATAACATGACAAAATCAAAATGATATCTTAATATTAGTCAACAATATTGCATCACCCCACCCCACCCATGATCTATATATATATATGATATGTTGATTCCTATGACTCTCCATTGCTTTATTTGTTTTTAAATAAATAGAAATCAATTTGTCTTCTCTTCTTATATGCTTAATTAAAATCAATACTTGCCTACCATCCAATACCATGATTGGTTCTATTGACACGTGTGTTTGCCTCCTTAATTTTACTAGTACTATTTGGTTTGAATTTTAAATTGATTATTTATTTATTTATTTATTTATTTATACGGATTTAATTTAGTCAGGTCTATCGTCCTTAATTTTACTACTTGTTTTCAATTTAAAATACATTAGTCTACATCAAATACGAATCAATATAATGTAAAATGAAAATGTAGGATTTGTTTGTTTGTTTGTTTTTTTTTTTTAAAAAAAAAGAAATTCAAATTCAATCCTATCCTATTCAACTGTGGCAGTAAAATCGATCACATTACAAACACACTGCTAATTAGTTTATTATAAAATTAAAAAATCTTCAAATATTTTAGGTTATGCATCTATATTCTAATGCAACAGTGAATTCTAATTTGATAACGCCTCAACTTAGTTTAATATATATTTTATGATTATCCTTTTCTTTTCTTTTTTTTTTCTTTTCTACTGAATTTATATCATATATAAAATGTTCTGTATATATTCATATACAATTATTCTAAACTAATTTAGAAAATTATAATCTATCGAAAAAAATCGTTACTAAATTTTTTTTATTGGAATGAACAATATATTATTTTAATGACGATAACTCGATAAGGCTATAGCTACCAACTTTAATCAATTTAAATCGTTAATGATCTCTAATTTATCCCAAAAATAAATAAATTTTGAACGCTACATGATTCTAATCTATTAACTAAATTAAACATTAAAAATATGTTATTACTATTATTATATCAATTGACCTGCTACATGTCACATGTGTCTATGCATGTGTCATACATTCATACGTTGCGATTTTGCGCTAAAATATTGATTAATATAATAGCGACTTAATTCAAATACATTGGACCCACTCAAATTTACCATTAATTTTTCATGTACTACTATTTAGTTTTAAATATTAAAAAGAAATTATATAATTAAAATACATAATAATGGTAAACAACAGGTAGCGGCGGCGAGTTCCAGGCGAGTTCCACGTCATCCAAAAAATAAAATAAAATAATAATAATAATAATAATAATAATAATGATGATGATGGTAAACAAAATTATACAATATCATTATAATTCCAAGCCAATAATTATAATGCATGATATCAGTTACTATATGGATTAATTTTAAATATGTAGGTCATTTATTTTTTTAATGTATAATAAATTCTGAATCCAAGTTGTTAATAATCCAAATAAAATTGGGAAAGTATATTCAAATATCAAATTTCTAATTAAAAACTTGCTTTGTTCAATATTTGAAAATTGGGTTAAATAATATATTTATTTATTATTGGATAAATAAGTTTCAGCATCATAAAAAATGATTTAAATATCTAGAAAGTTATATATATAAAGAATAATTGGATCGGAGTAGAGATATGTTACCAGATTAATAATAAATAAATAATTGAATTAGGGATACAATTTAAGAGAGTCCATGGGAATGGGATGGTGAGATTCATGTAGAATGTACATAAATAATAATAATAATAATAATAATAATGATACTACTAGTAGTAGTATTATTTATTTGTGTTTATCGAATCACTTGATAAAGAAATATGCATAGCTTGGTATCTGAAGTGATATTGTTATTATTATTATGATAGAGAAATTCGGTTTCATCCATCGATGATCCCCTCAAATAGCTAACTAAATAACAAAATTATAGCCTTCATTATTGATAATAAGTTACCATCCAAATTCAAAAATTAGTAAATAAGAAAAGTCAAAGATAGAAAATCTAAATTAATAATATATGTGCGTGTATGTGTATGTGTATGGTGTGTGTGTGAATACGAACCGAACCGAACCAGACTCTACCGAAGCCCTCTCCCCCAAACCTTCTTCCTCCCTTGCCCCTCTCAACAACTCTCTTCTATCCTTTCTCTCTCCCTCCCATTCCTATATATATATACATCTCCTTCCCCACTTACGTGCTTTACTTATTCTCCTCCCATCTCATCTTATCTCTCTCACTCAGTGTTGGTGCAGTATCATCGTCGTCTATCCTATAATTTGCTTGCTCAATCTATTCTATACTTCCATGGGAACTCAAGGTCCTCCTTCTTCTGTACCTGCTAATGGTGATCAAATTGTAAGCCTCTCTCTCTCTCTCTCTCTCTCTCTTTTTCTTTCTATTCTTGCTCTATATAGACGAATGTATGTATGTATGCATCTGCGTACATATAGAATCATATCCATCGATGTTTGTTCCGTTAACTAGTCAGTCAACAATAAACATATAAGAAAAAACACACTTTCATTTTCCCATTCTTCCCAGTCGCGAGAAATATCCATCACTTCCGTCTATTTTCGAAAGCCTATTATATTATTAATATATATTCATGATTTCTCCTTTTCTTTTGTTTTTGGGGATGAAATTCTTAATCCGTGCTCGTTAGTGTGGTATGTCTTTCGGTTTTATTGTTATTTGAACATGAAACTCATTAAAAAAGAGTCAGTAGGGAAAATCTTCAGTTCTTTGGCCAGTAAAATTTTTGTGGCGCAATGTGATTCCTCTTCCCGATACTTGACTTTGATGGTGGATGATATTGACAATATGAGACTTTTCACTAGTTGTTTTGTTTCGTAGATTTTATTTTATTTTGTATACTTTTTAATCCGACACGAATTATGTCACCATCTTATAATAAGTCTCCCTTCTCCCAGACCCACATCACGATATAGATATATTTTTGTCTTCATCGAAAAATTCAGTTGCTGAGTGTATTATTATTGTATGAATATTTGAATGAATAGAATAGAATAGAATAGATGTAGATGAGTGTGGGGTGAATGAATAGCAGCAGTACTGTGTTGTATTGTATGCGCGTTTGCGATAACATGTTTATGAATTTGTATACATAAGTGATGAAGAAGGCCCCGTCTCAGGCGCCGCCCCCGCCCCCGGCCACAGTCGCAGTTGCTGCGCTCCAGCCTCTGTCTGTCTGTCAGTCGGTCATGCTACTTCATAGGTATCTTTAAAGGGGTAGTCCGATCATCATCGTGCCTGCTATGCTATGCTATGTGTTTGTTCGTTTATGAATATGTATGTATGTATGTGAATGTTTACATGTATAAATACGGAGCAGTGTATTATGTGAGAGACAATCTGGCATGCGTAGCCTAGTGTAGTCCCTTTAGTTCTTAAATTTGTCTGTCTGTCTGTCTGTCTATCCATCTATGCTCGCTCAACAAGGTGTGTATATGCAATTCCCTTGGCAGTTTGCAGTACAGAAAGTATGCTTCCGTTGTTTTAGCTTAGTGTTATGCAATATGATTAGTTGTGTTGTGTTGTGTTTTGTAATCACTCTGCTTCCATACATGCAAACAAACAGGACCATCGAACTGTGCGTGAGAAGGAAATCGATGAGTGGTTGCCAATCACTTCTTCTAGGAATGCAAAGTGGTGGTACGCCGCGTTCCACAATGTCACCGCAATGGTCGGGGCTGGGGTTCTCAATCTCCCCTATGCCATGTCTGAGCTCGGCTGGTATAATGTTTACTTAATCAAATTAGTTTCACTGATTATCCTATATTTCTGATCACTCCACTCTGGTATGCATGCATGTATGATGTGTTTTTAGGGGCCCCGGAGTAACCATCATGCTCGTGTCTTGGGTCATCACCGTGTACACACTGTGGCAAATGGTTGAGATGCATGAGATGGTTCCCGGGAAGCGTTTCGACAGGTACCATGAGCTTGGGCAGCATGCTTTTGGTGAGAAGCTGGGCCTTTATATCATTGTGCCCCAGCAGCTGGTGGTGGAGATCTCCCTGAACATTGTTTACATGGTGACTGGGGGCCAGTCTCTCCAGAAGGCACACCAGTTGATCTGCCCCAACTGCCATGACATCAGGCTCACCTACTTCATCATGATATTCGCCTCCTGTCACTTTGTCCTCGCCCATCTTCCCAACTTCAATGCCATCTCTGGCGTCTCTCTGGCCGCGGCCGTCATGTCCCTCAGTTACTCGACAATTGCTTGGGCGGCCACACTCAACAAGGGCATCCAGCCCGGCATCGATTATGGCTACAAGGCTTCAACTAAACCTGGTGCAGTCTTTGGATTTCTGAGCGGGCTTGGGGAGATGGCCTTTGCCTATGCGGGTCACAACGTGGTTCTGGAGATCCAGGCCACAATCCCCTCGACTCCTGAGAAGCCATCCAAGGGGCCTATGTGGAAGGGTGTGGTGGTGGCCTACATTGTCATTGCACTCTGCTACTTCCCTGTGGCCTTCATTGGGTACTGGATGTTTGGGAATGACGTGGCGGAGAATATCCTGATATCCTTGAACAAGCCTGTGTGGCTCATTGCCACAGCCAATCTGTTTGTTGTGGTTCATGTGATTGGAAGCTATCAGCTGTATGCGATGCCAGTGTTCGATATGGCTGAGACTTTTCTCGTGAAGAGCCTAAGGTTCAAACCTTCATGGTATCTCAGATTCATCACAAGGAATGTCTATGTTGGTGAGTAGTAGTGTTGTTGTTATTCATACTCTGTTATATATAATCTCTCCTCTCCTCTCCTTTGGTTAAATCTTTTTTATTTTTGGTCTGCTGCAGCATTCACCATGATTGTGGCTATTTGCTTCCCCTTCTTTGGTGGGCTGCTTGGATTTTTTGGCGGCTTTGCTTTTGCTCCAACAACATACTATGTGAGTACATACTACTACCACTAGTATATACTCCTTACTGGCTTGCTTGGAATACCTATATATTGTGGCAGTGGGGTGGTTGACATGAATTAATCAACTATTTTTTGCTTCAGATTCCTTGTATAATGTGGCTTATTTTATATAAGCCGAAGAAATTTGGGCTGTCTTGGTGGTGTAACTGGGTATGTCTCTCTCTCTCTCTCTCTCTTAACTCATTGTATGCTTAGAGTAGTAATGTGTTGTCTCTGTCTCTCTATAATTGTTTTGTGTACTCTCATCATGTGTGTGCAGATATGCATCGTCATTGGCATGTTAATAATGATCATAGCTCCCATCGGAGGGCTCCGGACGATCATTGTCCAAGCAAAGACCTACAAGTTCTTCTCGTAGAAGATGTAGATGACATGACGGTTGTGCGGATGGTCTGTCTTCTTCTATGATATTTGAATGAAGGAAGAAGTAGGCTGCACGCATACGAGTTCACTTCAGTTTCATGGTGCAGCTGCGCTCTCGTTCCCTAGCGTTTTTTTTTGTTTTTTTATGGTTACACTAGTGGACAAATCTGCCCTGCCCTGCCCCTGCCATTTACTATTATTTTGTTTAGCCGATGTAACGCCTTATTTATTCATCATTGGCGATTCCTATCTATTATTTAGCAGCTGAGTGGATGAAACTGAAACACTTTATTAATCATGGAATTCTCTATTATTTTACTTATATTGTGTGTGATGTTTTTTCCCCCACAGGCCACATGCACACACACACACTCACTCATTCTAAGAAGATCCAATCTCCAATTTCAAGCGTACTAAGAGAAGGCTAGCTGCTTGTTTGAGCTATACAACCTTGGCAGTTAATGACTGCGTGTGTGTGTGTACTTTCTTCCTGCCTGCCCATTTGTGTGGATCAAAGTTGATGATATATCACTGTAGAAAGTAATATACAACTTGGAATAGGCAAGTGCCCCCAATTTACTGTTTAATTTGGGTCCCATTACCATTACCATTACATTACAACACTAAATTCTGCTAATAGATAGCACAGCTGTTCCTGTTGGAGTTATTGTATTGCATTGTGCAAGCAAACATATTTTTTTATGCATGTATGGATAGGCATAGTCAATTAGAGACAGACAGTGGAATAGGTGCAATTTCGAGTGCCTCAAAAAACAGACAACTTAGAAACAAATCATCCTTCCCCTCCTCCACCAACAAAATGATCATTGATGATCGGATTGGCTCTTTCTCTCTCCCTCTCTCTCTCTCTCTCTCTAGATTGCACACCACAACAATGAAAAATGGTAGCAGACGGTGGTGAAGGAAGTGAGTGAGCAATCCTCTCCTTCTCCTCCTCCCACACCACACCACCAAACATCTTAAAGATAATATAAATAGTAGTGTACTCAGATACACTCAACTACTGCCAAATCTAAATAACTCTCTCTCTAGAATTACAAAGTACAATCAGGACCAATTATTAATAATTGACTCATTTCTTCAGCAGCAGCGGCGGCAGATGCAATAATAATAACTGACTTGTTTCATGGATTATTATTATCATTGTTATTGTTAAGTGAAAATGAATAACCTAAAGGAAAGGCTGCCCGCAATACATACATATTCTTCATTTATCTGGAAGGTTGAACAAAATTGAGCACAAGCAACCAATCAATCACCTTCTCCATAACTCACAACACAACAAGAATTTGCTGGCTCATGGAATTGAATGAACAAGAAAGTCAAAGTTCCATTTTTAAACTAAAATACGGTTCCAAGCATTGAGATTGAGATGAGCATATAAAAAGAGAAGAGAAGAGTGGGTAAATGTAATAACACCCAGACCAGGCCAAGCCACCTATCTACCTCTACCTCTACCTCTACCTCTACCTACCTAACTAACTTTCTTTCCGACATCATTCCTCGTCCTCGTCTGTTTATGCAGCTCCATCCAAAGATTAGATATCCACAGCGCACTAACCGAAATGGCCACAACAACCACAAAAATCCATGAAATCCAAACCCACGACGGTATCACACTCTCAGCTGCCCCGCTCGAGTAGAACGCAAACATTCGATACACAAAATAAGGCCCCAGAAATCCACGCACCACGGTGTACAAGGCGTAAAACGGGGGAGACAGCAGATAGTACACTTTGGCAGCAAATTTCGAATCCGCCCTCCTCGCACCGGCCAGAGTCCACACATTTTGGCAAAGGCTCGTCACCTCCGCCAGGATCAGAAGCACGAGGATGGCGAACGCCCCATGATAAACCAGGTAGCGGCAGGTCAGGAAGACGAAGAGAGTGGCGAGGTGATGGCCGATGAAGAGGACATCCCGCGGGTAAAAAATTAAGTAGTGAAGCAGATCCATGAGGAAATAAGCAATGCTGTAGTCAAGGAGGAGGGTTTGGAAGGGGGTGTTGGGGGAGTGGAAATCCCGGGCGGGGTCCGCCATGATGGCACGAAAGGCCAGGAAGGCAGCGGGAGTGCCGTGAGCCAGAGAAATAGCGCAGCTGGCAGCCTCGGGGCGGAGCTTTCGGTTCCAGTTGCGGAAAATAACGAAATATGCAGTGAGGTAGAGGATGAAATAAGCGGCGAAAAAGAGAGCCAGCGGCGGAGTTGACGACATTGGCATTGAGGTTGATGAGGCTGAGGCTGGGGATATCTATGGCACGGCGGCGATGATGATGATGGTGATGATGATATTTCGAGGGATCGGATTCAGATAGATGATTGATATTATTAGGTTAGGGGAATTAGGGAAAACTATCAGAAACGAAAGAAAGGAAGAAAGAAAGGCGGGGTGCACTGACCTGACCGCCTGGGAAGAGTACGGGGCAGGGAGTTTCCTTGTTGTTGGCGTTTGAGATAATCGATCAATCGGATTGGATTGGATTGGATATGGAATAGGGGGCGGCGGGCGGAGGACGAAATAGGAAGTAAAGAAGCGTTTGTTTGGTAGATAGGGAGGGTGAGAACAAAGATTGCACTTTTCGAGGGGAAGGTTGGTAGGAAGGGAGGGAAGGAGGGTAGGGCCACCCTAATCTAGCCCAGCCCAGCCCAGCCCAGCCCAGCCAGGATAATTTAGATAGATAGATAGATAGGTAGGAAGGGAAGAAGAAGTTGTTGCTTGCGTTTCATTCGCCGCAGTGAAGAGAAAGGAGAGGAGAGGAGAGAATCCGAAGCCAAGGAAGGACAGCACAGGACAGGACAGGACGTCTAGAAGAACAACACAACATTTGTTGGTAATTTGTATTGTACCACCACAACACCCTCGCTAACACTAACGCTGATGAGAGAGAGTGTTTATTATTACTACTCCTACTCCTGCTCCTACTCCTGCATCTTCTTAACAAGTTGTAAAACCATACTCTATTTTATCTCCGACCAATCATGAATCAAAGTAGGAGGAGGAGGAGGGACTAGGGAGAGCAATGCACAGCGCCTCTGCCTCTGCCTCTGCCTCTGCCTCTGCTTGCAGGCTGCAGCATAGATTGATTGATTAGTCAGTGACTCTCCCCGCCCGCCCTACCTACCTACCTACCTACCTACCTTTAGTTAATTTGTTTGAGGATGCATCCCAATGCCAATGCCATTACAGTTTAATCAAGGACCAAAGCAGTTGTTAGAACTTAATTGGAGTCATCAACTTGCTTACACCACACCACACCACACCACAACGCAAATGAAAGATTAGATGCATAATCATTCATATAGAGCATAGCACTGGTATTCAGGCATGGCATGCTTTGAATTTGATTTCAAACAAAATGTGTACCCGTAGTTGCAGTTGGGTTGGACGTCCTTGGGCTGCCTGCCTCTATGATTTGGGCTCTCTCATCAGCTCAGCCCATTATATCTTTCTTCTTAAGAACACCATTCCTTGGCCTGCCTGCCTGCCTGCCTGCGTATATTATTATTATATGATATGATAGTAAATACTAGTAAATAGTAATTGAAAAACACGCACGCTATAAAAAGGACAACAGAAACACAAACAATTGGCGCCACCGTTTTTCCACGTCTCTGCTGCTGGATTCCCCAATCTCCTTACGTCTCCTCTCCTCCTACCAATTCCATATAAATTGCTCTCGTCCGCGCGCGTGATCCATGGCCTACTCTCCGTCTCCGGAAAATGTTAAGATCTGCAGGAAAACTCAGTTTCACGAAATCCGCCGCCATCGTCTCACTCCTATCCCTCCTCGGGATCGCCTTGACGCTCGATGTTCTCTGGACCTCCTCATCCTCTTCCTCTTCCTCTTCCTCCTCCTATTTATCCAAGACAAACGGCGTTGTCCTTCTTCCACAAGATGCAGCAAGTGAAGGCGTCGTAGAAGAGGTACGCCAGTCTTGCCCTTTTTCTGTGAATATAGATCGAGACAGAGAGAGAGAGAGAGATAGATAAGGTATAGAATATATGTTATATACATATATCTACACTTATTCCATTGAACGGATTGTGATATATGGTGCTCTGGGACTTGCAGTCGGTAGAGGACAAATTGCAACAGAGTCGCGGTCCAGAACGGAATCTTTCAGATACATTTGCAGATTTGCCTGCCCCAGAATTGAAATGGGAGAAGATGCCAACGGCGCCAGTTCCACGTTTGGATGGTTACTCAGTTCAGATTAAAAATCTTCTCTACGTGTTTTCAGGATTTGGAACCCTCGACTATGTAAGAATTTTATTATTGTCTCCTCTCATCCGCCACCAAGCCATACATTATATATCATTACCGGAATTTAATTGAACGAATCGAATATATATAGGTCAACGCAATAACAAGTTTTCTCTCTTTTTTGTCCTATTGGCTGTGGATGCTTTAGGTGCACTCTCATGTGGACATCTTCAATTTTACGGATAACACCTGGTGCGACAGATTTGACACGCCAAAAGACATGGCAAATTCTCATTTGGGGGTAGCATCTGATGGAAGATATGTATACATTATATCAGGGCAGTATGGTCCCCAGTGCAGGGAACCTACGTCTCGTTCGTACGTGCTGGACACTGAGACTAAAAAGTGGGAACCTTTTCCACCATTGCCAGCCCCTAGGTATGTGCAAATCCTAACTACCTACCGACCTTTAAGATTCTTCCCTTTACTGTACCGAACTATCTGTGATGTCTGAAAGGTGGAGCTATGTAAGAGTAAGAATAACGAGTTTCAGGGCAGAAAATAATTTTGTTGCAGTGAAGCATGTAAGAATGCACCACTCAACAATGATTTCAGGTATGCTCCAGCAACACAGCTTTGGAGAGGAAGACTCCATGTAATGGGTGGTAGCAAAGAGAATCGCCACACACCTGGAGTGGATCATTGGAGTATTGCAGTGGAGGATGGGAAACCACTCGAGAAGGAGTGGAGGAAGGAAGTGCCGATACCCCGAGGGGGGCCTCATAGGTACGCTAGCTTATACATCACATTTACTGTATGCACTATGCACATGTTGTTTACACTAACATGGGAGATCCTTTTTATCAACACTGTTGGTGTTTGTTGCAATAGGGCTTGTGTCGCAGTGGGCAACAAGCTTTATGTTATTGGCGGCCAAGAGGGTGATTTTATGGCAAAACCAGGGTCGCCCATCTTCAAATGCTCGAGGAGACATGAGGTGTGATAGATATTATGTTACTGTAATCCATTGTTGTTGTTCTTTGTTTGCACTATTACTAGGAATCTTACTTATACTGTATGTGCATTTGCTGGAAATGTTTCGGCCTCAGGTGGTTTATGGGGATGTTTATGTGCTTGATAGTAAGATGAAGTGGAGAGTGCTACCTTCAATGCCCAAACCAGACTCCCATATAGAATGTTCTTGGATTTTGGTGAACAACTCCATAATTATTGAGGGAGGCACCACTGAGAAGCACCCTGAGACTAAAAGGATGATCCTAGTGGGGGAGGTCTTTCAATTTAATCTTGACACAATGGTATTTATTAAGTTTATTATTCAAGTGAACATTATTCTTATTAATGATTTATGGCGTGTGAGCGTGCACACACACACACACACACACACAGTCTTGACGCATATATGTTGTGTGATATTCACAGAAATGGTCAGTCATTGGAAAGATGCCATATCGTATAAAGACAACATTGGCTGGTTTTTGGGATGGCTGGATGTATTTCACATCGGGGCAGAGAGATAGAGGACCTGATAATCCACAACCTAGGAAAGTCGTGGGAGAAATGTGGAGAACCAAGTTGCAAACTCTCAATTGACTGTTGTAAGTATGTACAAAAAAAAAAAACAACAAAGAGTTCTGCTATGTTACCTTACCTTACCTAACCTATAACCTTATTAGTCGGAAAGGTGTAGTTGCAAGACACGATCATCGTCAATTATCAGTTAAGCTTTGTATTAGTGTAGTTTGTGGGGGAATCCCTCACACTCACACTCAGCATCCATAATCGTCAATTATCTCGCTGTATAATATCAATGCACAAAATGTGAAACCACCTCACTTAAGGGACACTTCCAGTGCAACTCTGGTTACAAGGCATCAAAGATTTAAACTACACACACACATGGTTGCCTAATGGCCCGATAATAGATCCAACAATGTGACAGTGGGAAAGTAACTAACCTGGGGGTGTAGGGCTGTTGTATGCACAGAAGCTAGGTGGTCAGATGAGATGAGCTTATGGTGTTCCAGTCTGGCAGATGAGCAAGATAGAAAGCAAGAACGTTATCAGCTGGTACACAAGAACACCAAATGGGATTAAAAAAAAAAAAAAAAGAAGAAGAAGAAGAAGGTATGATTATACAGTATGAAATAACTCATCAAGTGAATTCTTATGTGTGCAACTATGAAAAAAAATTGACAGTAGGACTCTCTAATTTAGGAGGTTAAAAATGGATCTGAAAAAATGACCATTTGAGTGCAAAGCTATTGTTATGAATGTTATGCTGTATTGTAAGACAGATGAATATTACTTGCACCCGATCATGTAGAAATAAGGTCAACAATAATTACCTTTACACACCTCATTGAGCTTTGACAGTTTTAACCAAACCAATAGAGGCTCTAGCAGCAGGGGTCATCAGTGTGGCTCAAGAATCTGGAAATTTTGTTCACTTCAAAGTTACAACAGAGAAAATTTGCAGCACAAAGTAAATGCTAAGGCAATTAAACATCTCCCTGTAGAGCCCACTCAGACACACATACAGGACACAGAGAGAGAGAGAGGGCACCATTTCAGAATTGGAGCATAGGGAGCAGGGCAAGGGGATACAGAGTGATCCGGTAACTGGTTTATCAGGTCTACTGTTGCCTGCAGACATGATTTTAATATCCTCTTCTCCAACCTTACAAGCTGTGTTGCCACTTGTTGTTTTGGATTCAGTTTATGACCTTCAAGCTACAAGCAAAACATGTCAGCAAGATCAAGATCAAGATCAAAGACTATACATGTTGAGATAAAATCATGCCGAAGATTATCAAGGTCACGGTAGTTACCAAAATCTCATCTTCAGCAAGGGTTGTAGGATAAGCACCAAGTCTTTCTATAAAATATTCGGCGAGTTGGTCCAAAACAGCCCGTTCCACACAGGGGCTCACCTAAGAATATGGACAGAAATTCCCATGAAAAATCAGAATAAATTTCCAATAAATTCTAACAGGTACACTAAATTATAGTCGTCTATGTTTATGGCGGAAGATAAAGCTTATGGAATGCATGAGGAGGACAAAGAAGGAAGGGGTCATTGCCCATATGCGTATCCTCTTTTGCTACCCATCATGATTGGATGCTGGTGTGTCATGGTTTCCACCATATGTGATAAACATTTACATGGAAGAAGTGTAACCAGCATGAGCTTACCGAGCAGATTGGACCTTGAGAAGACAAAACTGATTGCATGTCTGAAGGATCAGAAACATATCCCAATCTCAGATAAGGGAGCATATCCATCACAGCCTCTCTTTCCTTTCCCACAAATACCTGTACATGATCGAAGCATTTAATTTGCATAAAAATTCCGTATATGTGGACACTTATGCACACAAATCTAGAACGTTTATACCTGAAAAACTTGTACTGACAGCTTTCCATTTCTTTGAGCAGCCAATCTTTTATCCTGATACTGAGGATCCTCGGTATTCAAAGAAGCCTAAAATAATGAGAAAATAAAGGGTTATCATAATTTAGAAGTGCCAAAATTTTGAATGAGAAGACTACCTAGTAAAAAATATTACCTCCACTAGGATGCGATCATAAGGGTTATCTTCATCCACAAAACCATAATTCAATAGTAATTTTGAATTAGGCTGTGGTCCACACCTACAAAAAAAAAGGGGTATCCCATGATAAAGTCAGAATTTAAACATATATGTAAGTATATTCGGCTGAGAGAGGAGGGTGGTGGGGGTATGACCAGACAACAATAGGTTCCCCAGCGTTATAGGGACGGTCAATGACAAGTTGAACAGCCCCATCAACAGCAGTTAACATCGCTTTGCAGTTGCTTCTGTAAGACAATAACGGAGGTCCCAATGGAACCAGTGCAAATCTTCTAGCCAAATTGACTTTCTGAGTTGGAGAAGGATAAGAAATTAACTACTATCCTCTCTTCGGAAACAATTAACTAAAACTAAACAACCATCGGAAGTTTCTTTAGCTTACAGTTCATCTTTACAAGATGTCACTCAGAATAAAAAGCAAACCTGCAAATGTACCACACAGGATTGGACTGCAACAAAAGCTTGTTTGAAAATCTCAAAGGTGAAGGCCTCTGTGGGGATATCGTACGGATATTGCTGAAAATACCAACAAATTCAAGATAAATGGTATAAAGTAGGAAAAAAAACAACTATTGAAACTTTGAAGGAGGCAAATTAGGATTAAAATTTTGGTTTTAATGCAAAAGACATACCTGAAACAGTGATCCAGCCATGAACCAGACAGTGTCAAGCTCACTGTACTCCCTCTTGATTCCTTCGGCCCTCTCCAAAACCTCAGCCTGAAGTATCACAATATTTAAAATAGAATAATGTGTCCAGAAACATAAGAGTTTAAAGAGAGTGTAAGATACTTTTGTAGGGCTTCCTGTCAGGTAATCCAATTCCTCCTCTGACCATAGAAGTGGAGATTCAACAGCCAATTGCCCCCTGCCCCGCTGCCGATCAAGCTCTCTAATATATGGATACCAGAGTGACTTTTTCCCTTGTTTCTTCTCATACATTAAATAGAGAGCTAGGCAGGCCAATTCCGATAATTTGTTTGTGGTTAGAAGTTCCGCTGCATAGTTTGAAACAATCATACAGGAGATAAATCAAAAGTACAAAATACTTGCGGAAAAAATTTATAACATTTTAACCAGATTTTCCAAGGCTCCATTTTGCAGATAAACAAAGTGAATGAAAACACATATACCGACACGCAGCACCTTACCAATGGTCTCATTTCCCAAAACTCTCTCGAGTGTAACAACCAAAGAATTCGGGACACAAAAGACTACATCGCCTTCCTGTACAGCACATCAATACCCAAGCAAAATTAGGGTTCTTGGATCGAAACTATTATCATTTTCTACCGATAAAAAAGGTACCACGTTGAAATATTTTCCGGAAGTCTATACGCTCTCCTACTTCTTACATACTTTAATGTACAAGCATTCTCTTTTCCTTCACTTCTAACACGAAAACAATGATTTAGGACGAATCATGTCAAAGAGAGTTTGAAAACACAGCATTCGCATCAAGAATTGCAACTCGGTGACAATTGACCTGAAGATCTTCACTGGCAGCTACATAGTGAATAGCCCGATGCTTGGAATCGTGAGAAGGTCTTTCTTTAAGAATAACTTTGCAGGGGGGAAGGCCGTTACTCTCCATCCATGACTTCAAATCCTCATACTCCACATCTTTGTTGCTTACAATTTTGCTCGACTTCAGTATCGTATCGGAATTCGAAGCCGTGCAAATAGTCCTCAAATTGGCGGCGCCTTTGAGCTTTCGGCGAGTGTCAAGGGCAGTGATGAACCGAGAACGAGGAAGCAGCGCCACCGGCCGAAATGGAGATGAAACGCAGCGAATATTATGCAATAATTCCATGGCGAACCAACTGATTGTTAGAGCAAAACTGGAGATTGCTCAGAGTGGATATCTTGACTGGAAGTTGGGCGTATCAATTTGGAGAATTGAGAGAACAGCAGCAGCGGGAGCCGGGTGGATGGGGATGGGGTGGGTCAGATTCTGGAGTCTGGACTCACTCTGGTGGGAAGGGACCGGGGAGTACGAAGTCACTCCTGGGATCCCGAAGCCAGGATGATCTGCACCGTTGCTCATGCAGGAGAAGGGAAGGCAGATATCAAACCGGGTCAGGTTCGATTCAAATACGATGAATGGGCCATCTCAGAAAATGCGCAAGAATGGGGACACATATATATGCCACATAATAAATTGAGGCTTTTTTCCTCCTTCAACCATTGTATAAGTATTTGCTCTTACTACTATCATTCATTATTTCGACTGTTTAAGGTAGTTAGTACAAAGGCAGTAATAAATAGTGCAATTGCAGAGAATCAAAATAGCCCCATCTATCCCTCTTTCTCTCCTATAGGCAACAGTAGACAACATTCACATTCACGTGCATGTACGCAGGTATGTCAATAGGCTTCTTGTATAGAGAAACAATTTATTACATGGGATGATGGTTGGGGCTGAGGCTGGGGCTGAGCAGAATCTCTTCATAAGCATTGCGTTGCTCCACATGTATGAAGTCCCCTGTTTTCAGTACCTGCCACACACACCTATTCGATCAGTCTCTTCCCTAACCTTCTTCATGTCTGTTTTGTTAATTCATCTATCCTATCCTATCCTATCCTATCCTGTCCTGTCCTTCATTGTTACTATGGTAGGAAGATAAACATATGCAATGCAATGAGTCAGTTCTATTACGAACCAGTATATCGTACAACACCTGCGCGCTCTCCCTCTGGGTTTTGCCTTGCAATAGCTGCGATAGATTCAATACTGCTTCCTCGTCATTCCTCCTCTTCTCCAGGAACTTCCTCCTCAAATCGCTCAATCTCATTCTGATCATCATCATCATATTCATCATCATATTCTATGACTTACTATTAGTATAGTGCAGTCTACTCTTTAACAATTACTACTAACTAAAATATGCTGATGATGATGATTCACCCTCTCACCCAAGACTTTCCAAGCGTACCTTGCTCTTGCATCTGCACGCAGCAACACGGCAGATATAGTTGGTTAGTTATTTACTTTTAACTACAACTACAGCATCCCCAGCCCCAGGGGATCAGAACCTTTGGAACACTGTAAAAAATAAGCATCATGGTGCGGCGACTCACCCTTTGCAATGCTATCCTCGCCCACCCAACTTGTTTCCTGCAAGTTTTACATTGATTTTACTATGCTGCAAAAAGACTTAGAGCATCTTGTAAGATTTTAATACCTCATGATCATGAAGCACCCAATTCAATTCCTTTTCTTCACGCAACAGCAGTCGCTTCTCTGTTATTGCAGATGAGATGATCGGATCCATAGTAGTCCTGGCTTTATTTGAATGAGTAGTAACAGGAGTTCCGGGAGCAATTGGAGTTTGTTCCAGATAAATCTGTGGAACACTAGATCCAAAACTCGTAGTTTGTTTGTCAACTACCAGTGCATCATCGGTAACGGGAGATCTGACTTCATGCTGACTAGGGGACAGTTCCGTGGCTGGACAAGTCCCTTTATAGACAAGACTACTAAGTTCCATCGACATACCTGAGGGGCATAGTGTGTCTTACAACTTAGAAGATGGAAGACATTATCTGCTATGGTAAAATTCAAGTGATGCATATGGGTGGGTATGTGCTTGCTTAGATTACCAGAGACCAATGGATTGAGAAGATTCCGAGACACATGGCCATATTTGCCGGCTCTCCAGACATGTAGAACAGTAAGAGGAACCTTCCTTCTTTCACGTTTCAAGTCACTTGGATCTTCTTCTATCCAGTTTTTTAATGTGCTACAGAAAAAATATAGGCAAATATTTAGTAGTTTAGCATTGCCAAAACTTAGTTGTTGGACTTGCCAATGATTCTATAAGCACACCCACAGCATAAACCTTAATAGGCTTGGTGATGCGTGTAATTATATAATTGAAAAATGGTTCAATACCATGAGTTTTAATGGCATACCTGTTGGCTAAAATTGTTGTCTGATCAAACAATATTTTTCGCTTCTTCAGAATCTTTGTACACTCCTTCAAGCCAGGGGTCTGAACATTTGCAATCTCTGGAATACTCACATCTGCATACAAATAAAGGTTTCAAATACAAAGTGAAGCAACACTATTTGCAATCTCTGGAATACTCACAATTGCATCCAAATAAAGGTTTCAAATACAAAGTGAAGCAACACTTCAGTGGCAACAACTTGTTACATTTAAGCACATACTATATAAATGCACAAGGGTAATATATGACGTTTTTTATTAGGAATTTGGGATGCCACATAATCATCTTGAATTGTAGAGCCAGGAGTTACAATGTAAGAGAGTGACTGCTTACAGGTGAAACCACTTTGATGTACACCAGAACTTGGAACCAAATCACGTACTTGATGGGATGGTCTTGCAACAGAACAAAACTCCTCATCTTGAATTGGCACCAGGAAATTAACCATCACATTGTCGGTGGATGACCTATTATCTGTTTGTAGGATTTCAGGCTCATCCAATGCCATAAAATCTAGAACACCTTCTGATAAACATCGAGATTCACGAAGTATCTCCAAACTTGGTGCTGAATGACTTATTTTATTAGACAGGCTAGCAACTGAATCAGGTTCCATCTTCAACACTGGAGAACAAGCCCTTGTAGCATCTCCACATCCCTTATAGCACAATTGATCTTCCTCGGCCTCGTCCAACATCATAGGATCTAAACGATCTTCTAAATATAAACTGGTTCCACTAAGTAAAGAACCCTTTATAGTAGTGGATTCACACACAAGCAAATCCCTGTCCACACTGGAAGGTGAAAATTCAAACTATTTGAGAAAGTATTTGATCTTGGCAGGAAAAAACTTAAGGTAATGCCTACATACTCTTTAGTTGGTGTGCAATCCATTGAGGAAGCTTCAGAAAATGGAACTATAGCCTGCAGGTGGCACAACAAATCTGAAAACTAAAAACTTCTGGCATGAAATTCATATTCCTTAGTTTGGGTCAAATTCTTTCTATATTTGACACCATGTCCTTTTTATTGTGGAAGTGTCTACAGTCAAAACATCACCATTCTACACACACCACAGGGACCAGATACCATATCAGTCTGGATAATGGAGGTGTGACTTTCAAGGAAAGAAATTGGAGCAAGCTATGCATGTACCTTGCTGATCAAAGCATCTTTCTCACTTCCGTCTGAGACATGATACGACACTATCATTATGCCAAGATTCCATTATAAAGCAGTTGTAGGAGTAGGAAAAGCACTATACCTTCTAACATGATGATTGATTCATCCGTTCTCACTTCTCCACTGCACAAGCATAGCATAGGTTTCAGACGAAAGATGTGAAACATAAAATAGCAATATCCGCATGTTGACCAACAAGTAAAAGAATAACAATGGCCTAAAAATGTGCTGCAATACAGAATTTATACAGTTATGAATCACACCACATAAAATCTTCGCTTTCTGATTGTTCCAGATCAAATGCATCGAGTTCAAAACTCTTGGGGAATATGATAGAGTGGTAATGTGTTTGTGAAACTTTGGTGCACGCTTGTTTTCTTCTTTCGATTCTAAACCCATGTAGCTTGTTTAGGACTTCGTAAGAATCATGGAATAGATACTCGACTTTTTTGGAATAAATCCTCACGACACCAAGAAGAAGGAAGGCTAGGATTCTATGTGTGACCACAGGAACCTCAGCATCCAAAATCGTATCTGACATGAGACAATAATAGAAAATGAGGCCGAAAGCATCAGGTTGAAAATACAGAACCAAGTGCAAGTGTATATTGATGTGACAAGTGGCAATGCATTCGCATGAAGATTAACACACCAAATAACGGCAGAGCATACAACTGAAAATGTGTATGCATATACATGTGTCTGGGCGGGGCTGAGGATACATCATTATCTAGTGATCAATATGCTATTGCATGGCAATATAATCATCTCCTTTTGATACATATAGCATATGCAAACATCCACGTTCTTCTGACAGTTAATGTCGAGAAACTGTGATGCTCCCTGTTCCCTACAACCTCCAAAACGTGTAAAAAAAAAAAAAAACGCAAAAAGACTAAAACTAAAACAAAACAAAGAAGAGTATGTTATGTATGACACAATGATAAAACGCCCAACTTGGTCTAATTAGTTCTCCGATAAAACTCTTAGTAGTAGTACAACACATAAGAATCCATAAGAATAACGAAGTATTAGTAAGATGACCAGAAGAAACAGTCGGTCCAAAATGGAAGCATTGTACGTAACTGCAGAAACCACTTTATCCAGTTTTGGCAAGAACAATCAACCTAGAAAAGAAAAAGATTTTTTTTTTTTTTTTTTTTTGTTTTTATAACACGAAGAGGATTGTGTTGTGAGTTGTGATCTTCTCTCCAAATAAATAGGAAGAAACAAGTGATTAGATTAACAAAGTTGAAAGAGATATAAAAATAGAGACAGACCCACAGAAGAAGGAACGCTGGTCTGCTGGACTTGGACCTTTTTCAGGCGTTTGTGGCAATGAGCAGCCATCCAGACTATGCCTAAGGCCCCCTTCTTGGATAGCAACAACTGTGAGTAAAACATGCGGGTGGTTGGTTGTTGGTTTGCTGCTTCTTATGCTTGCGTTGCACAGTGTTTTCTTCCCAAACCCAAAACACCGAGAAATGTTAACTTACTATCTGAAGGTAAAAATCATGGAATAGCCATTGCTGCCATCAGAAATGTATGCAGTAGTATTTAAGTAATTAAGTTCGTCCCGGAGGAGAAGAAGAAGAAGTGTACAAAGGAAGAATCCTTATTTCATTTTTATTTTATTATGTTTTGAAAAACTGTCGCTCATTTCACCGCTTTCCACAATTCGATTAACATTCCCGATTGTCGTCAAATACCCTTTTTTTTTTTTAACTATTCAAAATTTTTAAATTACAAAATATCGAATTTTATAATTAAATAGATAATTGTACAATATTTTAATTATTTTTTAAGTAAAAATTTATTACTTTCTCTGTCCGACTAGAAAGTATATATATTTCTATTTTGGGACATTTTCAAATAAAAGTAAACATTTCATTAAATACCTTACTTTTTTCTACAATTACCCCCACTTTACATCTCATCATTATTTTTACACCAAAAAGCAAGGGCAAAAATGTCATTACATTATTTTTAACTACCACTATAATTAAAATACTATTATTTCTTAAACACTCCGCCAAAAATAATTGTATACTTTTTTTTTTATGGTAGAAGAGAGTATATTTTTATATTCTTTTATAATAAAAGAAGAAAATAATAATTACTATTATCTATTTTATATCTCTCATCAAATAAACGCACATTTATACGATTAAATGCTAATTATTTTGTCATTTTGGTATATACAATTCAAATGTATTTATTTTATAAAATTATTTTTTATTTTAATAGAAAATATCTCCATCATTTACATAATAGTGCAAAAATCAATATTGATCTCAATCAAATTTTTTTTGTTTTCTATTTTTAATCCTATTAAAAATAATTATTAAAATTAGTCGTCCATAAAAAATAAATAATCATTTTTAGTTCTTAACGGAATATGCTGTAACGGAAATTTACGTGGCTGTAACCGAATATGCTGACCGTGTTATGTGTTCAAACAGTCAAACCTGTTTATTTTTATGTCTAAACTCGGCTGTGTTTTATTTCAATACGCCCGTTGTTTGTAATTGCAGAATCTTTGAAATTTCAATTTCTTCTTTTCTTTTTTTTCACACCCCCAAAATAAAATTCTTGCTAAAACAGACAAATTCGACATCAGTAGGGAGAGCTACGACGAAATCAAAGTAGGGATTTCTTAGCAATCAAAATTGTTACTGATAAATGAATAGAATTTTGCCGAAGAAGCAAGAACAGACAAAGAAATTCGTTATGCAAATTGCGCCTAGAAATCTTACTACAAAATCACAGTCAAATTAAATGCCCAACACAATCATCCATAGATACCAAGATGCAGTAGTAACAAAAAATGGCAAACCCTAAGTGAAGTATAGAAATATATATATAGAGAGAAAATAATGAATTTGGATCAAACCTTCACCACCACTAGCGGCGCTGCCGCCGATGTAGATGGCGCAAGATTCAATTGCGAATTTCCAGCCGAGCTTGGCCGTGATCATCGGGATGTTGTTCATCATGCCCTTACCTTCGCCCTCCTCCTCTATGCCAAATTCTCCCACCGCGCCTCCTCTGTCCACAGCCTCACCCACCAAATCCAGGACAGTTTCGTCTCCGGCATCGACAATACCGCTGTTGAATCGCTACCCTTCTTCCGATTCTCCTCCCTCCAAGGCTCCCGCAACAGCTTCGAATGCGCCGTTTGCCTTGCCAAATTCAGGAGATCGAGGTACTGCGTCTCCTGCCCAAATGTGAACATGCCTTCCACATCGACTGCATCAATAAATGGCTTGAGAAGCACTCCACCTGCCCCTCTGCTGCCACAAGGTCACCATCCACGACGTCTCCCACCTGTACCATCCGTTCGTGCTCAATTTGTGCATTCCAACACGGGCGTGTTGAAATAAAACACGGCTGTGTTTAGACATAAAAATAAACAGGTAAATTTGACTGTATGAACACGTGGCTGTGTTTAGACATAAAAATAAACAGGTAAATTTGACTGTATGAACACGTCCGCATCAGAAGCTACTTCACTTTTGTTACAGCCACGTCAGCATATTCAGTTAAAATTTTAACAGTTGGATTAAAAATAATAATTTATTTTTTATGTGGGACTAATTTTGATAATAATTTTTTTATGAGACTAAAAATAAAAAAAAAAAATATTTGATTGAAGCAAATACAATAGTTTATGGATAGAGGTCATTTAAAGACAATTGAAATATTTATGTATAGGGAAAAAATTAATTTTGGATCTAATATAATAAAAATTTATCAATTTTGGGCTCAATATAAAAAATTCATCAATATTGGTCTCAATATAAAAAATTCGTCAATTTTAGTTTCTATATAAACAATTTCAATCAATTTTAGTCTCGTTATAAACAATTTTAATCAATTTTGGTTCCACCGTTAAAAAATTAATGGAAATTGCTGACGTGGACATGACGGAGGTGACGTGGCAGTTGACCTGGAAAATACACGACCATGTACAATTATACACGGCCATGTTGTTACATAGTCATGTATATTTCAGTGTATAATTATACATGACCATGATATTATATGACCATGTACAATTCTACACGGCCATGTACATTTCTATTTTAGTTTAAAATTTTATTTTCTTGTTATATTTTTTTTAAAAAAATATTTTGAATTTAAAATAGTTGATATAATTAAAATGGACAAAATCAATAGTAATTATAATATAATTAAAATTTATAAATTTTAATTCAAATATAAAAATTTATAAAATATATTATTTTAATAGATTTTGTCTAAAATTTTATTATTTATAGAAAAAAATTTCTCTTACAAACATCCAATTACACAACTATTTTTTAATTTTGTATATTATAGTAGTATTACAAATTAATTTATTATTTCAATACATTAATTTGATGTTTGTAACAGAAATTAGTAGAATTTTAGACAAAATCTTCCAAAAGAACATACTCGATATATACTTATATTTGAACTAAAATTGATATATTTTAATTATATTATGATTATCATTGATTTTTGTTTTTCTATTATAACTATATCAACTATTCTAAATTTTAAAATATAACAAAAAATTAAAATGTTAGACCGAAACAGAAAGGTACACGGCCGTATAGAATAATACATGACTGTGTAACAACATGGTCATGTATAATTATGCACTGAAATATATATGGTCATGTAACAACATGACCATATATAATTGTAAATGGTGTGTAACAACATCACCATGTATAATTATATACTGAAATATACATGGTCATGTAACAACATGGCCATGTACTTTCCAGGTCAACTACCATGTCACGTCCGTCATGTCCATGTCAACAATTTCCGTTAGTTTTTAAACGGTGAGACCAAGATTGATTAAAATTGTTTATAATGGAATCAAAATTGATTGAAATTGTTTATATTGGGACCAAAATTGATTTAGTCCATTATATATATTTGAAGCAAAAAAAGGAAAAGACTTGAAAAATGTTTCATGAAGTCAATGCACTTCTTAAGTTGTTTCTCTACTTTGTTCTTACGCTTTCTTTACTCATAGACATATATTTTCAAATTCGAATAATTTTTTACACAAAAAATCTAACACTTTTTTATTCAAGTTTCGACTACAAAGCTATCAATTATTCATACGAGGAAATTCCAAAATTTTCTCTGACCAATCACTAGGTGAGATTGCCAAACCAAGGTTTTCATGATGTAAATTTGATGTCACATGACACCGTCTGATTCAAAATGACGATCTAGGCATCAGATCCATTTTACCTAATTGGATGAACATGTCAACATAAATGGTGAGCTTTTAGTCAGATGGATTATTTTCATTTGTATGATTCCACAGAAAAATAGAGAAAAATGAATGTTAAAGTATTATGTTTTAAAATATTTTTATCCTTTTTTAGTACTATTTAATTTTTATAATTTTTAAAAACATATTACTCCCTCCGTCCTGTAAGAAGGTTGTCATTGATTTTTTTTGTGTGTTAGATCTTTCAATATTAATTATGATATCAATACTTAGTACAAATAATAAAAAAAATAAAAATATGTTTATTAGTCTCTTATAATACATATATAATAATATTTGTCGAATAAATTATTCAAATATAAGGATATTTTTAATGTTAAATACGATGACGCCGGAGGGAGTATTTTAATTTTACAAAAATTACATTAAATTTATTATTCAAGTATTTAAGTTTTATGAATTTTTTAAAAAAATTATACTAAAATATAATTTTGCAATCGTATATAATTTATAATTTTTTTTTTTCTAAAAAAAATCACTAAAAATATTTTTTCATGAATTCTTACTAAACTCTTTTTTGTCCTATTAATTATTTATTTTTGTTCGATATTTTCTTTTACATTTTTTTAACTGAATTTTTTTATTTTACCAAATAACTCAATTCTTTTATGTTATTCCATTATCTTAGTATGGGCCGTTTAATCAAAGGCTTTCTAGCGGTAGTAGGCCGTCCACCCATTTATTCAGAAAACGTTGTCCAGTATCGTCATCACCATGATCTTCAATCCCAGCCCAGCCCACTAGTTAGGCCGGCAGTGCACAGAGAAGCAATCCTCCACTGCCCCTTCGCTCTGTGTGCCTTGTCGTCTTCCTGAATTTTAATTTCTTCTGCAATCCACGATCCTCCTCCGCGACGTCGTACGTACATTTCCTCCTAAATCGCAAATGCGACTCTACGTCGGACAAGGACCACGACACTCCATATATTTGTCATCCCCCCCGAATTCTGACACTCCTCCTTGTCTTTGCACTCTCCCAATGGCCCAAGATAACCAAGGTACGTTTCTTGGAATGGCTTCCTTCCTAAATAATCCGAATTACGCACCCTTTCACCGCTCGCTATTTGATTTCAGCTTCTTCTGCTAAAAAGAAAAAAGTTGCTGTCATTGGAGCTGGTGTTAGGTACTGGAGCTTTAGTGATGTAGGAGGAGGGGACAATAGAGATTATTATCTCTTCTTCATATGTTCCTTTCAGAAAATATTACGAGTCGATAAGAGCTACAAGCCCACTTGTGATTTTTCAAAATTTAGTTTACGTTTTACTCTTCATTTTCATTTTACCTCACTTGACAAATCTTGTTTGATGTTTGGTGTGTTTTTTTGTTCTGGCTAAAGTGGGCTATCTGCAGCGTACAAGTTGAAACAGCATGGGTTACAAGTAACAGTGTTTGAAGCTGATGGCAGAGCTGGAGGGAAGTTAAGAAGCATTTCCCATAATAGTTTAGTATGGGATGAGGGAGCAAACACCATGGTACTGCTCTTTGGGATGTTTAATATCCCACTTGTCTATTTTATATGGAAAACGATGTTGTTCAAATTGCAACCGTCATTGATGCTCTTGCCTTGATCCATTTTATTTTGAGTAGACTGAAAGTGATGCAGCTGTTGGCTTTTTGCTTGACAATCTTGGACTTAGGGACATGCAACAATTTGTAAGGCTTTACTTCTTCTTTTGAGTATACTCTCACATTCATTTTGTGATCACGTTTACATGCTTTTTCTTGATATATTTGCTCCTTATACTAAAAGTAGGATTATGTATCCACTTGAATGAAGTGCTATGTTTTCTCCTTTTTATCTTCTGAAAGGACCATATTTCTATGCTCTTACCGCTTTAAATGTTAATTACAAAATAAAGTAGTATTTTTGATGCAGCCTCTTTCACAGCACAAACGGTATATAGCCAAGGGTGGGGTGCCTGTACCAGTAAGATATTTAGTCTAAGTATACAATTTCGTTATATCCTCCTCATTGTCGGGATTAGATGCATCATAAATACCACGCTTCTTGCTAATTAGTTGCATGTCTACCCATCTCAGATTCCATCAAATCCACTAGCATTTATCAAAAGCAATCTTCTTTCTACAGGGTCTAAGGTTTGCTTCTCCATATTTCTCACTTTAATATCTCTTTTTACAATAATCGTATGAATGCACATTCTGATGGATTATATGTCTTAGCTGGTGTAAATGGAAAAAGACTATCATCAACGTTGAACTGAAAACTTCGCATGTGCTATCACATGATATTATAATACTAGCCAGATATCTCACCTGGTTCAATCATCTTCTTTTTCCCACTTTACTAGAACCATATTGTGCTGATGAAAATAACAATCTCATAGTGATGGCTGTCTGCATGATAATTGTTTGGTTGCATAAATGAGTATAAGTAACTTAGTAGTGGACCGTCTTTTCCACCCCAAGGATACTTATTGTTCGGCAATGCATACATCCAAACCTTTAACTATAACTGTAGCCTAACATGAATCTTTACTAGTCATCTTCTAGGGACATAGAATAATGTAATACTTCATAGAATTGGTACTGAAGTTTACTAGTAAATAATGTAATACTTCATAGAATTGCTTTTTGGCAGTTTGGTTTGTTGGTTAACATGTCTTGATGATCAGAAGTCTACTCAATCTATCAAATTCAGTGCTGGTAACCCTTGTAATGGAGGAAGAAATGAATGTTCTGTTTTTTTGTGCAAGAGATTGAAGATCTTCACCAATTTGCTACTGGCTATCAATTTTGAACAAATATTAAAACACACACACGCACACAGTGATGGAGAAATCACATTTTTTTTTTTATTTTTTTTTTTTCCCAATATATTTATTGATTAATTGGCTTAAGGACCTTTCTGCATTTCAAAATTTGCTACTCATCCAGTGTGAATTCTCTTTACAGCTTCAAATGTTGTTTGAACCATTTCTGTGGAAGAATCGAGCTTCAAAGGGGTCTGACAAGGTGGACAGGTACCAAGGAGATCCGTAATCACTTTTCCTGATATTTATGGAGAAACAATACTTTGAACACGAAGAATTGTAGGGGAACCTCTAGTGGTGAAGTCAATAAAAAATTTCCAGAAATGACACTAGATGAGAAAATGCATTAAGTGTGGAGTTGATGATAATATCTTAAAAAAAAAATTAGGTGATGTAACACAACACAGAATTACTCAGCAAAGTTTGTTTTTTTTCCACTTATTTTTTGGTAACCTAAATATTTTCTTGTGTTTGCAGCGTTGGGGCTTTCTTTCAGCGTCATTTTGGTCAAGAGGTGCTCCTTTATATAACTATTTTGACATATGAAACTGGTGGTAACTATTGAGTGTTATTCATTATTTTCTTGAAAAATGATTTCATAAAATCTTCATTATATCACGTTTCAATATTCCTTACACACCAAACAAAGATAAAGCAATTGAATTGTTTTGGTCAGCTCTTTAAATTCTTTATCCATGGTCGGGCTTTTTAATATCTGCATAGTGATAGCAATATAGCATATCTTAATAATCACATAATTCCGTTTTAGGTTGTTGACTATCTTGTTGATCCTTTTGTCGCCGGAACAAGCGGTGGAGATCCAGAATCACTTTCTGTCAGTGCTTTCACCCTATAAACCCTGCGCAATTGATTTGGGGGTGGACAATTGATCCTTTTGAGTTTTCAAAACTTTATTTTGTCTTTGCTATTTAATGTATCAGATGCGCAATGTGTTTCCGGAGTTATGGAATCTTGAGAAAAGGTAAGCTTCACAGCTTGGTTAACTATATAACAGGCCATTTGCGGTGTTTCCCTTGACAGCTCCTTTCCACTAAGTGAGCTATGAGAAAATGGAGAACAAGCGTGCAATGAACTTGAATTGGTTAATTAGTTGTCTGATATAAATGCCTCAAAATGTCTAAAGGTGTGTGGTTGATTTAAATAATGATTGATATGATGTTTTGTAAGATAAAATGTGTATTTTTCGAGGAACGTGGAGTCTTAAGTATTAAAAAGTTGGATATATACCAAAAAGAAACTCCCCCTCGAGGTTTTTGCAAATAAATTATTTTAGTATGATATTTTCTTTGGTTGATCTTCCCTTGCTCAGCATATTGCTGATCCACGGTGTTGTGGTTGTTTACTAAGTTACAATTTAAGATTTTGCAGGAAGATAACAAAGCTGAATGTATTTTATATTATTTTATAAGTACTTCCTCTAAAAATAAACAAGATAATTGTTTTCCATTTGTTGAAAATTTTATGTGCAGGACCCCTCGTTAATATGAAAATTTTATATTTCTTTTTGGTGATTTTCCACCCAAAACAACTTTTAGCCTTTATGATTCTGGCCACTTGAAACAATGATTATTTTAACAGTGCAAGCAACAGAAAACTAGTTATATGTTGAAAATTGTTCTAATAACTCTCACAGCATCTTGAGTTTTATCATTGGGTTATTCGTTTTACACATGTAATTGTTTACTTCACCATTCAGATTTGGCTCAGTGATAACTGGTGCTATTCAGTCTAAATTATCCTCTAAAAAGGAAAATAAAGGTGGAATGGGCTCTTCATCCCAGAAGAAAAGGAGCAGGGGCTCTTTTTCATTCCTTGGGGGTATGCAGGTGAGTGTAACTGATCTCTGAATTTGCTTATTGGACAGTCCTGAGGAAACATGCCTGAAGTTATCATTATTCGCTTAGATGCACACACCTCTTATTTGGTTCCGGGACTATTAACAGAATTTCTCTTTGTAGTGTCATGCTGTCTCTGCCTGTTTGTTATCTTAGAAACTTGTATCTGGTTTAGTCCCGCTCCGAATAAGTTGTCTAGAGTAAAGCAATTTGAAGATCAGGATATTGATCTAATTTGAAGTTATGCACTTTTGATTACATGATACAACTTTCTTACTTTATACGTTCGAGATTGTGTATCTTCCGTTTGCAAAATTTTTGCAGACACTCACCAATGCAATATGCAATAAACTGAGCGAAGATGAACTAAAACTTCAATCCAGGGTGTTGGAATTATCTAGTAATTGCAGTGAGAATCCTGTGATGGATAGCTGGTCGATTTCTTATGAATTGGCAGGTCAAGAACGTTCCGTTGAGAAGACATTTGATGCATTAATAGTGACAGTAAGTATCAACTGTTGCCAAATAAATTGTTTATTTTGAGTCCTAGATTGTGTGAAGTTTCAACTACTTTCTAACATCTTTTTAGGCTCCACTTTCAGATGTTAAACAAATGAAGATTAGCACAAGAGGAAACCCATATTCGTTAGACTTTGTTCCAGAGGTATGCACTTCAGGGGGTTTATTTATGAATCCATATAGGTTTTGTTCTTACTTGTATCTGTTTGTTGCTTGGTACATCATTGTATACTTCGTAAGTCATTTGGTAATTTTAACCAAAATTGTGAATGAAAGAATAACAAGAAAACCCCCACTTACAAGGACAAAATAAAGGTCCAACTGTAATTTTTCCCCTAGGTGGCATTTTCCAACTAATTATCTTGAGTTTCCCTCTGAAATTTATTATGATATCTCCAGAAAGCACTGTCCCTATCTACGTGTTATTGAGAAACTAGTGTTGTGTTTCCTTATGGTGTGATATTTGCAGGTTACCTATTTACCAATGTCTATTATTATCACCACATTTAAGAAGGAGAATGTGAAACGACCGCTTGAAGGTTTTGGAGTTCTTGTACCTTCAACAGAGCAACAAAATGGTTTGAAGACTTTAGGTAATGATTAACCTTCTAGGCTTAAGATTGTTTGATAATAGTCAATGTGCTAACCTGAAGTGTCTTGTTTGGAGGCACCCTTTTCTCTTCTATGATGTTTCCAGATCGTGCACCCAATGATGTTTACCTGTACACTACATTTGTTGGAGGAAGTAGGAATCCACAACTTGCCAAAGCTTCAAGGTGTTTGCAGCTTCAATATATATGTGAATCTTTGATATTATTGATGAATTATATAACCATCTTATTTGTTTTACCTATACTCTTCTCGTTCTCTCTCTCTCATCTCATCCCTTCCTCCTCTATATAGGGATGAATTAAAGCAAGTTGTGACCAATGATCTCAGACAGCTATTGGGTGCAGAAGGAGAACCTGCCTTTTTGAAGTAATTGCTCTTTTGACATGCAGTGGTGAATGAACTGCCATGGGTATTCTATACTTATGGGTTATATATTTGCTTGCAGCCACTTTTATTGGAGTAAAGCCTTTCCATTGTATGGGCATAACTATGATTCAGTTATTAACGCAATTGACAAGATGGAAACAGACCTCCCAGGTTTATTTTATGCTGGTAAGTCTTCCCCTATATATTTATTGGCTTCTTTATTTTTGTTTTTATTTTTTATTTTTCCTGTGCCTTTCCAATCCACTCTTCTGCTGGAAGAAATGAAATTATGTACCTACCCTGAAATACATTTCATATTCTGCATTTGAAACTTTCCTCTGCATGATCATGCTATTTAACCCCGGGGGAAAAGGTGTATTCATTGGAGTCTGGATACAATAGAAAAATTAGTCAGCAGAAATGTGAGGCTTGATGAAAATAGGAACCATTGTATTAATGATATTTCAAGAACATAATAATAATGAAGGAAATACAATAAGAACCATTGTATTGACATGTTGAGGAAAAACTCTCAAATAGTTTAGGAGTACATTGAATATTGTGTCCTTGAGCTTAGTGTTCGTTTGCTGAATGAAGATTGTACTTTACAAATTGTAGGCAACCACAAGAGTGGATTATCAGTTGGGAAAGCAATCTCAAGCGGGTGCGAAGCAGCTGATCTTGTGATGTCATATCTGGCATCTTGTTCTGATGTCGGGGCTAATCCTTGACTAGGATGGCCTTCAGCGATGCCCATTGTTACTCAGTAATGACTCAACTGCCTTTTATGTGTGTGTTAAAAAAAAAGAAGGAAAAAAAGTAAAAAAAAACTCACATTCTATTTAACTGCACAAATTAGGTTTTGCCTATTAAAAACTGCAGAATGGGTTCGTTCTGATGATTCTTCTTGGATTCCATGTTTTTAGTATTTTAAGAATTAATTACTAGGAATATGTCAAGCCACAGCCAGCAGCATATATACCATACCATTGCCCTTCAAAATTATATATACCTATATTGTGCTGCAGGTAGGGAGATGACACAAATTTTGGCTGGTTGTAGCCATGAGAGAAGTTGAACAAAGTTGAAGGGTGGACCATAGAATAAACATGGATGATATTAGTAGATTGTTTTACAAAAACCCGCCATCAGCTGGTGACTGGACGTACAGTTATATATCACAAAGCCTATTTTGACTATGGCGATCCTTTGGTGGTAATTTTATTTTTATAAAGAGAGATGATATGAAGCATGAATTGGTTGGGGAATGAATGCATGCATGTATGTAAGTTTGAGTTGGACGAACGAACGAATGCCAATTAAGGGTGAGGCTTTCTAGGTGGAAGCTTTTGTGAGTTATAAGACGGAAATAGGTTTACCTGAGTGTGTGCTTATAGTTAGTTAGAGAGTTATATGTGGACTGGTGAGTTAACAGTTTAGAGAGTTTTGAATAAGTGCAGTGCTGACTGAGACAGATATATTAAATATTCTTTGTGCTAAAAAGCTGCGGTAGCACTTTATTCTTGTTTGTTTGTTTGATTGTTGTTGTTTTGGAATGTGTTGTGTGCATTAGTTGATTCAATGGTTGGTTCGCTACAAAAAAGCCCTGCCCTGCTTTGGCTGGTTTGCTTGTGGACCACTTTTAACTTAATGATGATGGTGGTGCGGGGCCAATAAGTAAGTCTCCTTTCCAAATCGGCTGGGCTGATTCTCTAATCATAATCACCATCATCATCATCATCTAAGGCTTTCCTCTTCCTTACCTTCTTCTCCAATAAGATAAGCAGCAGCAGCAGCAGCAGCAGCAGCTAGTATTAAGATTCGACCCCCCTTGTTTTCTGTGTACGTGTCATGTGTGTGTCAGTCAGTCAGTCGTCAAAAATCAGCGCTGCATGTTACTCATCCATCCACCCAATTTCCTTTCCTTCTTCCTAATTCCTATTCAATCTCCTCGGCGCCGCCACAGCGCACCACACAAGTAGGAAACCAACCATCATCGCCTGAAAATTTGTCTGCCATACCCGATAATCACAATCTAATCTAATCTCATCTCACCCGCAACTTCTGTTTCTTTGTTTTTTGAATAATAATAATAATAATATCCTAGGCCGCCCGCACTGCACTAAATAAATGCAGGTTCTTGGTTCCCAACTGCCTCCATAAGTAGTATGGTGCGGTATGGTATGGTGCCCAGCTCCTTCTTTTCATTCCCCCACCCACCCCCCACCTGCTGTCTCTTCTTCTCCTCTCCTCTCCTGCATCTCACAAAATCTTTATCACGGCGGCGGGTGATATAAAAACCAGGAGACTAAAAACTCGAGTCCTCACTCCATTCCAACACTTTGACTCCACTGTCCAGGATGCCTTTTTCTCTCCTCACTTCACTTCACTTCTCCTATAAAGATCCAATATTCTGCTTGTTTGGAAGTGCATGCCTTGTTTCTTTCTCAATCTTATCTCTTCTTCACCCCCTACCACTACCACTACCACTACTCTCGCATCATAACTACTGTTCTACACTTGCCATTTCTAGGTTTCTTTTTGCACTCTCCTCGCCTTTATTTTGGTCAGGATGAGCCCTTTCGTGCTTTAGTTCTTGACAGATTCTAAACCGCAGTTTTTTTCCCCCTCCCCCAAGAAATTTGTTATTCAAGCTGCCTATAATATGTGTAGTATGGTTGCCCAACCCCTCATTCTTTCATGCCTTTTCCCGTTCAATCCTTCTTTAGGGTGTTAGTTATAGATATTATGATGTTGTATGATTGAAGGCATACTAATTGAGATATGCAAACGGGGGGAAGTTCAGATACCTTTGTTTTGGTGTTTCTTTCATGGCTCTTCTTTGCTTCAGAAACTCATCAGTTGGGAAGCTATGAAACGCAGGTTCTTCTTCAGCTAAGGAAGCATTTAGAGTACCCATCACCTCTCAATATTTGGGATGGCAATGGTGGTGATTTTTGCAGCGTTTCCCATTCTCCAGAGATGAGTATCAAATGTGAGAATGGTTCGGTCACCGAGCTTAGAATTGTGGGGAACAAGCCCTCAAAGGTCAGTGCTGAATTCAAAGGATATCCTATGACTAACCAAACGTTATCCCCGAATTTTTCTATTGATTCGTTTGTTACTACGTTGGCAAGGCTGGCTAGATTAAGGGTCCTGAGCTTAGTTTCTTTAGGCATTTGGGGGCCAATGCCTGAAAAAATTCATCGGCTGTATTCGCTTGAGGCTTTGGACATGAGTTCAAATTTCATCTTTGGTTCCTTGCCTTCAAAGATGTCGAGATTGGTGAGACTTAGGTCTCTGACCTTTGATGGGAACTATTTCAATGACACACTCCCTGATTGGTTGGATTCATTGACGAACCTCACGATATTCAGCTTGAAGAACAACAGATTGAAGGGTCAGGTTCCTTCTGCAGTGTCAAAACTTTCAACATTGACTGAAGTAGTTTTGTCCCACAACTTGTTATCTGGAAAATTGCCTGATCTGAGTGGTCTGGCCTATTTGGAGTTGCTGGATTTGAGAGAGAATAATTTGAGCTCCAAGTTGCCTTCTCTGCCAAATTCGCTGACCAATGTTTTTCTCAGTGGCAATTCATTTGCCGGCAACATACCTCAGCATCTTGCCAAATTGAACCAACTTCAGCGTCTTGATTTGTCTGGAAACTATTTGAGTGGAACTCCACCTACTCTGCTATTCTCTTTGCCAAAAATTAGTTACTTGAACTTATCATCCAATGCTCTAAGTGGATCACTTCCACAGCATCTTGGATGTGGATATGCTCTTAGTCTGGTTGATCTTTCTAACAACAGATTTAAAGGCGAGCTTCCGAAGTGCTTGGATGCTGGTGTAGATGATAGGATAGTTAAATTTGGTGGGAACTGCTTCTCAGTTGATGCCATAAACCAGCATCCTGCAGCTTACTGCAAGGATCTTGACGAGGGAGGAACAAATTCTACAATGAAGAAAATATCAATTCTGGCTGGAATAATTGGTGGATTTGTTGTTATTGTGGTATTCTTCTTGGTTGGTGGTCTTGTATTTTTCTATAAAAGACACTATGCTACGGAGACTTTCGTTCATCATACTACGCCTAAGGTTAAGCGAGATGATCCACCATCAGGGATTTCCCAAGAACTACTTGCAAATGCCAGTAAGTTCCTGTTTCAACATTATCTTGTTTCTGAGTACTGATTACCTTGAGCAAAGCAAACAATTATATACAGGAGTTAGGTGAACATTATTCTCTTCTGTTGATGGTGTGCTGTTTTGATACGTTTGGTAGACAATGCATATCATTTTATTCAGCTATCATTATTTTTATTTTTATTTTTTGCTCCTTTTTTCTACACCAGGGCTCATTTCTCAAGCATCCAAATTGGGAAATCAAAGTTTTCCATCGTATAGAGAGTATTCATTGGAAGAACTTAATGAAGCCACAGAATGCTTTGACCAATCAAACTTTTTGGGCGAGGGTTCTATTGGAAAGGTACCTTAGAAAAGCAATGATAATCTCTCCATTGCTCCTTCATAAAGACAGCATTCAATTTTATTGCTCTAGATGTCTTGTCTTACCATTACCAATTCATGCATTTTCCTTTGGTCAATTGCACCCCTCCCCCCCCCCCCCCCCCCCCCACCCAAAAAAAAAATCTAATTTATTGTTACAGATATACACAATATCCAGATTCTATGTTTATAAATTCGTTTATGTTCCTAATCTTGGAAATCTCTTGACAAATACAGCACAAGTTCTTAGATGAATGTTTGTAACATTGTTGTAAGTTGTATTAGTCTTTGGCCATCTTTCTTAACTGTTGCCTTATAGTTTCCAGGTTCACAAGGGAAGGCTAGGAAATGGCTCTTTCATTGCTATACGATCTCTGGCTTTATGCAAAAAATATTCAATTAGGAACCTCAGTTTGCAGCTGGACTTGCTTTCCAAACTTCGCCATCCTCACCTGGTTGGTCTTCTGGGTCATTGCATTGAAAGTGTGATACAATGCGACTCCGCCACACGAAGACTGTTCCTTGTATATGAATTTATTCCTAATGGAGATTTCCATTCTCGGCTTTCGGGTAATATACTTGCCAAATGCATCACCCTTTTGAGGCTGTTTCGTGTCACGCAATGTATTTGAAATGATTCTTGGCCAACCTGCAGAGACCTCCCCAGAGAAGGTTTTAAAGTGGTCGGAAAGGTTGGCTATTCTGATTGACATCGCCAAGGCTGTCCATTTCTTGCACACTGGGGTGATTCCTCCTTGTTTGAACAATCAACTCAGGACTAATAATATACTGCTTGATGAGGACGGGATTGCAAAGCTTAGCGACTATGGGATGTCCATCATTGCAGATGAAACTGAGCAGTCAGGAGTATGTTTTGTTTAAAATTACGATGGTATTAGTAGTTTTGTACTGTGGTATGATCCTTGTTGTGTGGTGCTTGTAGGTAAAAGGAGATGCAACTGCTAAATCATGGTAAGAAGATCTGTGCTGAATCTCCCACTTGGTATAGATTGTGTATTGAGCATGAACATTTTTTTTTTTTAATAAATATAATAGCAGGCATATGAAGCAATTGCAGGATGATGTTTATAAGTATGGATTAATATTACTTGAATCGCTTGTGGGTCCTGGTGGAAGTGAAAGGGAAACAGGAGAAGCAGCATATGTAGTGAATGAAATGGTTAGTTATAAAGAATGGTATGGTATTATGTGTTACTAGAAGTGATGAAGAGGGGTGTGTGGGTCTCATGTAATGAATAAATGCAGAGATCGTTGTCGTGGAGCAGCCAAGATGGGCGGCGGAAGATTGTGGATCCAGCAGTGCTGAGCAGTAGCTCTGAGGAATCTCTGAGGATTGTGTTGGGCATCACAAACAAGTGCATATCCTCAGTCAGGCCATCATTTGAAGATGTCCTCTGGAACCTGCAGTATGCAGCTCAGGTGCAAAGTTCGGCGGATTCAGATCAGAAATCAGATGCGGCATCCTATCATAGCTTTGGCTAAAAATAATAATAGGAAGAAGAAGACTATGGTGAATGAAGTTGTAGGCAGAGTTGAAGCTGTGGAGGTATGTATTATTTGGGGGTTGGGTTTATAGAATGTTAGTTAGTTAGATTAGGTATCGAAGCAAGCAGAGTTAGTAGAGAGAGAGAGAGAGAGAGAGGGGGGGGGGGGGGGGGGGGGGGGGGATTGGATTGAGTTGTACCTGTGGTGGTTCTTGAATTGATTGTGTAGTTATGGTAAGGGTGTGTTTGTTGTGTGCGGTGGTGCCTGCCTAACAAATTAAAAAATTCTAGTAATGAAATAAAGAATGGCATTTGGGAATGTATGATGTATAGTTATAATAGTATGAGAGAGAGAGAGAGAGAGAGAGAGAGAGATGTTAGGTGAAGAGGCTTTGTCGACTCCCAATTCATTGATTGATTAGATAGATCAGTTGTGTATTTGTGTTGTTAGTTCGGTGAGGTGTGGTAAAAGCAAGACAAAATCACCAAACACTAACTAGTAACCAGCCTGTGCATGACATTACAACAACATTCATTAACATGCTACGCTTCTAACTGAAAGCGCCATCTCATCTCTATATTCCCAACTTATATTGTTAATTCATTCTTATTCCAATTACCATAAATTTATTGAATAGAGATCTTACTACTTTTTTATGAATTCCACAAATAAAGTGTTTATTGAGGATAATTATTACTCTCTAATTAATAATAATAGTATACTAGATGGTAATCGGTAAGGCTCACTGACCCAATACCATTACAGACATTACTTACTTCTCTTACTACTACTATAGTAATAGTAATAATAGATTAAAAAAAAAAAAGAAAAGAACAAGACTTACTATTATTATATTAGCTTAGCTGGCTTTGTCTTTGCGACTTCACGCACGGCCTCAGATATTCTCTCTCTCATGATATCATTCATTCATGATGCGAGTGAATACTACTTGCTGCACATGACAACACCCAGCCAGCCCCAGCTCCAGCGCCAGCCTATCCATCCATCCTCAGTTACAAAAGGCACCGTTTCTGCTCTCATCTTCTTCCCTTCAACATTTGCTTGCTTGATTTATTCCCCGGGCTTCATTTTCCACCGTAAGTCGGTCACTCCTCCTTCATATGCTTGCTTATTCCTTTTCGCTTATGCTTATTATAATGCCTCCCGGCAATTTCACTGCTCTTCATTCTGTCGTTCAATGTTGCTGCTGCTGCTGCATTGCCATTCGCCAATACAGCTGTTTGCTGCCGGGTGATTGATTGATTGATTCATTCATTCATTCATTTCCATCGGTTCACTTCGGCGCCCTTTGGATCTGGGTTGGTCTGAAGATTTTTGTTTTCTTCTTCTAACTTTTGCTACATTACTTCGGTGCCCGCCGACATTCGAATGCTTTGAGATTTTGCCTTTGAAATTGGATTTTGTTTTCACTTGCGTATTTTCTAGTGTTCTTGCTAAAGTTGAGGCCATAATAATAGTTATGGTTTTCATTGAATGGGCTGCGGACGGGCAGATACAAGTCTGCCGTTGCTGGAGGCACCAAAAACGCCTCTTTCATCAACTGATGGTTTAATTCACACATCAATGGCTTTTTATTCATGAATATGCGGCTAATCAAGTTTCGGGTTTATGGCTCTGCTTCGTGCTTAAATCTCGGTGCTTTATATCACATGCTCTTAGTAAGTTATCTCCGTGTCTTTTGTCCAGGCACACACCAGGATTGAGGCCAGGCAAGTACCTATCTGCATGCTACGATGGTCCTGGGTCTGAAGGCCAAGACCAGGAAATGTCCTTCAGTTCAGCTTGATTACATTATTCATATTCAGGAGATCAAGCCATGGCCACCATCGCAGTCTCTGAGAAATCTTCGTGCTGTTCTCATACAGTGGGAGCATGGAGAGAAGACTTCTGGGCTAACCAATCAAGTTGTGCCTTCACTAGGGACAGGATCTGGCGTTGGTGATGGGAGAATTGAATTCAATGAATCTTTTAGGCTTCCAGTTACTCTGATGCGGGAGATGCCCACTAAGGGAGGGAATGGAGACGCTTTCCAGAAGAACTGCATTGAGTTTAATCTTTATGAACCAAGGCGTGACAAGGTTAAAGCTCAGCTGCTGGGAACTGCTGTTCTGAACTTGTCAGATTACGGAGTTGTAAAAGAGAATTTGAGCGTCAGTGCTCCCATTAACTGCAAGCGGACTTACAGGAACACCACACAACCATTTGTCTTCCTTAAAATCCAGCCTGTTGAGAAAAGTCGCACAAGCTCATCTTCAAGGGATAGTTTGATGCAGGAACCTTCCATGCACCAAAACCATGGTGAATCTGTTTCTGCATTAATGAGTGAAGAATATGCAGAAGAAGCTGAATTTACCACAGATGATGATGTTTCCTCTCACTCATCACTGGCTGTTACTTCTTCAGCAGCCGACACAAATGGCAGTTTATCACCTCTTAAGGAGGTAAATGGTTTGTTTTAGTTTCTTTTAGGTGTAGCTATTGCTGTAGTCACATCCCTTTTAGGCTTTTTTTTTTTTTTCACTAATCATGTGTTTAGCATATTGGCATATGGATAATCCATTCTGGTAATGGCAATGATTGCAGAATGAGGCTGTTGCCGTGAATGGTAGTGCTGAAGGTCCAAAAGTTGGCCATAAACCAGACGCAAATACCATACCGGATGTGGAAAATGAATCCCATGTAGATTCGGGAAGAAATTCTTCTCGTTCCTCGTCAGTTGATTTGTCTTCTGATATTGCATGGATATCTAGAAGAATTATTTCTTCAAGCTTACAGTCCACTGCATTGGAAGAGACTGAGAAACACCAAAAGTCAAGCGTGCAAAGCAATGAACAAAGACAAAAGACACACGTAATACAGGAAAATATTGTAAATGGCGGGAGAGAAGCTGAACTTGAGCTTTGTCCTGAGCGAAGGATGCCCCACAGTCCTATTAACCAAGAAACTATTGCAGAGGCAGATCACCTGACAGATCCACCCTTGGATTCTGGGTTTAGCTGCTTGAAAGATGACAAGAATGCTACATCTGCTAGTGGTGGTAAACCACTCGTGAATGGAGGAACAAACCCTCAACAAAATGGTTTAATAGATTCTGAGACCAGAAAGGCACATGGAAAACATGCAGAAGAAGATAGGTTTGCGGAAGAGGAAGAGCAAAAAGATGAAACAGAGCCATTGTGTCAATTTTCCCAAGTCAGTATCCAAAAGGGTGCTGATTTGGGAAATGGTTTGCCTTCTACTACAGAGGGAAGCATTGCAATTCATAGTGGTTCCAATATTGACAAGTCAAAGCATGGGAAGTCAGTTAGATCATCAGCAGACTCAGGCAGGAGCAATGGATCAACTAGAAGCAATCATCCTTTTCCAACAGACACTCTTCGAGGTTCATCGATCAGCGAACACAGCGATGCTAAGGCATATAGAAAGGAAACACGAAACCTTATTTCTGATGGTAAAACCCAACATTTGGAGAATAAAATTAAACTCCTAGAGGGAGAGTTGAGGGAAGCAGCTGCTATTGAGATCAGTCTTTACTCTGTGGTTGCGGAGCATGGAAGTTCCTTGACCAAAGTCCATGCTCCAGCTCGTCGCCTCTCAAGACTGTATTTTCACACCATCAAACAAAATCCAAAATTAGGGAGACGAACTGCTGCTAAGAGCATAGTCTCTGGATTAGTTTTAGCTGCAAAAGCATGTGGCAATGATGTTCCAAGGTATGCTTTTTATTAAGTTTAATATGATCAATTACTGTTAGAATATTCTATTTACCTGTATTGATGATAGTGATTTATACAGATTAACTTTCTGGATGTCAAATTTCATAGCACTGAGAGTGATTGTGAACAAATCAATTGAGGGGTTTGGGTTGACTGCAACTGTTGGATCCAATGCTGGAAAAATGGACTGCAAAGATGTCAAGCATAAATCTTCATCGCTTAAATGGGAGTCATTCTCTAGTAAGATTACAAGAGGTGTTATTCGAGATAGTTTGGGTGATTGGGAAAGCCCTGAAACAGTTATAGTTGCACTGGAAAAGGTTGAAGCATGGATATTTTCCCGAGTAGTTGAGTCTCTATGGTGGCAGGTATCTGCAACTTAGATCATATCTTACTGAGCATCCATCTTTGACCTGTATCTAAGGTTTCTGGTTTAGAATAATTAGCATGTCCATGCATGCAAATTTGTTGGTTCTGACTGAATGAAAATCCTTTCAATAAACTGAGTCGTTATCCTGTTTTCTTTCTTCAGAGTTTTACCCCTCACATGCAATCTGGTGTTGCCACGCATTCAATTGACCAGCAGCAGGGAAGCTTTTCTCTGGAACACTGGAGAAAGGCTTTCAGGGATGCATGCGAAAGGATATGCCCTGTTCGAGCTGGAGGACATGATTGTGGTTGTTTGCCTGTGATGTCCAAACTGGTAATTTTTTACATCTTTTCCCTTTCATGACCACAACTTAAAGGATCCGGACAATTCCTTCTTTTGTAAGGCTAGCATTCTTACCATGAAATAAAGGTCTCCACAAAACCTGAATTAGCTTCTATGGAAAATCATGATAATGCAAAGCTGCATTGTTTCAAATTTATATATTCTACAAGCTACCCTTTCATATTGGGTAGACAGTGATCTAGCTCTTGAAATATTCCAGCTTTTGTCTTATTTTCTTTTCTTTTGCTTATTATAATGATTGGGCTGATATTGAATAATTTGATGGGTATGCATGCAAGCCCTTTTTACATATTGATGGTTTGCTGACTAGATAATGGAGCAACTGATTGCGCGGTTGGATGTGGCTATGTTTAATGCCATACTTCGAGAATCAGCTGATGAAATCCCAACAGATCCTGTAGCAGATCCAATTAGTGATGCTAAGGTTCTTCCCATTCAAACGGGAAAAGCTAGTTTTGGTGCTGGTGCACAACTTAAAAATGCGGTGAGCATTATATCTATGCACCATTTTTCACTTTAAGAACTCTATGCAATAAGCTTCAGTATAAGCGAGTGTGCCATTTCCTTTGATATATTTTCTATAGGTGTCAAATATTTAGTTACAGGCAGAAACCTTGAATTAGTGTTAACACAGCCAACTTTGTAAATATGTCAGATTGGAAATTGGTCCCGATGGCTTACAGATCTCTTTGGAATTGATGAGTGTGATGATGAAATGCTTGAAAATGAGAATCGCTCTGAATCTACTGCTGCTGAAGAGCCAAGATCAAATGATACATCACCAAAGCCTTTCCATCTTCTCAACGCTCTGAGTGATCTCATGATGCTTCCAAAGGACATGCTTTTGAGTCGTACAATTAGAAAAGAGGTTGAACAAGTGCTTAATGTGCTCTGCTTCAGATGGATAACTTACAATTTCACATCATCCCCTGCTCATAAGGATCTTGCATTTCTTTTTCCATTCTCTATATTACCAGGTATGTCCGACATTTGGTCCAACAATCATAAGAAGGGTTCTTAGCTTTTTCAGCCCGGATGAGTTTTGCCCTGACCCAATTCCTCAAGTAGTGCTCGAAGCCTTAAATTCAGAGGTTTGTGTATCTGCATTAAATTCGATTCAATTCTCTTGTGGCATGGTTATCTTTGATTACCGTTGGATTCACCCTCGTTGGTGCCACAGGATCCTTTTGATCCCCAAGAAGACTGCATCATGAGCTTCCCATGTGCGGCTACACCTATTGTATATCAGGCATCACCAGCATCAGCTCAATCTGTTGCTTGTATCTTTGGAGTTGGCAGGCACGGATCCTCAGTGCTGAAGAAATCACAGACAAGTGATGATGAACTAGATGAATTGGATTCACCCCTGAAAGGCATCATCTCCGATAGCTCCCGCTCCCAGTCATCATCACCTTCTTCAGTGAGGCTGAGTTGGACGTCCAAAGAGAATGATAAACAGCGCAGTAATGTCAGGTATAAACTCCTCAAGGAGGTCTGGAATGAGTAGCCAATTGTAAGGTAAAGGGCCTGGGACGCTGATGCCAATGTATTATATTATATATATATATGTACGTACGTATTAGGGTTAGGGGTTGCTTGCTATATATACATATCTATTGTTTTATTTTCATTCTTCTCACTCTGCACACTTGGTTGAGAATGCCATTGTAAGGTAAAGCTTAGCTATTAGCCAATTACTTCTGTTTCTACTCATTTTGTTTTGTTTTTGGTCAATTGAGCATTAGAAAAAACGGTCTTTTAAACATCACATTTTTTTAAGAAACCACACTGTTGCATCTATTGATCGAAGAAGAAAAGAAACAAAAAAACTGAATACCAAAAAAATATGATATTTATAATGCCGAGCACAGGTCTCTTTCTTTGTCCAGTCTTGAGGACTACTCCTGGCTAGGTTTACACTACTCTCCTACACAACCTCGTATCTCTCTCTAATACAAAACTGGATGCCAAAATTCATAAGAAAAAAAAATGAAATAAAAGATAAAAGATTCTCTCTCTCTCTCTCTCTCTAATTCTTACCACATTATATTGTTACGCTGTCAGCTTGTGCGATGAGATGTGCTGCAGATGCAATGCTGCCAAAAGACCTTGCCAGGCATCACCTGATCCACCACTCACTTGGACGTCGAGCAGCTTCTTCTGTTGTCTGTAATATTCTTCAAGAGGTTTCCTCTGAGAAACAATTACAAAGCTTGGTCTGTTACTATATGCATTCATTCTCAAGGCAAGGCCGCCTATGGTTAAAAATTTTGAGAACCCGACACATGTTGTTAGGGTGAAAGGTAGGTCACCTGTTCGACATAAAAGCGAAGTTTCTCCTCACAGATGGCATCTGGGTTGGTGCTTGGTATTTGAAACCGACCTGTCTGATGAGGCTGGACGCTGAAGTTAAATCCTGGATGGATTTCTCGAGAACATACTGCATTGCCTGCAGTGTTCTTGTTGGACAGAGGCTCCTCTGTGCGCTTGAGATTCAGCACCAGGTCTATCTCAGTTATTTGGTCCAGTATCTCCTGTAACAACAAAAATACAAATCCCATTGTGGGTATCAAATTAAGTTCCCTAGGCTAGCCCCGACAGAGATCAACAGCTAGGAAAACTTGGTGATATGCTAATTAATAACAAATGCCAAAAGCCCAGAACAAGAAGAAGATTCCCCCAGTCGTTATATGACCAGACCAGACCAGACCCGCTCAACTCAACACACATGTTCATTCCAAGGATATGATGTGATGCACAAACAAATTGTTCTTTTACCTTTCATAATCATGGATGACAAACTAAAACTATATTGGATACAATAACAAAGCATATCATTAACATACTTCAAAAAAATGAAACATATATTATAGTAAAATAAATGAAGACATGATATATAATGATAGTAAAAGAATGACGTACAGCCTGCATCCTTGAACGAGGAACTCCATCCAGAATGAACCCAGTTTCACCTTGGCGGTATCCTTCCTCCAATCTCTTTGATAAGAGCCCAAATATCACATCCTCGGGCACTAACTTGCCCTGGTTCACTGCACCAGCGATCTGTTTGCGAGTACATCAAAATTGACACTTTCAAATTTGCTTCCCTTTCCAAACAGAAAACGTAAACGGTGTGGAGAATACAATACAGTAGAGAGTTGTTCGACATTTTAGGGTGGAGGGGGTATCTATCAACCGCGCTAATTAAGATATGTATGTATGTATGTATAAGAAACCTGTTTATAGAGAGGAGAACGCGGGTCGAGTTCTTGTCTAAGGAGAGAGCCCATGGAAATGTGAGGGACGCCTAGAAGATTGGCGAGGCGGTGGGCGTAGATATGTCGCCTGACCGTTGGATCGCCCATGATGACCCACTGTATACCCCTCCCCACGGCTTCCCATCCGTTGTATTCCGCCATTACCATCCGCCGTGATTCATTCTCCTCCTCCTCCTCGTCGTAGTAGCAATCGTAATCAAGCTGAGCCCCGGCGGCTGATCCGAAGCCTCGCAGGCGCAAAGAAGAGGAGAGCTGGGCTGTGAGTCGGAGGCCGAGCCGGCTGAGCACTGACATAGCGGCGCAAGAAAAGAGGGAAAGAGAAGCGAGAGGTGGCGGAGGCGGAGGCGGAGAAGGAGAGGAAGGGTTTTGGAAGGACAGGCGTCGACCTGGAATGGAATCGATTAATAATAATCACAATTGCGATTTATTAGTATGTTTGCGCGTGCTGGGCTGGCTGGCTGACTTTGAGCCAGCCTGGGACTGACTTATATTGCCCCGGACGCTTCGGTTGTTCTCTTCTCTTCTCTTCTCTTCTCTTCTCCCCAAATTACCATTTCCCACGGCACCACACTACACTTGTAGTAGTAAGTAGTAACAACCCTAATATTGCACTACTAACTATAGCCACGAATTAACCAATTAACTAACCAACCAACACACACACACAACGGGTCGTATTATGATTATATTTATTATTGGGAATGGGGAGAGAGAAAGAAATAAATATATAATGGGCCTGGGCTGCATGTTCAGCCCAATAATTATATACAATTGGAGCGGGCCGGATGAGTTGGACCACACCCCGGCCCTCCCCGTCTTTCTCATCAGAACACTCAACTCACATTATATTCTATTTTTTACATTATACGAGTGTACTAGACTAGAACAACAACAATGACAGTAATAATGAATGAATGAAGTTTTGGATGATTTTTTGTTTATTATATACTCTAGTAAGCAAGCGATGGTACCATATATCATACTCCTCCTATATTAGTATTATTATTATATGGTCCCTGTCTTCTAGTTGAATGCCATCAATGGGAGGGCGTCGTATTTGTCTCCCTACTAGTAATAGTATAATCAATAATGAAGAAGAATGTGGCAGTGCCAGAGAGGGATTGCTAGCGTTGCTGTTTGCTAGTTACTTAGTAGTCTGTTCCAATAAATAGTAGAGATTATTAACATGAATATACACAGATAGACAGGACGGGAGGCGAGAGATGAGATGAGATGAGATGAGATGGCCATAGGCTGATAGATAGCCATGGCATCATCCAAATACTCATAAAATTTAAATATAAATTGAAAACCAGTCCCCTCCTTTTCACTTTTGCCTCTCTCTCCTAACAACTGCAGCTCCAGCAGCACAATAATGTCGTTATATAAACCCCAATAATTCAACTCCACAAGCTCCAGTCCACGTCGGCCTGCCTTTCAAAATCAAACCCCAACCCCAACCCCAACCCCATTTTCGAGATATTTGTTTTAGACAAGACGTGAATCAATTTGGCCTTTTCGATGTATGTGAGGATGATGGGATTGATTCTTGATATCCATCAAAATAACTTCTTCAAAGCACGTATCATCATCGTCGTCGTCCTCGTACTCGAAATCTCCTCTCTTCTCTTCTTGTTAACTACTCCTTCCTTCCTGCTACTTTCATTCATTTACATCTACTCATTCACTCACTCACTCACTGTAATACTACTACCAGTAATGCCTCACCCTTGTCGTTGAGCCACACCCCACCCCACGCCACCCCTCCCCTCCCCCGGCCCTTCCTACTCTCTACCACACCCTTGCCCTTGCCCTGCCATGAAGTTTCTTCTCTCTGTCGTGCCTAGGAGCGACAAGAAGATTTCTCTTCCTTCTCGGCCGGTCCATCCCCATGGAGATTGCACGCCTCGCCTACTGCTCAACTCTCACCAACCCGCGCCCGGTACGGTACCGTGCCTTCATCTTCTACTTTCACTTTCTCGTTTTTTTAACTTTTTTATTTTATTAATTTCCACCCCCTTCTTCGACTGTCTATCTGCATTGTACTCCACATATATTCGATCCTTAGCTTCGCGTGGAACTGTAACCTCCTCTTGCCATAATTTATTTTATGCTACATCTCAAGTTTTCGCCCGCCCTCGCGGATACTGTCTGTGCTTTGCAGCCTATATATGCCTTTTCTGAGGGGTAATCTAACTCAAACTGAGGCGAGCATACATACATACATGTATGTTTCGATTGAGTAGTTGATCGCGGTATGCCCAAATAATCGAGCTGAGCTTTAAAGTTACTTTCTTTCCCAGGATAATTGTTAGGGCCTGAATATTCGTTCTCATTATACTGTTAATTCATTCCGTTTTGCAGAATCTATTGATTAATTAAATCAAGTAGCAACTATGGTGATGGGATTTAATTAATCCATCAATGACATATGTTGACTAATTGGCATTGGCCAAGTGAGTCTTGCAGTTTCTGTTCTGTCATGAAAGTCACACCTATGATTTTTAAGATGCAATGCCGTGTATAAGATTTGTCTGTGCTTTGCTTTGCTTTGATATACTAGTCGTTATAAACTTATAGCAGTTGAACAATTAATTATTGCATCAGAAAAGTTCAAGGGACTGACCATCTAGCTACCTGCTCCAAACTTGTTAGTGGATGTTCGTATTTTTATTAGTTGTCTAGTTGCTAATAATACTTAATGTAATCTATAAAACAATATTTGTTTTTTTTTAGCCAGCCATCCATCCGCCAAAAATTTAATATCATCAGATATCGTCCCCCTATATTCATTCATTCATTCTCTTTCCATGAGTATGATGGATCCGATGTGTTTTCTCTATTATACTGACTGAACCTGTTTGTTTGTTTATGTATGTATTGGAACTCATTCTGTCCTTTTTACATGAACTTGGGGGTGGTCAATTTTCTGTTGGAAATTGCTCTGTAACTCAATCTCCTAAGAAAGGGGGGATGGGGGTCGGGTCACCGATGGCATTTGAATGTAGAAATAGGTGGATAGAAGGATTGGATTGGATTGGATTGGTTGGTGCAGGCTATGGCTATCTACATCTGGATTACGAAGATCTGTGTATGGCATTCTACTTGGGATGCTAATGGTATTATTCTGAGATATACGTATGTGTTCCAATAATATTTTGCAGGTAGCAAAGATGAATCCTTCTTTGATTCACAACCTTGGTTGGAGTCCGACTGCGAGGATGACTACTTGAGTGTTAAAGGAGGTAAGAGCTGAGCCTGCCTGCCTGCCTTTCTACACTTCACTCAAGATTTTTTCTATTAGTGTTTTTTCTTCCAATATCAATATATCCTTAGTTAATACTACCTTTCAGTACGTGGGATGATAAAGAGACAAAAATAATGTGCAGTGCATTGTTCTGTCTGATATTGGGAATAGCAGAGGCAAATCATAGTTTCTTTCACTCGCTCGTGTGTTTATAATATAATACTAGTATTTTCTGACAATAGATCAATAATTCATTCTCCTCCTTTTGCTGGAGCCTTGGGGAATTCAGTGTTGTAGGTAGAAAGAATAATATGCTGATAAATCTCATGGCCTATGCACTGGTGGATGGTGATTATGATTCATAGATACATGCCGTGGCTTTTGGCTGATTATTGATGGAATGTGCTAGCAGGCTAGCTAGCTGTTCATTCTCTGCTACATTGCATTGGTTTATTTGGTTGGTTTGGGTTGGCATGCATGGCATAACTAACACTATTCATTCATTCCAATTTGCAGAGTTCACCCCATCGCGTGGAAGTACTCCGGTTCATCATAGCTTCTCTTTGGGAAATGGAAATGTGAATCTATTGGTAAACAAAGGAATTGGAAATCCGTCTCCGGATAAAAGGAAAAGACTCTCGGAATTGTTTGAGGAGAACGTCTTCCATGGGGAATTTGCTTCAGCAGACAACAAAGGTGAGTGTGAGAATGAGGCGGGGGAGGAGGCTCCTGCAAGAGTGGTGCCTGAGCCCACCACCACCATCACCACCACCACCACTGATCCAGATCTAGGCAATCAAGAACCCAAATCCACATATTGGGAGTCTCCTACTCCTACTCCTCCTCCTCCTACTACTACTACTACCACTACCCCCAATAATAATAATGATAGGGCAGGGGCAGGGTACAAAACTGGGAAGGCGAAGATGAAGGCACAGTGTTGCCTTCCCAGCTTGAGGCGGCTTCCCATCATCTCGAAAGAAAAGAAAAAGACCAAAAAGAGCCCATTTTCCAGTCCCAAGCAGGACAATCATTGAGAGGCCCCCTCATTTTTTGGTGATTGAGTTGGTTGGTTGCGGACCGTTTGTTATGCGTGTAGTGTAGTTCAGCAGCCATCCCCATCCCAGCTCCGGCTATATGCATGCGGATGAACCAACCCAACATACTACTAGCAACTACTACTACTACTACTAATACTATATAATATGCATGTATATATACATATATAAGCTATGGATGAGGAAGAGAAGCCTGTCTCTACTTAATTGCTGGTCTGGTTAGTGGCGCTTAATTAATGGAATTAAGAAGAATTTACTTGATACAAAAAAAAACACATTGACAGAAGATGAAGATGTATGATGGAGGATGAGAGTAGCTAATTAATTAATACTAGTATAATTAAGCCTAATTGATTAGGCACAGTGTGTGTTTCTTCTGTTCTTGTATAACCTGGACAATTGCTTGCTTGCAGGGGCGGCATCAGATCAGAGGAATGTGATCGTAGTATATATGTAATGTATATACATACATACATGAGTAGTGGTTGGGTGCAGATAGATGGTGATGCATGCATGGTCGATATTACGGGTTTATCTGTCTGTCTATCTGTCTTCTGGTGATACCAACTACTTTTTATACATATCTATTGAATTGAATTGAGGTTGAAGGAAAGGAACTGGCCTGGCCCACTCCACAAAGTTGACTTAATTTCAAAGCCAAGATAAACTAAACTAAGCTAGGGAGATTCGTGCACGTGCACGTACACACGCCCTGTAGGCTGTATCTGTATGTGTCCCGACCCTACCAGAATAATAAATAAAATAAAAGTTAAGTAGCTTAGCAGGCAGGCATATATAGTTATCGTAGTCAAATTCTAATCATCCAACAGAGACCGACCGACTGTGATCCTACCTTACTTCTTCCTCCTCCTCCTCCTCCTCCCCCTCGATCAATCAAGTTTAGTTAATTTCTAAGCAAGATTGATTATTGGACATTATTATTATTATCATTATTAATTGGAGGAGGTTAAATCACCACCACCATCCTCACCTTAATTGCATTCACAGATACAAGATACAATATGTATGTATTTTAAAGCCCTCCAGCTGTTGTTACGTCAGTAGCCTTGGAGTTGAAGAAATCACTTGTATTGTGTATATATATATATATATATAGATAGAAGAGAAAACATTGAAGGAGGGAGGCGTATATATGTAACTTGCTACTACTCCACATTATCAGATCAATTAGTTATATTCGCGTGCTGTTGCCTCTGCATCCTCTGCATACATACATTTACACACAGTAGATCAATTCGAAGATTGGAGTAGTGGCAGATAGAGTTAAGCGCATATATATATATATATACATATTACTTATTGTTAGAAATGGGCGGGGGGTATTATAGTAAACGTAAAATTGGTGGCATCATAGTTGCAGCAGTACTACTTCTGTTCGGATCAGAGACGGCTGTAATGGCAGCAAAGCATGTTGTGGGGGGAAGCTCAGGTTGGGATGAATCCACGGATTTCAACTCCTGGGCATCTGCTCAGACCTTCAGAGTTGGGGACGAACTAGGTAAATTATATTCAATTCAATTCAATCCAATCCACTACGAATTCAATTGATAATTTGAATGATTGGTTGGCAATGGACAGAATTCAAGTACAGTGCGGGATTGCACAGCGTGGTGGAGCTGGGCGGCGAAAGCGCATTCAAGAGTTGCGACGTTGGCGGTAGCGGCCTCAAGTCGTACACCGGGGGGAGCGACACCATTAAGCTGACCAAGACGGGCACCCGCTACTTTGCGTGCGGGACGTCCGGCCACTGCGATCAGGGGATGAAGGTCAAGATCACCACGGTGGCCGCGGATGCACCGCCCACCTCATCCACCACTCCTACTACGAGTACTAGTTCTAGTACCACCCCACCGGCTGCATCTTCATCTTCATCTTCATCGGCTTCTTCTCATCACTTAATTCAGTTTAATATGGGTTCTTTGGTCTTAATTGCCAGCAGCCTGATTGCCACCTCTTTGCTGCTGCCCTGAGTTTATATACGTTTTATTCCTTCCTTGATTAATTGCGCTTCCGATCTAGATAATATCTACTCGTACATGATATATATGCATGCATTTATCAGAGTACGCGTGTGTGTGGGGTTCCAATATTAGCTGGCCTTATTTCATTTGTTAAATGCGACATTTTGTGCCTACCTGCATGTCTGTCTGAGTTGGGGGATGAATATATATAATTCAAAGTTTTGTTTTGTCGCAGTGCTTAATTTTCTTCAGGAATTCAATGTAATACCAATACTGACATGTAATACTATATTAATTAAATATAGTAGGCTTTCACTCTTATATCCGAGAAGAAGTTTTCACAATTTGTTTGATATGAAACTGCAATATTCCATATGATTACCGTGCATTATATGTGGATACACAGACAGACACACACGTTGCTTTGCTATGAATCTGGACTAGAGCAAAAGCCAAAAAATAAATAAAAAATGATTTTGTCCCAACCAACAAGAAGAGAGTATGGGTGAAGGTGATGAAGAGAATGATGATGACAAGAGTAAAGTAGCCTGGACGGGATGGGATGGGATGATCAATGCTTCTTGGACCTCTGAAGCTGTGGGAATGCACTCAGAATATTGTGGGCAATCAAGTCCTGCCTCGTCAAAATTCCCAGCACCAGAGGAACCTGCAGTCAAGTCATGTATATATATATATATATACCGAGAATGAATGAATGAATGAATGGAATTAGTTAGAGAGGAGACGATGAGAATTGATTGTAGTGATCACTCTCTCTCTCTCACTCTCACTCTCACAGACTCACCCCTGGAGACTGAGGCTGAGGCTGGTAGTTGGGCAGAATGAGCATGTGGCGGAGCCCCACTTGCCTGAACAGCACCAGCGCCTTCGCCACCGACATGCTCTCCACCACCGTGTACGGGGTCCTGTTCGTCAGCGGGTGCAGGTCCACGTACATCCCCATCTCCCTCTTGCCCACCGTCACCTCCACCTGCTCGATCGTGTTGCCCCTCTCCGCCAGGTCGATCGACGTGAACTTCTCCCTCACCTCCCACTCCTCCGTCCGCCGCCTCTCCGTAAGGAACCACTTCTTCTTCAGCGCCAGGACCAGGTGCGCCCGCAGGATGATCCCGTGCAGCTCGGCGGCGCCGCCCTCGTCGTCCACCACGGGGAACCCATTGTGCGTCGTGTTCCGCAGCACCTCCACGATCCTGCCCACCTTCTCGATCCCGCTGAGCGTCACCACCGACGGCTTCACATCCGCGAGCTCCCCAACCGTGATGTTCCGCATCCACGGCTCCGCGTGCGCCTCCAGGAACGGCAGCCCCTTGAGGTCCAGAATGATCTCGTAGATGCTGGGGTTGAAGCAGTCCCCCACGGTCTTGGCGAGCAGCAGGACCAGCATGGTTATGGGCAGCAGCAGCAGGTTGTTGGTGAGCTCCAGGAATATGACGCAGAGCGAAACCGTCATCCGCATGGAGCCCGCCATGAGCGAGGCCGCCCCGAGAACCGCGTAGAGGCCCGGGTCGATCTTGGTGTAGGGCCCCATGGCAGCCCCCAGCATGCGCCCGTAGGCCGAACCCATGAGGATGATGGGGAGGAAGAGGCCGGAGGGGACGGCGATGCCGAATGTGATCAGCCCCAACACGCAGTAGAGCGCGAAGAAGATCGCCAGGGACACGACGCCGAACTCGCCCGGGGTGTTGACTGAGAAGATGTTGCGCACCGCATCGTCGTTGGTGGTGTGGAGGAGGGTGGCCAGGTCGTTGTAGTACCCCGAGGGGCAGTTGAACTGCTTGAAGTTCCCGGCGCGGTCGTTGGTGGGGCAGGAGCGGTCGGCCAGCAGGGACGGATCGCAGGGCCGGCACTTTGCGAGGAACGGGAGCGCGTACAGGCATACGGAGGTGAGTAAGGACACGCTCAGGGCAAGGACCAGTTTATGCGCTTTGCCCTTCCTGCAAGAAAACAATAAAAAAAATGTCAAAAATCATGATCAACGTAGCAGCAGCAGCAGCCTGCTGCACCAATCTCATTGACATTGACAGTAGTGGCATTCTCCTTGAGTAGCTTACTCGTTTATAACGTTGTAGACCTTGAGGACCTTGTGAAGCACGTAGTTGTAGAGACTTCCCAACAAGCCGCCGAGGATTCCGATCACAACCACAGGGACAATGTCGACGGCATGGTATCTCACAGAGACGCCACTCACATCGAACATGATCAGCCCCCCCCTGCCAAACAGTCCACAGTCCCCGGACTTGCAGATTTCCATGGCAGCCCTGAGCACCACCACCACCACCGCAGTACTGAAGAAGGTCCTCCACAGGAGAGCACTCCTCCACCACGTAGCCACCTCCTCCAGAGCAAAGAGGACGCCGCCGACCGGGGCCCGGAAAGCCGCACACACGCCCGAAGAAGAGCCGCACGTTATCAGATCACGCCGGTCCCTATCATTGTTGAAGTAGCGAAGCCAGCGCCACCTGATCCGGTACTTGTCGGGCCCCCCTTGCCCCAGCAAAGAAGCGATGCAGGCCCCAATGTGCACAAGAGGCCCTTCTTTTCCAAGATCCAAGCCAGCAGAGACAGCTCCAATGCTTCCCACGATCTACCATGCACCAATCACCGCACCATCGTTTAATGTAATTACTACTACTTGATGCCATTTTGTTAAGGTTAATTATGATCATGAATCCAAGATAGTCATAGCCATAGTCATACAACAGCTATGGAAATGCCCGCACCTTAACCATCAATGTTGTGGCCCCGAACATATTGGGGGTGTCGATTCCGTTGAGATAAGCTTTTATTTCGGGAATTCCAGGGCCCGCTGCAGTTGGAGCAAAGCAAACACAGAGGATTGCAGCAACCAGCGTGAGAAGAAAATTAACTCCGGTCATAAAGAAGAGTCCCATTATGTATCTGCGTGCATTGAGTTGCATATGATGATGATGATGCTACTCAAAACACCATATTTATTGAGAAACATAGGTACCTTTCTTGTTCAATATATTTGACCACGGCAAGATGTTTGTATCCAGCAATGTTTTCAATGGCAAGATTGATGAGAGTTGCTATCAATCCTGTGAGAAGCCCAACTAGGAATGCCAGCAACCACTTCAAGAATATATACTGCAACACTTGGACTTTGGATCTGCTCCTCCAGTCTTGCTTAAACAGATCATTCTCGTTTATCCTGAATGAATGAATGAATCTCATTGTTGACGTGTATAATCAATTAATTCAATGAGCTACGCAATTGTAAAGTATAAATACGATCTATGGATCGATCGGATTCGGTAGAGAAAGTAATAATGTACAGCAGAAATCTTGGAAGGACTAATTAATGGGTGGGTGAGGTCAATTGGTCTTACTCATAGTCCAAACTCTCAATGTAAGAAACCTTTGCTCCAACTATGGCGAGTGGACTGGAAGAAAGCGTCCTGCTGCGTTTGAGGAGAGGCTGTTGGAGATCGTTGCTTTCAGGATCAGGATCAGGATCAGGATCAGGATCGGCGGCAACTTCCTCGACCGATCTGTGGATATTATTGGAGGCTGGCTCAGCAGCGGCTTCCACAAAGCTGTCGAACTCCTTCTCCTCCTCCATGGGAAAGAAGGAAGGTGGAGGTGAGGAGAGGACGTGTTCCGACGGACTTGGAAGAAGATGAGATGAGATGGGATGAAAAAGGCAATTGGCAGGCAGGTGACGCGTGACGGCCGCCCGACGGGATATTAATTGGTTTGTGTAGTTGATAGTTGTAGTTGTGGCTGTACAGACAGACAGACAGACAGAATAAGGCCTAAATTCAGAAGCTTTCTAGTGTGTAATGCTTGCTTATATACGGTGGTGGTGGTGGTGGTGGTGGTGGTGGCGGCGGTGGTGGCGACGAGAAAGGGAGATGAAATCAAGAAAAGATAGAAGCAACAGAAGAGAAGAAGGGTGGGTGGAGTGAGTAAGTGAGCTGAGCTGAACTTGATTAGAGAACCAATTAACTTCCATAACACTACATTACATTACAGTACAACAGTACAACACAACACAAGGCTTCCTTTGCTTCATCCATCAATTGCATAAATACATACAATTCATACGGTCATCCCATGCCATTGCAATAGTAAGTATTTTGGAAGCTGGAAGTTGGAGGAGGTTGTATGCTTTTTAGTAGTAGTAGTAGTAGTAGTAGTAGGAGTATCATTTTTTACTCAATCGGAATTGATTTGATTTTGAGGTGCCAGATCAGCGGCATGGATGGGGCTTGCAGTTGCAGTTGCAGTTGCAGATCCAACGGCCCACGAACAAACGACCTTTCGCATACTTGATAGGCCATTTATTATCCAGATCTATCCATCTATATAAATATTATTCGTAAATTTATTTTATTCCCTGTCTATGTTATCATTAATTATTATTTAAGGTGGCAAAATTAGCTGAGGTCTAATGACAGTTCCTAGTTATTGATATGTTCGCTCATCACATTTTGAACAATCACACGTTATCTATGTATATATAAATATCTATTAAGTCCCAAGAGTTAAATCGACTACATCCATTCAAATTTTATGTTTCATTCCAATATTTACAAGGAATTCAGTTATATTGACATGATACATTTATTTTTATAGAAAATACAATTCAATTGAAATAAAATATGATTCAAAAAATAAATTTGAAATAAGACTTAACAATAAGAATTAAGGATGTATTGGGCTTGTACTTGAGACCAAAATTATTATTATTCAATCTTTACAATTTTCAAAAATACATATATACAATCTAAAATAAAATATTACGATAAAAATAATATTTAAATTAAAATAAAAACACAAATTGAAAAGGGAAAAAGGCAGTGATGGCCCCACCCCACCGGCCATGCATTAAGAATACGACATTGAGAGAGGCATGTGGCAATTGCAGGAACAAAGAAAGAGAATAAGATGGCCAAAATGGAATCAGCACCAGTAACAACAACAACAATAATAATAATAATGAAGATTAAGATTAAGATTATTGTTAGGGTGCCGCCCATTTCTGATTTAAGTAAGCAATCAAATTTCATTTCATGGGTTTCCTGTGATTGTGGGACAACCCTTCCTGTACGTGCCTCTCTACTCTATCAGGTTTATTGCTGTTGCTAGATGAACAAGTCGTCATGTTAATCATACATGATGCATCATCTATCATCGTCATATCTGATCTGATCTGATTGAACAAAGTAGTAAAGTACTGCAGTGATAGTACATTATCGAATCAATCACGTGGAAGGAAGGAAGGAAGGAATTAAGGAAGCCCCAGCCACGTCCTCACCCTTCTCCCATCCCCATACTTGATAGTTGTTGATAGTACTAGTAGTTAGTTAGTTAGTGTATATATACTATTGATCAGACTCACAGTATATACTTCTTTCCAATCCTATATTATCTTAATTACAACAAATTCTTTCTGAGAACTGAGAACTAACCAACCAACTGGATTTATCAGCATATATTGCTGACGTGTTGCCTGTTTTGTGCAGAGAAGACAAACTGAAATGTATGTATCACATCACACCACACCACAGATTTCTTGCACCTTACTTGGACAGACTTACAATTTACAATCACAATCACAATCACATGGATCTGATCCGGGTGATGTTTTGGACCATTCTATTCTATTCTTTTCTTTTGGGTTTGGGCTTGGGCTTTTAAGCTTTGATTCACAGTCCAATAATACATGTGGTGTGATTAGTGATCAAAATGATTCAGACAGACAGATAGATAGATAGATAGAGGGCAAGAGAAGCAGCGTAGCAACGCATCCATCACAATGCTCTCCCTCACTCTACCAGTACAACCTACTCATCATCATCATCATCGTTACCGATTCTTCCTCTGCTGCTGGCTGCTGTGAGTTTTGGTCCCTACCCAATTAGCACTTAGCAGTCAACAACATGCTATGATTTGATTATTAATTATACTAGTATAGTGTGGTGGTATATTAGTATGCTGCCGCTATTGGTGTGACTTGGGACACAGTCAGAAATGCAATGCAAATCCCCAATCACTAAACAAACTGCAGAGAGGATGGATGGATGGATGGATTCTGGAGAGACAACGCATTACTTTTTGGGGATTATTAAACAAAAAGAGATCAGTGGAAGTTTAAAGAACACGACACACACACACACATATATATATATATATACAAGAAAATAATAATTAAAAAAAAAAAAAAAAAGTAGAGTAAAGAAGAAGAGGCGGTGAGTCATCAATTCATTCGTTCGTTCCACTCTCGAGGGCTGTGCCTGTAACAGTGCGACACGATTCCTCCTCCTGTAATCCTGTTGCTGCATCATCTCTCTCTCACCCGTCACCACCCACCAACCTAATTAAATAAAAAAATACGAATAAGTTCATCCATCTTCAAGAAGAATAATTAAATAATAAATAAAGAAACAAGGCCTCTTTACCGAGTAGTACGCCCCGCCAAAGCCAATGCCAATGCCAATGCCAGCCATCCCGCTTGACTAGAGAGATTAGATTTAATATTCATTCGTTCCATCCTCCCCCATTACAATACAATAATAAATTCCCTCTCTCTCTCTCAATTTCAGCATCCAGCAGCCACCAGCACCGCCACCACCATCAGCAGCAGCAGCATAAGTATATTCCCCCACTCAAACTGCCAACGGACGAACCAACCAACCAACCAGCAAAAGACGCATTATCTTATCTGACCATCCATCATCCAGGAAGCAACCATCCGCAAGTCTCCTGCTTCCCCGAGATTCAAGACCCGACCCCATCCTGTCCCATTCAATACTTGTTTATTCATGCAAGGGTCCCAGACTCCTATGAATCCACCTCCCAGCTGCCCTTCCGCCGTTACTGCTTCCCTGTTGTTGCCCCCAATCCCAATTCCAAACCCCAACCCTAACCCTAACCCTGCACCTCCATTTCCCTATAATACATACATTTTTCCTTGGGTATGATTCTTCTACCTTGTTTAATCATACCAACTTTCCGGACATTTAAAATTTGTGAAGCTCTTGGCTTTTTATACAGTACAATGCTTTTCCTCTCCATAATTCTTGATATTTTGTTGGTGCGTGTATTTCTCTCCTCCTCTCTACTTACCTTTTTCCCTTCTTTCTTGTATACTCGGTCGAACAACTGAAAGATGTTTCCATAGCTGGTTTGTGATGTGTTGTATTGATTTGTTCCCCTTGATGTATTTATTGTCTCTTATGTGGTATGAACTTTCTTTTGGGTGTTTTTAAAGTAGGGCGCCGCTCCATGATTTTTGGAGCAAATTTCATCTCCTCCCCTGCCCAAACTCTGTGACATTTTGTTTCCTAATATTCATATTGTTTTGTTTACAGATATATATATTTTTTTACATGCTTTATTTATTTAGATTAAAATTTGAAGAATTGCTCTTGTTTGGAATTCCTGTTAGATCAATGGCTGAAGGGCCCATCATAGGTGATGAAGAGGAAGAGGGTAGTTTTGATCAACAAGATCTTGGACTGGATTTGAACCTTAGTTACAGTGGCTGGCCGACCACCACCCTTGACATATCTTCTTCCCCAAGAAGGATTAGGATGTCGGAGAATGGTGCTAGAATCTACCCATCTGATTGTGCTAGCACTGAAGGTTTGTCCAACGAAGGACCTCAGGATGCAGATTATTCCGTTTCATCTCTTAGCTACGAGCTAGAGAGCCTAATTTTCGCGAGATTCCCAAGATCCGAGAATTGGAAGTTATGCTTGGTGAACAAGAGGTGCCTGTCACTTTTAAAAAGCGGGGAGCTTTACAGTATCAGGCGGGGCATAGGATTCACAGAGCCGTCTGTTTTCATGTCTGGAGCTGGCCAAAGTAGTTGGTGGGCATTTGATGGTGAATTCCAATCCTGTAGGAAGCTTCCCCTTCTCCCTTCCGATCTTTGTTTTGCTAATGGAGACAAAGAATCACTGAGTGCTGGCACTCATCTGCTTGTTTCTGGCAAAGAAATTGAAGGTCTTGTAATTTGGAGGTATGAACTTGTGAAGAACAAATGGTACAGAGGCCCGTCAATGATCACCCCGAGATGCCTGTTTGCATCAGCAACGGGGGGCAGCTGTGCCTATGTGGCCGGCGGGATGGCGTCGGGGCTGGCGGGCGGAGTCTTTAACACTGCTGAAAAGTATAACCCCGACAACAGATCATGGGTGCCGCTTCCCCGGATGATAAAGAGGAGGTATCTTTGCGCGGGATGCTACATGGACGATAAGTTTTATGCAATCGGGGGGAGGAACGAGGATGGGGAACTGACTTGTGGTGAGTTCTTTGACGAGAGGGAGAACAGATGGGAACTGATACCAGACATTCTGAAAGATGATCCAGTGAGGTCGTCCCAGTCACCACCCCTCCTGGCTGTGGTGAACAATGAGCTGTACTCGCTGGAGGCGTCTTCGAACCAGCTGAAGGTGTACTTGAAGAAGACCAACACGTGGAAGCAGTTGGGGGCAGCACCAGTGAGGGCCGACAGCCACCGGGGCTGGGGGGTTGCGTTCAAGTCGTTGGGGAAACAGCTCCTAGTCATAGGAGCATCTGCTGCTGCTGCTGCTGCGGACCACATGTCCATATACACCAGCTGCCCTGATCCAAACTCGACTGAACTGCAGTGGAGACAGCTTGACAGTGCTGGGAATTGCCTAAGCCACTTCATCTTAAACTGTTGTGTTATGGTGGCATAGATATAGGTCTATGTCCATTTTACCCATTAGCCAGCCATCTATGTTATGTAATATAATGTGATGTTTCTTCTGTTAGCTGCCTGCCTGCCATGGAGATGGAGCGGGACGTATTTATAATTTATGGTTGTTTCTTCATGATCGTGTTATGAATACCTACCTACCGGCTACCACTGAGCTGCTGATTCACTAATCATATTCCAAGACTTGTCCCTACATAGAGAGAGTGCTAATGCTCGCCATTGAAGACAGTACAGTACTCACACCCACACCCACACCCACACCCATCGGCAATAGGAGCTGCGGGCTTTTAGCAACTACTCCCCATTCGTCATCCAAAATATTTTCTGACATCTTATCGATTAATATTATATATATATATATACATATAATTTATTCATTTAAAAAATCAGCCATTCAATTAAAAAAATATATATTTATATTAAAAATAATATAAATTATTATTTATTTTAAATTTTCTAATACTTTTTAAACATTAAAATTTTAATATATTACCTTATAAAATATTGAGACAATCTTAAGTAATTTTCTATAATTTTAATTTAACAAAGATTATATCACTATTAATATATTAAAAATAATTCAAATATTTGCGTATCTATATTTGAATGAACAATTTGAATGAAATTTCAATTTATTTTATAGTAAAATAAAGAATTTCACATTATTTTTACTTTTGATGTGATATATATATATATAAAAATAAAGAATTAAATATAATAATTCAAATTTATAAAATAATACTCGTTCTATATATTATATTCACGCTGCCGTTTATGTTATTTTTTTTTAAAAAAAAATAATTACTTATTTTAATTTTATTTTAAATTTTTTAAAAAATTTTAATTAAACTAATTAATTATTTAAAATAATATACAGAGAAAATAAAAAGTTATTTAAAATTTATACTACCAACGTCAATCAAGGGTTCCCTCACACACAAACCTATAGGCGGCAGCGACTCGAGAGGGAGAAAGGGGGAGAAGAGAATGGAAGAGAGGTTCGGCCCCTGTGCAACTCGATACTGTCGAGCGACGGCGACGGTGTTGGTGATCCCAGTCTGTATTCGTTCTCGAATTCTTTTTATGAAAACATAAGAATGTGGCGGTAAGAAGCGCTAGGCGACGGCGACGGCGATCGAACCCTAGTCCATGTTTGAATTCCTATAAATCATGTTCCTAATTTCAATCCAGTTGTGTTGACAGTCCAATTTCAATCCAATTATCTCGGACTCTCTTCGTCTTTGGCTTGGCCTCGGAAACCCTATTCCCGAGGGGAATGGAGGAGGAACTGTTGGTGGGGGCATGACAAAGGGGGACTTCCTTCCCTCCGCAAAAGTCCCCGGCGATGGAGTGTACTCGTGTTCTACTGTCAAACAAGGGAACATTGAAGCATTTGTCATTGCAAAGGGTGTTCATACCTTCATTGGGAAGTCTGCTCCCTTGGTTGACTCTACTAACCAAGTGAACAGTTTAAAAAGGTGAGTACCTGTAATGAATAAACAGATTTGTTTTCTGAATTACATCTTGTTGTGTTTCTTTCTTGATCGCTTCAATTCTACGGTTGTTTTTAGAAATGCCACACTTTTCTCACAAACTGCTGTTGCATGGCTTTGAAGGTCTTGATTGCGATTGCGACTTTCTGCATAGACTCTATTGCTGTGCGATTGGTGGTTGAGATCATTGTGATGTACGCTATTCAGCACCGACAATTCACTTATTGTCCAGCAATGGGGTAGTTTCTTGTGCTTCTCACTTGGAGAAATTCCTACTGCAATGTCAACCGTATTGTCTATTAATATGACAATTAGTTCTCATCGTCTGTCTCAAGAGGTAGTGTTCTACCTACTTTTTGGGATCTACATTTATTTAGCTATAATTTCAGAATTTACTTTCTTAAGTTACAATTTTTGTTAGTTACAGTTTTGTTATTAATATCTCCGGAAGTGATAGCTAAAAGAATGACAACAATTGAAGAAATGAATGGTATGGATGTGCTCTGCAGTGATAAAATTAGAATTTTGACATTGAAGAAAACTAGAGTGTTGAGAAAATCATTATTGAAGTCAAACTCTGTTTGCAGTTAATATATCACACTGCATTCAATTATTGAATCCTGTTTGGATCTCTGAAAAACAATTGTAACTCTTTGCAAAAGGAGTTGATCCAGATACTGTTGTTTTAATGATTGCGGGAATATCTCAATTGGAAAATCAAGATGCTATTGATGCAGCAGTGGAGGGGATGCTTGCTTTGATACGAGTGATTTATTTATGCCCTTCGTAAAATCTTCTATATTTTGTATCTGATGTTGGCCATCTGTATTTATATTACATGATGCATCTCTGAATTTGATATTGTGAACTCCATATGGGGTTATCTTATTTATATATCAATTTCCCCTCTGAAAAAAGATTAAACTAGAACAACTGGATGAATGCACCTTTGAAGCTCGATGCCCTTATCATTGGGGGATCTCTTTTGCTGTCCTTGGTATCGTAATTGGCTGTGTTGTTGTAGGTTCTTGAAGCTTGATGCCCTTGCCATTGTTGGGGCCATCCCTTTTGTTGTCCTTGGTATCATAATAGGGTGCATTGTTATAGGATCCAGTTTCCTGGAATTTTCATATGTTGTATTTGAATTGTGAGTGGCACCAAATGCAGATGCAGAATGTTGCAGATGGAAAGTGCCTTGCAAGGTAAATTCCTTTTTGTTAGACGATAGTATGAATTGGATAGTTTTTCCATTGTTGAATAACCTTTATTATACTTAATATTATTTCCTATATAGAAAATGTACTTGCCCTTCAGGTTTTATCTACTTTGGCCATCAAGCTGCAAAGTAAACAATTTCATTACTTTTATGTAGTAGTTTTAATGGCTGTTGGCATTTCTGTAACTTTAAATGAGGTTTGTAATACCACCTCCCACCCCCCCTCCTTTTTTTTTTTCTTTTCTTTTCTTTTTTTCTCTTTAATCAATTTTGCACTTTCACATTGCGCTCTGCAGCATAGTTTTAGTTGCTTCTGTACTATATTTGCCAATTCACTATTAGTTGATCTCATCTTAAATATCCCAAGGATTTGAACATGGCATGCCGTACTTAAACATATTATCGTATTGAATTTCCTGAAGCTCCCCGGCTTGCTACCCATATTACTACACTATGTTCAAGAAATACCGTCTGATTAATGAACATCTTTAATTCTTGCAGGTGATTCATGCTGAAGAGATGGCTACATCCAAGCTTATGCAATTTGGCATTATGAAAAATATGTGATGCAGTTCAAGCATGGCCAAACAAGGTAGAAAGTGTGAGGACATCTAATTGGTTAGTTTTTCAGCCACTCATTGCCTCCTAACATGTTTTTCATTTCTTCTTCTCTTTTCAGATAAAGATCATGGTGTCATCCTATTACCTTGGGCTTGTTGGAAGCATTCTGAAGTGTACACTTTCGTGAAGATAATGAGCTTTAGGTTTAATTTTAAAACGTTCCACAAATGGATAACTGCATACTCTCAAACCTCCCTCCCCCAAAATAGATGTATGTTTTATATGTTGCGCATATAGATATGTATAATCTTTTGGGTGTGCCTAATCCTAAGTTTTTACCTTTCAGGATATATATGGTTTGCTAAGGCTAGGTGTCTATGCTGACAATATTTCTGATCATGATTCTTCCCATCTGCCTCAGGTGGTTGATCTACATATTGGATTAGTTTAAGAATTTTGTTTTTAGACCTGTCAGGAGTTGTAAGTGCTGTAAGGAGTTGCGTTCTTCCAACTCTAACCAAGACCAAGACCAAGACCCACATGCATCATACATAGCTTTCCTCAAATTGACTTTTAATTCATTTTGATTCCTTTATTGCAGTCCAGGAAGGAATAATGCATTAGGTCCAAGGCCACCAGCACTCTTTTTGTTTCTTATGAAATCCCTAGGAGTCAAAATGGTTTCTTTCTGATGAAAGCTCTAACAAGATTTTTCACAAGGTATCTATCTATTATCTATCTCTAACACGGTCTTGATAGCTATTTGCTTATAGATGTAGAAATCTAATATTACTATCGCTGTTGTGCTCCCTGATCAATGACTGCTTGCTGCAGGGTTATGTGTAATGTATGTATCTAGCTTGTATGTTCTCATTGTGACTTCAGTTTATTGATTAGCCCCGAGACTCACAGAATTTGGAATTAGCGAATTGGCAGTTGAATTGAATGAAAGCAGCAGAGCAGAGCAGAGCAGATTGCATGGCTGTACGGGGCGATGAAGGGCCGCTCTTTCAGGTGACTTCATTATCGGACGAATTCATTCATATAATAAAATCGATGAGTTTGATTTTAGTTTCATTTGTTTCATATAGATATAGATATTCATCAATCTTTTTATATCATTAAGCTGTGTTTCTGTAACTACTTTTGCACTTATCGCTAATATTCATTATGTAATTTTTAATTTAAAACATGACATTTCGAAATATTTTATAAGTAAAACATTATATATTTTCTACTAAAAGTATCTATTAGAAAAAAGTAAACATATACTCGTCTTGGCGCACACTGTGTCCATCCAACGGGCAAAATGCAGGAAAGGCCATGAGATGTCTCTCTGGGTCCATTCAGTCCAATGAGTTCTATAACGAGACAATTTAAGCCCAATATTCATACGCCCTTGTTTGGTCGGTACAGAGCCGGCAAGGAAACGTGCTGTCCATACAGCCCAATGGATCATTCACTAGCTGCGCCCTTTTAAACCACATAATTCAGCCCGGCCCATGATATGTACAATGCGAACCACGTGCAGTATCCCAGAAACCGCCAGGGTCGTGTTGTCGGCAAAGTCCAATCCGACATATTGTTTTGCCTTTGCGGGCCTATAGGCTAGTATCTAGACTATGGCATATTTGGCCCAATATGTTAACGGACGGGCCCGTATGAAAGGCCTTGTGCACGTGTGTTGCTACTCCAGACCAATCTGACGGTTGCACGTGCTGCCTCCCAGAAACCGAGAGACAGGGTCGCAGGCTGTCCGCAAAGCCCCAACCGTCAGATATCTTGGTGAATTGGGCCTCTAAAACCCAATATTTTGCAACATGGGCCTTCTCTTAGCCCAATATATTAACAGAGGAGCCCATAGACAGTGCATTGTGCTGTCGGTCAGGAGCCGACAAGGGGCCACATGTATTCCCAGCATATCCACATGGTCTTTCCCAAAATAAGACAAGGACACATGCAGTGCACCAGGCCTAATGTTTGGGCGACTCAGGCCCATTATTATGTCTTTATTGGGCCTAGTCTGCCCTGAGCCGATAAGACCCTTTCCTGTATTCCGCAGTCACGTGCTGTCGCCCAGTTCTATGCGGCCCAATATTTTGTCTTTGACAAAAATACTATAATAGGCAAGCCCATACAATGTCGGTCCTGAGCTGATAGGGTCATCTGCTATCATTACAAGCCCATTTGGCCCATTTTGTACTGTACAAAAAGGCCCTTCGTGGCATGGCGGGCTAACAGGTCCATCTTCTTATGGCCATGCTCTTACAACAAAGCACGCACGGTCAGTTGAGAGCTGTTAGGCCCTAAAGATTGGCCCATTCGGAGCACGTCCTGACAACAAATTGGTTTGACCGACGTACGATCAGATCAGTGCCGGCGCGGCATCTTAGTGCTGTCGACCGCGGCCTATCGGCTCATAAAGTTGGGTACGGTTGATCATATATGTGGGCTGACTGCTCGACCGAATCAACCCAACTTAACTTGTGAGCTGGAATGAATAATTTATATATATTATCCGTATGCAATATACCAAATGTACACTATCACCGGCATTGCGTAATTTTTTTAAATAATAATAATAATAATAATAATAATAATAATGAAATTGTATACAACTCTACATATGCGCAACAACAAAAAAGTGTAGCTGAATGATTGCTTAAGAAAATCAAAATACTATGAAAAATTACAACAACAGAAAGACAGAATTCAACCTATTCACTAACATGTTATCAGACTTTATATTGCAATGAAATACACCTTAAGACGATTGCAAACTTTGGGAGAAAGCCGATGTGGCTGGAAGTAACGAAAGAAAATCGAGCCATCTATCAAGAGAAAACTAAAACAATGTACATAATAGCATATTGTACCTTTTTCCCAACAAGGAGAATGTCATCGGCTACTAGAACGGATAATCATAGGAAGAGCAACAGAAAAATGCAATGAAGCTTACCTTTCTGTTAATGCAACAAAAGGAGCATCCAAAAGAACATCACACAACCTATCCAAATGTTTGTATTCCATCCTGTGAAGCAGGGAGAACTTAGAACTATGGCAAAGACAATGACAAGTACAAAATCCTATTTAAAGTTTCACTCATTAAGCAAAAGCTAAATCTCTGAGTTTTAAGTGACAAATGATAAAAAAACTTAGATTGCCTCACATACCTTAAACAGGTTTCCTCAGTTAAAACAAATAAAACTAAAATCAAGCACATCAATTATTATTGATTCCCCTAATAATAAGGTCACCTGAAAGTACAATCCCATTCAGATAGGCAATGTGCTTTGTAAACGGCCAATAGGCAAATTTGTTACCCAGCAGCCTCATCAAGAAAAAGCAAAGCATCAACAGTTCATGAATCTAGTCAACACAATGTGTCTCACTACATTATCAATAATGTGAAGACATGATAATGACAAAACCAAGTCATAATCAAGCCATATAATTAGAAATACACCTCCCAAACATGTTACCATCAAGCCATATATGATCATAACGTGACAGCCAAAGAAATGACATATGCCATCGAATTTTTATTTTTCTTTGGTTGGTGACCACTTTCTGCAAAGATACACAATGAGAAGCATCAATAGTAAAGAAAGGCGAAAAAAAATAAAAATAATTCCTGATACAACACAGACAAACAAGCCTCTCTATGCGGACAAAATCTCCCATAATAATAGTAACGCTAAGCATCATAATTTGGTTGAGTTTGCAAAGCCAAGGTATTGTAGATGTTCATGCAATGACATTTACCAATAGCTGGTTCATTCTGCTTTAACAAGATAGGCTATGAGCTTCTCTGTCTCAATCTGACATAATAAAAAAGCACAATCTCTTACAAAATATAAGGCTGGGTTTTTCTTTTCCATCAAGTTTTTACTATTCAAAAAATGGACAGGGGAGGCTAAAGGGTATGCAATCATCTAAATGAGGAACTTTAAAAAATTAAGAAAACAAATATCATTACACTCAAGAGCGTGTACACTTCAGGTTGTTTTCCATAAGCCCTTCAGGCAGTAGGTTGATACCATGATATTTATCTTGAAGGGAAGAAAGAAAAAAAAATAGAAAGTAAGAAATGCATGTTAAGAGGCAATGAGTGGCTGCAAAAGTTAACAAATAAGGGTTCCTTGCAATATCTACCTTGTTTGATCCAAACCGAAGTCAGCAATAGGAAATATCACCTCTGTAGCTGCACCAGCCGATGGCCCCCCCCACCACAGCACCAGCCTGCCCCACTTCTTCATCCCCAACATGCCCAGAGTCACAGCACCAGTCCCAGAAATCTGCTCAATCACACTACACTCAATCTCTCACCCCTCATCCACACCCCAAATACTCAGCTAATAACCCTGTCATTCCTCCACCATCTATTGGTCATCTTCCGGATGATACACCATACATAACCCTCCACACACTTATCAAGCTGCAGTTTGCCCACCTACTTCTCATCCACCCACTAGTCCTCTTCTCTCCTTCTCACTCAACAATTTCATGGACCCTGCTCAGTATTTAAGAGTCATCCGGTCAATTTGGTCCAGGACATTTAGGTACTTTTGGTCATCATCAGGGCTCAGGGAACTAAATGCTTACAATAGTTCTCCATAAAAGTACAGAAAGAGCTCCCCCTTGGAGGCATTGCAACAACCTTCCCCTGGTATGGGTCAGAACGGTGGAAGTGGCTATCCACATCTGCCTACTGCACGAAACCTCAGGCACTGCTGTCAGTTTTTGCAGTAATCAATTGTTTCACATAACTACATGAATTGCAAAAGAAGCAACTAATTGCTTTAAGGAGCAGCCTCATTAACAGTGATGATGGTATAGAGCTGAAACTGGCTTCATAAATAAGTTGAATTTATCAAAATAATAAGAAGAAGAAGAAAGAGAAAAAGAAATCTAACTACAACAGTATTAAAAAAATTGCAAAGGAAATCTTCAAACATCACAGCCAAATAAAAACGTTGCAATAACTTCTTTATTAAGTAAATAAATTGATAATACAATGATAACCCAGATTGGACAAATATAGAGTTACAAAAGGCAAATCAGACCAGTTTACAAAATGAAATTACGAGGGCACCCAAAAAATCCTCCATAACAAGTGAAAACAATAACAAACAAAACAGATGAGAATTCAATTCACAACAGCCCCAATCAGCACTTATAGCAAGGGAATCTTAAGCAGAGAAACCCAGCTAGGCATTTGAATTTGAAAGCCATTAACACAGAATCTAGATTGAATAAAAAATATTGTGATGGCCTCCTCTTTATGCAACGCCTCAAATTGATCCCCAAAATTTTCCAAGATTGGAACCGAATTTCAGAAACCCCTCTTTGTGCAAACAACGACGAGATCATTCAATGCTCGCCCATTTGATACCAAGATCAAAAGGGGGGTTTACAGGTTTTATACTTAGATCACAAAAATCGTATCGGCCATAACGAAACCCCGATTACGAGTACGAAATAACACAATATTACAACTTCAGTGCCAGAGACAAGCTGCGGTGGCTGTGAACTTCTCGTTCATTCAGACAATCCATATACAGACAAGCTTATAAACGACCAAAAATGGAAGCAAAAACAACAATGCCAAATAGTTTGATTCAAAATAATATTCAAATAGAAAACCCCGCGCCTTTTTCCCAATCTCGACGTAGAGGCCGGCACTTTGACTTCGAAACCTAAAACTTAGGAACCGTCGTTCTCCGGGTGAGAAACGCGATGGAAGCCGCGTGCGCACGGGAGGGAGTAAACATGGAACGCCCTAATCACGGCTCATCCAAACACCAACTGTTGGTCGGTTTCGACGATTAATTAGGCGGACGAATGGTAGTACAAAATACATATGCCGGAAGACTTGTCATGGCAAATATTATTATATTATATTATTATTCCATAAGAAATACGCCTAGTGGAGCTAAACCTCAAAAACGTGTTCGTATGATCGAATAGGCAGGCTGGAAGGAAACGTTTTAATTTTAACGCATTAGTCATCTTTTACATTAACCAAACTTGCCTCGATGGTTGGAATAAAATGTCGAGAAAATCTAATTTTCGAATCACGATTTTAATTATAGTTAGACGGTTTCGATTATGCTAGCTTGTTATTATTTTTTAAATTTTAATTTTAAATTCGATAAATCTTTATCTTATTGTAAAAAAAGTATAAATAATATTTAAAATTTATAAAATAATTATTGATTAGTCTATTTTTTAAAAGATTGAGAGTGAAATTAATATATATTATAATAATAATAAAAAAATAACCTTTCAAACCCATTAATTTGATAGTAAAATTTTCAAAACAATTTAAAGGCAGTTGAATCGGTAATTCAAAACCTAATAAGCAAGTCTAACCATAGTAAACATTAACTATATATACATATATATATATATATACACTCCCCTCTATCCCATAAAAGATGTTTGGTTGAGAGTTGACACGGAATGTAAAACACTGAGAGTGTATTTTTTATTTTTTATATTATTTTAAAAATCAATCTTACATTTGAAACATCACATCAACCCATATTTATATCGGTTCCAATTCAAAACTTTTATTATTCAAAATCCAAACCCCCAAACAAACACAACCTAAATTACCATTTTTTTAAAATTTTAAAAAGTACATTTAACTAATAATTAAGGATAATTGTGAAAAAATAAAAATAATTTTATTGTAAAGTGTGAATCAACTATTACTAAATTAAAAACAACTGTTTTGGATGATACGAAGGGAGTGTATTAATCAAAATGTACTTTTATATATATATATATATCATTCCGATATTAGGTCTATCGGGATACTTAAATTTTCCTACTATTCATTCTATCCTATTACTATAAAATAAATTATATTTAAACAGACAAGATAACTTATAAATCATCCTAATGCCATGAAGGCTAAAAATGTTGCAACTAGGGATTGGAATGAACCGATGGTTGTGGGCTGGAGGCGGGGCCAGGCGCCAGATGACATATACATGACATTTCCCTTCTTGAAAGTCTTGCCTACCCTACCCTTCCCTAGTTGATTCATAGAAGAATTTTGAGAAAGATTTCCTGCCTTTCCCATTTTTTTTTTTTTTTTTAATAATTTTAAAAATATCATCGTATCACCTCAAATTTACCTTATTATGAATATGGATCATTTATTTATCTACAAGCAAAAAATATGATCATCTTCGTCGATCATCAATTCATCATCATCCGATGCTCAACATTTTGCACTGAGTTGACCCATTTCTTTAAAAGAGACTGATACTCTCCGCTCCTAGACCATTCATCAATCTCTCGTGCCCGTAGCACCGGCAGAGGATGTGAAAGTTGTCTTGCTTGAGCGTTCCTGCGTAGTGTTTCGGTTTCAGCAAGGTCGGTCAATCAATCAATATATAGTGTAATTAATTAATCAATACCACAACATAAGCATAGAATATATTATCTACATACAAGCAAGGAATCATCACCCCACCTTATATACCACCCAACTGGGCTAGAAGCAGCTTTTTCATAGGAACGAGCTTGCTCCAAGAAGGCATCAACATTTAACTCGTCAGCCACCGAGGGGCACCCACCCGCTAATTTCATCAGAACAGATACCACCACCTCTTGTGGGGGCATACACCAGGACAACGGATGGTTGGTTAAATGGATTTGTATTCATAAGCACACTTGATAGACGATACGGCAAGCTATTAATCCCACATAATATCTACCTTTGGGTCGCGAGAGACCAGAAGAGCTGCCCGATCACAAGTCAGTTCTGCTGCACGGAGCCAGCGCAGGAGCTGTTCTTCTAGTCTCTCTGCTACGAAGGTACCAACCCCTGTGAGATAGGAGGAGTTTTTAAGCAAGCAAGGATCACATCTTGTGACAGTGAACAACATTCTAAGCTTCCACATGAACACAACTAAGAGCAATCCATCTGATTCAAGCCGAAAACTAGATCTTACCTGGTAAAGAATATGCTCCAAGAGTAAGAATATTGGCGAACGTAAGCCATACACCATGGTCGCATTTTAAATGGCCCAACTCATGCGCTAAGACAGCCTGCACGCAGAACATTATTTAAACAAGAACAATAACCCCATTAAGAAACTCAGATGCAGTTGTAAGATTGGCTGCATCTATAAGTATGTGTCGTTATTGGAGAAGGTAAATGTGGACCTGCAACTCCTTTCTTGACAAAAGCTCCACTAAGCTTGTATGAACAACAATAAATGGTTTCTTTCCGTTGATAGCTAAAGTATATGCATTGGGCACAGGACTTTGCCGCAGATACAAGTCTGGAGCTCCAACACTAAGCATATTGGCAGCTTCCACCAGCAACTTATGAATTTCAGGGAGCTGAGAGAGACAAAGAAATATGTGTTCAGCGGTTGTACAAATGCACATCGGTCATTCTAAACTAATTAAAAAGTAACATGAAATTCTAAACGTGTTGAAAGTCATAAATCAGGATATCAAGAAAAACCACCCAAGGATTTCAGATGATCAGTAAGCGAGAGAAAGAAACTTATGTGACAACAAGAAAAAAACAAGAAGAAGGTGCAATGTGATTTTTTTCCAACAGAAGAATAGCATGGGCACACGGTTAAAAAATAAAACCTGATTTTCAGAAACAAGAACGGAAGTCCCTATATTCTCCAGAAGCATGATCTGCTCAGCAACAGAACCTGAAAGAATCTAATTGTAATTTGTAAAGCTACAGAGAAAATTTGCAAATGAGGCTTGCCTTAAGTTGCTAAGCAATGAAAAGTTGAAGCAGCGGATTGAGAACGGCTATAAGGATACAAGTATCAACGGGACTTTATATTTCGTATTTAATAGAAACCCCTAATTCAGGTGAAGAATATTTTTAACCTAGCTACCACTTTCAACCAAGAATTGATCAGGAATAGCAGCAGTCCGTACCTAACAAAGCTTTTCCAATTTCGTTTAATCCTGGAATCGCTCTCAAAATCAACGTATTCTGTATCACATGATGAAATAAAACGTCTAAAAAAGGAAGCCACAAAGTGCGGGGGAAGGAGCCAATAATTGGGAATAGTTCAAGATAAAAGGAAGTCACTTGTTTGTCGAGAGGGTGTCTGAAGTCATCAGCGTCGAGATCGCGAGTGGCCGCGGACGAAGCGACTCGGCAAACAAGCTTTTTCCGCGTCTGTTTAGTTTTGAGCAGTTTAAGGTGGAGTCCCCCACGGAAGGCAATCGACGGCTTATACGAAGTATGAAAGGAGAAACAAGTAGAAGAGAGCTTGTCGGGGAAAGCCATTGAAGATGGAGAAAGAAAGGCCGGCATGAGTACGAGTATGAGTATGAATGAAGTCCAGATGCGTGGGCGGCGTCTGGTTTGTTCCTGAAGCGTATCCTCTTGTTTAGGTCCACATTATGTCCCATTTGATTGATGTTTTCTGGTAATTATTTGCCGCCGTTTCGCTTTCCGTAATAGTTGGAAAGAAGATGGAGGAGGAGAAGAAGCAAGAAGAAAAGGAGGGGGTGTTTGTTTCGATTTCAAATGAGATATATCTATATGTGAAATAAAAATAAAAAATAATTATGAATTATGATATTATTTTTTATTTAATTAATAAATTTAATATATATAATAAAAAAATTAGAATATATATTTAAATAATATATAATATGAGATGTTTTATAAAAATAAAAGTGTATTTTAAAAATATATATATATAAAAATCAATTAATAAGAATATAAGATGGGTATGTTTTTTTACTCAAATTTTTTTAAATTTTATTATTTGGATTTTATTTTTATTTAAAAAAAATTATTTTTTTTTTAAAATATTTCATTAAATATTATTTTAATACCAAATTCAAACAAAAATTTTAGAAAGAGTTACGAAAAGAAACATAGAAACACACCCTTATTCACATCGCTCCGTGAACAAGTCAGTCAAGTCAAGCGAAGCCAAGAGGCAAATTAAAAAGCTTTCCGTCTCTCTCATGAAATTGATTACTATATTATATCATGTCATCATATAATCCTATCCTATCATCATCATTCACTCATTCTTGAGTTCCAAATATCCAAGTTGAAGGGCAATTTGCAATGCACCTTAGCTTTTCAGGTTTAACAATAACGTCTAACTAAACCGCTCCTCCTCCTCCCTCACTGGTCTGCTGCACGCACTTATACAATTTTAACATGCCATTGAGTGCTCCGCTCATCCCTCCCAACTCACTTCCTGCGAGTGAGTGGTAGTAACAGAGAGAGACACACACACACTTGACTTGACTGGACGCAAGCTTGCCTCCCCCTCCCCCTCCCCCTCCTCCATTTCCATCTATCGATCGATCTACCTGTAAATGTAGCTACACATTCTCTCTCTCTCTACTCAGTGTCAGTGTCGATGTCTGCTACTATTGTTTCTTATAAATATTGTCAAAGCTAGCTAGCAGTCCGTCAGTCCAAGTCCTCCCTCTCACCCCTACGTACATGAGATGAGTCATGAGAGTACATATTAACCACCCCGGCCATCATCATGTTCATATCATATTATAGCCCAATCGTCTTCGCATTGCCCTCCTATCTCCTTGCTCCCACGCTTGCTACCACCCCTAGGCCCTAGCTACTTCCCCCCCGCTACCCTTCCTTCCTAATAAACGCCTTTCCCCAATCTCCTCAAAACAGACTTCTTCGCCGCTAGCTGCCATGTTTTCTGAAAACATCCTTGTCGGCGACATCATCGCTACCGGTCTCTCCGGTGGTGTTGTCTTGTCCTTGCTTAAAATCTGGGAGCAGACTGCCAAGAGAGGCTTCTTTGACCCGGTTGGCTCCGTCTCCCCAGCTGTTTTTAGCTGCCCCAATCCCGAACCCAATTATTACTCATCCATCACGTTTACTTTAGTTACGGATCAGGATTACGATTTTTTTGATATGGAGTTTTTTTCCCTGTAAACCCCATCATTTTGACATTTTCCCCTCTTTTATTATTGTTTTTATTTTTTATTTTTTATTTTTGAATCTCAGTTCCTGTCTCTCTGTTTCCCATATTAGAAACTAAACAGGAAGGTCGTTCATATTACTGTTGGATTGGCATTCATGCTTTGCTGGCCTCTGTTCAGGTAAAACTTTACACTGATATGTGTGAGGCCATTTCATTCTGGCATGGTATGGTAAGAGATCTATCTATTCATTGACCTTCCCGTACTATGTAACAGTTCGGGTCGTCACTGCGCATACTTAGCTGCTCTTGTTCCTGGTCTCAACATACTTAATATGCTTCTTGTGGGACTCGGTGTAATAAACGATGATGCAACTGTCAAGTCCATGAGCAGATTTGGAGACCATAGGTACATTTGCTTGTTCTACTTATATTTTATAATAGCGCAGTTAGAGCTGTTTCATGGCCGAGTGAGCTAAAGTATATGTCGTTCGAGCTCGAGCGACCTTGAACGTGTTCCGGTAATGGCTCGGCTCCCACTCGTTAAGGAGCCCAAGTTAACATAATAGGTCGCAAAAGACTTGGATTAAAGTTCAAGCTCGACTCAAAAGCAGTTATTATTATTATTTTAATTAAATTAATAAAATATATTCTTCTTATACACAATCTATTATAACTGCATCTTCAAACAAACAACAAAATGTATATATGAAAATATAATGACAAAATTAACCTAAATGTGAGCTTCACTTGTCTATCTCTATAAACCAGCCAGGTCGAGCTCTAAGTGTAATGTGTGTTTGATTGGAAAAAGATTCAGAGATATTCCCATCTATCTGTTTGAGATCATTGGCAGCGTAGTAGGCCTCGCAGCCACCCTAGCCAAGCTACTCATGTAACTGAATTTTTCTTGAGTTTTCTGGATAGTGATCAGCTGTGGCACATGCAGATAATGAAGTTTGATAACTACAGCTATGTCTTAAGAGGGTTTGTATTGCTAAGGTTAATGCTAGTTTGCAGTAATCAAGACTTTAAGCAGAAGTATGTAAGACGGGAAAATTTTAAGTGGTTATTTTTCAAAATATTTCACCATTTGAATTCTCCTATGATTAACCTAATCAATTTCTGACATGTGAGGAGGTTGATGCGAATGCTGCCTTGCTAGTTGATCTATGCAACCATAATTTAGTATTAAATAGAATATATGCATCTTAAAATAAATATTTGATTCATTTTAACTAGACTAGGCTTATTTGATTCATTGTACATAGATTACGTTCTTTATTTTTTGTTTTTCCTTACTTAGGTGTTTTGTACTCAATTGAGTGTAAATGAAATATAGAAAATACGCCTCTTCTTTCTTCCTCTCTTTGACATGATCATGGAAGTTACACTGGAAATGTTGAGGATTCTTAGTTCTGAGTTCTGGCACTAACATTTGGTTTGTTAATGTCAGCATTTACAGCAGGTAGAAGCCAATTTTAACATATCTGTGAAATGTTTCTGAAAAATGCAATCAGCAAATTTGCTGTGTTGGTCAGTTTAGTAGCTAGATACTCCAATAGATTAACAAGTGCTATCAACTCTTAAGTAAGCTTTCTCAGCTACTTTTATATATATATATATATATGTATATATCAAAAAGTGATTCAATTGTGCAAATTTGATAGTTGTATCTTGAGAAAGCGGATGCTCTTTAAACCTCTAGCACAATTTTGAAGGAGAAGGAGCACATTTGATATAAAGAAAATCGTGTCCAACACAAGCCTCAGATTTACCATATTATTTCTTTGTTGGCTTGTTGGCGTTCAGGGAACTACTCAAGGGGCCATTATACTATGCTTCCACAATCACTGTGGCTACCGGCATTTACTGGAGAACATCTCCCATAGCAATTGCAGCTGTGTGTAACCTATGCGCTGGTGATGGTATGGTACAGCTTTCTTAGTGAATCCACAACCCTGAATTTTCATGACAGCGGATAGATTATGGGATTATTATCTAATCTATTAACTAGAAATGTGGAACAGAGTATGTCGTGCTTTAAACTCTGGTAATTTATTTTGTGGCTTTGCTTTATCAGGTATGGCTGATATTGTGGGTAGGCGTTTCGGAAGTAAGAAGCTTCCTTACAATCGAAACAAATCCATTGCTGGTAGCATTGCCATGGCATGCGCTGGTTTCTTGGCTTCCATCGGGTAATGTGTTTTGCTGCTGCTGCTGCTGCTTTACGCTTCAGCTTATTAATTAATACTAATATATCATAATAATAATAATAATAATAGATCTTGGCTGACGGGAAATGTGAAAACAGATTCATGCTCTACTTCTCATCAATGGGGTACATGCAAGAAAGCTTTGAGATGGCGCTGGGGTTTTTGGTGGTGTCCATTTCTGCTGCATTAGCAGAATCCCATCCAATGAGCACTGAGGTTGATGACAATCTGACCGTACCCTTCACAGCCATATTGGTTGGGAGTTTACTTCTCTAAGTAGTTAAGATTGTTGCGTTCTTCCGTAAAATCAAAATGGATGATTGAACACCATCCAACAATGCATATTATGGTTCTGTGTACTCCATTGCTTATTGTCTCCCAACCATCCATTCATGTTCATAACAAGTGGAGATGGCGGAGTTGGTCTAAGGCAATTCCATTTAATCTCTTTCTCGGGATCTTATGATTGTCATTTAAAAGCAAGCATGTGAATTGGTATTTTATAGTCATTTTTTGCTACTTGACAATGTAATTGATAGCTCACAGAGATATGCATTTACAACAAGGTTGGATCATAATCAGTTGCATCAGCTTAATTCATGCGGTTTGCACCCGTCGACTTGCTTTTCCTTGACTACACTGGATATTTCTTTCGATTCTACTCATCACAGATTATTCTTCTTATTTGGCTTGTTGTTTATGTATAAGATTGTGTAGTTCCCGCCACTTGAGATCATACTGAATTGTTGTTTACGTATAAGCAATGTTATGCATGTAATATTGTAATATGCCTTTGGTCTTGTGTTGTTGCAAACAATTAGATACACTACTACACGTGCAAATGCCTTCAACTTCATCCTTGTTGCTCTAATATCCATTACGGTGCTACCTATAAATAAGATTTTAACAGCACCGGCAACCCAGGAATTATTCCTTTAGCTTGTTTGTCAAACATCCTCGTTCCTAACTTTATTTGATGTTGGTTTATATTTGATGGGGAGAAAGTCACATCCCTTTACATACTAGTTCTCATCAAACCCTTTTTTTTTTTTGGTTCTATTATCAAATTCAGCTCGTTGTTGCATTACATACCTTTATGTAACCACTGTATCTTTTGATTATGAATTTATAAGTCTGTTGGCATGCGACGAGGTATCTCTGTGTCTACATCAAATGATGACATGAGATGGGGTTGCCTGATAGATGGATGGGTCAAATTTGAGAAGTTTGGACCTGATGAGAAAAAAGGATAGCACTCATTTTCATTCATTCAGCCCGTGCGTGCGCGCCAGACTTCACTTGTTTCCGCGTGTTTGCTTCCCATCATATATAAAGAACCCCACACAAACATCATGCAATGCAGGTTAGTGTATATCCTCGAGTGGTACAGCCTGAGAAAGAGAGAGAGGGTGATTCAGGTTGCAACGGGAGGGAGGGAAGGCAAGCAAGAAAAGAAGGGATTGTAAGTGAATCCAGAAATGGTGCTTGCTTCTGCTAGCCACCCCATCTTGCTGAAGAAGAGGCCAGGTCAGGTCTGGTCTGGCATGATCGATTCAGGAATGAGAAGCTGTGGAATTCTTCCTTTCTAACATTATGCATTCTTCGTTCCATTCAGCCACAGCAGCTAAGAAAGGAAGTGAATCAAAAGTTTGCGCATACATAATTAGTTCCTGCATTGCATTTAATTTGTCACGCCCACTTTTGTCAGCTTAAAGCATGGCGGCTGTCTGGTCTAATCTAATCTAATCTTATTCCATTCCATCCAACCCAGATGTGCCAGTTCGCCACAAATGGAACTGCAAGGGAAGGGTGGGGTAGGAAGACCGACGACACTAACACCACAAGATAAGAAACAACTTCATTTCATCATCGTTCAGGGGGCAGGCAATTCATTAATAAATGTTTTATTATGACATGATCTGGTCAAGAGAACAAACAATAATACAACAGGCGTAAGAAGCAGTATGTGATGTGAGGGCAGGGCAGGGCAGGGCGTGTCACAAACTCAAACTCCAAACTCAACCAAAACCAAAACCAGCAGATAGACAAAGACTGCTTCCCTCCCTCAAAGAATGAATGTATATTATATAGATAGAGATAGTTGTGGGTGATGCAGCCGATATATTCATTCATAGCCATGTCACGAATCACCCTTGCCTCCTTATCTGCCTGCAGCAAGACCAACAACTCTCTCTCTCTCTCTCTCGATTGCTTCTCTGGAGTATGTATGTATGTATGTATATAGATAGATAGATAGATGGATGGATGAATGAATGTATAATCCAAATAGAAACAAGCAAAGGCAAAATGAAACAAGTACCCACAGGCAGGCAGGCTGCATAATATCTACCTATCTATCTACCTCCCGCCCCAGCTGCTGCTGCTGCCGGCGATCGACCATACAGGTGAGCGTACACAGTCTTTGTCCTGTAAACAAGAATCATGCTTAAAATAGAGGCGACGATGCAGATCCCACACAGGATCAAGGAGGACATGAAGTAGCAGACGGTTCCGTGGCATTTGAGAGGCTCTTCCACGCGGATGAAACTCGACAATAAGCTGCTGCCGCCTCCACCAGCCTGCTTCTCCGCTTCCCTATCATATATGGTACTTGCAATCACGCCAGAGAAAATCAAAGAACCTGCAGGGTTTGCGATGGTAATCACATTGTACAGACCCCCAAACTTTTTCAACCCAAACAACTCGGAAACTGCAGCAGGCACTATGGCCCAGTGTGACCCATAGCCAATCCCTACAAGAAGAGTCCCAACGTACATCGCCCCGGGCCAACCCATCGCAAAGAAGAAATGACCCACTGCCATTACAAGCTGGGCAACAGCCATGGCCAAATGCCTCGGGTAGGCATAGTCGCTGTAAGCAGTTAGTTACAGTTAGAACAAGTAAAAATGTTGAAGAATTTCCGGCAGCAGCAGATAGATAGATAGATAGATGATGCTGCTGCTGCTATTTATATATTCATCATCCATACCATACCTGACAATTTTCTCAGACAGGAAGCCACCACCAACACGGCCTAGAAAGTTGAAAATGCTGATCAAGGAAACAAACACATGGGTGTTTTCGTACCCCAAAGACTCGCTCATCTGTCCCAAGTTATCGATCACAGTCAATCCGGAGCCCGAGCCCAGCATAAGAGAGAAGAAGATGAGCCAAAAATCTGCCTTGATCAATGCCTCCATCATAGTGAAGTCCTCCCCTCTGTGCGGCCGCCTTCTTCTCTTGATCCTAACTGCCCCCTCCGCAGCAGCTTGGGCGAGCCGGGACTGGAGTTGAGCAATTCTCTTGTGCCTCTCCGAGGCAGGAAGCATATCCACTTCTTTTGGCTTCTCCTCTTCCACTTCGCTGAAAATGATTTCTTGAGATTCGTAGCCCCCCAGCGCTGTGCTGCTCTCCTGCTGCTGCTGCCGCTGCTGCTGCTCATTGTTGGGTGGTACAAGCGCTTCTTCCTCCAGTGATTTTGGCTCAGAGGGAGCAGCAGCAACGAGATTGATGGGGATGAGAATGGGGAGCAACAAAAGGATGAGCAAGATAACCGTGAAGACGATGGTAATCGTGTGGCTCACAGCCACCAGGTCCTGTACAACCATCACCCCCATCAGATAAGCAGCCAAAACGAGGCAGATGCTATAGACAACGGAGAAATTGAAGTTGTCGGACGACAGTAGCTGCTTGTGGCCGCCGACGGGCCTGATGACGAACATGAGGGCGATCGCCACCATGCTGGGGCCAACTGCAACCATAAACAGCAGCGAAGCATGGTCCGGAGAGTGGATGAGCGTGTATATCTGCGACAAGATTGCACCACTCAACCCAGCAAAGCCCTTGAGTATCCCCACAACAGGACCTCGGCTCTTGGGGAAATTCTGCACGCAGGACACCAGTGATACAGTATTGAAGTAGGTCTCGCCATTTGTCCCCACGAAGATGAGGATGCACATCTGCGTAGCAATCAACACCAAATTGAATTAAAACCTTACAATCCCTATTGCTATTGCTATTGCTTTTGGTTGGACAGACTCCATCCAACCTAGACATCCCACTTTCCAAAGAATCGTCTAAAGGGGGTTCTCGGAGCTAGCAGCGCCTAAAAGTAAGTTTTAACGACAAAGCGTTGAATCCTCAATACTCGGCCAAAAAAAGGCAAGGCTGAGGCTTAATAATTAAATTAAAGCAAAAGAAATGGAGCAGAGAATCCTCTGATGTCCTGCTTCGGCTCCTACGCTTTGGCTGATGAAATTCAACCCAGAATTAGACACAGATTATTACAGTTGTGTTGTGTTTCGGATGGATGATCGATCCTCACCCACCCACCCCAGGAAACTACACCCAAAGCTCGATTGTTGATGCCGAAGGTTCAGAATATATATTTTTTTTAATTTTATTTTTTAAAAAAGGGAAAAAGCATGAATGAAATGAAATGAAAGGAAGGTACTCACAGCCCACAAGGGCAAAACCGGAACTCTGCCGGTGACGACGAGCCAAACCCAACCATACCCAATAAAATTCTTCAAGGCGCCCACAAGCAGCACACCCCAGAGGGGCAAAAAATCGCCTATTCCACCCGAGAAGATTCCAAAGCTGTCGCCCAAATCCTTTGCGACTCCTAAACTTGCGAGCTGCCTCTGGTTATAGTTTAGATTGGTTTTAATGGTAGGTGAGATGCTGCCAAACAAGTACCCAATCCCGGCGCAGGATTGGAGCCACATTGCAGCCACAAAAACGAGCCATCTGTTACTGAGGAGCAAGGAGAGCTTTGCGGAGGCAAGGCCCATGTGATATCACGGCTGTAGTATGTACAAGCGTATATAGTCGGCAGGCAGAGGCACAGCGTGGCTTGAAGAGGAGAAGCAAACCAGAACTGAATCGAGTATAAAAGTGTAGATACTAGTGTTGGGGGAAGGGGAAAGGAAAATGAAGATGAAGATGAGGGTGAGGGTGTTTGGTTAGTAGCGGCTAAATTCGCAATCATTCACAATCACAGGAGGAGGGATGGACTGGACGGCCCTACATGGAAAATGATTGGCGTTGTGTGATGATGACGAGACTTGAGCGATGTATGGACGGATGGATGTTATGCAGTGGTTGAGACTAGAGAGAGCAGCACCAGCACGCCATAATGTTCTCTCCTCTCCTCTCCTCTCCGACTCTCTACCTCTACTGAACAAAAGTAGGTAAATAAATATTAGTAGGAGTTTTGATCTTACTATCATGATACACCGTCCAAACATTGAAAGTAAATGATACCGATAATCATCATCTCCCATGCTTTTGGGAAATTAATAAGTTATATATGGATTGAATGAATCCAGGGTGGTTTTGGTTGATCACGCAAGCACACCTGGCATGCCTGCCTGCCTGCACTGACGATTCAAGTGTGTTGACCTGACCGCCTTCAAAAAAATGATAGTGAAGAGGGATGATACTAACAATAATATAATAACTTACTAGTTAATAATAAGCGGGAGGTGAGGAGGCTTAGACTAATTATTAACAAATAAATAACTTAAAATGACTTAGGCACGTCTGTGTCTCGAGTGCCAGCCAGAGTCAGCAAAGTCGGAGAAGATGGATAAAAACGTGGATTGCATAATTTTATGCGTACGTACATGTGAACATCAAGGCCAGCTGGAATTGGAATTGGAATTGAAATTAGATCGAGGGGCCTTGGCCTGTCGGTCCGGGAGAGAGAGATGAAATGAATGTAAATTTGGCACATGCCCATGTTGGATTAAAAATTGTAACTATTTGGGCTATAAGTCAGATTAAGTTAAATGTGTTTAGTAAGTGTGAGCCTCCGATGTACAGAAATCTGGTAACTTGTTAATTGGGTGATGAGATCAATTAATAATAAGGGATATAAATAGGGTTGTGATCTCAGGTCTAAACGCAACATCCATTACGTTTCATATCTCATCGTGGAAGTAACGGCAGAAACCCTAGTGGTTTTCTCAAGAGGGGTTGCGTCGTAGGCTTGAAGAACACAAAACCCTCCATTGTTTGCATATTCGAATTCGACTATACTAATGGAATAAGGTTAGATCTAATTTGCTTTATTTTTATCTCAATTATGACAACACGGTAGATCATGCCCTGGTAAGTTCCAACAATTGGTATCAGAGCCTTTCCGTATTGAATTATTTTGCGAATTAATTTTTGGTCATTACATTGAAATTTTAATTTTGATTAAAGTCATTCCCTGTGCACCTGTTATGAAATCGGTAGATACATGGTCTGAATGAGCCCTTGCAATCCGCGTGTGTTTGTTTGTTACAGTAATGCATAATTCATTAGTATTCATTACTCTTTAATTGAATTTATGGAATCATGTATATATATATAAATTGGAACAGCACGTGACATTGTAAACTTAGGGTTCTCATAGCATTTGTTTATATATCTATTTCAATAAAAATGATTTCAACGAAACAATCATGCATGTTGATTAAAATAATTAATGGAATAATGCCAAAATTAATATGAAATCATGGTATTTGTCATTATGGAAGGAGATTAAGAAGCTAATGGAATCAGCCTTTATCGGTGAATAATTTTATTATTGTTTATTCCTAATTTTATTACAATAATTCATACAACTATGGATTGATTGCATGTGTTTGTATTTAATTTATAGTTTTATTTATTTATCCACTTAATTTTGGATTTATAAATAATTTTGGGACTAAGTATTTAATTAAAATCGGATAATTAATTACTTCAATTAGTTAACTGTCAATTCAATTATAATTTCATTGAGTATCTGTATCCAATTACGAGTAATATATGCAATGAGAAGATAATTGCATTTGAGCAACTCTGTTTGTTTATATATATTTATTTTTTTGAATCAAAATGAGATGTGGTCAATCTTAATTGATATTGCATCTTGATGGAGCATTCGGTATTATTAATTGATTATGCATGGAATCAGTACATGTCCATCTGCAAGCACATGGAGTAACGTTGGTTTAATCATAAACATCCATATTAAGTATTTCAAAGCGCGATACGAAGTTAGAAACAAACAAACACTTGGCTTCAATTTTACGAAGAGCTGCAAATGTACCTTTTGCAAGTCATTTTAAGTGCATCAGAATGCTTCACACCCAAAATAAACATAATTCTGCTTAAGCACTAATAATATATATATAAGAAATATCATGTTTAGGTCCCGTAAGAGATAGGGATGACCTGGTGGTGTGGGGGGTGAACTTGTGACCGCGAAGTTATGGTTCAAATTTCAACGTCTCCAAGTCCACTTGCCTTGTCGGATCTAGTTTGCAGGGTATAGGTTGGGCTGGAGGGCACTGGTGGCTGCCGATTTCCACATTATAAAAATATTTATCTACTTTATTAGACTTCTTTTTATAGAATCATGTTGGGGTATACTTAATCAATTGTAACGATATGGATTATTAAATCCGACGCAAACCATATTTATTTATTTATTTATTTATTCATTAGTACTGATTTTATAAAATTGAATATTCATTATGATTCGTTTGATAGTCCAATTAAATTTGGATTACAACAACATGTATTTTGACAGGATGCGTTTATTCAAATTCGACTATAATTATTTGGTGTATTAATTTATAGTCTCTTCGGGTGACATATTTTTGTCTGTGTAATTCCGCTGCATTTGGCACTTTCTTGGACTGCTTGATTATTTAATGAGTCCATAAATTAATTGTTGTTGTTATAGTTTTAATATGTATTGAACATAATATTTGATTTATTTAAAGTGAATTTAATTAGCAATAAATAATATAATATATTTTATGAATTGGTTGAAACAGTTATGTTGCCAAAGCAGCCTCTGTGTAGATCAGTTTATTTTGTGTATTTGAAAGTTGTGTTTGTGACTTACAAGGCTCTTGATTGACCCAAAGACAATTCAGCCATTAAGTAGTTACATGCATATTAGTGACATTGAATGTGGTGATAATAATCTGGTTATTTTGTGTGTGAATAATAAATCTGTCCAAAGATAATGTGTTTTTTGACACACTACTGCATTGTCAACATTCAATTGTCAAAATAAGTTCATCATTAGTGAGTCAGTAATTTGTCTAACGAAATTTGCTGATGTTGCTCGATAACTTGTGATAAGATTGCTAATTTCTTTCATAAATTCACATACGAAACATTCAGTAGCTTATAGACATGTGCATTCAGTTGCTAATAAGCATTCTTTATTTTCTATGGAATCAGACCCGTATATATTGAACATGATTCTGATTATAATTTAGTTTTAAAAAATTATAAATTCATTAATAATGCATGCTGCGTTTTGACGGTGAAGATCAAGTATTTGACGTTGCCAAAGTAACCTCTCTTATATAAGATTTTTTCTTGATAACGTAAGTGTTTATGTGTATTTTAATTTATGTGATTATTCTTCGGCCCAAAGGCAGTCGGTAATTGACAGAATGAAATATACATCTACGATAATATGTATGAGATGATTATATAGATTGAACTTATGTGAATAGTAAATCAGTCCAAAGATTAGTTATTGTTTGACATTACCTTATTATCCATATATGATTATTGCAACAAGATGACTGCTAGCAATCAATGTTATTGATCCAAAGATTGATCATTGATGTTGCACTTAGTGTCTTGGGATGAGAATGCATTATTATTGAGTTCATTATGCTTCATGAATATTTATGTGTATATTTATTTAGTCCCAACACTGTCTCGGGACAACTTTAAGCACTAAAAAGAATCAATTTTGATTCATTTGGTTGCATGAACCTTGACTTGGCATTAAGAGTAGACCAACCCACTCAAACGACGAGAAACACTGCATATGAAAAACAGTTATTTGAAAAGTGGGATAGTTCCAACGCCTAAGTCTGATTATCATTAAGAAAAACACTCCATAAATTTTAGGAGTTCTATGTATAATGATATGGATTCCTTGTCGCAATTAAGAAACGTTTTGCCAAAAGCGATAAGGCGGAAAATGAGTATTCTTCTCAAGAGTCTCATTACCATGAAGTACAACGACAAGGGAAACATAATGGAGTACATCCTGAACATGTCTAATATTGCTACTAAATTGAGGGCATTAAGTTAGACATTTCAGAGGACATGCTTGTCCTATTAATCTTGCTCTTGAAATTAATTTAATTTCAGTACATAGACACACCTGACGGTGGATTTTGGTGTAACAACTCACATCAGTTTGTCTATGCAATATTATTTTATTGTCGAAATCAATTGATGTTGAAAGATACATCTATATGAGTGACAACAAGAAAGTTCAAGTTGAAGTCATTGACAATTTTAAATTATTGCTGAGTACTGGTTACTAATTGAATTTGGATGAGACATTTTTTTATGGTACTATCTTTAGTCGAAATTTAATTTCGATTTTTATTTTGAATAAATTCAGTTATTATTGTTCATTTAGATATAGAGTTTTGTCTCTTCCAAAATTCAAAATTCGTTAGAACTAGTACCTTATTTGATAATAATAATCATCAGTTGCTTAATTGTATGACTTTATATTATGAATTAGTTATTGAACATATTCATATAACTTCCACGATTACGGATCCGCTTAATTAGTAAAAGGCTTCCACATAAGTTCTATAGTGAGCATATTGCTCGTTTGAAAAGTGGAACCATATTTCGATACTTCGGTTTAGTGAGAGCTAATTAGTAATGTTCAAATACACTAAGGTTACTTTATTTTGTCCTGCAGTATTCAGTATGCACTGTTCAGTATTTATTTTTAATTCGGTGTTCAGTTGTTCTGAATTAAAGTTAAGGTAGATCAGTTGGAAATAGGCATGTTAAGATCACATTATATGAAGTTTCCATGTTGTGCATCCGCACTTGATCGAATCTTAGGTTATATTAGTGTTGTGACCACTGAGCGGTGCTATTGCGATAAATGCAGTGACGGCATTGATGTGATTTATAGATGAGATTGGTAATATACATTAAAGGATCTGATAGCAAATGTTTTCATGAGCTCATAAGGTTATTCAGCGTACATTTACCAAAGTGGGAGATTGTTGGATTAAAAATCCAATTGTGGGTTAAATGTAACTATTTGTGCTATCAGTCAGATTAAGCCTATATTAAGTGATCTGTTAATTTATTAGGTTTAAATGTGTTTAGTAAGTGCGGGCCTCCAATGTACAGAAACCCGATAACTTGTTAATTGGGTGATGAGGCCAATTAATAATAAGGGATATAAATAGGGTTGTGATCCCAGGTC